GGTGGTGACATGTTGAGGTAGCTTTGTCTCTCGCCTCCACCTCTTCTCTCTCCCAAATGTTGGAGGAGTCTCCACATCGTTGATATCTTTCTTATGGAGCGAATTGCTGCACACATGGTTCAACTCATTCCAGATGTTCACGCAGTAAGTACTGGCTCCGGGAGAGCTAGCTGCACAACCGGCATTGATGTCGATGCCCGATTGGCAATATTACTCGATTTTGAATGAATATTTGGGTCTTACTTCCCGCAAGATCCGACATCGTCCCTCACTTGACGCAGGCCCCAGTGAAGATACAAGAGCTGTACGAGCCTCCGATTTCCAGACGTTGTCCAACATATGTGGTACCTCTGTCTCCCCAGTCCCCGAAGAATAAATCAATGCTCCTATGTATCACATGTCGGGCGGAGTATGCCACCCGTGGTGATGAACGGGTATCTGACCGTGTCTCGTCTTCGTCCCATCGTCGTAAAAGCAGAAACGCCAATGCCACCCCATGCACCCACCCACGTCGTACATAGTATCCAACTTCAACGCATCTCAACGGCAGGGAAGTAGCGCGGTCCGGAGAATCCGTGAACAGCGATATTCTGAATATCAATGTTGCCATGCTTGGAGGGACTCCAGAGTTTGAGGAGGATGAATTTGCCGGATCTGTGACAGTTAATGCTGACCTTGGACCAGAAATGGGGACAGAGACTCACACAGGCGGGTCAAACCGAATGGTGATCTTGCTCTTGTTCTTTTGCATAAAGAATCTTGCATGGGGGGCCAAGACGTCGCCGTCCAGCACCGCAGAATCTTCCGGCTCAATCTTGCTAGGAGTGCTCCTCCGTGCAGAGCGAATGATGCCAGGCCCTGTTCTTCGGTCCCAGAGGAGGTGATTAACGTTCCGCACCTCGTCCTCGTACTCGTCTTCCTCGCTCTCTGCGCGCCAACGGCTGTCCCTTCGCAACCGATCTGCCATGATTGATGCACTGGGCTGGTCCGGTTCCGACTCGCTCGACTGATCATCCTCTTCCTGGGTGACATGAAGGCCTTGGAGAGCCGGGGGCGGTGTTGGCGCACTGGGGGAGATGATGGCAGGTCGATCGGCCGACTCGGAGTAGTCGCAGTTGTCGCTGGTGGTATCTCTGTGCTGTCTCGACTCCAGACGACGCCTCATGCGTAGCAGACGTGCATACCTTGCCTCACGCTCCTCTGGCGTCTGTTGCTCCGAACGATCGCGGAAGTCGTGGCGACGGGCCATTCCCGCGAGTACTTCGGGATCGTGGAGGCTTTCGAGGAGGGAGATGCGGTCGGGCCGGCGGGACGAAGAGGAAGAGGTACTGGAGGCACGAGACGAGGTCGAAGAACCAGCGCCGTAGTCGATTTGGTAGGGAGCAGTGCCGGTGAGTAGGGACTCGGTGTCCATGGCCAAGAAAATCATGCCTTCCTGGACGCTGTTCGCCGCATCCGGGTCAGTAGGCTCCAACAAAGTTTCTTCGTCAGAGTTAACGTACGGAGCTGTAAATCCCCGTTCGGGCGCCCTGATGACGATCTTATCCAAGCTAAAGGTGCTCTCTCCATGGTGTCTCAAGATCATGTTGCAATGCGACTTTTTGGTGCAGTACACGCTAGCATCGTTCTTCAAAGCATTACCAACCCTGTGAAGGTCCCCCGAGTTGTCACTGTACTCGCCACCGTCACAACTGACAATCTCCATCCTCAGGCGCCCGGGCACCACCTGGCCAAAGTGGCCGTATCTGGAGCTGAGTATGGCCGAGACATCGTCCCGGTCCAGCTTCCTCCGCTTGAAGCTCCTGCGCTCTGACAGGTCGTCCCTGGGGGGGCCGAATTCAAGACGCAACAGGTCGGCGTTGGACAGATTGTTGGGACCGATGAGCTGGGAGATGCTCTGGCTTATCTCGGCGAGGCGCTCGCCGGCACGCTCCAGCTCGGTGAGTTCGGACAGAGGAGTGCCGCTCTGCTCCCGCTGCTGGCGTGCACGGCGCAAGGCACTGAAGCGCTGGCTCGGCTCGGCATGGGGTCTGTTGCGGATTGCCGAAGTCGGGGGATCGGAGGGTTCTGGGCGGGGAGGCGAGCGAATGCGTCTAGGCTGATCCTCGAACGCACCATGGGATCTGTTGGGCCCGCGGGGGCCGCGGCGATTGCGGCGAGGCATGGGAGGCTGGCTGGGGTCGGCCAAGCGGCTGCGGCGTTCGGAGGCGGCGACGTCGTTCTCGGCGCGCTGCTGCTCGCGTTCGCGCTGGAGGGCCTGGCGAATGTGCTGCAGGCGGGCAGGCAAGTTCGCCGAGTCCTGGTCAGAAGCCGACTGGGTGGCGGGCGGGAAGTCAAAGTTATAACGTGGAGCGGACATGGTGGTGGTGAACAAAGGGACCAGGATGGGGCGCGCGTCATGTCACAGGCCTGCGAGGCCGGGGCGCGTGCAGGCGTGCAGGCGTGCAGGCGTGCAGGTGCGGGCGTGCGAGCAGATTCGGCGTCTCTGGGGCCAGACGGGTTGGGAATCGTGCAGGCCCAGAAGGGGAAGGAGCGACAGGGCGGGAGTGGAGAAACTGGGGGGGAGTCGAGGAGGCAGTTTTGGTGGCCACGGACGTCGTCAGTTGGGCGGCCCCGCCTATCTGGGCCCTAGGGAAGGTGCACGGAGCGTCGATCCGCGCCACGCGAACCGAGCCCGGCGTAGCGCCCGTCGCCGGTGCGGCTCTCAGGCACCGCTGCCACTCTCTGCTGCCGCCGCCAACCTTCTATATCGCCAGCCCGCCGCAGCAATCCAGCAATCCTCCGCCCTCCTGGACCTGCCGCCATGGAGACGGCTGCCGCCCCCGCCATGACAGACCCCGTCGCGTCCGGGCCCTCGGTCACCCTGCCCGTGCACAACGGCACCATACCTGCCGACGACCCGGCCGGCGAAGTGGTGGCCTCGATTGCCCAGGCCCAGGCCATCAGCCCAGGTACCCTCTCGCCCATTGTCGTCCCCCGCCCGGGCCCTGTTCCGCTCTGCTTTCGCTCCCAATCCGCCTCTTCGTTGGCGCCAGCCCACCCATTCGCTGCGTGCCCGTTGTCTGATCCACCGCCAACCGCTGTCTCGCGCTTTTCCGCAAATGACGTTGCCGCACGAGTCGTATCCATGCGCCTGCTGACGTGACTTGCAGATGAGATTGCACTCTACGACAGGCAGATTCGCCTCTGGGGCGTCCAAGCTCAGGAAAGGTGAGAGCGCGTGCTGCTCCTCCAGACTGCATTGCGCTGATTCTCCCAGGCTCCGCTCTGCAAACGTGCTTCTCATCACGGTCAAGGCCCTTGCCAACGAAGTCGCAAAGAACCTCGTCCTCGCCGGCATCAAGTCCCTCACCATCTTGGACCATGAGGCCGTCACTGAAGATGATCTCGGCTCCCAGTTCTTCATTTCTGAGGCCGACGTAGGCCAGAACGTAAGTTGATTGATCGCAGACGCTCGCCACCCGCTGACACGCCATAGCGCGCCGCAGCTGCTGCCCCGCAGATTCAGAAGCTCAACCCCCGTGTTGACATTATCGTGGACACCTCCGACATCAGCACCAAAGTGCCCGAATTCTACCAGCCTTTCGACCTTGTGATCGCGACCGACCTGGACTTTACCACGCTTTCCACCGTCGACGCTTCGACCAGGTTGGCGCAAAAGCCCTTCTACGCTGCCGGCACCCAAGGCATGTATGGTTACATCTTCGCAGACCTCATCCAGCACGAGTATGTCATTGAGCGCGAGAAGTCCAACGTCGCCACAGCCCTCAGGCAGGAATCTGCAACACGCTCCCTCATCGCCTTTTCAGACAAGGGCGTTGAGAACGGGAAGCGCGTGGAACTCGTCACCAAGCGCGAGATGTATTCTCCTCTCCTTCTTGCGAACACATCTCCTCTCCCACCGGAGTACCAGGGCAACCGTCGCAAGCTCCGACAGGTCACGCCGCTCCTCACGTGTTTCCGTGCGCTGTGGGAGTTCCAGAAGGTCAATGGAAGGAGTCCCTCGCACATACCCGCCGATCTGCAGCTCTTCACGACTCAAGCGACCGAGAAGCACAAGGAGCTGCAGCTGCCAATCGAGACGCTGACCAGCGAGTTCCTGCGCAAGTTCCTACAGGATCTTGGTAGCGAGCTGGCGCCGGTCACAGCCTTCATCGGTGGCCAGCTGGCCCAGGATTCCATCAACGTCATCGGCCGGCGGGAGCAGCCCATCCAAAACCTGATGCTCTTTGATGGCGACGAGTCCAAGGCGCCGGTCTATGCCATGCACCCCATATTCACCACGTGATGACGTCATAGTGGCAAAGAGTGGCATATCGGCGTTTGGGAATTTGGGTGGCATACTTGAGCGTGGAGGAGAAAACTTGTATGAGGACGAAGTTGGAACATTGACCAAGATACTCCCTAGACAGTTGATTTTGGTCAGGCAGGTGAAGATCTCACCGAGTAATAGAAGCTATCGCGGGGCAACGATGCCCTCAAAACTGTTCCAAAGTCCAATTGAAATCAGTAGGCAAGACATGTGATGCTCAGGAGATGCCAACGCGCTGGGCTCTAGTAGTCAGGTCTGTTGGCTGTGTTCTCATGATTATTAGTGCTTGAAGTACGGAACAAAAAAGGCAGCACCCCGCCGGCCCGCAGCCCAGTCGTGCCGATCAAGATACACCCCGCACATGCAACCCTGGCCCACCACACAACCACCAACCACTGCAACCCAACTCCCACCAGGAGAAATGCCCTCTTACTCTCTGCTACCAGATTGAGCTCAGCCTCCAACTCAAGAACACTGCCGACGACAACCAAAAAGAAAGAAAAAAAATACACATATCAAAGACCTCATCACCAACCATGGCCACAGCAACCGAGACAACGACAACACCGGCCACCCCCACCACCACCACCACCACCCCTCCAAACATCCCCCCACCCTCAGCCCTCCGCGCCGCCCTCTCCCGCGACGGCTTCGTCCACATCCCCTCCCTCCTCCCCGCCTCCCAAATCTCCGCCCTCCGCGCCGCCGCCACCAGCCTCACCGCCGCCGCCCGCCGCGGCGACTGGCCGCACATCCGCACCCTGCCCAAACAGTTCCCACCATGGCCCTCCACGCCGGGCGCCGACGGCATCTGGGGCGTGCAGCACCTGCTGCACCCGTCCGTGAACGCGCTGCTGCACGGCGGCTGCGGGGGCGGCGCTGTTGCCAGTACCACGACATTCGCCGAGTCGTACTTTGGCGACGCGGTGACGGGCGTGTGCAAAGCGCTGCTGCAGGTGGACGCGGAGGATGATGATGGCGATGGCGATGGCGATGCGGAGCTCGTCATGGAGCTGTACAACATGCTCGTGCGGCCGGACCGCGACTTCGAGCTGCGCTGGCACCGCGACGACATCGGGCCCGACGTCGGGCCGGAGGAGGAGCTGGCGCGGCTGACGGCTGCCAACGGCGGCGGAGCCCCGCTGCATGCGCAGTGGAACTTGGCGCTGTTCGAGGACCGCAGTCTGGTGGTCGTGCCGGGGAGTCATCGGCGGGCGCGGACGGAGGCGGAGAGGGGGGCGGCGCCGTACGCGGCCGAGTTGCCCGGGATGCAGGTCGTGGTGATGCAGCCGGGGGATTGCGTGTTTTATGATAACAACATCTTGCATCGGGGCGTGTATGACAAGGAGAGGGAGCGGATGACGCTGCATGGGAGCGTGGGGCTGGCGAGGGGCGGCAAGGAGAGGGCGAGGAACGTGTTGCAGCATGGGGTTGGGGAGTGGGTTGGGGAGTGCGACTTCTCCGGGCTGCCCGATGGTATCAGGCAGAGGGCGGAGGGGATGAGGGAGAGGTTGGTCAAGATGGGGAGCGATGCGGGGGATGTGGGTTATTTCTCCAAGGACGAGTGAGCTTTGGGCTTTGAGTTGGCCTTGCGTCGGGCCAGCTACGATCTCGACTGCGGTCTGGGATGGGAAAATAGCGTTGAACAGTATGAGTCTCTCGCAAGTAGACGGGAGGCGGAATAAAAAGTACGAGTTGAGGTAGCTACTCTATTCGTGGCTCTAGAAAACCGGGAATCTACATTATATGTTCGTCAATGGCTATCGCTCGCTAGTTACATGAACATCCTTGTCTCTACTGGCTCTTCTTAACGCCAGCAGCCACGGGCTTGCCTCGCCCAAAGCCGGCATTCTTGACCACACCACCCAATTTCATCAACAACCATGCAGTCGCCAGCACAACCGCAGCCACAGTCCCGTACTCAACATACCAGGCCCGATCCAGGTCCAACACGGGCACCTTCAGTGTCTCGACCAACCCGCCCTCGCCCGCTCCACCGTCCTTCGCCGGTGGCACGTGGTAGAACATGGCCCTGTTCCCGAATAGCCCTTCGTAGCCGAGGTTGGTGCGGTCGAAAGGGTTCACGTTCATCTTGGAGCCTTCCTCGGCCGGGCACGTCCAGAAGACGGTGGGCCAGGGCAACGAGGCGTTGACGAGGCCGGAGCTGTTGGCAGAAGGCGGGAGGTAGCGCAGGTGCAAGGGGATAGTGGCCTCGAAGCTGGTATCGTCGTCGACTGAGTCGGAGACGGCAGCGTCGGCGCTCGGGGGAGCTGGATCCGGGTCGTCGGGGTGCGGGACGGGGTGAGCGAGCTCGAAGAGGGCGACGCTGCCCCATTGAGGGACCACCCAGTCGGGGGCCTCGAGATCGGTGGCGCCGGCGTGGGCGAAAATGTTGCGGAGATTGTGGGAGGCTAAGTAAAGTGGGTCGGAGAACTGGTATTTGTCGAGGAAGAAGGTAGAGGGGAGAGTCACGTAGGCGTGCAAGAGACACGAAGGCCCGGGCGGGGTGAGAGTCTTCTTGGGTTGAGGAAATGAAAGCTTGAGGGTAGGGTGCAGGCCGGTCGGTTCGTTGAATGTAGTATAGTAGGTGGGATGGACGGGGTGTGCGGTTGAGGGAAGAGGGTGGTGGCGAGAGGGGAAGGAGAAAAGTGTAGGTTCTGAAGCGTGTCAGTGATGCACAATGGATTTCCAAGCGGAAACGGAGGACACACTAGCTTTTGTGTCGTCGCCGACAACGGTGAGGAAGCCGGAAAGAGACAGCTCTTCAGGCTCGAGCGGAACTTCGTTGTTCAAGACGCCAACTTCCATGGTGTCGGCCTTCCCGCGGGAGATTTCTTCGTTCCATAAACCTCCCTCGGTAGGCCCCTCGGCCCAGAAGGCGTTGATGATCAGAGCGTTGGAGATGGCATCAAAATCAAAATCTACGTAGCTTGCAGACAACAGAGACGACGCCTTTGCCTTGCAGTCGTCGGCAGTGCAGAATTTCTCCGAGACGTAGCTGACGAGACTCTGCAAAGACGGAAGAAGGCTGTGATATTGACTGGATGCAGACATAGAGAAGCGTTCGGAAAGGATGGGAACGCCAATGAAGGTGTCCTGGGAAGCATGGCTTAGCACCCGGGCAGTGTCGTTTAGTTGGGCGGGAGAATACGAACCGACGGGGTTTCGCAATCCAACTCATGGCCGAAGGTCGTCTTCAAGGCCGAACAGAGGCCATCTCTAGTGAGGGGTAAGCACAGCAACATGTGACACGGGACGCAGGTGGCATACGCTCTCTTGCCTTTGCGCGGCGTGAAATAGGCATGGAGGCCGGGAGAAACACGGGAAACGTAGGGCGGAGTCGAGGTGTAAGGTTGCGACGTAGCCCAGCGGATATGCAGCTCGTGGGTTTGTTTGAGAACGGGAAGGAGCTGCAGCGTTGTTCAGCAAAGCACGGCGGCGAGGGAGCATAGGCATGGCTACCTCTGGCGGGAGCTCGGACAAGCCGAGAGTGAGCCGGTGTTCCTTGGCAGCTTTGAGCGGGGGAACCGCCAGGCTATGTTTGCTGACTGTGAGCCTGGCGGGATCAAAGGCGTCCTCGCCCACATGGAGCAAATACGTTATCCTCTCCTTCATGTTGGGTGGTGTTGTGTGGAGAGGTCCGATGACCAGGTGGTCGCAATAAGGACCAGGGCCAACTGCGCCGACGCGCCATTCCGCCTGTGGCCTAGCGCCCTGGAGCTCCCATGCCGATCGCTGGTCGCCGCTCGCAAGCTTCAATGCCTTTTGTTTCGTTGCCTGCTTCGCCCCGCCACCGTGTCCTCTGACGCCACTGCCGCCCGCTTGGCTACTTATGTAGCTGCCCACGAGGCCCCTCTCCTTGCTTGAGGAAGAGACCACCGAATTCACCATGCATCTGGCGCGCCTTCTTGCCCCAGCGTTCCTGGCTCTGACAGCCTGCGGAACCGCCGAAGCTGCGAGGAACCCGAAAAACAGCGTCCTCCTCTCCAACGTCAAGTCCCTCACTCTCCGAAATGGCCAAAAGACCTCTGCTCGCCGCGTGTCGCCCATTCCGCAGGTACATGCGCCCCTCCCATGGCACTCGCCGCACCCGCTAATCCAACCCGGCAGCTCACTTGCATCGGCGGCGACGCGAAGGGCTTGTACGAAGTCGACGTGATGCGCTGCAAGAATGCAGGCGCCGACTATGACGACGAGAACATCCAGTGGACTTGCCAAGCCTCCCTCCCCGAAGAGTTCAAGCTCGGCTCTACCGACGTCGTTTGCGAAGGTTACGATTCGCCCGACGACCCGTACATCCTGAAAGGCAGCTGCGGTGTCGAGTACCGCCTGATGCTAACGTCAAAGGGGCTGGATAAGTATGGACACCGCAAGGGTAGCTGGGGGGGCGGGGGTGGATCATCGGGAGGCGACGACGTCAGCCAGGGCATCTCGGTTCTTTTCTGGCTCATCTTCCTCGGAGTCGTCATCTGGATGCTCTTCAAAGCGTGCGTCGTCGGCGGCGGCAATTCGAGGGACCCTAATACTTGGACCGGACCGCGCTTCGATGGAGGTGGAGGCGGTGGTGGGGGAGGTTGGGGCGGCCCTGGCGATGACGACCCTCCACCGCCTTATACCCCGCGTTCTCCATACAACTACGGGCGCAAGTCGTACCCCAGCACCAATGCAGACAACCAAGGGTGGCGGCCTGGGTTCTGGTCCGGCGCACTTGGAGGTGCTGCTGCTGGTTATTATGCGGGTAACCGTGGCAACCGGGGGGACTCGACACGGGGAGGCGGTTTGTGGGGGAACAACGCGGGAGAAGGATCATCTGGGACCTACAGAGGACCTTCATCGCCGTCTCCAAGCACCACGAGGCACGAGAGTACGGGCTTTGGAGACACAAGGCGAAGATGAGCCAGATGTGTCAGCTCAACCGTGCTCAATTTCAGTAATACAAGTAGTTTCATTGTATAAGGAGTATTTTGTCTGTGAAAGAAATCTCCCTGCAGCTCATCCTGGGTAGTAGAAAAGTGAAGGGTTTTATTCCCCAACCCATGTCGTGTGTAAGCCGTCACTCGCTCTGGAATCATTTGCAATCTTGCCTGAAGCTTCACCAAATTCACGCTCCCTCTTTCTCTGCCAGCCATGGCAAGTCTTTCGTCCCAACGTCCATGCACGTAAGGTACGGGATCCCGTAGAGTTCGGGATCGAGCATGAGGTTATTGGCGCAGAGCTTCTCCACCACTTTCGATGCAAACTTCTTCAGGGTGCGGAGATCCTCTGCCAAGTCTTCCCAATCGCTGCCGAGAACCTCATAAACTTCCTTCGCCTCCTTCAAAACTGCGTCGTATTCCAGGTATTCGTCTCCGCCGCGGTGAATCCGGCGAAGCAGCGAACCTATGCCAAGCGGAGAGGTAGTACTGGAAGTAGACGACGTCTCTCTTCTGTGACGGACAGTTCCTGGTGCTCTTCTCTCAGTCTTGTCGAGCTCTATCGCCAGCCAGTCTCTGAACAGCGCGACAGCTATCCACGTCTCGAGCTGAGCGCCCATGGTCACCGGTTTGCCATCCACGTGTATGGTTAACCGAAGCAGCTCTCCTATAACCTTCTCCTGCGCATGCATGAGGTTCTCATGCTTCTTTTTGATCTTGGTCATTAGAGCAGGTTGAATCGTCCTGGTGTCTAGCTTCGTATATTTGCTCAATGATCCAACGAGATGCACATATGCCTCCGTGTATATGGACTCGTTTTCCAAGGGTATGGAGAGATTGATCCATCGGCAGGGATCACGGGCGATAGCTTCGAAGAGCCCACGCCTGTACTGAGAGAAGACATTGCCGAGGTGTGGTCGGATGCTCGGGAGACATCCCTGCGCACGGAACACTGAAACGAGCACCTCTGCCCGGAACAGACTATGTTGAACCGTGACGGTCGTGCTAAGGCGTAGAGGCAAGCCGTACAAATGACGAAAGAGGTTGTCGTAGGCCGAGCAGATCTCTGACTGGGTGCGGGCACTCAAGTTCCCAGGACATTGAGACGTATCCCAGCCTTCTTGCTCCTCAACCTTGATTTGAGTGGCAACACTGTTATCTCCACTCGGAGTTGGAGATGCGGCCCAGGAATTCCGATCGCGACAACTGACAACTCGTGTCATTGCGTCCTCCGGAATAAGGTTCAGGGCGCGGGAAACCAAGAGCGGCATTGTGGGAGGCTGTTGGGGTTCAGCCAGGGTCAAGTGGAATTTGATGCCGTCGGGAGTTTCCACCTCCCGAGCCAGGTCGTCCTCGATTGTCAAGGCCTTTTTGATTTTCGCCGAACCCTTGGCAAGAGTACCGCTGTGCAAGCGCCAAACATGCAGTCTTTTAGAATCCTTCAAAGTGACGATAACGTCGCCATCGTTGAAGCAAGGAAATACACCCTTTGTTGGCTCTTCGGAAGCCAAGTCGTCCGTGAAGGATATAGTACGCTGGCGCTTCCTTGGATGGGATTCTTCATGCAGCTGCTGGTCGGCTAGAATCATGTCTGATGGCGAGCCTGTGAGTGTCTCTTCCTCAGTGGCCATGACAGCAGCAATGGTCTGATGGTCAGTAGATGGTCGCGTTGATTGGGTATGCGTGTCAAGGTGAGACAGATGTGCGAATTTCGACTGTAAGTTGGAAAAGGTGTTGGTGGAGTGAAAAGTAGTTGACGGTCACCGGCCCTCCAAGTCAGGCTGTTACGTTGAAAGGGCTGGGGCGAGATTCTGAGGAGGTAAACGGGTGATGTGTTGAGCTACTCGAGAGAAAGCACTAAGTACTCCTCTTGGTCATCGCGCTTTCCAACAACGTCTGTAAAAATGTTTGAGTGTTGGATGGTGCGGGAAAGAGGGTGATGTCCTTATCAGTTTGATTTGGACCCTGAAGGCGAGCTCGTCTTGTGCCACGCATGTATGCAGGGTCGATTCGCTGTTGCTGCAAACTCACATCACTATCGACGTTTCCAATGGCCTTTCCCACAGTAGTATCAGATTTCGATGCTAAGTGAACAGACCGCGTGTACATCAGACATGAAAGGACTCGAGCTCGAGCCTTGTCATACCAGATAGGAAATGGCAGGCGAATTGTGGGTGCATTGCTCACACTGATGCGGGTACGGCTAAGAGTATTTGGGAGGAAAGCATCGTTGTATCGACGATGAATCGACTGCGAATGCAACTGCCGCTTCCGTGTAGCACCGACGCTGTTGTAGACGGAGCTACCATTATAAGCCTGACCCTTCTATCTCCGCAACAAAGATCCCCCGTGTCAGTTGTGCACAGTAAATTGGGGTAAAGTTCAGATTAGGGCGTTATTTGTGGCGACATATGTTCTGGACTCGCTCGTACCGTTCCCAGTGGCAAATAAGGTGGGGTACGTCGCATTCAGCCCCAACCGCCAGGTTGCCATGGTGAGATGAGCCGTCGGAGCTGACTCAAGGGCCTGTCGGGAGCCTTTGTCCCGCAGGGTTGGCGCAGCAAGTCCCTCGGCATTCCGATACGCACTTGGATCCCAGCCCCGAGCTTAGAAAGAAATCACGAATAGACGTTGGACGCGTCGGTCTGGACGGAATGCCCTGCTGGCGACGATGGTAACAACAAAAGGCACAGTACGAGGGAATCGATCATCTGGAGCATGATGCAAGCCTGCGCAAATTGGCCTTGTGAGGTAGGGTCCCTGTCGATCCATGCATCGCTCGAGAAAGAAGATTGAAAGCGTGGTGATGTCAGGTGGTTGCCGGGCCAACGGTTTGTTTGCGGTTGCAACTTTTTTGGCGGGCCGCACCGCCGGGGGCGCCTGCCATAAAGTCTCCGCCGCAGACAGCTCTCCTCGCAGACCCAACACACGCTTCCCCGCCGTCCACTCTGCTCCAATTCAATCCACTGCATACTAGCCAAGCTACTACTCTACCACCGCATCCACAATGTCTGCCAACGTCCTCGCCCAACGCGACGCCAACCAGCAGCTCGGTCAGTCCGTCGACGATGCCAAGCCCAAGTCGCTAGAGTACCACCGTCAGATGCTCGAGTCGCGCCTCAAGAGCGGCCAGTAAGTTCTCGCCTTCCCCCAATGACGAGGCCGATCCGACGATGTTAAAGGGTGGACCCTCCCGCCAGAATCGACGAGCAGAAGTACGTCTCGCCCTCCGACGGCATCCAATCGCCCGCCACCCAGAAGCTTGCCGCCTTCAAGAACAAGCACGGTCTTCAGAAGTAAGCCGCCACTGCTCTTCCCTTCGTCCTGTCCCAGTCTCGCTGACGATTGCTCCACAGGTCCAAGCCCAAGACCCTCTTCGGCAAGATGAGCGCCCGTAACATGGAGAACGCCGCCAACGGCCCTGCCATGTTCGCCGACATTCCCCAGAAGAACGCCCAGGCCACCAACACCCAGTCGTCGTAGTCTCATGTTGCATCTCCACTTGCTGCGTGCGACTAACACTACTCGATGACATTTCCTGGCACGCGCACCCACTTCTCCCAGGCGACGTGGCTGGGGAGGCCGGCTGCGCCGTGTCGCTGTAATACTATACACTTGGGTCTGGGCTGGGTTGGATGGTCAATGGTTATTTTCTGGCGCTATGATACCCGGACACGAAATTCTGGGATGGGGTCGCCCATCAACCACTGGGGTTTTTATGGGGCATTGGCGCATTGGATTTTTCTTTTCTTTTCTGGCATACACAGATAGCCACAATCACAGTCAGATGTACGAAATTGACAAGTCTTCTCTTCACGTTGGATGCTGTGCTGCAAAGCCGGAGATCCGCCGCTGCCGCGGTGTTGAGCTTCCCCGCGTGGCGTGCGACGCCCACCCCACTCTCTACCCACGGCCATGCCGCCTTCATGGACCTTCACGATAGCGACCAGCAACATCTCCGGGATGAGATAGCTGACCTCGAGCGTCGCCTCAAGCATGCGAAAAGCCAATTGAAAGCCCCGCCGTCGCCCAGCGACTCGGGCACTCTATCCGTCTCCACGGCCTCCGAGCGCGCTCTGACGCCGCCACCGAGTCAAGCCAGCGATGCCGGCATGTCGCCTACATTCACCCCTCTGAGTATGCATGGTACTGACGTGTTGCTGCAGCGCTCCACACGCTCCTCCTGCTAGCCGACTCGGCCTTGCCACTGGGATCGTTCGCCTTCAGCAGCGGTCTGGAATCGTACCTCGCCCACCACCGGCCTTCGACGGCGTCGACCTCGCAAGTGCCGGCCTTCCACCACTTCCTACGCCTCTCCCTCCACACCCTCGCCAGCACCGCCCTGCCGTACGTCCTCGCCGGCCACCGCAGCCCACACCTCATCGAGACGCTCGACAACGACCTCGACGCCAGCACGCCCTGCACCGTCGCCCGCCGCGCCAGCGTCGCCCAGGGCCGCGCCCTCCTCGCCGTGTGGGACCGCAGCTTCAAGAGCGCCTACCAACAGCCGCCGCAGCAATTCTCCTCCTCGTCGCCATCATCATCATCATCAGCCAGCGACGACGCCCTCGCCGCCCTCGCCCGCTTCCAAGCCGCGCTCCGCGCCGGAACGCGCTCCTCACCACTGCCGCCGCTGCTGCCGCCGCCAAACGCCCACTTCGCGCCGCTCTGGGGCCTACTCACGCGCGTGCTCGGCGTCGAGCCGCACGAGGCGGCGTACCTGTTCCTGTTCTCGCACGCGCGCACCGTGACGTCGGCGGCGGTGCGGGCGAGCGTGCTGGGGCCGTACCAGGCGCAGGCGGTGCTGGCGGACGCCGGGCTGAGGGAGCGGGTGGGCGGGCTGGTCAAGGCGTTTTGGGACACCCCGGTCGAGGATGCGGGGCAGAGCGTGCCGGTGATGGATCTGTGGGTGGGGAGGCATGAGAAGCTGTATAGTCGCATTTTCAATTCGTAGACGTATGGACCGTTGGGGGTGGATGGGTGCTAGTGCTAGTGCTACCTGGCTAGATGGTTGTTGTGGATTGTTGATATTCGAGATTCGTAGACTAATGTCTCTTCTCCTGCAGTTCTGCGAGTTGCTCAATGATCGTTGATGGTCGAAGCTGTGCAAGGCGTGGGCATTGCCGACGAATTTGCCGTATCTGTTCTCCACACTGACGGAGTGGGCTGCAGAAGCAACTTACCGATTATCAATCAAGACAGCGAGCCCGAATTCACACTGACAGAGTGGGCTACAAAAGCAATCTAGCAATTATCAATCAAGGCAGCGGGTCTTAATTACGTGGCTAGCATTTGCTTTTTCGTCTTCCGCGAGTCAGGAAGGGTACACATTCCGTACTCGTAGGTACAGCACAACAACCGTCGACCTGACTTCCATGACGTCCATTTGCGGAAGCCCGGTTATAACCGACCCGATTCACGCGCGTTCAAACACACTGACGTAACAAACGATGTGGAAATCAAAAGTGGCCCATGACTCTTGCCGATCCATACAACCCTGTGCAACGTCAAACCGACAATGACTACAGTCTTAACCAAATTGGGTCCGCCAACAGGGCAAGATGAGGGAATCAACATGACTGCCTCGCGGCCCCCAGCTGCATGTGCTGGCACCGTCATTCTTGCAGGCAGTGTCGGCTCAGATGGTAGCCGAGCCCATTGGCGGTCCATGGCGCTTACATTGCATACGACGGAGCTTCGCCCTACCAGCCGCTGGCGAATGGGATTTGTTGCACGAAAGCCAAAGGTCGACGGACCCCGCACTTCCCCAGCCAGCCCTCCTGACCAAAGAGGAATATCGGCACAAGCCCTCTCCCTGAATGCGTCATGCGTCATCCAATCGCAACTTTCCTTGCACACACTCCTGACGAAAGCGCCTTCTTATCGACGTCTTTGGACAAAAGTGGTCATATATGGTGCATACAGGCCCTCGGCAAGCTGAGGACGCAGCTTGCCGTGCAGGGGCCCGCAACCGTTGCTTTTTCCTGATAACCAATCCATGGCATGTGCCTTCGCTGGGGGGTGAAAACACGCTATTTAAGGGCTGGCCGTGCAGGATTCTAGCGCCAGTCAGTAATTCTCTATTTTGTTGAAGAAGTGTTTTGCACGAGTAGTCTGTCTTCAATCATGACGGCCGAGGAATCCATCTCGACCGCTTGGTCGCTCCTGAAATCCTACTGGGTTCCTTTGTTACTTGCTCTCATCGCTGTTCGCCTGCTGCGCAACAAGTTCAGAGCCGGTCTGAGCGGCATTCCTGGCCCTCCTGTTGCTGCGTATACCGGGCTCTGGCGCTTCTTCGACGTCGCCAAGGGACAAGCGCACTGGACGCACATCAACCTGCACAAGAAGTACGGACCCCTCGTGAGGATCGGGCCCAACCATGTATCGGTCGGAGACCCCGCGGAGATACCAAACATCTATGGCTTGAACAAGGGGTATACGAAGGTATGTATCCTTGGCACGACTTCGTGCAATTAATGCTGACAGTTCCCAGTCTGGCTTCTACCCTATTCAAAGCATCAGCTGGCACAAGAAACCGCAGATGAACATATTCTCCACGCGGGATGAGAAATACCACCGCGACCAGAAACGGCCCATCGCAAACGCCTACAGTCTGACCTCGCTGCTGGTCAAGGAAGACGCGGTCGATTCATGCTCGAAACTGTTCATGGAGCAGCTCGGATCGTTTGTCGACCTGAACAAGCCCGTCGACCTTGGGCAATGGCTGCAGTACTACGCCTTCGACGTCATCGGCGAGATCAGCTTCGCGAGGAAGCTGGGCTTCCTGCAGGCAGGCACCGACGTCGACGGCATGATGGAGACGATCGCCGGCATTCTTGTAAGTGGGCACCCGCGACTCCTTACCTTTCAAACCCCCAGTCGAACAGTACAGCTAAACATTTCCCCAACCAAAAACCCAGGTCTACGCCTCCCTCTGCGGCCAGCTCCCCGAATGGCACCCCTTCCTCCTCGGCAACCCGCTCTTCCCCATACTCATCCCCTCGATGGAGTCCTGGAACTCGGTCCTAACCTTCACCCTCAAAGCCGTCAACACCGTCCTCAGCACGTCGTCATCGTCGTCCTCCTCCCCAACCGACGAGAAAAAAGAAGCCTCCTCCCCCTCCTCCTCCTCCTCCCCCCTCCTCGAGCGCGACGGCGACCTCTCCCCCGCCGCGCTCTCCGCCCTCGACGCGCGCGGCGACATGCTCTCGCGGTGGTCGGCGCTGCGCCTCGCCGACCCGCCGCGCCTGACGACGCGCGACATGGTCGTGCACCTCTCGACCAACGTCTTTGCCGGGTCCGACACGACCGCCATCGCGCTGCGCGCCATCCTGTACTTTTTGCTCAAGAACCCGCGCACGCTGCGGAAGCTCGTCGCCGAGATCGACGGCGCTGCTGACGCGGGACTGCTGGTGCGGAGGCGGGGCAAGGAGAGTGGCGATGACTATGGCGATGGCGATGGCGATGACGCCGCTGTGGGATACCGCGAGGCGGTGGCGCATCTGCCGTACCTGGAGGCGGTGGCCAAGGAGGCGATGCGGCTGCATCCGAGCGTGGGGCTGGGGCTGGAGCGCGTGGTGCCGCCGCAGGGGGCCGAGGTGTGCGGGCGGTGGATCCCGGGCGGGACCGTCGTCGGGGTGAATGCGTGGGTGGTGCAGCACGACGGGGCCGTGTTCGAGGAGCCCGAGCGGTTCCGGCCGGAGCGCTGGCTCGACGCGGGCGACGAGGAGAGGCGGCGGATGGAGGCGAGTTTTTTGGCGTTCGGGGCGGGCAGCAGGACGTGTTTGGGGAAGCACATTTCGATGATGGAGATGATGAAGGTGGTGCCGCAGCTGCTGCGCGAGTTTGAGGTCGAGCTGGAGGGCGGCAATGAGAGTCGCGAGTGGAAGGTGAAGAACAGGTGGTTTGTGCAGCAGGAGGGGTTGATCTGCACGCTGAGGAGGAGGGACAGGAAGGGAGAGAAGGGTCGGGCGTGAGGATTCAATGTACATACAAAGGTCGCAGCGGTGGGATCGCGGGAAGGACCGCTGAATACAACGCCTGCGTTTCATCTCTAGTTTGCCCGTCTACATACCTGTACCGACCATTAGAAGCCTGACGGAACCCCCGGCTTCAATCCTGGTCTCGGCTCATCTCGCCTCCCAGTCGCAAAAGCACGAATCTTGCTTCGACAAGCACCCCATCGAATGTCCCATTCCACGCTACCGTGACGGCAATGTTAACATATGTATGTACAACCAACGTCAGTAGAAGAATGTAGAGACAGGGTATCGAGCTGGGCGATGTGGCAGGGACGGCGTTGCTAGATACGAGGGAGCGTGTTTCTCGGTTCAGAGGATGAGGCGGTACGGAATGTAGTAGTGCAAGACCGTTGTAGCAAATCCACGCGCCTGGCATGAGCTGCTGTCGATTCACTCTGCAGCATCGAGTCAACGCCATTGCCTTTTTTGAGCCTGATGCGAGCTGGAGTCGTGTCGATGGTTGATGGCCCGTCGTGGAGGTGCCGCAGCCACGCATCCAGCAACCCACGGCCCAGCACAGGCTTTCATTGTTCCAGGCAAACCAAGTCTTGGCGTGCGACAGAAAGCATGATGGGCACGGCGGCGATTTGCGGCAGGTAAGGCGAGCGCGAGGTGGTTTTAGAGTTGGTGCAAGGGAAAGTGGCGCGTCTCGGTCGTATTCGGGCAGATCGAACGAACGCCAGGGTTTCGCTTTCAGCCAATCAGCGTCGTCCATTGCGAGGATGCTCGACATCAAGAAAGTAGCCCGTCAACCAAGTTGTTCGATCTCTTCCCTCTGAGCCTGCGTCGAGTGTCCGCTGGGCTGCGGCGTGCTGGCCGCTCTCCAGACGGTCCGTCGGGCTCCTCGCAGCCGTTCGTCGGCGGGCTCGTGCGGGCTTCTGTCCAATTGCACAGATGTTAATCGGCGTTGCTGGGTAAATGTTTTATTTTTTGAGGCCTTGCGGTGTTGGTTCTCTTGCCCAAAGCCTCCGGGGTGCTGCCGGACCCGAACCTGAGGCATCAGGCTACGTGTTTGCTTGCAGAGCAGCGCTCACGGCGAAGTGTTCCCAGCAAAGCTGCCCTCGCTATCTGTTGGCTTATGGAAAGGCGGGCTCGGTCTCTGCTCGCGCTGTCTGGGAGAGGCACACGGGATATCGGCTCGTGTAGGGTCTGGCGGTGCGTAGGTAGCTGTGTATGCCTCCATTGCCACAACGTCCCACCCAGCGCTTCCCTCGCGTGTCTGAGTGTCCAATGGCGGTATTATGCCTTCGCTGAGTCTCTCTCTCGATGGAATTGGGTCGCGGAGGCTTGTTCGGACGCGCCGCTGTCGCTGGCGGGCGGGCGGGCGGGCAGGCAGGCAGCAACCTGTAGCCTGTGGCCGGAGACACCTGCCAGGCCTCCAGGAGCTGGCCGCTTGGCCTCTGGGCGATAGTGAACCGATCCGACACCGTTCTCCCGTGGCGGGACACCGTATACGCGCTGTTCGACGTGTTTTTGGGTTGTTTACTGCAGATTGTACAGCCGTCTGCGCCTTCCAAAACACCTCCCAGCACGCGCCAACGCGCCTGCTGCGCGACTTGCAGAAGCCAGAGCAACCATCAGACAAGGTCCCCGAAGCAATTAGCAACCGCTTCTGGGTCTACAGGCCATACTCTGCGAGGGCCCTTTCGCCCACCCGCCCGCCGCCAGCCTCTTCACTCGCCGCCCGAGCGCCCTCCAGCCCTTACCGCCCGTCCAATGTGGGAAAGTCTGGCTCGAATGTGGGAAAGTATGCCCTCTCTTTCGCCCAAGAGACCTTAGTGCCTTCAGTACGGCCAGGCAGTATATAAGATCTCGCCCTTCGCCAGCTCTTCTTCTTCTCTTCTTCACCCATCACCATCAGCACCAGCCCAGCCCACCAACACCCACCACCACCGCCATCCACCCCCTGCTCAACACCACCACCACCCCTCTCACCACCACTTTCCACACCCTTCTCAACACCACCCCCTTCCATCACCACCGCTCACCCCCTTCCGCTCCACCCACCCCTTTTATAAGTTCTTTTACTAACTTATATTTTTTTTAACAGGCACAATGGGTTGCTACGCTTCCCGTCCTTCCTCCCGCCCCTGCCCTCCCTGCGGCTCGTCGCCCCCCGAGTCGCCCTACCCGATCGCTCCCTCCGCGAACCGTCCGCCCCCCGCTCGTTCCTCGATCGCTCGCTCCGCCGCCGTCCCCGACGCCGCCGCTCGTTCCCCCCGGCCTGCTGGATACCAGTCAGGTCAGTACGTCACCATTCTTTCATATTCTCCAACACTCGTTTCTTCTCCCCCTCCTCCCGCCCCTCGCCCTCCCCGCCACGTTCATTTTAAATCCAACATTCGCTTCCCCTTCACTTCCCGCAAGTAGTTTTCTCTCTTTTCCTCTTCAGTCTTTTCTGTTTTCCTAGCGTCCCGGCGTTCTGGCGTTCTGGTGTTCTGGCGTTCAGGTACTAATCCTGTTTGTTTCTTGTTTTTCTCTTGGCTTTGTTTGCTTTTCTTCCCTTTTGGCGTTCTGGCGTTCGGGTACTAATCCCGTTTCCTTCGTGTTTTTTTCCTTGCTTCCTTTCCCTTTGGCGTTTTGGTGTTTTGGCGTTCAGGTACTAATCCTGTTTGTTTCTTGTTTTCCACTTGTCTTTTTTGGCTTTGGCGTCTCGGCGTTCGGGTACTATTCCCGTTTCCTTCGTGTTTTTCCTGTCTTTTCTTTGGGTCTGGGGGCTTGGGTCTTGGAGTCCTGGCGTTCGGGTACTATTCCCGTTTCCTTCGTGCTTTTCTCTGTTTTTCTTTACTCTGGCGTTCTGGCGTTCTGGCGTTCGGGTACTATTCCCGTTTCCTTCGTGCTTTGCTCTTTTGGGCTTGTTTGTTCTCTTTTCCCCTTTCCTTCGTCTTTCTTCTACACACTCACTGTACCATAACTCTCATTCTTCCTTTGCACTTGCACCTTCACTGTTTTATACCCCTCGTTTTCCTTCTTGCACCTTCACTTGGCGTTTTGTACTCTCTTTTAGCGTTGTTAGATACCCTCTTTCTTTTACCAGCACTATACCCCTTCTCTTTTGGGCGTTCCGTTTCACTCCTCTTGCACTTTCACTTTCACTATATAGAAAAAAAACAAAAAAAACAGAAAAAACAAAAAACAAAAAAAATTTAAAAAAAAGAAAAGAACTGGGGAGGGGTTGGGAGGTTGAGGCTATCTGGGCAAACAGAGCCCTGGGCTATACTCCGGAAGGGTTGGGTGAGGTGTGGGTACTGGGTAGATAGTGGAATGAATAACGGCGCTCGGCCCTGGTGTCCTTGTGGCATGGGTCTGGCTGCTGATTTTCTTCCGAACTCTTTCTCGTGCATGTGGTGATATGTGACGTGTTTGATACTCCCAATCTTGAAGCTCGTCTCACTCGTACAATGCAATGACTGAAACTCCAGAGATGAAACACAAGTGTGAGCCCGTGGAGCTTCCACTTGCTGATGAAGCCCTCCCTTGCGTGTTGCATTGCCCATTGATCAACTGTGATGGTTCCGTGGTGTTTCATCAGTATACGAGTGTGTCATCATCATAGTTTGGCGTGGTGTTGACTTATCCTGCTTCGAGGAACTTTCATGTGAGTCTTCAATGTTGAACCACGAACAAGTAAGGGCAGTAGATGCAAAGACCTAGACACAGATACGTAGCAACAATGGACAGAACTTGGCTATACTCTACTGCTAGCGTCTCGTCATGTGCAAAATGAAGGCGTCTATGTAGTGTACGAAGGCTGAACTCCCCTGTAGCCCGCGGTTGTCCATGCCACGTAGCAAAAGATCATCCACGACTCCACGCTTCGTGCAAAAGTCCCAAACATCCAACATTTACCCAACAACCAAGCCCAAAATCACCATCCAATCCGCCTCATCCGGTGCTCTTTTCGCGACCGACACCGCCAGTCTGCTCTTGCTGATCACCTCTGCCCCGTTCCGAGACGTGTGGACCGTCATGTTAAACGGCCGCTTCTTTGCTGCACCCTGAAAATGTGCCCAGCGGTCGCGCCGGCGTTGCGGGCATTGCAGGGCCTGGCGAGGCTCGCTGGGTGCCGTCTGGGTGTGCTTGGTAGGCTTCTCTGGCGGCTCGTTTGGTGCGACCGTGCTTTTGAGGCTTCCTCGCGGTGACTGCCTGAAATCTTCGCCAACTGTGCCTTGTGCCCTCGAACCCTTTAATTCTCTGGCGTCATGGACTGCTGCCGTGCATCGACCGGGTGCCGCTGGTCGACGTTAAGGAACGATGCGCGCGCGTCATTGTGTGCGTAGGGTAGCGCCTTCTCTAGCAATATCGTAGGCTGCTGCTGCTGTGGGCGGGCTGAGCAGATGCCCGAGTTCTGCCTTCTCTTCTACCCACTCAGATGCCATCTTTTTTTTTTTCTCTCGTGGAAGTGGTTCTTGAAGACTGGTTCCAGGTTGGTGCCTCGTACGATGACATTATCCCTCTACAAGGTTTTCATCTCTCTAGGCGGGCGTGCCCTTTGAAATATAGCACCAAGGCGGAGTCGTGGGGGCAACTTCTCATAAAGATACGCCTCATTTGCCGATCGGCATGCTCTACCACAACGTGCTCACATGGCTCAACTTTACAGGTGATTTGCAAATCTAGTGCCATTGGGGCTGGAAGGTATATACGGTAAATACCCCGTCCATCTACCAGGAACGCTTCCGCACCCCCAGCCCCACTGTAGTGAAAGATAGCGTCAGTCAGGGTATCTGTCCATTTTGAACCTACCACTTGCACCTGCGCCGTATATCTACAGTATCATTACAAACTCGGGAGGGTATTCTTCTCATTTTTCCCATGAAGTCCTGCCCATTGGCATGTCCGTACCCGCCTTCCTCACCGGCTCCGCGTTGATCATCTCAAGCAGCTCCTCAGTCTGCTCGGGCGCGTCCTTCCTCCGACCGAAGCCCTTCCAGGACTCATCCACCAGATCCTGCTCCTTCTGCGCCCGCTCGTCCATCGCCTTACCGACGTCCAGCTTCTCGAACTCGAAGACGTTGGCCTTCATACCCACACCGTAGTACTGGTGCTTCTGCAGGAAAGCCAGCCACATCTTGACCGCCTCCGGGTCTCCGTCCTGGATCTGGATCAAGCGGCGCAGGGTGATGCGCTCGTAGTTCTCCTGCGACTTCTTGAAGACGAAGTTGGCGCGCGGCACCGTCCAGCGCTCGACGATGCGGGGCAGCGGGATGGGGCCCTTGGCCGCCAGGCCGAGGTAGTAGGCGGCGCGCAGCGCGAAGTCGGCGAAGAACTCGAGGTTGCGCACGCTGAAGGTGCGCAGCTGCAGGTCGCAGACGGGGATGCCATATTGTGCGGGGCGGCGGAGCGGCCGCTTGAAGATGGCTTCGATGTTGCGTGGCCGGCGGATGTCCTCCAGCGCCTTTTTTGTCTCGGTGGAAATGTCCGCGCTTGCGGGTTGGTCAGATTGAGGGGTGCTGTTGGAGTAGCGACGCGGCGGAGCTTGTCTTACATCTGTTCGGTTGGTGGCAGCCTCAGGCCGTGTTTCCTGGGATGGGTCAGCAAGGCGTTGTGGGATTGCGCGGCCGGACACTTACTTTGCCGTATCTTCCACATCGATGTTGGATAACCTGAAGCCCTCGAGCGTGTTGTTGTAGAAGCGCTGGCACGGCACAGCCGTCGGCGGTGATATCTGGACGGCATGATTCAGCGCTGCTGGAGCCGAAGCGGTCACAAGAAAGCGCCAATGCTGACCTTGGCTCTCTTCAGGGCGCCAAAGGGCGACCTGACGTATGCGGGGGCAGCCATGGCGGGGAGGGCGGGTGGTTGGATGCTCGCGAAGTCGTGCGAACTTGGGTCTTGGATCGCGGTGATCCGCACAATTTCCATCTCACCGCCCGCGCCCGCCAGCAAGGGAAAAGTCGTTGCCGCGAACCTCCGTCCGGTTCCCGCACCGCAACGTCAGCCTCCCGAACCCTCTCCTAACATCCCAGTCCAAACTCCGTTCCCGCCCCAAATTCCGCCGCCTGTAAAACACGTTGTGTTCGCGCCCCATCTCCCGATAACCCACCTATCATCGCGAATTCTGCCCGCGCTGTAGAGTGACCGACGCTCCTGTGAACGGCGCAGTAACCACCCACATCCCAGCTCCGATAAAGCTCCCAAACGCTCTCGCGCAGAGCTTCCCACGACCTGCGCGAGCACGACGTTTCGTTCTTAGATAAAAATCGCCCACCATGTCATACGAAGCGCAACCCCCACCCACTGCGAACGACGGCGGCTCAGGTTACATCAACTCCTCAGTCATGGACATGCTGTTAATCGAGCTGGTACCCATGGCTTATCGTATGGCCGCCGAGCTAGCCGCGCGGGAGGATGAGTACGTGACGCCTGGCAACCCAACTGTTACATCAGGGCGACGGTCATCCGCTGTGACAGCAACGAATGGCGGGACGCCCAAGAGCGGGACTACTCCAAGGATACCTGAGGGCGCCGCCGTGGGCAGCGCGGAGGAGGAAGATTATAAGGATGCGGTACTATATCGCTTGGAGACGTTGGGCTATCGCGTGGGCTTGGGCATAACTGAGCGGTATGTCCTCTATTTTGCTGCTTGATTGGGCGAAGCTTGGGGAGGCTGGCACGGCTGGGGTACAGCATGAAGTCCACAAGCAAGAGCACATGCGACTGAGGCTTGAGCACAACAGGGAGGATACCCGCTGGATCAACGTCTAGCCTGTCTCCTCTTGAAAATGCTCTCATGTTACGTTAGCCCGTGTATATGCATCGCCGCTCTCCGTACTCGGTCAAGCTCGCGGAAGCCGGATCAACACCTTTGGCACTCATGGTAGAATATCCGCACTAACATTTTCACAGCTTCTCTCGCGACAAACCTCGCTTCAGCGAAACCCTCGACGTCATAAAATTTCTCTGCAAAGACCTTTGGACCCTCGTCTTTCGCAAGCAAATCGACAACCTGAAGACCAATCATCGTGGCATCTACGTTCTCACCGACCAACACTTCAAACCTCTCACCAAGATGAGCCTGGAAAGGGGGACCGGCGACAACATTATAACCGCAAAAGCCCAACCGGTAAGCTGCAATCCCTTCTGCCCTCTCCCTAGCCACCAATGGTCTTTCCTTGAAGACGATAAGAAAGTCGTGAGGGGCCTAGATCGGACCGCGTGCTGACAGAAACGATTTCGGACCAGTTCCTCTACTTCCCCGCCGGCCTCATCCGCGGCGCACTCGCCAGCATGGGCATTATCGCGACCGTTACGGCGGAGTCGACCGGCCTCCCTGGCGCAACATTCCAGATTCGCACTCAAGGCGCCAAGTCATAGTCGCCGATTATCTTCTTCTTCTTCGTCTCCTCCAGAGCATAGTGCCGTCCCTCCAGGAAAATGACGGTGCAAAATTTGACGGGAAAAAAACTTCAAGAACACGGTCAATCGCGTTCTTTGACATGATAATTAATAGCAGCAGCAGCAGCAGCAGCAGCAGCAGCGGGAGTGGCAGCAGCAGACGAAGCGATAGACAGCTACTGGTAGCTTCCATCGCGGTGATGTCACCTCGGCCCGCGGCCGCGAAATCCGCTCGTCCGAACTGCCCGGCCGCAATCACTCACTCACTCTCACTCTCCAACGAAAGCTCGGTTCGCTCAGTATTATTGCAACAAAAAGGCAAAACAAAAACTTGCAGCAACATGGTTGGGGTCGGGAAGAGTCTTTTGAAGCGATTTTTTTTCCATAGAAGAGACGGTGAATGTGCGATAGTCTCTCCAACGACAATAACAACAAGGAAAAAAAAAAAGAAAGCTTCAATCGTCTTTCTCCGACCGTGTTGTAATAATACTAAGCGAACCGACCTTGATCCTCACTCATCCTGCTCCTCCCGCTCCCGCTCCCGCCGCCCCCCCTCGCTCAAACCCACCGAAAAATGCTTGAGGACGAAGAATCAGAGACGCAATGGCCAAGAACGAAATCGAGGCGGAAAATGTCTTCAACCGACGGACGGACGGACAGCTGCTGCAGCACTCACGCATGCAGACATGGAAGGAGGGGAGGAGGGAGATGATGCGCGGGGGCCAAAGGGCTAGACCGGGAGATCTCGGAAGGCGTGGGGAGCGGGACATGCAGCGAGAACACACGAAAAGACCGCAAGTGTGGAGCAAAATTTGATTCGCATTGGGGCGAGTGGCTCTCAGGCCACACTCGGGCGCGCTGGCCCCGGAGTCTTTGCGGCGCGTACTTCCGTCTTCTATATAAAGGGCGGAGGGGGGGAAGCTCCCGTGGGGTTGAATGTCTTGCAACCGTGACTTTTCTCCTCCCCCACAGCGCCGGCGTTTATACCTCCCCACACTTTCCCCTCGGACTTGACGGGAATGTTTGCTTTCACTTTCTTCTTTTCATTCCAATGACTCTGTACTGTTATTGCTAAACATACCCTCAACCGCGAATAGAGTAGCACGTCGCCAGTACTATCCTCAAAGAGGGCGAGGTGCCTTTACAATTGATTTCCATTTCATGTTCATAACCAGATCGCACTCGGCGTGCTAATCATACTCTCAGGATATTGGTCTCCTTATAGATGCCCCCCATAGTCGCATCTTCCTTGCACGGTCTTCGCTTCCCTGTCACACCGAAATTCGTTTGAGTAGGTTGTGTCAACTCACAACCTATCTGCCCGGAAAATCAGCTCCCATACATTAGCAATTCTAGGGTTTTCCAAGAGGGGTAATCGCTTTCAACTCGACACTCTGCCGGTTTCCAGAGCCCGCCCACTCTCAAAAGGAACCACCAAAGAATCGCAAGAGGGGGCTGGCACTCACTTGGGAGGAGGGTTGGCGATGAACTCGACACCCTTGTCGATGTTGGTCTTCAGGCCACTGTACGCAACCTGGAGCAGCTTCTTCTCATAGTCGTTGGCCTTGCTGACCACGTCGATGATCCTCTTGGCACCATCGGGCTACACGCAAAGTCACTATCATCTCATCATGAGAGAAGTTTAATGGGTCCACTTACACCAAGCTCGACCGGAGCAGCGAAGAACTCAGTGCCGGTCACCTTAGCAATAGCATCGCCGCCCTCGACGCCAGGGAGGTAGACGAAGGTGGGCTCAACGATGCCACTCTGGCCCTTGACGGCCTGGATGATCTGCTGGGCGAAGCTAGAGCCGAGTCAATACGGGCTGCGATACGAGAAAACAAGCGACATCTTACTGGAAACCGGCAAAAGCCATGGAAAGAGTGGCGGATCCGGCACCATCCTTGGCCTTCACGACCTCATCACCACCGAACTGGACACCTGCACGCCATATCAGCTGATTGCCCATCACAATTACGTAAATAACTTACGGTTGACGAGAGCGTCGAGCTTGTCAGCAGGAATGCTAACGCTAGGGCTGGCCTGCGTGAAGAGCGGGACAATGGTCTCGCCAGAGTGGCCACCGACAACGGGGATGGTCAGGTTCTGGGGGCTCTTCTCGCCGATGATCTCGGCGACGAAGGTCTTGGCGCGGACGACGTCGAGGGTGGTGACACCGAAGAGCTTCTTGGGGTTGAACTTGCCGGCGCGCTTCAGCACCTCGGCGGCGATGGGCACGGTGGAGTTCACAGGGTTGGAGATGACGAGGATGAAGGCATCCGGGGCGTGCTCAGCAACGCCCTGGATGAGGTCACGCACGATTCCGGCGTTGATCTTGAAAAGATCATCACGGGTCATGCCAGGCTTGCCTAAAACAATGTCAGTCTCATGGTTGCCCCACAATTCGGGTTCCGCGACTCCTTACGGGGAATGCCAGCCGGAATGACGATGATGTCGGCGCCAGTGAAGGCCTTCTTCATGCCATCGTCCTTGGGCAGGTAGCCAGTGGTTTTCTAACTCCAGCGTAAGCGTTCTGTCTGTGTGGGGGCGGGGAATGGCGGACGTACGGCAGGCGTGGCGATGTGAGACAAGTCAGTCGCGACGCCGGGCGTGTTGACGACATCGTAGAGAGCGAGCTCGTCAATGAGCGGGGAAGCCTTCAGAAGAAGCGACAGAGGCTGTGCGGAGCGAGGTCAGCGACGCGAAATGCTATCAGATGCAGGTACGCTCACCTGGCCAATACCGCCAGAGGCACCAGCGACGACTGTGAGGGTCAGCTTGCAAGCTCTGCGCGGGTCGCACGGAAGCTCAGAGGAGCCCCACCTGCTTTCACCATATTGTCGGTCGTGAGGGTCTGCGGAGAGCTTAATTGGAGGGCGGGTTAGCTTCGAGGCGGGTGAGGGCGAGGCACTTGTGAAGGAGGATGGTTTGTGAAGAGTTGAGGAGCGTGGAGCTTCGGGAAGGGTTTGTGGAGGGACTGGAGTCGGAGAGTAGATCCCGAGCGACTTTGTCTGTTGGAATGGAGGGGTTCTGAAGCACGGACGGCGGGGAAACCGCGAGACCCCTGGCTGCAACCAACCAACGGGATGGACGAGATTGGCAAGATGGGGGGGTCGGGGAACACCAACTTGGGTAATCGTAGCTTGAACTCTGTTCGCTCTTGTCTGAATGCTTGTGGATCAATGCAGCCCACAACCACGCTCGCGCGGCTTGCTTGAGCTATATACCCTCGCCCGCCCTCACACGCACGTCATCGAGCGCATGTGTAGGCCCGCGAATGCCTCGGCGAAGCTCGCGGGGCTGCCACTCCTCGGAATGATTCGGGCACGCCGGCAATGTGCCTGCATTTCACGGGCTAGCATGCTGAGCAGAAAGCAATCTTGACCGCCTTACAGAGATGGAAACGCCTGCCCCCTCTACGCCGACCTGCCGGCTGGACTTCCCGATGCCCGACCTTCCTACCGAAAGCAAACCCGCCGTCCCTATGCTTTGCACAGACCCTGCGTTCGGGGTTGCAAGTTGCAAGCCAAGTAAACGTAAACAAGAGAACCGCATGCCGCCTGGATGCAAACCGAAAGTTCCAGTCTCGCTCCTCGCAAACAGCAATCATTAGACGGGCCGCACACATACACAAAACAGCTACGAAATATACGTGACATGAAGCCGGAGCACACACTACGCCACGTAGTCTTCCCTGTCCCCCTCAGCATCAGCATCGCCCTCACCCGGGTCGTGTGCCCCATAGGTGTGGCTCGGATCCCCGGCCCCAGTCGGGTCTGGGGCCCGTTGGCCGCCGACAGAGTACATCTGCTGGAAGGGCAGTCAGAAGACGTCTGGACAAGGCATCATGGCCGATTTACCTGTTGCGGCATCTGGTAGCCTCCGTACATGGACGGGTCAAACATCTGCTGGGTGGGTTGCCCGTACGCCGCAGGGTCGTTCTGCACCGGCGGCGCGAACATGCCCTGCTGCTGAGCGCGGTAGTCTGGCTCCTGCATGTGTTGCGCCATGCCATAGTCTGGCGGCGCCATGGGGTGCGGCGGCGGATGCATTCCCGTCTGTTGCTGGACGGCGCCGGGCTGCGCCTGCGTGTTTGCTGATGCCGCCGCCGCGCTGCTCTGCGCGCCGCTCCGCTTGTGCGACGACGCCTCCTCCCGCGGCACAATGTCGATCAGGAAGTCGAACATGTCCGACTTGGCGAGGGCCGACGCAATGTCCGAGCGCTGCAGCGTCCTGCGCTTGTTTTCCTCCGCGTGTATCCAGGCGCGCATCGTCAGCTCCGTGATGAAGATGTCACAGCCCTTGGCGAACAGTATGGGAGCTTCGGCCGAGATCATCTTGACCTCGGGATCAGCTTTCATGACCTTCTTTATCCGCGCCAGCGGCAGTTGGTGGAGCTTGTAGTCATGTTCGTCTGTCTCGAGCTTCGTGACCTGCTGCTGCCAGTAGGTGTTGAGGATGTCGCGGTATTGACCGTTGAGGCCTTGGTTGACCTGGAATCAGGTCAGACGTGTAACTCGCACATGGGAAGAAGGGGGGCTATGTGTACGTTTGCCCATTGACCCGAGAAGACTTGCGGATCCGGAGCATGTCCCTGCGCGGCTATCTGAACCAAAGAATCAGCTAATGAGCTCGGCCAGAGCTGGTGGAAGCCCGGGATAAGGCAGATGGAGGACGTACGCTGGCACTTGCACCTGTAGGATCGCATGTCAGCAAGAGTCGCGTGTTTGATGGCCGCGAGCCGGGCCGTTTGCCTGTCGGCGTGGCCGGGAAAGCTTGAATTGGGTGCGGGAGCAATAGCTGCGACTTACCATAGTGGCCGCCATTCGAGGGTTCGTAGAGCGGGTTGCCGTTCTGGCCGTCGTAGCGACGAGGCGCAGAGTTCTGGCGCAGCTTCTGCTGCTGGCCATGGCCTTGGAGACTTGTGGGATCCATGGCTAGGGTGGGTGGGCACACGATTGCGGCAAGGCTCGTCGCATGCGCAGCGGGGAGAAGCGTCTGCGGGTCTCTGAAGATGCAAGTGCAGGGCAGGCGCGTCTGGCTCGAATTGATTCGCCGGGGAAGTGGAGTTGCGCGGTGATGGAGAGACGATGTGTGGGTGTTGCAGGCGCGCGCGGAGCCGTCAGAGATGCGGTGACGCCAAAAGTTGGCACAAAAGAAACGGAAGTGGGGAAGGCAAGCCGACGATCGGAGGCACCAGAATTCGCGCGCTTGCTGGGCGGCAATGCGGGCGCTGCTTTGCGCGATGTTGACGGCGTACGGTTGGAGGTGTTTACTGCTGCTCTCTCTGGCGCACGCGTTGGCTGCTGCTCAAGGCTCAAGCTCGTCCCTGGTGTGGAGCGGGCGGCCAGCGAATCGGGTGCGGCTGGGGCTGGGGGAGCTGCGAGGCCGACGAACCACGGGCGCGCTACGTGCGCGATCTCCTAGCCGCAACACTTGGTTCCCGCGGGGACTTTGGGGAGCTGGGGACTGGGGACGGGGGACGGGGGACGGGGGACGGGGGACTGGCAAACCGGGAGCTGGCTGGCTGGCTGGCGCGTTGGGGCTGCCTGTGAGACTCCGGCCCTACGCGGGTGACGTCTGCGGTAGGCGGATCTGGGAGGCTGGTAGCGGCACCAACAGTCTGTGATGGCACCGGCTGGCGTCTGGGCAATTGGGGCAGAGATCGCCCACGGCAGCACGCGCTGCTACTTAAGCTCGCGCGAGCCGCTCCGCCGTGCCGGCGTCAACAAGACAACTCAGCCATGCCGCTCAAATCACTATCACACCTGCCATGTTGACGGAGAAAGGCAGGGCGAAACAGGCAATGTGCTTCTCTCAGCCTCGACGGATCCCCAGGGCCGCGGCTCACTGGCTCGTGGGGGCTGGAGGCACAGCTTCACGGCGCCCCCCGCACGCTGATTCGACGCGCCTCCTGCATGCTCAGGCTCTGCGATGCGTTGGCCTGGCTTGAAAATTTTGCATGTCATCATTCGAGAGGGCTAGACTGCTTCAACGGCCTCGCGAATCGAGGATCACTGCGATGCAGAGGGACGCGGTGGAGTGATGGCGATCGTTCAGAGATGGCTGCATGTGCTGGTGCTGTCGAGGGCGCGGAGCTCTGGCCTCATCCAAGCGACGACCGGGAACCGGTTGCCTGCCGCGCCCCCGCCTAAACCCCGGCCTCGGCGCGCCCAATTTTCCGCGCCGCCGAGGACGCGTTTTCGCTGCGAGGCGTCGGCTCTGAACTTTTTTTTTTCGCGATCCCTCACATGCACCCGTCCGCCCAACATGGACGTGCCAACGCATCCCGTCACCCATGGCCTCGCGGAGGATGACGAGCTCTCCGACGAGCAGATCGAGATGCTGCTGAAGCAGGCTGAGGTCAGAGCGCGTGAGAAGGACACGTCGAGCTCGCTGGTGCAGATTCCATCTGCCGCCGACTACACGCTACCCAGGCTCGCAACCCCCGGCCTTCCTGCTCTGTACGTCCAGACCGAGGGCGACGTTGCCCGCGCGGATCCATCCCGCCTGCTTGATGACCAGCAGCGCGCATTGGCAAACCACATCCGGAAGGTCGAGGATCCCGTCGCCGTCAAGAAGAAGAAGATTGAGGTACGTCACACTCGCCCACGCAACCCCGCCTATGAGGAAAATATTCCCAATTTTCTCCTTGAGCAGACACGATTGTCCGTCTTGGACTTTCCCTGCACCAATGAGAGCTATATTCATAGTTACTCTGACGGCACACCTTCTGAACCGCATTGATATCGACGTTTGTTGTCCGGCATATACTGATATCGGGCGTTTCATAGGAGAAGAAGGCTACCGCTGGAGAGCAGTGGTTCAACATGCCCAAGACAGACCTCACCCCGGAGCTGAAGAGAGACCTCCAACTATTGAAGATGCGCAACGTGCTTGATCCCCACCGTCATTACAAGAAGGAGAACAGCAAGGACTTTGTCCCCGAATATTCGCAGGTCGGTACCATTATCGAGGGCCCCACCGAGTACTACAGCGCCCGTCTGCAAAAGAAGGAACGCAAGAAGACCTTCGTCGAAGAGGTGCTCGACCGGGAGAAGAACTCGGGCAGGTTCGAGAAGAAGTACGGCGAGATTCAGTCGAAGAAGACGAGCGGCAAAAAGGCCCACTACAAGGCTCTGCAGGCCATGAGAAAGTCTGGCAAGATTTCCAAGGGTTGAGGCTGGTGACTGTTGATGTTCCCACGTCACTCAGGTTACACTACGCACCACACTACATGCGGGTATGCCGGCCCATGAATGCCGGCTCCCCAGTGGTTGTCTAATTACAGCCTTACCCGCAGCGCACCAGCTACGGCATTCACTGCAGCTAACTGCACGTCTGACGTTAAGCACATCGGGGGTAACCCCTGCGTCGTGAGGCCCCTGCCTGATCCCGCTCGCCGGAGACATCCAAAGCTAGTGGGGTGCAAATCACCGAGCGCTTGTTGCATAGTCCCCAGCCATATTTGCTATTCTATGCAGCGCCAAGATCAGATAGAACCTGCTTCACCAGCTCCTGAAACGGAGCGTCAGCACAGCTGAAACAATATTAGTGCCACCTCATCGGGGGTTGAGGCTTACCTGCATGTCCTTCGCTGCCTCTTTGCCAGCTTCGAGAACTTCTTCGTGATTCGCCTTGCCTTTGCTCAAGTAGGCCTCCAGTTCAGCCTTGTTCATGTCTTGGATGATTGGGTCGTCGCCCCGAGGACCAGCCTCGAGCACGGCCTTGTTGGTAACCAAGCTGAACGCAAGAACCCTGATGCCGCAGTGCCTCGCAACGACAATCTCAGGCACCGTCGACATGCCCACGACATCGGCGCCCATGGTGCGCAACAAGCGACACTCGGCTCGCGTTTCATAACTGCGATTTTTCGTACGCCCATGCCGTCAGCCCATGAACGTGTAATTCCGCCGTGTTAATAATGTCCAGACGCTTGCAAGGGCTTATCCTGCCTCCCGCCCCCCCTCTCTTTTTTACGCCATGCAGACAGACTTTCATTTGACTTACCTGGGGCCGGTGACGAAGGCATACGTGCCCTCGTGCAGGTTCCGGGGGGTCTTGTCGAGGCCGAGCTTCTTCCAGGCCTTGTGCACGCGCTGGCGCAGCTCGAGGTCGTAGGCGTCGGAGAGGGGCGGGAAACGAGGGCCGAACTCGTCGGCGTTGGGGCCACGGAGGGAGTGGAAACCGGCGAGGCCGACGAAGTTGAGGTGCTGCAGTTGGGTTTTGTGTTGTCAGGTTTTTTTGTTTTTTTTTCTTCTCTTGCACGCCTGCAGATGACTTGGCCAGTTGTATTTTGCGGTTTACACTGGGCAAGCGGAGGGATGGGATGGGGGTAGTTGTACTGCGTGCAAACAGACGGGGTTGCTTACGTCGTTCAGGCACACGATGTCGCCGACGGAGTATTCGGGGTTGAGGCCACCGGCGGCGTTGGTGACTTTAGTTTCATGGGGATGTTAGACACGCACAGATATATCCCCGGCGCCACTATCTGTGGCCCAGATAGATAAACACAGGGGGAAATAACGCACCGATCATTGTTTCCACGCCGAGGACTTTGCACACGCGGGTAGCAAAGGTGACCATGTCCATGGCGTGGCCCTCGTAGAAGTGGGCACGGCCAACGAGCAGAACGACGGGCAGCTTCGCGGGCCCAATCAAGCCAAAGATGAGCTTGCCCGCATGACCAGCGACTATACTTTCCAACATTCCGCATCAATATATGTTTTTTTTTCTCCCCCATCCTCTCTCTCCACGCGGAAGGCCGTATTCTTGCTCCTCAAAAATGGCTTTTTCTTGGGCAGTTCCGACAGGGACTCGGTATGTAGGCCTCGAGCTACAAGGGGACATTTTACGCACCGGTGCTCTGAGGAAAGTTGGGGATGTTGGCGTAGGGCGTCGCGTAAACGGGCTCCTTGTGGATTGTTTCGGCCAAGCCACCGAGGCCAGAACCGCAGACGATGGCGACCTTGGGGCTGTTCAGCTCGGCGGGCACGTTCGCCTTGAGGAACTCGGCAGTCTCGATGGCGCGCTTGTACACGCTGGCAGGAGCGGCAATGAGGTTGTCGGAGGACATGGCGGGGGAGCTAGCTGATGGCGGGGTAGGCGGCGGGGTGGATTTCAAGGGTATTCTGGGGAGATGCGAGTGAGTGGCAGCAGGCCTCCTGTAGAAGAGGACGGTGAGGACTTTGGGGAGTCTTAAGAAGGCTGGCCAAGGCGCCGAGGTAAAGTGGCTAGCTAGTGCTGGAGCTGAGTCAATAAGGAAGGTGGGATGCGCGCCACGAGGTCCTGGTTCGGAGGAGACCGCCGCCCGCCGCATTGCAGCCACGCCGCCCGCCGGCCCTTTAGTCGTTGCCGCCACAAATGGCCCAGCAGTCGACCGCTGTAACACTTCACAACAGTCACAACAACAGACGTTTTCAGCCTTGTCATCGTTTAAACCCTTCTTTAATTTACTACGGTCTCTCTCTCTTTCTAAGAAAAAAAAAGTTTCTCATATCGGCATTATCCGTCAAACATCCTGCGTGACTACGGTCTCCCCAGCTATGGATGTGTCCATGTTGATGCATTCATGCAGAAAGGCTGCCACAGGTTCGTTTCCAAACCCCAACCTGGGCGGCCAGGGGGTCTTCTTCCTTCCATTGAACTTTGATGAGGACCGATGCCATTAAACATGGCAGGCCACATTGGGATATAGCAGATCTCCTACAAGACCAGCCTGTTAGCGTCGTGGAAACATGCAATTGGTATGGAGAAACTCACACCTTGCCCGCAAGGGCCTTCACACCCAGTCCACTGTTCCACCCACCCAAGCCACGCCATTAGCTCTTCAATCGCCATCCTCCATTCTCTCCCCGTACTCAAAGCGGAGTACTCGCTGAGATCATCGTTGTGCTTCTCTGGGTCCAGGTTGTAGTTCGACAGCCATTCATACTCCACCTGCAGTCCTACCTTGAAAATAACGCTGCATATGCTACCCAGGGTTTCGTCGACTGCCCAGGAGAGTATGTTCTCGCCGTCTGCAAGATCCGACATGCCCTCAGTGCCATATTGGTTTTGGCACCTTTCGATTGCTTCTTGCATGGCCGGAGAATCAAAGGCAAAGTCGAGTTTCAAAGACTCATTGGTGTAAGGTCCGCGCGGGTATTCCAGAAACGGCATCATGAACCAGTGCGTCAGCACACGAACTGATTCAAGCCAGTTGCGGACGGTAAGCCAGCGTTTCTCCGATGACTCGGGGATTTTTTCGAGGGTGTGGAGAAGGTTGCGAATATTCGCGCCGTAGTAAGTGACTATCTCCTGCGTCGTGAGTTGCCAATCGATCCCACTGCAGGAAGCATTGCGGGATTGTTCTCCGCCTTGAGCAACAGAGCGCATCCGCCGCTCGACGGCAGCTTTCATGTACTTTCCATCGCCCTGACTGACATGATTAGGCCGGTGTGAGCGCCTTCGCCTCAAAAGCTGCTCGAGCGCAACGGCTCGACTCTCAACATCTGCTGGGCTGTGCCACCTTCCGTCGGCGGAGATGTTCAGATTTGCGCGCTCGTCCTCGATACGCGCTCGGTCCTGATCTTCAAGGTCGGGGTCATAGAAGGTGAAAATACCGCAGGGATCGATTCTCGCGCGAGCTTCCCCACGCCCAGTGCCTGTCCCAGAACTGCCGCTGAAGCCGTACCGTCGGGCAGCGGCGGTAAACCACATCCAGTTCGCAACGCCGCGGAACGGTTCTCTAGGGTCAGTCATTCCCGGGCCATGTGGGCCTTCTTTAGAATCCGACTGGTGGACGTCTCCCGTCCTTTGCAGGGTGGTTTGGTCAACGGGTAGATTAAGTAGCTGCTCTTGCACGTACTCTTCGGTCGTGGTCTGCTGTCCCATATCGATCCGCGGCGCCGATACATTCAAGTTCGCCATGAGCCGTAGCGACGGCGAGTCGAAGTCGCACCATATGAGCTCGAAACCGGCGTTCATCCGCACGACACCCTCGAAGCCCCATCCTCGACCTCCGAGACCCTTCTCTTTGATCCACTTGCACAAGCCTTCGGCGCGGAGGTATTCATCATCCAAAGGATTCCAGTGCCCAAATGGGGGTCGTCCGTCCTCACGATTTCCCGGATCGCGGCGTCCCTCGTCTGGATGCGGGCCTCGGTGCCCTGGTGGTCCTCCTCTTCCCGGAGGTCCTCTTCCCGGAGGTCCTCTTCCCGGAGGTCCTCTGCCCGGTGGCCCCCTTCCTGGGGGCGGGCGAGACGGCACACTCTCGCTATCGCCAAACAGGAAAGTCATCTGCGATTCCACACCGTCGCTCATCAGGTTCGCCGACATGCCGTCAAAGTACAAGCACTTGACAGCGCGCGCGGTACGGTACGTCAGCATGCGTGAGTCCGACAGGCTGCCCATAATGCCGTAGGCCATTTCGACGTCGAAGGCCAGCCATTCCGGGCTTGCGGGCGAGTCCGCATCGTGCCGGCCGTGGTACAGGAGCGTGTGGGCGGGGATGTCGCAGGCGGCGATGGTGTGGCCGTTGGGGAAGAAGGTGTTGGACCATTGCTGGAGGAGGCCGTTGGTGGAGGAGAAGATGTAGGGTGCTGGGGATGAGAAGTTGAGGAACGGTGGTTGTGGTGATGGTGAAGCGAGATGGTGGGAGGTTGACGCCACTGATGGATGAAGCAGGGCGAAAGACGCCGCAACTGTCGTGGTAAGCCTCATGATGGGCTAATGCAGAGCGGTTCGGAGCATTTGAGCTTGAGTTAAGGTATGCGGATATCTGGGGACATGGCGTTGTATGTAGAGTCAGGTTTGCTATCGGTGACGCGTCATTCGCCAGATCTGGACTTGGTGCGTCGTGTGATGGCGCCAATCAGACGACTTGATTGAATCAGCACCCTGTCTCGAAGAAACCTTTGTTGTAGCTGATGGAAGCTTCCAATCCTCGTAGCAAGGTAGGTAGTGTTGTACACTTAGCCGATGTGGATCAACGTGCATTATGTTCAGCAAAGAAGGCTCCATGCGGACGCCACGATTTGACGGAAGGTCCCCACAATAAACCTAACTCGCACCGCTCCGTCCTCATCGCATGTGCAGGCCCTTCTCTTCATCCGACATGTTACGGTCGAAGGGGCCCGAGAGCTCTACCGGTTCGGCCTTGGTTGTTACAGGCAGTTCGTGCTTCAGTTGCCCTGGTCCTATTTCCACCCAGGCCTCGGTGGCGGAAGGCGCGTCGGACTGGCCCGGGGACACGCTTTGCTGTAATTGTTGCCGATAAGCTTGGAGGGCGGCCTGTTGTTCGCGGACGAGTGTCCGGCGCGGTCGGATCATGCAAAAGTAGAGCGGGAGCATCAGAATAAGAGCGAGCAGGGCGACGCCGCCAACGAGGCCGCCGGCAATTGCGCCGACGATGGCCTTGTTGTCGTCCGAATCCGAAGCGGATGGGCGAATGTAGGAGGTGCCGCCCAGTGTACACCAGTCGATGCTATAGAAGGCCCACGAAGAGTTGTAGCACGTCTCCACGTCGGCCAGGAAAGTTGATGCGTTCGGGGTGCAGATGTCTGTGCCGTCGTTGGCGTAGAGGGTGACTGCATCGGGTTAGCAGGGCGGAAGGGGCGAGGAGTGAGGAATGAGCAGTGTGACTTACCGGTGCAACCCTCATCCAAGCCGGTGATCATGAAGCTCGTAACCTGACCCTGGGCCTTGGTGCGGATGCTCGTACACGAGCCATTGGGATAGCCGTTTGGCCCGTCTGTCGCAAATCATCCCCGTTAGTGCGAGAGCTGCAGGCCAAGGAGCATGCGCTTACCCCACTCGTTAAACAGCTGGGTGCAGCTAGCGTCGGAAAAGGAAGAAACATAGCTTGTTGCCAACGCAAACTGCACCAGCAGCGCGAAGGCAAGCCAGCTGTGCGAGGGCAGCATGGTGGACGACGTGCGGAGGGAAAAGAGAGTGACAGCGGACCAGAGAAACAAAAGCACATGGCTTCGGAAACGACGCTGCCGTCGCCTCATCAGCCGCAGGTGTGGAGTGGACCTTTTTGGCATTTGGCGCAGGGGATCCATGGCTGCAAGCCTCCGCCCACAGCAGCCTACTGCAGGCTAACCTCATAGGTTGTTTCAGAAACCAGCACACACAAACACCAACCTCTAGCACTCTTTAGTCGCGCTGTCATTGGGCGACGCGCTGCCCTGCGCAAAACATGACGGTGGTGGGGAGGCATAGGGTGGACTCGTCTGCTGTTGGAGCGGTGGAGCGGTTGCGAGTGAAGGCGTATTGGGACCGAAGTCCCTCAAGTTTGCCCCCTGGCCGGTCCCATGGTACTATGTACGCAATCATGTCCGGCCGCCAAGTCGTCTGGTCCGGTGGGCAAAGGGCATCTGCGGTCTGGACTGATGCCCGGACAGCCTTTTATAATTAGCTTTTTCGCGTAGTGAAGAAGAAGAAGCGACGGTTGTCGCCGGGCTGCGTTCCGGCAGGTGCCACAAGCCTGTGACAAACACGGCACGTCATCTCCGCGACACGACCTCAGCGACCGATGCCTTCGTCGCACCTCGATTTCGCCAATGCAAGGCGCTACTCCATCATCCAGTCTTGTTCCTCGCCGGAGTTCAAACACTCCTTTGCGCAGAGTACTTCGAACCATGCTCAGCTTCACTCACTTTGGATAGCACATTTTGCACATATCCTCCGCTCGAAAGGATGTGTGGCGATTGATCCGTATGCATTCAATCCCTTGTCGGTCATTGGCAAATATATCGCGGACTACTTTGAAGATACTACGAGTGTTGAGTTGAGGGGGAAGTGGGCCTTTACGCATGGTACGAGTGACCAATTCGACAGCGATGGGAGTGGAGGAGGCCCGAAGCGTCGGATGATGATCCGTCTGAGGCTGTGAAGGTGTGAGGAAGCGTCTAATATGGAGCGTCGCTGATAATGTACAGGCATCCATCGTTGAATGCTTCACACAAGTCTCAATTCAGGGTCTTCATGGTTCATGTACATGGCCCAAAGCGACAGCAGATCATTTGCAACTTCGAACGTCTGCGTGTGGGTTTTTCCTGAGATACTATCAGATTGAGGGTATCTGGGTGGAGTGATTGTCTGGGTCCAAGTGTCTGTGGCGTATGCGGATCACCGGTTATGATACTTAACTTCACTTCTGGCAACCGATATTACTCCATTCCGGCAACTCCTCGTGTTCGAAACCCATCGCTGGCTTGTGCCATTAATGACTGTTGTTGCCGCTTGGAATCCACCATGGTGTCTGTTGGTCCCGCAATGCACTTCGGTCGACCATTCCATGCTGCTGAGGCACTGGACTAACGCCGCCTCACCGGATACCTGATTGAAAGATCTTCAAACAAATGGACCATCATTCTTGTGTTAGCCGGAAGGGCCGCGGCACTTGCTGTCATGGTGCTTTTCGTGGTGGTGCCTGGCAAATTTGGGTTCTATTGATCACTCAATCAGTTGCCCACATTATGGCCAGGATTGGCTCAAACATGAGACTTTCCATGGAAATTTCTTAGTCGAGTGTACATAATTGGGCCGATTATATAGCTTTGCGATACTGCACTGCACTGGGTTCTTGGTGGCACCCTGATATCACCTTTGTTTTTGTTTTTTTGACACATGCAGTCCTATTCCCGCTCAATAGCCATTCGTCTCTTCCCGCATCAGCTGCGCCAGGCGCTTGTGCAGCCTCGCAGCCTCCTCCAACATCTCAGCGATTTCATCATGCCGGCCACCACCCCGCGACTTCCTAGCCCTCGGCTGTTGCTGCTGTTGCTGCCGTGACCCCGTCATCTGGGAGCTGCTCAGAAACTGGGACTCGTCCGCATCGTAGCCGCTCTGCTCGCTGACTTCCCCCTCTTCTTCTTCTTCTTCGTCCTCCTCGGTCCACGCCTCCGACTCCTCGTCCCCATACGCGTCCTTGTCGGACCTCCGCTCGGCGCCGCGCACCTCCCAAAACTTCCACGCACTGACGCCCAAGCCGGACATGACGGCGGCGCCGGCGACGGCAACAAAGGAGATGAAGACGGCCTCGTTGTTGTCGCGGGCGGGCGTGTCGTCGAGGTCCTGGCGGTAGGCGAAGCCCAGGTACAGGGCCAGGCCGCCGAGGAAGAAGGCCACGGCCACGGTCAGGAACTTGTGCGGCATGGACATGAGCTGCAGCGCGGCGATGGAGACCTGCAGGCGGCGCCGGGCGCGGGGCGCGGTGCCGCGGAACTGCGGCGTCGACGCGAGGTGGTTGTGCTCGGCGCTGAGGCAGAAGCTGTCGCCCGTCTCGCCGATGCGCTCGTCGTAGCGCGGGCGGCACAGCCGGTGCGGCGGGTAGAAGCGTCCGTTGCTGAGCCACATGCGCACGCCCTCCGGGTTGGTGAGGGTGCCCAGGATCTGCTGCTGCACGGTGCCGAGGATGACGGCGAGGACGCCGAAGACGAGGCTGGCGATGATGCAGCCGGGGGCGGTCCAGTGCACGTGGCTCAGCCCCGGCATTTGGAGCGTGGTCGAGGAGAGCTGGGCGACGATGGCGGCCTGTGTGGTGGATATGTAAGTGTTTGGTGTCGTTGCTTGGTGGGGGCTTGACTTGACCTACCGTCGTGGACACGCTGCCCACGGCGCTCAGATGGCTGTCCTTGAAGGCCATGACGGATTTGTCGGTCGATTCCAGCGTGTCCTCCACCTTGCGCATCTCCCTCACGTCGACAATCAGGTCGGCGAGGAAACTCATGACTGAACCGAAGCGCCGACGCGCATACTCGCGGTCTCCAAGCTTGATTCCTCCGTGAGACCGCATGGTTGACGAGGGACGAGCGAGGATGAAGAGGATTTTTCTTCAGGTAGGCTGCTTTAACCAGCCCCCCGTGGCGGCGGTGCTAGGCAGGTAGGTCAGGCAGGGTTGTTTGCGCATGACCATCGGTAGGGCGTCAGCTGACGACGGTGGTATTAGACGGGATTCGCGAATGCGTGCAGCCTGACGTAGGCCAGGGACATTGGTTCGCGACATGGCCATCTCGCATGCATATTGACCATGCACAGTCGCCATTACCCAAGACGGAGAGTCGATCTGCCACGAGGTGCATCGCGCCGCTTAGTCACCCATCACGTGAGCCTGTATGCACTTGTGAGTGACTACTGCCAGGAGAGCTCAGTCTGCATCCTGGAATAATCCAATCGCGATGAGCATCCGACGACAGGAAACTTCTCCGTCCATGGTCAACATATGCGTATGCTGTAGGCTGAAGGTAGCGCTTAGGAGCGGGAGTTGTGGGATGTATATATACAAACCCATATCAACAACCAAAGCTCGGCTGATACGGACCGATGCCGCTGATCGCTTTGGTCTTCCGAGCGCCAAGAGTATGCAGCCCCATCCTTGAACTGCGGGGTGTCTTTGATTATCATTTATCTCGCTGCTCTTCACCTGCTTGCCGAGACCAGAGCCCATCGCTATGTCTGCAATGGTGGCAACCGCAAAACCCAAGGCACTTTGCCTGCGCCACCCCGAATGGGTCGCCGCCGAATATCTAGACAACTTCCGTGAGAAGTTCGAGCTGCATGTGCGTGTATCGTGCAATCGGATGGGGCGCAAGCTAATACATCGCAAGGTAATCGACGTCCCTGATCGAAAAGAGTGGTTCCGCAACATCGACCAGAAGGTCAAACAAAACGGCCCATTCCAAGCCATGGTGATCCGAATGGGGACCCATCCCTACGGCAATTTCGACCAGGCCTTCTTTGCACCGCTTCTCCCTGATCTCAAATGCGTCGCATCGGCCTCAGCGGGCTACAACGAGTTCAGCGTCGACTGGATGACCTCGCAAAACATCTGGTTCTGCAACACTGTCGATGCCGTCTCCGAAGCCACAGCCGACATGGCCATCTTCCTCATGCTCGCCGCCATACGCGACACCACCCGTGCCGAAAAGGCCGCTCGTGAGGGCAGGTGGCGCGCGAACCACGTGCCGAGTCGTGATCCCACGGGCCTGAAGCTGGGCATCATTGGAATGGGCGCCATCGGAAAGCACCTTGCGCGGAAAGCTGCCGTCTTCAATCTCGGCGTCCAATACCACAACCGCAGGCGCCTTTCAGAGCCGGAGGAAGCGACGTACAACGCAAGGTACTGCTCAACCTTGCAAACGCTGCTTGAGACCTCTGATGTTGTCTCGATCAGCGTGCCGCTGAACGCTGATACAACCGGCATGATTGGCGCAAGCGAGCTGGCGCTAATGAAGGACTCGAGCATCTTGATCAATACCTCTCGCGGTGCAGTTGTTGATGAACAGGCCCTGATCAACGCTTTGGAGTCCGGGAAGATCTGGAGAGCTGGTCTGGATGTCTTTTGCGGCGAACCCGAAATTCATCATTACTTCAGGGAGAGCGAGAAGGTCATAATCCAACCCCATTTGGGAGGACTCACCCAAATGAGCTTCAAGAAGGCGGAGAGAGAATGCTTTGAGAACATCAAGGCATTCTTCGAGACCGGACACCCGGTGGCGCCTGTGAATGTCTTGAAGGCCAAAGAAGCATAGATGTCGTCTTACAGGAAATGGTCAGCAAAGCCATGTGGAGCGTTGAAACCCTGCATTGCATTCGTTGCACTTGGGGGAAGGAATTGCACCCTGCTCTTCGTGCATCGTCATGTCATTAAATCTCCACCTCAGGATATCACGCTTTGACTTTGCCCAAACGCCGTCAGATGAACGCGTGCTCTCTTTTGCCTTTTCTTTACCTTTTCGACGTAAGCCAGGGCCTCAATCGCGCCACTTGACAAAGACCTCGTCTGTCCTGAATCTCTGAGTGCAAGTGGTGTCTTTGAAGGGCATCTTCACGCCCGACGCATGCGCCAACAAGCCGGCTTGAGCAATCATGATGCCGTTATCGATGCAGAAGCGCTCGTCGGTGGCATACACGCTGCCGCCGCGATCCCGTGCCATCAAGCCCATCATCTCCTGCAGCCGCTCGTTGCAACCAACGCCTCCGACGATCAACACCTGTGCGGAGCCCACGTGGGCCATCGCCCGCTCGGTGATCTCAACCAGCATCGCAAAGATGGTTTCTTGCAACGAAAAGCACAGGTCCGCGGCCGTGATCAACTCTCCGTCCTCCTCGCTGCGCAACCTCTGGTCCTCAGGCAAGTTCTCGCTGATCATGGCCGCCAACTCGTCCACTGACGACTTGACGCCAGAGAAGCTAACATCCATACCCTTGACCGTGTAGGGAAGCTCGACGAGGTGCTTACCCTTCTTGGCGAGCTGCTCGATGTTGTAGCCAGGCGCTGGGTCGTTGGGGATGCGCAGGGTGCGGGCGAAGCGGTCGAGGCAGTTGCCGATTGCGATGTCCAATGTCTCGCCGAAGATGCGGTAGCGCTGCGCCGCGTAGGCGATGACCTGCGTATTGCCGCCCGACACGTACAGCACGACCGGGTTCTCAGCACCGGTGATGGCGCGGCCCATCTCGATGTCTAATTTGTGCGCGAGCCCGTCAGCAACCGTCGGTCCTCATGGCGATTCCCGCCACACGCGGGAGTCTTGGACAATGGCATACGTCCTACACAGTGGTTGACGCCGATCAACTCCTTCCCCCACATCAGCGACAGCGTGCGCGCGGCGACGGCGACGCTCTGCAGTGGGGCGCCCATGCCGGGGCCTTTGGTGTAGCAAATGCAGTCCAGATCGTCGACCGTTACGCCGGCCTGGCGCATGGCCTGCTTGACCAGGCGCACCACCCAGGCGCGGTGGTGTTTGGCGACATCCTTGGGCAGAAAGCCTTCACCCGGCGGCGAGTTGTAGGTGTGGCGCAGGTTCGCCAGCACAATGGGCTCCTTGCCCGGGGCGGGATGCGAGATGATGCCGACACCAAGCTTGTTGGCGCTGCCTTCGAGACCGAGTGCGATCATGGTGCTGGCGTGCGTCGCGGCGGGGCACAAGGGCAGTGAGATGTTTGAGAAATGGTATCGATAAGATTGGCCCAAGCATGAGCTGGCGGGAACAATGGTGCGTCCGAGGCGTCCGAGGCGCTAGTGGGACGCTAGCCGGGCTTACTGCTCACTGTGCGTGCGTGCTGCTGCAGGAATATTGTCTCCCGCTTGTTGCAACCACTCACTTGTCGCCCCGCTCTCCGGCCACACTGCTGTCTCCAGCGTGCGCTTCACTCCCGGAGAAATGGCGCCCCAGGATGATTTCAAGGAAAGGTCGTCCGCTTTCATGCGCTGGCTCCCTTCCGCTTCCGCAACGGTCTCCGAGAAGGTCACACTGGACGACTTGAGGCACCGGGGTGCTGGCAGAGGCCTGGGTATGTCTATGCCCAGAGATCCACGGCCCCTCATGAGCACTCTCCGCTCTCTCGCCTCGTTTGACTCCACGTCCAGACGCTGACTTGCCACTCTTCAGTTGCCGTGCAGGACATCCAGGAGGGCGAGGTGCTCTTCGCCATCCCCCGCTCCGCAGTCCTTAGCGCTGCCAACTCCTCCCTGTCCACCACTCTACCCCAAATCTTTGAAGACTTGGACCCATGGAGCACGCTCATCGTCACCATGATATACGAGTATCTGCGTGGCGACGCCTCGCCATGGAAGCCTTACTTCGACCTCCTTCCGGCTCATTTCGACACCTTGATGTTCTGGTCCGACGACGAGCTGGCCGAGCTGCAGGCCAGCGCCGTTGTGCAAAAGATCGGCAAGGATTCAGCCAACGAGCTGTTCAACGGCACCATCATCCCCCTTCTTCGTCGCCACGCCAACGTCTTCTTCCCCGACCCAAATGTCGCCCAAGGGGTCACCGACGACGAGCTCCTGGCATTGGCCCACCGCATGGGCAGCACCATCATGGCCTACGCCTTCGACATTGAGCCCGACCAAGCACCCCAGGAGGTCGACGAGGACGGCTACGCCTCGGAAGAGGAGGACGAGGCTCTGCCTAAGGGCATGGTGCCCCTTGCTGACATGCTCAATGCCGACGCCGACCGCAACAACGCACGTCTCCACTACGGACCCGACGTCCTGACCATGGAGGCAGTCACCGACATCAAGGCCGGCGATGAAATATTCAACGACTACGGTCCCCTGCCTCGCAGCGACTTGTTGCGGCGCTATGGCTACAGCACTCCTTTCTACGAACAGTACGACGTCGTCGAGATCCCTACCGACCTCATTGTCGAAACCTTCAAGGCCGAGGCCAAACTTTCCGATCAAGAGATTGAGGAAAAGGTAATAAAACAAAACTCCGCAAAATATTGTCACGAACCATTTTTCGCTTACTCTGCCGACCCCCCGCACAACAGCTCGCCTACCTCGAAGACCAAGACCTGTTCGAGACCGGCTACGACATCGGCCGCAACCCCGAACAGGACCCCGCGGCCGTCGCAAGCCCCGAGCTGGGCCTCTTGCTCGCCACGCTCCATCTCCCGCACGCCGACTTCCAGCGCATGCGGAAGAAGGGCAAGTTCCCCAAGCCGGACCTCACCCCTCAGACGGCTGCCCTGCTGCGGCAGGCCGTCGCCAAGCGCGCCGCTCAGTACCCCACTTCCCTTGCCGAAGACGTCCATCGTGTGTCTTCGGGCGCCGCCGACCTGGGCAACGCCAGGAAGGCCATGGCCCTCGCGGTGCGGATCGGCGAGAAAGAGATCCTAGAATGTGCCGCAAATCTGTTGGCAAAGGCGGCGGCGGCGACGGCACCCAACACGACCAAGAGGGACGGCGACGAAGGCGGTGAGAGCTCGTCGAACAAGAGAAGGAGAGTCGCCTGATCCACGATCGCAATTCGTCCTTGACTGTGGAGAAACAAGCGAGGAAGAAGGGTGCGAAAGCGAAAAAACACACAAAGGAGAATAACGGAACTGAAAAAAAAAGGCTTGATTCACTCGGCTCGCCGAGTCTCAATTGCATTCGGCTATGGGTTTCGTTTCCCCTTTCGACGATCGCTCGCCCGTCTCCGTCGATGCGCTATTCTACATGGTGGAAGCAGCCCAATTTTCGCCTTTCCAACGATTTGACACCATGACCGGACTGACGACCCTTTTCCTCCGCATGCATACTGTTCGGCACGTGCGTCCGGCTCACTTGGGAATCTCTCCTCCACTGACTACTGTACATAAAACAAAAGCCTGCCTTCTTACTGGTCTGGAGAAGAAAGCAAAAAAGAATATCCCTAACCCGTTGATCCGACAATGGTATATCCGTCTATCGTTATCGTTCTGGAAAGAAATGGGTGGCTGAAAGAAGAGGGGGATGACTCGGGGTTGCGGTGCGTGCCGGTAAATTGGATTTTCCTGCATCGATCGGGATTGTGAAGAGCTTGGGAATGGTGAAGAGCGGGCGGTATCTCGGCACGGCACTTGGGCGGCATTGTTAGGATGGCAGATCACACCCTTTTCTCCTTCAGCTGGGCCCGGTTGTTATCCTCTGTGGTGTTGGCTGGCCAGCTTGTCCAGGGTGTGGTGATCCTTGCGCAGCTGCGGCTGCTGCAGCAGCCAAAGTCCGCCGGGCTACCGCTTGATGCATTGCGGCCTCCCTGGAAACAGACCTGTCCATCAGGATACGGTATTTGATTGCAGCATCAGCGTAAAAGTCGATGGGGATGACGTCTTCTTCTTCGTCGCTGTCCCGGTCGTACTTGAAGCGCTCTGCTACACGATCGTCATTGTTCTCATCTGCGGGCCGCTTCAGTCCTCGCCGATCTATCATGAGACGTCCGCCACGGCCTGTCCTTCGCCTGAATGACGGCCGTCCAACAAAGGTTTCCTGGGGCGGAGTGGCGTAGCGGATCAGAGTGCTCTCGTCACCACGTTTTTCAGGTTGGGCAGGGTGCTGCTTGTTGGCATCTGCTGCCTCTTCTGACGACACTGACGCAGGAGGCGTTGGCAAGTACTCTGTGATGGCGGCACGAAATGCCGGTTGGCTCTCTTCCTCGAGAGGCGGCGTGATGGCTCGCCAAGTCACGTCCACGTAGTGTTTGTTCCACTCGCGATGCTTCTCCTTGTTCGACTCGATCGAGCGGGTAATCTCGTCTTCCCGCTTCGCGAGCTGCTCCTCCAAGGTGATGAGGTCGTTGTCCAGAGGACGACCATCGACACGGGAGAGCTGAGGTTTGGAGACCATACCAGGAGGGACACGATGGCCATTTGGATCGAGCTTCGGCTTCGGCTTCGGAACAGGCTGTCGACATCGTTAGCATCGCGCCCGACAAGAAGGTACGTGGAACGGTGAGTCTCACTCTCTGGTTGATGAGATCTTCGTCGTCACCCTTGATGCCAAGATTGCGCTTGGTCTCTTTGACCTCCATCCGCTTCTCGAAGATTAGTCTGTCATTGCCCAGCTGGTCTCTCCGTCCATATTCTCGCTGCTTCACAAAGTACATCAGTTCCCTCGCCTGCTCGAGCTCGTGCCTCAGCTTCTTCAGCTTCTCGGTCACTTGGGCATCTCTGCCGCGAGTCTTGCGAGCCTGGCGGACTTCGCGGCGTCTGAAGCAGACGTACGGATCCGAGTCATCAGTCTCAAGGTTGGTCTCGAACTTGAGCATTGGCGTCAAGCTACGGCTGCCTCGCTTTATCCGCTGTTGCTTCCAGTAGTCGTAGATGTCTTTTGCGAACTTCCGCGCAGGATCACTAATGGTCTCATCGAAGCTGTTTTCAAACTCCTCATATGGCAGGGCTGGTGTGTTGTCTACAGCAGCGAAGGGCTGCTTCTCCTGCGCCGTGCGCTCGAAGAAGTCGAAGACCTCCTCGAACCAGTCCTCAGTGCACTGCAGGCCAGCGGGCTTCTTCGCGTTCAGAGCTTTGAGCGCAACCTCATCCTCACTCGTCATGCAGTACTGCGTACCTTTGCAGTCTTCGACGGTCGACGAGAAGCGGATGTACGTGGCGGGCTGCACCCACCGTTTCGGATACACATCGTCATACTTCAGCTTACTCACGGTGGCATCGGGGGTAGGGATGTAGAGCTGCGCGACCTGGCCGCCGACGGCAGCCGCGTTGATGACGGCTTGGAGATGGTGTTCCTAGGGAGCTGGTCAGGGTCCTGGCTTCTCAACCGGTAGGAGCAACACGTGACAACAAAGAGATAGGACGTATCTGTAAGTGAGGTAAGTTGGGAGTGCTGTTGGGAAACTCACTATCTCTTCGCCCTTCTCAACACCGGTCTCGACCTTTGGGATGTGACGCTGCGCCTCTTCATCGGCGAGGTTTTCGACCTCACTTTCGCGCAAGATGGCCAAATTCTGCTTGGTGGACAGCTTGCGCTGACGGAAGCGCTGGCTAGAGATGCGCTGCGTCATCTTGGCTGCTGCGAGCGAGGCTGACGGTCGCGGTGGTGATTATTTGTTGCTGCAGCCTACAGGCGTAAGGTGAGGCCTTCCATGTGACGACAAAAATTAAAATTCAGAAACTTGGAAAGCAGCCTGCTTTGGAGGTATGATGGTTGCTGCGAAATTAGAAAACGAATGAACAGGGCCGGTCGTGAAGGTAGACTGGTCGGCGTGTGAGAGAGAGAGTACGGGAAAATGCCGATATCGACTGTTTCGCCGGGTTGGCTGCGGGAACCGCTGGCGCGATGCGTTGGTGGCCCGCGGTCGCGGGTGAATTGTGGTGCAGAGGCGGACAGGAATTTTTTGTCTGGGCGGTCGGGCACCCCCTTGCGAATCCCCCACTGCGAGCGACGTGGAGGAAAAGCGACGCGATGGCTAAGGCAACACGTGTCGCGCACGCCGCCTCAACGCGCTGCAAAACTCGCGGCTGCACCGGGAGGCGAAATTTCAGTCGCTCAAATGTCGGTTTGCGACTTTTCCGGGAGTTTTGCGATGGATTTTGGGGCAGTTCTTGATGAAGTCGGTGGGTTGGGGCGACACGGTGGTTCGCCGGTCGCAGCGCAGCGCAGTGTGTGAGTGAGTAGGGGGGGCGCGGGCGCGATGAGCGACCGGGCTTAGGGTGGGTGGTGGCAGCCCGTTTGGCAAGGAACTGGGCCGCCGCGTCGCCGCCTCTGGCTTCGCTCGCGTCACGTAAGCGATCCGCGCCAAGACTGATTGTCTCCTTCTGGTCGTTGCCCTTTCTCACCAGCCTCTCTCTCAGTTTTTTGTTTTTTTTTTCTTGTGCCATGCCCAGCACGACGCTAAATTCCTTGACCACTCACACAAGCAACACATCAGATACCGCTACCCAAACACAAGCCTTGGTTATTTGTGCCGCGCGACTCGCCTTTGCAGGGATTCCGCCCGCAATAGGAAAAGGATGCGGTTCTCACGTAGAAATGGAAGGACGAGTAAAGATGACGGCGGCATGACGATAGGATGGGGGGGGAAGGATCCGGAGAGGAATGCATGAAGCCACAACCAGAACGGAGGCTGGGTAGCGACGCGTGCCACCTCGACGCCCTTTTGTTTTCTTAGACCCCCGTCGCCGCCGAAGGAAAACAAAAGAAAGCCAAGACACTTACACTGCATTGCCAGTTGCCTGTGCAGACCAGAGTCTTTCGCGGCCGTCAACCTTGATGCCAGGGGTATATGCGCTCGCGTTCTCAATTTCTATATTCAAATGGCATTTAGAAGAAGCAAATCAATAGCACCATCGGCATGGCCTCGTCATAATTGCGCCTAATTAATCTTCGTTCTTCTGTTTCGAATGCATCGTTCGTGGTGTCCAGCCACCCTTTACCAATCCCAAGCGGGTATTCTTTCCTGCCGAGCTGTCATCGGTTTTCTCCGACTTGTCCGTTCAGAGGACCAGCGGCTTGTGGGTCGCGGGCTCTGTCGCCATGGCAGTACGCAACAGCGCTGTCAACCGTGATTAGGTGTCACGGTCGTCATGCCGGGCTCGCGAGGAAAAACTCTGTGATAATTAGATCAGTGAAGCAATGTTCACACCGAGAGACTTATTATTCCCCGGTGTCACTCGTTGGCTTGTACATGATAGTCGTAAGAAACTGTTTCTCGTTAGCATTAGGTTCCCAAAAGGTATCGCTCCGATGCAGGCGTGTGCAGTAAAGCCAATCAACATTGGGAGGATGTACCTTTCGTTTGTACCGCGTCGTAGCGCTGGTCGCCAGCACATTATGTTTGATGCTGCTTGTGGCAAGGTGATTGAGCACAGTGTGGTTGGGCATGTTTAGCACGCTGCTGTCATCCTTCATAGGCATGCTTCCGTTCAGAATGCTCTTGCTGAGCATCACAGGGAGAGACGGAGGCGGCGGCGTCGTGTTCAAAACTGCGCTTGCCCTTGCGAATTTGTTCGACTCTTCTTCCGCATCCAGATCGGCCAGGTACTGTGGAATGACGCAGTGATACTTCTTTGGAGGTGCCGGGGCCACAGGGACAGGATTGCTAGTTACTGCGGCTGGCGTCTCCGAGGCTGACGTGTTTGCTTGCGGAATCTGTCGGATTTCAGGTGAAGGAGGTATTATTTGAGGTGGATAGGTGCCTTCGGGTGCTTGTGCCTCTGATTTCTCGTCTGCTGGGCGCTGGTGCCCAGGGATATCCACAGGAGCGGTGGGCTGAGGCTCCTGGATTTGTGGGATATCGTCCGGCGACACTTCTAGGTAGTTGACAAGGATGTTGGTGAAGTCGACGGCTGTGGGCAGCTCGGGGGAGAGCTGCATCTCGTTGTCGACGAGGAATTTGAGGTGATGGGTGCCGGGCTGCAGGTGGATTATGGCAGAGAAAGCATCCTTGTGTTTGCTCGATCCGCTGTAGGCTTCGTCAGTATCTGGTGTAACTCAAGCAGCCTGGCTTGAGACATGAGGCAGCATTGGGGGCAGCGCCGCGGTGTCACCAAAAGCATTGGCATGCTCGCACTTACTTCTTATGCAGTCGAAACTTCTTATTCCATCCTGCAAATGTGCCGGTGACGTAGACCTTCTCCCCGGGGCCCAGCCACTCAACGACGGTGGGCACGGCTGGCCGCAGACCGCCCTCGGTGTCGAAGTTGTCGTCCACCACCTCATCCTCGTCGGCGGTGGTGCTGCTCAGCACCGAGGTGCGGCGGGGAAGCACGCCGTCGATGCTCTCCGGGTCGATCGGGGCCGTCAGGTCGGCAGGCGAGATGATGGGCGACCCGGGCGTGTGAACCTCTTCCTCAATGGGCAGCGGCAGGCGCGGCGGGCGCGCAAATGTCGCGGCCTGCGTGTGATAGGCATCCGACTGCGACGACGGCGCCTCGCCAGCGTCGGGCGGCGAAGACGAGGGCGCGCGGGCAGCCGACTGCGGCACGTCGACGGGCTGGGTGAGGGGCGAGGGCTCCGGCGGCGGCGGCGAGGGCTCGCGCTGGTCCTTTTCGTGGCTCTGGCCGCTGCCCATCCTCTCGAGCGTGGCAATGTCGTGCGGCTTGAGCGTCGGCGTGGCTACCGAGTGGGCGCGGCCACGCGAGTCGGGGCGGAGCGGCCTGGCGGCGGTCGAGTGTGCAGTTGCGCTCTCGAGGCTCGCCGAGGGCGGGGCAGCGCTGGCTTTGGCGTTGGAGAGGGCCTGGATGGACTCGCGGCGACGCGGTTCTCTGCGCACATTGTTCACCGCTTGGTTACTTATCGGCGCGGTCGCGTGCGGCGGGCCCTGGGGCGAGCTGGTGCTCTGGCGGGACGACGAGGGGCTGTTGCCCATCGCTCACGCTGTGTCTCGCGGCGCGCGTCCTGGGGCCGGGCGGCAGCGGGCAGCAGGTCCGATCCGAGTCTGCTATGGCGGTGCGGCAGCCAAAGGCGGGCCTCGTCATGGGCCTGTGACCTGGGCGGGCGATGTGCGTGCGGTGCAGCAGTGGGCAGGTTGCGGAGGCAGGGCTCTGGCGGGTCTGTCTGCCGCAGGAGGAGCGCCGCGTCTGCCGATCGAGCCCCAGGCAATCACCATCCTCCCGCGGCCTCCACCCCCGTCTGAAGGCGCCTTGACGATGTGACCGGCGAGAGGACAGCTCAGTTTGCGACCTGCTCTGAGGTCATCTGCACCTCCTCGGTATGCTCCCTGGCCCAACGAGCCCAGATGACACCTGACCTATCCAGGCTCCACGCCCGTTGATCCAAATCCCCCACTGCAGCCCGCCATGAGCGACGGTACCGCCCTGCTGCTGGCTGTGCCGTACTATCTGTTGGTCGTGCCCGCCTCCATCGTCCTCACCATCCTGTCGCCACTCTACTATGCCCTGCAGTTCGTCCTGCTGCCCTTCATCTACCTTGCGCATTTTGTTTGCCGCGCTGTCGTCTTCCCCTTCGTCGTGGTCGCCAAGCTAGAGGTAAGCCGGTTTTTATGCGTACTTTGCCCCCCCGTTGCCCATCTGATTGCGCCACCAGACACTCTGGGTATACCTTGGCGTTGCGGGAATTGTTGGGGGTACCACTGGTGGCATCCTCTATCTCAGCTTCGGCGTGCTGAAGACCGCTCTCAACCTTGACTCACGCGACGAGTTCTCCGGGACCACTGCTGCGGAGTACAGAGCTGCTCGGCGCAAGAAAAAGGCCTCCCAAGGGAACATTGGCGCTTCTGTGTCGACAGACAGCTCGGGACGACTGAGGGAAACTGCCCTGCTCAAGAAGCGGGACCTTTTGGCCCAGTCGATCATGAAAGAGGATGGCGCAGAGTATTGAACATGATTGACCTTCAGCCGCTCAAATCCTTCTGCGCCTGTATCTAGTTGTACCTTTAGCTTGATGATGGCCTCGACCGCGTCGGTCTGCCTGATCGTAATTCATGGGAATGACTCAGAGCATTCTTCACGGCTCACGAGCAGCTCTTCATCAGCTCAACGGTTCTCCAGCCCGCTTATTGCTAAGCCTATGCAGAGCACTGGACGCACTTATCACCGTGTTTATGTACATACCATTGGTCCTATGAGAGAGCAGTTTATTACAACCAAGATCCATATTCTTTGATGCATCATGATGGGTACTGACGTCAAACTACCAAAGGTATGGATTGCTTCTTTCGATGGGCGGAGATGATCAAGATAAGATATGCTTGAGTTGAGTGCTACCCTGAGTCAGCACGGACCTGACATGCGCGACTTCCTTACCTAACGTACAAGTCGGACATCGCCACCATTCCTCTCCACCCCACATCCCACCGCTACGACTTCGAGGTCCTCACCTCCATTTTTCGCAAACCTTGCCACCCAGCTTCCAGCTTCTGCGAACTGCCAGCACCAAGTTCCTCGATTTGCGCCGTTGACTCCACCCCTCCTGAGCTTCACCCAACGTCAGGAAAATGGGGCGCGCTGAAGTCGGCTCCACGAAATGGCAGGCCAACAAGATGAAGTCCAAGGGACTACAGCGACTGAGATGGTAAGTCACTCAACTCATACTGCCTGTACGAAATACGAACGTGCTCTTCGAAAGTGAAAAGCGCATGCCGTGCGGTAGCTTTGGCGATTATATTACTGCCGAAAGATCAGGCCATCAGGCCTGCAATGCAGCTGTCTGCGACAATTCTGAGCTACTCCCTTCGAGATTTAGTCTTTACAATTCGAGGTCTTCACTAGTACTTTGCTGACCGACCACTTGTAGGTACTGCCAGGCATGTGAGAAACAGTGCAGAGACGCCAACGGATACAAATGTTAGCTCGTCCGAGCCCTCGCCGCCTACATGCTTGCTGACCCTAGAAATAGGCCATGTGCAGTCAGAATCTCACGTACGGCAAATGTTGCTTATCGGGGAAGACCCTCGCAAGGCCATAAGCGACTTTTCCCAGCAGTTCCAGAACGGTTAGTTCAGCCGCTCTAGAGGCATTGCGAGTGCAACAGAATTAACACATTGTCTAGACTTCCTCCAGCTGCTGCGGACAGCCCACGGAGAGAAAAAGACAAGTAAGCAATCAAGTTCCATTTACTACGCTACAGACATCCGATTCCACCTACTGACATCGGCTTTACACAGATCTCAACCACTTCTATCAGGAATACATTAGAAACAAAGGTAAGAACTACTCTCTAAAGACAATCTACTGTATCTGACGTTTTGCAGAGCATATCCATATGAATGCGTAGGTGGCACACGTCGGTACTTGCTAGCTGCTCTTTCTGACCCTTTTATAGGACTAAGTGGCCGTCACTTACCGAGTTCGGCAAATATCTCGGAAGAGAAGGTATCTGTCGTGTATCTGAGGACGAGAAAGGGAACGGCCTTTGCGTTTCATGGATCGACAATAGCCCTGAGGCACTGCGGCGTCAGGACGCCATTCGCAAGAAAGAGCGGCAGGAGAAGGGCGACGAGGAGCGCGAGCAGCGCATGATCCAAGAGCAGGTTGAAAAGGCGCGCGCTGAAGTGAAGGTGGATGCTGAGCGGCACGACGAGAACACACAGCTGCAAAGGAAGGAGGGAGAGAAGATCCAGTTGAACCTCAAGCCATCAGTCGCAAAGACACCAAGCCCACCTCAGGCCACCGGCCCATCCCAACCACCGGATGGAGGATCCCAAGCGCAGGCTGCCAAGGAAGCGGTAGAGACGGGAGAGAAAGAGAGCGCTGCTGCTGCTCCGGCGAAGCCCACATTCTCCATGGGACTTGGTAACGGTAAACCCAAGAATGTGTTCTCGTCCAAGAAGAACCCTCTCGCAAGCAAGAAGGTTGCTGTCAAGGAGCAGCCAAAAAAGATGAGCGAAGCTGAGCGGATTATGAGGGAGGAGATGGACAGGAAGCGTCTTCGGGAAGGCGGAGGACCCGGTGGGGGAGCTAAACGTCAGCGGATAGGGTGAGCTGAGTGTATGCCCTTCTCCTTGTCCGTCGGACAGACGTAATTTGATTTAGCACGGCGCTGGGGCTACCTTGAATGGGCATTATCGGTTCAGGCCGGGTTACGGCGAAGCGGCGGCATGATGGCGCTTCTCCGCTAGAGCAAAGTAGAATTCATTCATCGGAAGAGCACGCTTCATAGCAGCGATGGTGATCAGACGCAGGTTCGCGGCCGGAAGCGGCGGAACGGTTATGAAACTGGCCGTTTGCCGGCGCGGTAGCGTCGCAAGTGAAGGCTTGTCTCTTCCATGTCGCGCGGAGACGGACACGGACACGCGATTTGTCGCGGCAGGGCAGAATGCGATGGCGTTTCGTAGCGGCCGCGTCACCTTGGCCTCACAGCGCCTAACGCTCGCCAACGCACGAGCCACGACAAGGAGACATGGAGCACACCATCCATCGGTGCAGCGTGAGAGAGCGAATGCGAGGGAAGGCGGGCGCCCATCGTCGCAGGCGGCGCTGCAGTCAACGGTTTCGCAAGGCGTTTTTTTTTTCTGGGGCCCTGGGCCCTGGCCCTGGCCCAAGGCTCCGCACGCAAGCTGAGCCCCAGCCGCACTAGACCCGCAAGCGCGCCTAATTTCGGCTCAGATGTGCGCTGCTCCAGCCTGCACCGCCGCCCTCCTTGGCCACCAGTTCACCTCTCCTTCAACGCCGTGGGTCAGTCCTCTCCTTCTCCGGTCCTTCACCGTGCTCCCGCCCATGGCTTGATCTCCTACCGGCTTCTTAATCGCACCTCGCGCCTGCCCCGGTCCCGTCGACCTGCTGCCCCGTTCCGCCACCCCGTACGGCATTTTAATTCCACTCCACCCCACTCTACACCGCTTTCACCATGCGCAAGGGCGTGCTTATTTTCCTCGTCATAAACCTCATCGTCATCGGCGTGCTCGTCCACAACGTTTGGACCCTTCTTGAGCTTCTCGTCGTCGATGGCTCCGAGGACCGCATCTCGCGCGCTGAGCTTCCGGCCCCTAACTCGGGCGCCATCAGCGAGCGGCCCCAATTGATCCCCAAGATCATCCACCAGACTTACATCAACGAGAGCATCCCAGAGCGCTGGCAGGAGGCACAGAAGAGCTGCATCGATCTGCACGAGGACTACGAGTACAGGCTATGGACAGACAAGAAGTCTCGCGAGTTCATCGCCGCGGAATACCCATGGTTCTTGGAGACCTTTGACGGCTATGAGTTCCCGATCCAGCGTGCCGATTCGATTCGCTATTTCGTGCTCGCGCACTTCGGTGGCATCTACATTGATCTCGATGATGGCTGCAACCGCCGCCTGGACCCTCTCCTCTCATACCCAAGCTGGCTTCGCCGCACCGTTCCTACCGGCGTGTCCAATGACGCCATGGGTGCTGTCCCGCGACACCCCTTCTTCCTCAAGGTTATCGATGCGCTGCCAAGATACAACCGTAACTGGTTGCTGCCTTACATCACTGTCATGGGTTCGACGGGTCCGCTCTTCCTCAGCGTCATCTGGAGGCACTACATCAACGAGGGCGCCGCGGCTGCGGAGGATGCCGAGATCCGCATCCTGTTCCCTGACGAATACAACAACCACCCGTGGAGTTTCTTCACGCACCACCTCGGAAACAGCTGGCATGGTGGGGACGTGAAGCTTATTTTCTGGGTACGACAGCTCCGTCAAGGTATATTGAGCCATTTGCTAACGTTCTTTTCTCCAGATGGCGCGCCACTGGTTCTTCCTCACCGTCCTTGGATTCATCATTGGTTTCTCGGTCATCGGAAGCCTCTGGTGGACGTACCGTTGCATGTCCCATCAAAGCAGGAGAGGCGGGATCGCCCGTTTCCTGCCTATTCCGGGGACTCGCCGCTCCGGAGATGCCGAGTATGAGCTTGTTGGTCGGAAAGACGATGATGACCACAAGGTCTGATGCTTGGACAACCGCATTCAAATTCTTCCAATCATCCATGTCGACCCATGAAACCCAATACTGAGATTTAATACGGCGGTGTTCACGGCTCGAACTGCCATTCTTCGATAATCTTCTTATATTACCTTCGTTGTACAGTCGATCACGAACTTAGCGTCTTGGCGTTGGCGGAAGTGCTCAGATACGAGGAAAGACGGGCGATCCGGCCCGGCAACTACAAAAAAAAAAGAGCTGTTTGGGAATGTTTGTCAGGCGTTCGGGCGTGACTGCAAAGAAGTCGACGATCCGGAGGTATATAAAGACACTGGACTCGTTCCCCGGACGTACGATGAGGGGATTGTAGTCAAGAGAGTCTCTTCGCATTTTTACGGGGAGGGAGAAGCCCCAGCATCCTAGCTATCATGTTTTACGTGCACCAAGCCGTTAAGGCAAACTTTTACGCCCGTTCAATGAAACACTGTCTAATACAGATGCCTGTAATAACACGACTTTCTTTTGCCTTGGCCTAATGGCCAGCCTATGCGATGCGTCTGAGTGGCAAAGCGCCACTGCCAGGTTTTCATGGCCAAAGTGAGAAAACATGTGTCGAAAAACAAAGGTTTGTTTGGATGAGGATTTCCCGAGGCCGGGCAACGGCCTGCAAACCATAGCAACCGTTATCGTAATCGGCGGTCGGGAGACGCTTTGGGAGCGGTGAGACGGTAGGCGCTTGTCATCATGCGTCATTGCGGTAATGCTAATCAACGGTAAATTGAAGCACTGGATGACGGTTTCCTGCGGCGGGGAATCCCCTGCCCCAGCGGCAACAATCGTCCCAGCCAAATGATGAGATGCGCAAACCCGTTCGAGATGGCAGGTTGCGGGTCGGCACTGGACGACCCCGGTCGCGCGCAATCGGCGGGGGATTGCTCCGAGATACGGGACGGTTAGCGCGCCAAGCAGATGTGCGGCGGGTGGAATCTCTCGAATCTTGTGATGCTCGTGGACAGGGCGGCGCAGCAGGCTGGGGTGCCGGAGTCAGGTTTCGCGCGATGTGGTTGCCACCAGCATGCAGGGAGGCTGCTGGCGCGCGACGAGGTTGGCTGCCGCAGTCGCCTCACAGGGACCGATCGCCAGCGGCGCGCCCGTAGAACCACTTGAAACACACGATCATCGGCCAGTGATATCAACGGTGTCGCGAGCCGGCAATAGCAGCGTGATAGTCGGCGGCACAGGAACAGCAAGCAGGCCGCCCACCGCTTGCCGTGCTATTTTTACGGGCTGCCGGGCGCGACTGCGGCGGCTTAAGGGGCGGCTGCCGGGCGGCAGCTTCGCGCGACGGGACGAGGTAAACAGCGCGACCAGACACACACCGCGGTCCTCGCATGCCTCCCTACTAAAACACCACTGCGCAGCAAACGGCTCCGCGCCAAATCCCAGCAGAGCGCTCGCGCACAAGCACCACCCGGCCGGGCCAAGCATTTTCCACGGCTCCCTCGCCGCGCACGCACCGTAGCCCAAAGTCCAACCGCGCAGATCGGGGCAGCGTCGTCGCTTCTTGGCGCGACCCTTCCCCTGTGCTGCACCACGCCCCAAGCCAACTTTCTTCACCACAACACCGGCATCCTCCACGTCAGCGCCCTCTCTCGCTCACGCGTGCCGCCCCGTATGAGCCTGCATTGAACGCCGACACTCGCTCTCGCCGCGTCAAACGCTCGCTCCAGCAATCTGCTCGCCATGGCTGAAAAGCCCAAGTACGTCCCCCTTGGCCCAACCCTCTAGCCAGCTGCTAATCGCCCTGTAGCATGCTCACCTCCGCGTGGCGCGACTTCTGGCACACCATGACCTCCAACGACCGCCATGCCTCCCACGACTCTCCTTTCCGCACCGGCCAGCATGTCCCGCTTCCCCAGAGCCGTCATACGCCGCTCACCTCCGTCGCAACCAGCGCAATGGAGTCTCGCACCGACTTCAACTCGCCCTACGCCCAGGACGAGCCTTCCGCCAACGGCTTCGTCAACTCGCCCCGCGCCCCAATGTCCCCTTCGTCTCCATACTCGCCCGGCATGCGTTCCAGCATGGCCCGTCCGCCCGACGAGAACAACCCCACGATGGACGGTGTCAACTCGGGTGAGATCCAGATGCAGAGCTTCAGCGATGGTCTTCCGCCGCCTCCGCCGGTCGGCCACTCTTGGAAGCGCGTTGACCGGTGGCTTGAGGATCGCTTTGTGGAGCTTTGGGACAATATGTGCGAGGGTGCCACTCACAACGATGTCAATGAGCTGGAGCACATCCTGGACGTTACTCTGCCCGTCGAGGTACGCGAGTCACTTCAGATCCATGACGGTCAGGAGCGTGGTGGTCTGCCGACAGGCTTGTTCTTCGGGTGCATGATCCTGGACTGCGAAGAGATAGTCATGGAATATTCCAATTGGCGCAAGGTCAATGAGGATGTCCTCGCCGCCCAGCCCTCTTACCAGGCCCCCCAGGTGCCGATCAAGGCCGTTGCTGGTCCCTCGTCCTCCCCGGCACCGACCGATGCGCAAAAGGCCAACAATCCCATGTGGAGACAGGACTTGCTCTCGCGTCAGGACTCGCAGCCGCCGAACGCAATTCAGAAGGTCTATGCTCACCCCGCCTGGATCCCTCTCGCCCGCGACTGGGGTGGAAACTGCTTGGCTGTCGATCTCGCGCCTGGCCCCGCTGGAAAGTGGGGACAGGTCATCATTTTCGGTCGCGACTACGACACCAAGTTCGTCGTCGCTCGTTCTTGGGCCGCCTTCCTCGCTCAGTTCGCCGATGACCTGGTCTCCGACAAGACATACGTGGATGAGGAAACCATGGAAATGAAACTCAAGATTTTCGCGAAGCAGAACGTTGAGCCTCCGTACCTTGAAATTCTCCGCTGGCGTGCCGACCAGAAGTATGGCCGCAAGCCCAAGAGAAGGCCTCAGAGCACGCTCTCCATCAACCCCAACGCCCCCCCTGCCTCGAACGGAACCAGCCCGTATGGTAGCCCTGGCTCTGGTGGTGAAGATAGGGGTCGCTCGCCTCACAGGCTGAGCAGGAATGGCACCAGCCCTCGTGTGCCTATCTCAAGTCCTCTGGCCCGTGTGGCAGAGGAAGCCCCCCCGGCGGTCAAGGTCCACACGGACGAGGAAAAGCTCATCGAGATGAACACGCCCCGGCCCAGCTCTGACCTGAACTCCAACAACGCAAGTCAGAAGAACAGCATGGAGAGCGACAAGGAGAACGGCAGCGAAAAGGGCAAGGGTAAGAGCGTGGTGTCGTCGGAAGAGATGAAGACTGTCGAGATATAAGCGTCTCGCCGCTCTGCATCGTCCAAAGCTTGTCACGAGCGGCCATGTCTTACATTACGGATTACAAGAGCAAATGATACATTAAAGACACATCTTCGGAGTTGGGTTTGGCAGTTGACGACGGTGATCGAAGCAACAACGAATCTCACTCATCATGAGACCTGGGGGAGAAGGAGTGGGTTATGTCCTTACGCTTGCTTCTACGGGGAAACATCCAAGGTGCATCAAAATCGTCGGCAACAATTCTTCGTTTTCCCTGGCAGGGGCACACTAATCTGCTTCAACGGGCTGCAATTTCCAACAAGCAGGCCCGTTCGACCTGACCAGACCGGCCGGTTTTATTACTGCTGCTGCTTTCGATTTCTCGGCTTCGCCTTCGGCGGGGCGAGCATGGGCTGCTTGGCGGACCTGGGCTTTTTTTCCTCCCTTTCAACTTGCATTGGTGCTTTTGCTTTCAATTTTGCAAAGCTGTGGGTTTCTGCTTGGCTAATCGGAGTTCAGTCGAGCTTTATATCAGTCAGTAAGCGAGCCAATCTTGTTTCTACTTCATACCTGGTTGCCGCAATCGTTGACGACGGCGGCGAACTGGTGCTCGGCGCTTCCTTCAAAGCTCCCCTTTGCGCAAATGTGTGTAGTTGTACTAGCAGCAGCAGTGATAGATAAACACAAAGCTCGTCATTATATTCCATGAGGCAGTGCAATTTTGAAGCAGCGGCAGCAACGTTTTGGTATCGGGGGTATTGTAGATTAATTCGGGGGGATTTTCTTTTGGCTTTGGTGAGGTTCATTGTTATGGAAATGAAATGAGAAAGGAATATCAAATCTACTAAATGGTGAAAGCCAGGTACAGTACCCCAATGGGTCTGTAGAAATTTCCTTGTCCACGATCCGCGAAGGATACTACTCGACCCCTCCATGCATGGACGTTCAAAGCAATTGGCAAGGATGCTGTAGACATGACGGCTCTGGAAGAAGGGGGCAAAGTTTCTCTCTGCAACCCACTGTGGGACACTTCTCCAGGACATGAAGCATGTGGGTACACTGTATCATTGGCTAGCGTTTCGAGGTGCGGGTACGCCGGGGCATGGGTGGGTAAGCGACGTGCACGTTTGCCCGCGCAATCGGAGCCGACGGCTATACACAGACGCCCTTTTCGTGCCGTACCGCTCTGCCGTCGGACGAAAAGGCCTGTGGTGCGAGGGACAGGAGAGCGGGCTGCGGTGGATGCCGCGTCTGTGAGCGTCCGATAGGCGTGTGGCACGGCCGTCCAGCGCCCCCCCTTTTTAACACCCACCTACATGCGGCCCCGGCTGTCTTCTAGAACTCTCGGGGGAGAAGCGAAGACGGGGGAAAGGTTGGAAATGAGCCAAGGAGCGAATTTGAGGGGGGTCCTTCTTACGTTATACCAGCTTGTTACGACTACATGGTCTATTATGTATCTGTATCAACACCACCGCGCCCCCCTCATCAGAACTTCTCGCACGCGGGCCGCATGTCCAGCTCGTGGGTCCACAGGTCCGGCTCCTGCTGGTGCAGCCACAGGTACGTCTTGCCGACGGACTCGGCGCTCATCTTCCTGCCGGCGCGCTGGTCGTCGCCGTACGCGTCGGCGATGGCGCCGTTGGCGATGGTATGGGCGACGTGTATCCCTTTCTCCGACATCTCGCGGGCCAGCGTCTGCGCCAGCTGACGCACCGACGCGCGCCCGGCGCCGTAGGCTGCAAACTGGGCGGAGCAGCGCAGCGCTCCGAGCGTACCGGTGAAGATCAGAGTGCCTTTCTTTGCGCCGCTGCCGTCCGACGAGGCGAGCGGGGCGGCGCCATGGTCGGCGAAGAGGCGCTTGATGGATTCTTGCGCGAAGGTGAAGGCCCCGCCGACGTACGTTTCTAGAGAATCGATGAAGTCCTAGGGGGGGACGATCAGTCAACTGGGCTTGAGGTGTGCAATTTTATTTTCTTTTTTCGGAATACCTCATGGGTCTCTTCGAGAAAGGGCTTCTTGCTGCTGTGTTTGACGCTATAAATTGCCAGACGAAGCTTCAAGTCCTTGAACGAAGGGTGCTTTTCGATATCGGAGAAGGTCATCTCCAGAGAATCGGGCGATTCGTCGGTGGGGAATGCCTCGAGCACAGCTCCTGGGGCAGAAGAGCGGAGACTCTTGGTGAGCTCCTGAAGAGGCTCAGGGCGTCGGGCGATAAGTGCGACGGCGAGGTTGCCGTGAGAGGGGTGGGCAAGGATTCGAGCTATGCCGGCGCCCTTGAAACCATCAGATCCTGGACGCAGGGGCCAGTTGATGGGTTGGAGCTTACGGTATTCGGGCCTGCGCCCATGAGGATTGCCAGTCCTGATGGAGCCATTGCTGTATATTGCGAGCCGCGAAGCCGAGTGGATATAGAGAGACAATGCTACACCTGCTCTCGGTGTAGCTGTGGTTGCGTTCAAGAAAGCGGGAAGGTGCAGTGATAATCCATGACGTCATCTTGCTGGTATAGGTAGGAGGCATGGAATGTGTATGCAACCGAGTGCGGCTCTTTACCCCAAACGGATGCCGCAGCGGACTTAACGGAGCATGGACCGAACTCGACGAGTCTCCAAAGCCCTGCTTCGACGGCACTCGGGCAAATGGCGTTCAGCAAGCCGTACCCTTTGGAGAATAATGCGTTCAAGCGAGGCCGGGATCTCTCGATAGCTAAGCGTGAGCAGCGATGGCCTCGAAGTCGACAGCACAGTGGCCTACGGCGATCCTTTGTGTGGGCAATTGAAGCACGTGTACCGACGTAGATGTAGGTTCAAGCAACCTTTCACCATGAGCAGCTGAAGCAGATACAGCGATGTAGGTAGGTCAATTTCTTTGCTGGACAAAGGCAGCGCTCGAGCTGAACCGGGAACGGCTGCCGGTGGATATGGCAGGCATGGCGCAGGGTCAATGACAGATGCCAGTCCCACGTGCGTCTCGAGCTGATGAAGCAGCGGTGGGATGGCGCAGCGACAGGCGGAGGGAGAATCCATGTGGCTTACGTAGCGCTTGGCGGCGCAGGTTGCCGCGATCGGCAGCGACGAGGGACAGCTGTGCAGCTCCAGGCACACTGCCACTGCAGCTTCAGCCCAGCCCATGCAACCCCGCCGTCCGACTCGACTGTCACGCCTTCCGCCATTGCACCCTCAACCACAAGCGCGCGCCGCGCCCAAAGCCCACCATGGATATCGTGCAGTCCGTGTCGGGCTACATCACCAAGATGGTGTCGGCCGGCGACAGCTCCACCGGCTCTCAGCCGGCCAAGATGAAGATACTACTGCTCGACAGCGAGACGGTAGGTCCGTCGCCTCGCCCGCCAGCAGCAGTGCGCCCGTTGCTGATGCTCCAAAGGTCCCCATCGTCTCGACCGCCACCACCCAGTCAGCCCTGCTCAGCCATGAAGTCTACCTCACCGAGTGCGTCCAAAGCCCGTGCCAGCCCTCGGCCCCGCTGACAGAGAACAAGCCGCCTCGACAGCCAGACGCGCGAGAAGATGCGCCACCTGCGCTGCCTGTGCTTTATCCGTCCCTCGCCCGAGTCCATCCAATTCCTCATCGACGAGCTGCGCGAGCCCAAGTACGGCGAATACAACATCTACTTCAGCAACATCATACGCAAGTCCTCGCTCGAGCGCCTAGCCGAGGCCGACGACCATGAAGTCGTGCGCGCTGTGCACGAGTACTTTGCCGACTACCTGGTCGTCAATCCCGACCTCATGTCGCTCAATCTGCAGCACAGGATATGGAGCACCAACCCGGACTTGTGGAACCCGGATGCCCTGCAGCGTTCTACCGAGGGCATCATCGCCCTGCTGCTGTCAATGAAGAAGCGGCCTTTGATCCGCTATCAAAAGGATAGTCTCCTGGCCAAGAAGCTGGCAACCGAGGTCCGCTATCAGATGACCCAGGAGGAGCAATTGTTCGATTTTCGCAAGACGGACACCCCTCCCATCCTGCTCCTCGTGGACAGAAGAGATGATCCCGTCACTCCGTTGCTCACCCAGTGGACATATCAAGCTATGGTGCATGAACTTATGGGCATAAAGAACGGCAGGGTTGACCTGAGTGATGTACCTGACATTCGGCCTGAGCTCAAGGTGAGTCGACAGAGGTGGCCTGCACTGCTGCTCCGCTGACGGGCATGTAGGAAATCACTTTATCACAAGATCAGGACCCATTCTTCAAGAAGAACATGTACCTCAACTTTGGAGATCTTGGCCAGAATGCCAAGGATTACGTCGAGCAGTTCGCATCCAAACAACAAGGCAGCCTCAAATTGGAGTCCATCACCGATATGAAGCGCTTCGTTGAGGATTATCCGGAATTTCGCAAGTTGTCCGGCAACGTCACCAAGCATGTCACGCTTGTGGGAGAGTTGAGCCGGCGTGTAGGGGAGGACCACCTTCTGGACGTCAGTGAGCTCGAGCAGAGCTTGGCTTGCAACGAAAACCATTCCAATGATGTCAAGGTTGGCAAACCTCCCTATTCTGCTAGGTTCCCAGCTAATGTCTGACAGCATCTACAACAAATCATTTCCAATCCCTCGATAGCCCCGGACAACAAGCTTCGCCTCACCGCAATCTATGCGCTCAGATACCACAAGCACCCTTCTAATTCGATCCCCATGTTGCTTGATCTTCTTGCTGTGGCTGGCAACTTGTCTCGCCACCGAATTGACCTGGTCAACAAGCTCCTACATTATCACCAGTCTTTGCAGGTCACCACGTCTGGTGCAGCGGGAATTCCTGATTTATTCCAGTCCGGCTCTCTGTTCAGCAATGCACAGAACAGGTTCAAGGGCCTCAAGGGTGTGGAAAACGTCTACACCCAGCATTCGCCAAGATTGGAGGGCACACTACAAGATCTGATCAAAGGCCGTTTGCGCGACCATCTGTACCCATTCGTCGATGGCGGTGGCACCACCAGAGACAAGCCGCAAGATATCATCATCTTCATGGTGGGCGGCGCGACGTATGAGGAAGCGAAGATGGTTGCGCAGGTCAACGCTAGTTCACCCGGCGTCAGGGTGGTTCTTGGTGGCACTTCGATACACAACAGTATGAGTTTTCTGGAAGAGGTTGAGGATGCTGTTCAGTCTTGGCCTGAGCCTACCCCGGCCACGGCGGCTGGACGGTTGAGAAGAGAAATTGGGAGATAATGTGCATACGACAAGACGGCGTAGCGCGGCGTTGGTGGTTAATTTTGTAGTACCTGCCATGGCAGGTCACAGGGTCTCGGGATAGTTGGTATGCATAACGCACAAGCAAACTACTTTTGGTGCTTGCTATGGTTCTTTCCTTTCTTTTCCCCCAAATGCAACATCGTGCCAGCACCCATGCACTATAAAATTCTACTTGCTCTTAGGTTGAATTTGCCGTTCTCTATTGATAGTGATATATTTCTAACCACTATCAAATCCGCAGTGAGACGGAATAGCATCTAAAAAAAATTCATAACTAGGTACAGCATCCTCTGCAGGCCAATGGGGTGGGGGTTTGCCATGCGGTCAGACCGCATTATTTGACCGGCACCTCACATTTATTACGTTCATGCTGTCCACCCCACTTTTGAGACCAACACCATCGCCGCTCATCAGTCTTTCGCGGATGGTGATGAACTCAAGGCTATCACGCGTCCTCCCAGCATTGCTGCAGCCGGTAAGTCGAGAATTCGGTGCTCCAAGGGAGAGGGGAAAGTAAGTGCTTAACTCCTGACCTACTTTGGAAGAGGACGATTACGTTTTTCCCACGGAGAAGCGCCGCGAATCCGAGGATGTCCTTGCACAGATGCGGGCAACGTATCAGTTGGCGCTGTACGCAGGTACCGTGCATGCGTTTGCCACTCGTGGTGATCTGTCAGAAGAAAAACGTCAAGTTTGCGAAGGAGCGGGCTTTTCTGCAAGCTGTTAGATGTCTTTTTGATGAGCATGTCAAGGCCTAAAAGGTCACTTCGTATAGGTTGTGGCGGGAAGCTGATGATGAGGCATGCTTGGACAAGTGAGATTCTGTTGCAATTCACCGCGGTGAAAAAGCTCCTTTGGCGTGCAAGGACTTGGACTTCCAGCTCGTGTCATCGTGGCAGCTTTCCACCAATAGAGCTTCTTTTCTTAGGATTTATTCGATGGCACACGGAGATAAAGGCAATCGGGGACAATGTCCTCACACACCTCACACACACACAGGAAGGAACTGATCTACAGCGATCCTCGGTGCAGGTAGTCGAGACAGATATTTCAACGTAGATGTAGTTTTAAACAGCTTTTCTTCGCGAGCAGGTGAAGCAGATATCCAAACGCAGATGTATTATCGAAATTATATCTACATAAATGAACCTAGATATTGAGCTCCGCTACCCCGTGTAGGTATGTTAATTTCTTTCTGCACCAACTATGCCACAATTCCTTTTCACTGTACTTGAGAAAGCATAAAAAGCATAAGTACGTCTTATTACTAATATGATGATGGTGACATCGCAGTGGCATGGCCTTATTCATTTTCTGTCGACTCACAGAAGCAACTCCTTGCATGCAGCACCGTGACACGGCAGCGGTATTGTTGGCCGCTACCCCCAACCAGCAATGGTGCATGGTGCTGTGTAAAGTACCGTTGAGTGGCAAATAATTGGCGACCATGTAGGCATGCAGCACTGTGCGAGATCGTTGATTTCCAGTTCAACGGGTGATGTTGTAGCGGCCATGGCAGGAACACGAGACTCATGAGATGGTGCACTCACACGTTATATGAAAGAAGGCAGGGGTAGGGTTCAAAATGTGGATGAATGTAGAGGTCTAGTCTGAGTAGGATACTAAAAGGAGGTAATGTGGATAGAAACCGTGAGAACTTTTGAGTTCAGCAAGAACCCATACTGAATCCAACGACCGACCAAGAGTGTGGTATATGTAAGAACCTCAGCCTGAGGCGAGAGAATCCGGTATGCCCCCAAACGCCGCTTTAAATGCAAAATAGCAATGCCAAACCGCGCAATAACCGCCCAAACATCACATGTCGTCTATTTCTGCTTCTCCAAGCTCTGCAAGCTGACCAACTCAAAGTATCTGCCCTTGCGCGCCAGCAGCTCGTTGTGGGTGCCCGACTCGACAACCTTTCCTCCATCGAAGACGTAGATGACGTCGGCTTTCTGGATGGTGCTGAGACGATGGGCGACGGCAAGGGTGGTGCGGCCTTTAGCGGCGGCGTCCAGTGCCGCCTGGACGATTTTCTCCGACTCGGAGTCGAGCGCAGAGGTAGCTTCGTCAAGCAGCAGGATCTTCGGGTCGCGGAGGAGGGCGCGTGCGATGGCAATGCGCTGTTTCTGGCCACCGGAAAGGAGAGCACCTTTGCTACCACAGACGGTGTTGAAGGCCTCACTATATGACAACCGTTAGCATTTGCAAATCCTCTTGGTTGAGTGGTGCACGCGGGGTACTTACGGAAGGGACATGATGAAGTCGTAGATGTTGGCGTCCTTGCAGGCCTTGATGATGGCTTCCTCTGGCACGTTCTCGCGATCCGCTCCGAGCAAGATGTTGTCCCTGATGGTGCCTTGGTACAGCGTGGGTTCTTGGCTAACCAAGGCGATGTAGTTGCGGTAGTCGTTGATGTTGAGAGAGGAAATCTCCTTGCCGTCGACGTAGATGCCACCGCTCAGAGGGTCGTAGAAACGCTCCAGCAGAGCGATTGTAGTACTCTTTCCGCATCCACTGGCGCCGACCAAGGCGACGTACTGGCCAGGCTTGACGGTGAGATCAAGACCACGAAGAACCGGCTGCTCAGGACGTGTCGGGTAGCGGAAGTGAACGTCGCGGAATTCCACGTTGCCCTCCATAGTCTGAATCTTCTCGCCGTCTTGCGACCAGGTGTCGATTTCGGGCTTGCGATCAAACAGTGTTTTCAATTGGACAGCAGCCTGCTTGGCCTTGCCCATGTCCGGAGCGAAACTGAAAATGGTACCAGCCGACTGGGCACCGAAAGTGATGGAAGCAAAACACACGAAGAACTGGAACATTGTGTACTCGCCCGTGCTGATGAGCGTTCCGCCATACCAGAAGCCAAGGGCAGTGCACAGGAACATGCCGGATTGAGACAGTGCATACAGGGTCGAAGATCGCAGAATCGAACGCAAGTTCTTGGAGCCCTGGGCGACTAGTTGCTGATGGTAGTTGGCGTAGACATCCTCTTCACGAGTCAGAGAAGCAACAGTACGGATGGCCGAGGTGGCCTCGCAAGCGTACGAAGCTGACGACTCGTACGCCTTCTTCGACCGCTGCTCGAAGCGAGCCAGAATCCAGAATCGAAGGAAACCACAGCAAAGGAGAACGGGAATCGTCGAAGCGCAGACGAGACCAAGCTTCCAGCCGATGGAGATGCCGAGTGCAAGGGCGCCGATGAGTGTCGTCAGAACGGTGAAGATGGTTCCAAGGGTAGCTCCGCTCAAACCTGCGAGGTTGGTGGTCTCGGTGGAGAGGAAGGAAGTCAGGGATCCAGCGCTGTTTTCGTCCTTGTCAAAGAAAGCGATGTCCTGGCGAAGCATGGTTCGGAATGCAGTGTCACGAACGCGGTGGATAAGCTTCTCAGAGCAGACGGCAAAACACAGACCCTGACCCGTGAAGGAAATCAGTTGAGTGAAGGCCAGCATAAGATACATCAAGCTCCAGAAGTTTGCCTCTGAGCGAAGCTCGCCGTACTGCGACGGTGGCCTTGACAGGGCGGAGATGGACTTGGCGAAGAAGACCGCCTGAACTGGATTACCGCCACCAGCAATGATGGACCAGAACAGTCCCGTCACCATGAGCACCCATTCCTGCTTGTTGAAGCTTGCGATGAGTCTGATGAGTTGCCCAAGAGAGTATTTCTGAGCTTTCTCGGGGTGTTTCTTGGAAAGAGCTACGCTGGATTCCGACTTTCCGGTGTGAGTGCGCTTGAGCCTTGCCGCCAAATCGTCATCTGGGTCAGCGGAGAGCGCGCCCTTGCCAGACTGGGAGGATGTAATGCGCTTGAGTTGCTCGTCGTCGGTTTCAGTGGGCTCGGCTTCCTCCTCCTCGATCTTTTCGTTCGCGGCGGCAATCCTTTGGGCCTCCACAAGGTTGTAGTAGGCGGCCTTCTTCTCCAAGAGTTCGTTGTGGGTGCCCTGCTCGACGATGCGGCCCTGTGACATCACGACGATCTTGTCCGCAGTCTTGATCGTTGAAAGACGGTGAGCAATGACGATTGTGGTACGGCCCTGCGCAGCCCTGTCCAGTGCAGCTTGCACAACACCCTCGCTCTTTGTATCCAGAGCCGAGGTGGCCTCGTCCAGAAGCAGAATCTTCGGGTCGCTGACAATTGCACGAGCGATTGCAATGCGCTGCTTCTGGCCACCGGAAAGCAAGAAACCACGTTCGCCGACGTTTGTCTCGTAACCCTCGGGGAGGGCCGACACAAAGTCATGGGCATTGGACATTCTGGCGGCATTGAAGACCATTTCGCGAACCCTTTCTTCGTCCATCTGCTCGTACTGCGTTCCGATGAGACCATGCTTGATGTTGTTGAAGATGGTAGTGGCGAAGAGGACGGGCTCCTGTTGGACAAGAGCAATTTGTTGGCGCAGCCAGTGCAGGTTGAGCTCCTGCACATTGACGCCGTCCAGCAGGACGTCACCGCCAACAGGATCATAGAAGCGTTCGACGAGGCCAACAATGGTACTCTTTCCAGAGCCGGACGCACCTACGAGAGCAGTGGTTTTGCCCGCCTCGACCATAAGATTAACGCCATCCATGACGGTGACCTCAGGACGGGAAGGATAGATATGCTTGACGCTCCTGAGCTCGACCTGTCCCTGGAGGCTCTCAAGCTTCCTGCCCTCCTTGGAGGTGGGATCAAGGGGCGAAACGCGGTCGATGGTGCTGTACATCTTTGAAGCGGCAGCAGTGGCAGTGGTGAAAGCCTGCAGCCAGGGACCGATGTTTCCAAGGGAGAAGGCGCCAATCATGACGGCAAGGAGAATGGTCAAGACGTCCGAAAGAGACATGTCTCCGGCGACAAGGTATCTGGAGCCCATCCAGAAAGCCAAACCGTAGTTGAGGTAGACGATGGTCATCATGGCACCAAGCATGGAAGCGAGGACAGTCTTTTGCTTCTTGCCCCAGTACTCGGCAACGACGAGGTGCTCGTTGTACTGGCGAGCGAGCTTGTCCTGAGTTCCGAAGGCTACAGCGTTCCTGATGGAGCTGAAGACCTCCTCGACAACGGTGCCTCCTAGGGCGTACGAAGCAAGCGAGTTCTTGTTGTACTTCATGATGAAGGTGGAACCGCCTCCCATGGTGAAGACAATGGCGAAGATGGTGGAGCACAGGATCAGGGTGAGCTTCCAGTACTTGACAAAGCCAATGATGAAGGCAGTGATGAATGTTGCGAGGGCTTGCAGGACGAGGCCGACTTTCTCGGAAATGCCATCCTGGACGAGGTTGGCATCAGCGGTGATCCTGGTGGTGATTTCTCCGGCGCCGAGCTTGTCGAAGTAGCCGACGTTCTGGCGCAGGATGGCGGCGAGGTAGTTCTCCCTGATCCTGGAAGAGATGCGTTCGCCGACGTAGATCCAGCCGACGGTGGCAATGTAGCAGGTGAAGAACTCGCCGATGAAGAGGTAGACAAAGTACAGGACGAACTTGGTCAGCTCGTCGTTGAACTCGCTGTGGGAGATGGTTCCCTGGAACATGCCCTGGAAGGTGCCGGCGAGAGAGCCGAAGACGACAGTCATGAGTGGCAGGACAGCGCCGGCGGCGATGGCGCAGACAGACGAGACGATGATGATTGTCCATTCGAGCTGGTTGGCATAGCGATAGAGGGCCAGGTAGGAGATGCTCACGGCAGGAGTATCGAGCTGCCTCTTCAAGATGGCCCGCTCGCTCTCCGGGAGGTGTGCGAAAGGGTCCGTCTCTTCTTCCTCGCCTTGCTGGACATCGACGTGGTGGGCGGGGACGGGGTTCAGTGCGGGCGCCTCGGCGACGGCGGCGGCCTCGTTGAACAAAGCCTTCTCGTTGTTGGCCGTCACGTCGGTGGCAACAGACGGCGCCTTTTCCGGGTGGAGTTGGTCCCCGTCGCTGGCCATGGTGGGCAGGGGGTGGGCAGGCGGCCCGGGCGTGGTGTTGCGGCTCTCGGTTGTGCAACAGCGAGGGCTGGCGAAAGAGGCAAGAGGCAGCAGGCCAGTCAGTGGTGGGCGACACGGATAACGGCAGGCGTCGAGGGCGGGTGCGAGGCGAAACGGCGTGGGTGGCAAGCTCGCATGGCTGGGCGCTCTACTCTATTAATTATATCTGGGAGCCTGGGGCGTTGTACAAGTTTGTGTCCGGCAAGCACTGATGCCGAGAGCCTTCTGGCCATCGTCCTGGCCGCGCGGGGCCCGTAAGGCCTGTCGGAGGGCCTGTCGTAGGGCCTGTAGGAGCCGAGCGAGTACGACGGGCGGGTCTGTTTCGCTTTCGGGACGCCGCTGGTTGGTCTGATCTCCGGCAGCCGCGTGCCTGCTTGCGGCGCCAGGCCCGCCGTCCTCGCAAGCTCTTCCCGTTTGGGCCACCGCTCCTATTTCGCTTCAGCCATCATGAGCCATCATGTCCCATCATGCTTCCAGCATCCTTCTCGAATCCCGCCGCCCCACCCACCGCTTGCGCTGCGTCGGCCCGCATGCCTGCAGAACCGCCGCCCTCATCAGCTGCAGGCCGGCGTGCGGTGTGCGGTGAGCCCGCGCGGCTGAACCGAGAAGGAGCTGGCTCTGTGGCGGCTGGAAAGGAACACACCTATGCCCGCATCGGCCTCGGAGGCCCCCGCCTCTCCGTGCTTCTCTGCCTTAGTCATTTCCACATCATTAGCATATCGTCAGCACAGACTCGAAACGGTCACCGTCCACGCATCAGCTTGGGTGGCCCTCTGGCGCACGCCTGGCGCAGGCGGTAGTGCTTTTGCTGCTGCCTGCGACATTGGACCGAGGCAGCTCGCCGGCGCCAGACGCAATTCGGCCGCCGTGTTTACCTGAAATCGCCAAGCCAAGCACTGCGTGCGTGAGGTTGACGTCGGCGCGAGGTTATCGACGTTTGACTTTTGCCGCCGCTGATCTCTCCAGGTGAGGCCGCCGTCTGGCGGGCGCTTGGCCCTGCCCCGGCCTTGGCGAAACCTGCAAACACGCCAAGCCGAGCCAACGGCCCGCCACGCCTGACAGCTTTGCCTGTGACCACCCCAGCACCTCCGCCAACCTCACCCATCCCGCCTGCCGCCATGGCCGATGTCGCTGAGCAGACCGCTGCTCCTCCTGCCGCTGCAGATGCCGCCTCGAACGAGCTGGTCACCACATCAGCCGACGGCGCTGAAAAGGTCGTCATCACCACCAACGCCGAGGGCAAAAAAGTGAAGAAGATCATCCGCAAGAAGCGCAGGCCCGCCCGCCCTCAGGTCGACCCCAGCACCTTCAAGTCCGAGCCCCCGCCCCAGACCGGCACCATCTTCAACATCTGGTACAACAAGTGGAGTGGCGGCGACCGCGAGGACAAGTATCTCTCCAAGCATGCTGCGCCTTCACGCTGCAACATTGCCCGCGACACCGGCTATACGCGCGCCGACAGCGTTCCCGGAAGCTACTTTTGCCTCTTCTTTGCCCGCGGCTTGTGTCCCAAGGGCGCCGACTGCGACTACCTGCACCGCCTCCCCACCATCCACGACATGTTCAACCCCAACGTCGACTGCTTCGGTCGAGACAAGCACGCGGATTACCGTGATGACATGGGAGGTGTTGGGAGCTTCATGAGGCAAAACAGAACCCTTTACGTCGGCCGCATCCACGTCACCGACGACATCGAAGAGATCGTCGCCCGACATTTCCAAGAATGGGGCCAAATTGACAGGAGTAAGTTGCTCGCGCCCAGCTCAGCCACAGCTGTACCGTGCTAATCAAGGTCGCAGCACGCGTTCTCAACACCCGCGGTGTCGCCTTCGTAACGTACACCAACGAAGCGAATTCGCAGTTTGCGAAGGAGGCCATGGCCCACCAAGCTCTCGATCATAGTGAAGTCCTCAACGTGCGCTGGGCCACTGTGGACCCGAATCCACAGGCTCAGAAGCGTGAGGCGCATCGAATCGAGGAACAGGCTGCTGAGGCCATCCGTCGCGCCCTGCCCGCCGATTACGTCGCTGAAATCGAAGGTCGTGACCCGGACTCAAAGAAGCGCAGGAAGATTGAGGGAAGCTTTGGCTTGCAAGGATACGATGCTCCGGACGATGTGTGGTACGCAAAGGAAAAGGCTGCCCAGCTGGAAGCGGCGCAAAACGGAGGTCTTTTGGAAGCGCCCGAGGAACAGAAACTGCTCGAAGCAGCCGCCGATCAGGAGGAAGCCGTCAACCAGCAGCAACAATATGCCACCAAGGAGGACAACGATGGCATCTTCTCTGGGTCCACGCTGGCAATGCTGAAGAACTCAGGCGTCACTTTCACATCTGGGAAAAAGGAAGAAGATCGCCCCAAGGGCCCGCTTGTCGGTTACGGAAGCGATGACAGCGACTGAGCTTCAGTCCTGGCGGTGTACCAACACCGGAGTAAAAACAACCGAATCTCGCCCCTGCCTGCTCAGAGCGGTCAGAGAGATGCGCCGGTTTGGAGCTAGACCAATGGTATAGCAATGCGAAAGGCTGCTAATCGTTCGCACCAAAAGTGCACTGGCGCCCAGTCTATCATCCGGCAATGCTTCAGGAGTCGTACTTCGGATTGACCATCGTGGAACCATCCGAGGCCCCAGTGGCAAAGCATTTGGTCATGTTATCGACAGCGAGTCGAACGGACCTGGGTTACAGTTCATGGGAAGGATCATCGTTCGTAGTGAGCGACATGAAATCTGAATACTTGTGGTGTATGGCATGACGACGGTACTTCGCGATCAGGAGCATGGCCAGGCATCTGGATCCTGCAGTGGAGACCACAAGTTACAATAATATTCCTTCGTGCCCAGACAATAGTCGTATCCGCAAGCATAACCACATCCGGATGCAAGCACCCGGGAGTGCATTTTGCCCTAGCCAGGGGCCCAAGCCTTGTTTACGTGGCCCTCAACCCGGGTAGAACAGAACATTGACCTGAAATCTGAGCACAGACGACGTTTCCCCACATTCGCAAGCGTTTCCTATTTCAGTGATGCGGACTGTTATCTGAGAGGCAGTTTCCGAGGACGGTGACGTTCCGGAACCATGCACATTATCGGGTTAAGCTCGGTGCGGCGGGCCGGTGGTGGGCTCCGCGATTTAGGTAGGCAGAATGTTGTGGCGACAATGGCATGTGCTTCTTTGTCTGTTCCTCCAACTTTACAGGCATCTCGAGCGGTGCAGCAGCTTCGTGATTGTAGAGCGGATAGAATGTACGGCATTGACGAGTGAGATGCAACGTTCGACTTTAGTGTCGAATGGAAGCTCAAGGAAGAAAACGAGTCTTTGCATGTGCCTGACTAGGCAGGTGACTACTAACAATGTCTGCGATGGAGGGACAGGCAGTGCAGTAGGTATCGGGCGGCTTCACCAACTCGACGTTGGAAGACATGAGGCAGGCGTTGATTTTGACCAGTATGCAAGGTCCGTTGGACATGAGAACGCCCGTGAATCGGATGGCGATGCACGGCCGGGAAGGTGCTTGAGATGGTGTTCGGCAATGGCGATAGCCGATCGGCGGCAGGGATCCGCGCGCCGGTCGGTCGGGGCGCCAAGACCAGAGTGGCCGGCGAGCGTCGCGCAGCTTGGGTGTTGCATTCACGCTCGTTTGTATCGCGCCAACGCCATACGCTTCCGCATCCTCACCTCCAACCCGAACATCGCCGCAACCTTCCTCTCCGCACCGCCGGCGCGATCTTAATGGGCGTGTAACGCGCTCTCCATCCCCCCGCGCCTCGGCCCTCTCGAAGACCCGGCGTCCTCCTCACCTCCGCGCGGATACAACCCACCATGACTGCTCCGAACGGCCTCGGAAACGGCGTCAACGGCCATGGCTCTGCCAATGGCACCATCGAGCCAAAGCGCTTCTCGGATATTCCCAACGTCCTTGATGTGACGGTCAACGAAGGAGGGGATGTCGAGCAGGTCGAAATCGATCTTGTCGAACTGAACGATGACCCTACGGAGCTCTGCATTCTCCTGGAGAACGAGAACGTGGTGAAGTCAACGTGGATGACCATTGCTTTCGCCTATGCCAAGCAGCACAGAACCGCTTTGGCCATCGACATCCTGCAGAAGGCTCGCGACGCCTTTAGCAGAGCCGGCGCCGAGGAGAAGCTCAGCATCCTGAGCGCTTTGTTCTGGCTCAACCTCTGCATGTGCCGCGAGGCTCCTCGCCTCAGACCAGGTGAGCGCACGCTCCCTCACTGCGTTCCTGTTCACTTTGACTGACACTTTGCAGACAACACTGGGCCAGAAGTCAAGACCAAGGAGCAGTGGATCCAGGCCGCCACCGCAAACCTCAACGACGCATCGCGCATCAGTCCTTCTTATGCCCCCCTCTTCCTCGCTCGCGGAGTTCTCTACCTCCTCCGCGCCTCTGCTATCACTCAAACAAAATCGGGCGCCCCCGACAGCGCAGAGCGCACCGATGCGTTGCGCCAAGCGGCAAAGTGCTTCGACGACTCTCTTCGCGCGTACGGAGGCAAGAACCTCATGGCCATGCTCGGCAAAGCGAGAGTCCAGTACTCGCTTGGCAAGTATGCCGACGCTCTGGCGTCCTACCAAAAAGTCCTTGGTCAAGCTCCTGACATGATGGACCCCGATCCCCGCATCGGTATCGGATGCTGTCTTTGGCAATTGGGATACAAGGAAGACGCCAAGAATGCGTGGGAAAGAGCGCTGGAACTGGTAAGTCATTGTGCGCCGAAGATGCGGAACATGGCTGACGGGGTTTGTAGTGTCCGGACTCCAAGACCGCCAATATCCTCCTTGGCCTTTACCATCTTAACGTGTCCTCTCAATACTCGACTACTTCGCCCGAGTTCGCTCCCATCTACAAGAAAGCGATGACGCAATACACGCAGAAGGCCTTCAAGTTGGACGACAAATACCCGCTGTCATGTGCCACCTTTGGTGGATACTTCCTCATGAGGAAAGCCATGGCCCAGGTGGAACGGTTGTCAAGACGGTCCATCGACTTCACCGACGTCAATGCCGTTGCCAGTGACGGTTGGTATCTCCTCGGTAGGAAGGAGCACTATGAGAACGAAATTTCCAAGGCGCTTGAGTACTACCAGAGGGCCGACACTGCACGTGGCGGCGAAGATCGCGGTTATCTCCCGGCCAAATTTGGTATGGCTCAGATCCGGATTATGATGCAAGATTTCGAGGGTGCCAAGCTTCGGCTCGAGAAGATCATTCAGCAAAGCAAGAGCACCGAGGCCATGATTCTTCTGGGCTCTCTTTACGCCGAAGATGTCTTCGCGGCTCAAGCCTCGAACTCGAAAGAGGACAAATCAAATGAGCTGAAGAAAGCCATTTCTCTCCTCGAGAGTGTTCGATCAGCCTGGAGAGATCCCAAGCGCAAGGTCTCTCCGGATACCGCGGTCCTTCTCAACCTTGCCCGCCTGTACGAGACCGACCATCCTGAGAAGAGCCTCCAGTGTCTGCACCATGTTGAGCAGATGGAATTGGACGAGATTCCAGAAGAGGACCGACCAGATGAACCGCAGGCACCGGACCCAAACCAGGAAAACTACGATGTCGCCAAGGAGGTCTACGAAGAGGCGAAGCGGACACACCTCAATGCCCTTCGCGAGAATCTACCACCTCAACTACTCAACAACATGGGCTGCTTCTACTACCAACAGGAGAAATACGCCCAGGCCCGTGAGCTGTTCCAGTCCGCTCTGAACGCCTGCGTGAAGGTGGGTGACAAGGATCAATCCGTGGACACCGATGCCCTCGTGACTACAATTTCCTACAGCTTGGCTCGTACCTACGAGACCGAGGGCATGCTGGACGAGGCTAAGAAGGTCTACGAGGGCCTTCTTCAGCGACACGGCGACTATGTGGATGCCAATATTCGTCTTACGTACATCAAACTTCGGCAGAGTCCTCAGGACGAGGGCCCGAAGGCCATGTCGGATTTGTACAAGGCGGAATCCACGAACCTGGAAGTGCGCGCTTTGTACGGCTGGTATCAGCGCAAGGCCAAGAAACGGACAGCCAACATCCACGAAGACCAGGAACAACGGCACTACAAACACACTCTGCAGCACTACGACAAGCACGACCGGTATTCCCTCACAGGAATGGGCAACATCTATCTGGCATTCGCTCGCGAGATGCGAAGAGACACCGAACAGGATAAGGACAAGCGGCGCAAGATGTATCAAAGGGCTGTTGAATTCTTCGACAAGGCGCTTCAGCTAGACCCGAAGAACTCTTATGCCGCCCAAGGCATAGGCATTGCGCTCATTGAGTGCAACAAGGATTTTGCCAGCGCCGTGCAGCTTTTCACCAAGGTCAGGGAGACCATGAAGGACGCAAGTGTCTACATCAACCTCGGTCACGTTTATTGCGAGCTCAAGCAATACTCTCGCGCCATCGAGAACTATGAGGCAGCGCTCGCAAAGGACCGTGCACGCGATGCCACTATCCTTGCCTGTCTTGGTCGTGTCTGGCTACTTAAGGGCAAGCAGGAAAAGAGTGGTCAAGCCATGAGGACCTCCTTGGAGTACTCCCAAAGAGTGAGTGCGACGGAGAGTTGATTGGAGGAACAAAGGCTAACAAGTTTCCAGGCTCTCGAGGTCGCTCCGGAACAGGACCACTTCAAATTCAACGTCGCCTTCGTTCAGATTCAAATCGCCCAGCTCATCCACACGCTTCCCGAAAACGCCCGTACTCTCGAGGAAGTCGAGGCTGCAGCAAAAGGCTTGGACGATGCCATCGAAGCATTCAGTGCCATCGCCAAATCGCCGAACCCGCCGTTCCCGCGCCAAGACATCGAAGCGCGTGCTAACATGGGTCGCAACACGCAGCGCAAGCAGCTCGAGCGCGCTATCCAGAGCCAGCGCGAGTACGAGGAGAAGAATGCTAACAAGCTCAAGGAAGCTCGCGAGAAGCGCGAAGCTGAGATCAAGCAGCGTGAGGAGGAGAAGCGTCAAAAGGAACAGGCCGAAGCCGAGCGTCTCCGTCAAATTCAAGAGGAGCGCCAGAAGATGCAGGAGCGCGACCGTGAACTCGCCGCCAAGCGTGCTGATGAAGAGAAGCGCGTACAGGAGGCCGAGATGACTACAGACTCGGAGACGGGCGAGCGCAAGAAACGTCAGAAGAAGAGCCGCGGCGCAGGTGGTGGTGGCAAGCGCAAGAAGAAGGGCGCCGACTCGGACAGTGAGGGGGAAGCAGGCTCCGACAGCGATGCCGGTGGAAAAGGACGTCGCTCCAGGCGCCGGACTACGACTTCGGCAACGCCCGGCGGCTCGGATGACGACAAGCCGCGCAAGAAGAAGAAGAGAAAGCTCGAGCGCAAGACGGCGGCCACCAAGGTGCAAAACAGCAAGTACAAGTCGAGCGAATATGTGCAAAGCGATGACGACTCGGACCTGGACGACACGGCGCAGGCGGCGAACGAGTCCCTGGCTGCGAAGGTCCATGATGCCGAGGACGGCTCGCCGCGGCCGGGCGCGGAGAGTGGAGATGAAGGGGCTCCGGCAGCGAGCAGGAACCGGAAACGCGTCGTTGATGATGACGATGAAGATGAGGATGGTGGGGCTGCTGCACCGGCCAACAATGGCGGCGAAGCGGACACACCAATGGGCGGGCTAGACGACGACGAGGAGTAGTAGTAAGTCCCATCACGGACGGGTTTCGAGGCAAGGGTGGATGTGCATAAGCAACGGCGTTGTTTGAAAACTTTGGTTCATCGAAGGTGTGTGGTCGGATGCTGGCACCAAACAAAAACAATTCCCATTCGAAGTTCTGGTCGTCTTGCCGCTTTGACGTATTTACCCCATTCATCAAGATTACTGCAATGGATACCAAGCGAGCACGTTGATAAGGGATTATGGGTTGACTGACAGGCTTGACTGATGTGAGTGGACGTAAGGTAGCAACTGGCAGCTCTTTGAAGGGTTGCGGTGGGGACTGGCGCCGCTACGGGCCTAACGTCTTTATTATCCCAACGCCTTCTAGTGCGCCTTTTTTCCACTGTCTGGGTCGGCCCTGGATATTATTGAAGGCAAGTAAGCAGACGTATTCCTGCTCTGAAGGCTCTGTTCGCTAATGGGCTTGGCATCCGTGCTGTAAAGGGATATCTGTTGAATAATGACGCTCGATAAGGAGGCCATTGTCCTAGTATGGCCGCTAGGTGACTGCCTTGCCCCGGCTCACTATCTCCAAAAGCGATGGTTGCTCCGGCCAGTGCGATGCAAAACCATACGGTCGCTCAGCGTTCTCCTTGTTGAACGACCATAGCAACCCATCGCCAAACAGATGTTCGCTAGCTAATTTGGAGACTAACGACACTCGTCCCGCTCGCTCCCGTACACTACCAGCTAACGAACCAGACTTGGGCGTTCACTTGATGTTGTAACAGGGAGAATGTCTATCAGAACACTAAGCCACGACACATTCACGGGAAAAACAAAAACAAACAACATGCGGATAAGAGCTACGACTACCTCGTCCTTGTTTCAATACTAGACGAATTGGCCTGGTATGACCTTCCAGTCAGGATGCAAACATTACGCCAACCGTGCGGTAGTACTGCCAAGCGGCACCAAGTCTAGAGCCTGTCACTGGAAAGGAAATGCCTCGTTTCTCCCTTGACTTGGACCTATTATCTGGAAACCGAAGGCCTAGCGTTACTTGACTTGTGCTGTTGGGCAGCGTCTCAGAAAGTGTTGAAAGAGCACTATAAAGAGGGGAAGAGGGATACAAAATTTGCCTTGGGCTTCCAGGCGACGTATTATTCAACCATCTCCCATACCCAGGCTCCGTCTTGGGCTTCAAGTTGCGGCCGTTTGCCGAGAACTGCCGACAAGATGGTTGGCATCAATGCGCGACACCTTGTGCACGTAGCAAGGGCGGTGAGTCGATTGAGTATATAAGAAGTAACGTACGGGCGTAGCTAACCCGGCTAGGCTATGACATACACCTCGACCGTACTGCCCGGCCACCCCTGCTCGACGGGCAGCAATTCCACCGCCACACAGGCAAGCTTTGCCAACAACACCATTACAGGTGCCCCCCAGACAGTGTGCTATACAAGCACGCCCGTCGCGACGAACACCAGCTACGCGACGCCGGGCGGAGGCTGTACGCTAGCAGGGCCGGACAGCGAGTTCAGCGAGTCGAAGATTGGCAATGACGGGTACGGCAATGACGTCTACGCGGTCACCTACGGCAGCGCCGGCGGCAGCTCGACCATGTCGACGAGCTACGCGGGCGCAAGCACCTCGTTAGTGTGCATCACGGCAACGCCGCTGCAGACAGCAACGACGTCGGAGGCTCCGTCGACCAGTGCGCCGCCGCCGCCGCCTCCCTCGACGAGCGTGCCGCCGCCGCCGCCTCCGACGACGAGTGCGCCCCCACCGCCGCCTCCGACAATCGTCGTCTCGCCTATGCCGCCAAGTACCACAAGTTCCAGCTCATCAAGCTCCAGCTCAGAAAGCTCCAGCTCCAGCTCCAGCTCAGAGAGCTCCAGCTCCACAAGCAGCGCGCCGACAAACATGCCAACAGTGGTCAGCTGCCCCGCTTCCAACGGTTCAACATACACTGCGGAATCGGTGCAAAACGCCCAATTCTACCTCGAGTGTGGTTCGGACTACCAGTCGTACAACATCGAGTTCCCGCAAGGCTACAAGCCTCCCAGAAACTACAGAAAGCTGGCCAAGCGCGATCCTATTGAAGGCGTTAGCTTTGAAAGCTGCGTCGAGTTCTGTGCGAAGCTCTGCGACTGTCATGACATCTCCTACCAGTTCTCGACCAGCACTTGCCAGCCGAAGAGCGCGGCGGGACAGAAGGTCCAAGGATCCAACGACGTGGTCAACGCCCGCCGGACAACGCCCGGCTGTATCAACGGCTTCCAACCTACCACGCTCTGCACGACTTCGTCCACCTCTGTGAATCTGTGTGCCAACAATGGATGCAGCAAGACTTCTTCCGCCGGCTGTCCATCGACGGGGTGCAGCCAGCCTTCTACTACCGGCTGCCCATCGACGGGGTGCAGCCAGCCTTCTACTACCGGCTGCCCATCGACGGGGTGCAGCCAGCCTTCTACTACCGGCTGCCCATCGACGGGATGCAACCAGCCGTCCCCGCCTCCGCCGCCTCCGAGTTGCGGAGGAGGGAAGTGCAAGAAGTCGCCGCCGCCGCCGCCGCCGCCGTCGGGCACGTCATCTAATGATGATTCCAACCAGACGTCGTCGACGCCGTGCAATTCGCCTTCCCCTCCCCCTCCCCCACCGCCTCCTACTAGCCGCTGCTCAACGTCGTCGTCGTCGTCGTCGTCGTCGTCGACGCCATGCAGTTCGTCTTCCTCTCCGCCTCCTCCGCCTCCTCCGCCTCCCCCACCGCCTCCTACTAGCAGCTGCTCAACGTCATCGTCGTCGTCGTCGACGCCATGCAGTTCGCCTTCCCCTCCCCCTCCTCCTCCCCCTCCTCCCCCACCTCCTCCTCCACCTCCTACCACTACCGCTAGTTGTGGAGGACCGTCGCCGGCGTGCAACAAGCCGCCGCAGTGGCCGCCGGCGGACAAATGTAAGGGTGTGCTGAACCACCCGGGCAAGTTGTTCCGGCTGCGCACGCACGTTGTCAGCGGCGCAGGCAGCCCCGAGTTCGAGAACCTCTACGTTGCGGAGTCGCAGTACAGTAAGTGATTTTTTTTTTCTTTCTCCTTCCTTCTTCCTTGCAAGATATATCTGGATGCTGACTGGGGATGGCTGCAGACGCGAGCAGCTCGGTGCCGACGCTTTCGCGCAACATGGCGGATGGCGGACGCTTCTTCTACGACTCGTCGACGTCGTCGGTCGGGCTGTGGCACGGCAGGTGCCAGTTCTCCGGGCTGACCATGTTCGGCGACAACGACATGGACGCCTACTCGCCGGCCTTCATCACCAACAGCGTCGGCACGCACCGCATGCAGGTCGGCTGGGGCTCGCTCACGTGGGACAACGACCGGTTCGACGGGTGGGTGGTGTGCCGGGCGCATTCCAAGGGCGGCGCGCCTCCCGGCTGTGCATGGTCGCAGGGCGGCAACAATGGCGGCAACAATGGCAACAATGGCAACAATGGCAACAACAACAACGGCAACAACGGCAACAGTGGCAACAGTGGCAACAACAACACCGGCAACAACGGCAACGGGCAGGGGCAGCAGCAGAAGAACGGCGGCGGCGGCGGCGGCGGCAACCGGCGCAAGCGCGACGGGCAGCAATCGTGCTACGAGCTCCAGTGGCACGACGCCATCAGAAACCTGGGCATTGACACGGAGCGGTGCGCCAAGGTCGAGCTGCTGACGGAGAACGAGCAGTGAAGAAAAAAGAGGGTGGTGTTGGGCAATGTTTGGGATTTGCAGTGGGGCGCGCACGCTCATTGATGGGATTGGATAGACGGCGATTTTCACATGTTCCCGTTGGCAGGACAGATACAGATTAGGTAGACGCAGCGCACGGGAGAATTGCAACGGTGAGGTTATCAGTCGATCGGCAATGACACAAGTGGGCCATGACTGCCATGTGCCATGCCCCGGCTGCCAGCGCGAAGAAAATGACCTCTACGGTACATACGCATCAGGCCTGGCGGCGACGGTGACGGCGCGACGGCGCAACGGCCAGCGCGGTGTGCGACGAGCGCCGGCGAGTCTCTTACCGGTTGCGGCTAGACGGCTGCGCAGGCCCCGGCTGCCCTGTGCTGCCCTGTGCTGCCCCTGCTGCCGCCGCTCCAGGCCAACAGAACGCTGTGTTCCCACATCCCCGAACATCAACGCATCATCCACCAAGCCCGCCCGCGCCGCTCCTATGTGACCCTTTCCGCCTTCTGCCCGCCTGTCGCTGCGCCCCGAGCTGTCTGCCCTCACCGTCTCCGCCCGGCTGCCCCCGCGCCCCCGCGCCCCGGCGAGCCCCAGGCCCCAATTGGCCAGGCCCCTGATCGACCCCGCGGGTTCGACAGCTCGACGTCGCCGAGACCAGACGTTTGCATCGTGCATGGTGCATCGTGCCCGAAACACGCCCTCGGGTCCCCAGCGGACCTCTCCCGTTTCGCCAAGCCCGTGCAAAACAAAAGGGAAGGGCTTGCATTAAATCCCGCCGCGCCGCCGCGCCATCGACCGGTCGACCAGACCAGCCCGCTGACCACCCGACCTACCCACGCGGCAGTCCCGCAACGCGCCGTTCGAAATCTACCGACGCGCCGCTTCACCGCATCCCTTCGCTGAGCCCGACGGATAGAAAGCCGGCGCCGCTTCAAATCATCCACTCTTTCCCCACCTTTCCTTGCATCTGCATTATCAACACCGACAACAACACCATCCCCACTATTTTCCTAGCCTTTTTCATCCGCCTACATACTCATAAGCACACACGCTCTCTCTCTCTCTCTCTCCCTCTCTCTGTATATCTCTCTCCATATCTCTCTCCGTTTTTCCATACCGTTTTCCCCTTCTCATAAAAATAGAAGAAAGAAAGAAAAGAAAAAAACCAGCCAACCACCACCCACCACCCACCATGCCCAAACGCACCCGCCCACCGACCATCATCACCCTCCCGGCCTCGTCCCCGCCGCCCCTCCCGCCCACGTCCCCGACCACCAACACCTTCCTCGCCGAGCGCTTCGGGCCCGCCGCGGGCCCGCGCAAGCGCTGGCTCATCTACTTCGTCACGGGCAACCCGGGCCTGGTCGGCTACTACGACCTGTTCCTGTCGCACCTGCATTTTTTGCTCACCGCGCACCCGACGCTGGCGCCGCGCCACGCCTTCGACGTCTTCGCCCGCAGCCTGTCGGGCTTCGAGGCGCGCGGCGCCGAGAGCGCGGGAGGCAGCGTTTGGCCGGCCAACGCCAAGGACGGGAGGGCCCGCGCCGGCAGCAAGCGCGGGTGGGGCAGGCTGAAGCGGCCGCCGTTTGGGCTGAGGGAGCAGGTGGATGGCGTGGAGTGGGCGCTTTGGGACCATGTGAGGGGGATGAGGGAGGAGGGCGAGGAGGAGTACGACGATGGTGATGGAGAGAGGTTCGGGTCCGGGTCCGGGTCGTCGTCGGCGGTGCTGGTGAACGGGGTAGGGGGGGAGGAGGGGGAGGGTGGTGATGATGATGAGGCGCACGGGAAGGAGGGGGAGGAGACGAGGGTGGTGGTGATTGGGCATTCAGTGGGGGCGTACATGGCGCTGGAGGTGGTGAAGCGGTGGCGGGAGTCGTTGAAGGTGAAGCAGAGGCGGGCGCGGGAGAAGAGCGAGAAGGAGGAGGCGGTGGACGGCCCGGTGACGATGCTGGACGCGAGCGCCTACGCCGAGGACGCCGATGTAGAGGAGAAGGAGGGAGGCAGGATCGTGGGAGGCGTGTGCTTGTTCCCGACCGTGACGCACATTGCCAAAAGCAGCAGCGGGATGAAGCTCACCGTACGTTGTTTCCATCACCCTATCAAATTCTTTTTTTCTTCTCTCTCTCTCTCTCTCTCTCTCTCTCTCTCTCTCTCTCATCCTCTCTTCTCCACATCTCTCTCCAATCAAAAGAAAGAAACGCCGTAAAAAAAAAGGAACCAGATCGTTCCTCTCTCACACACAAACACAAAACTCATCAACCAACGAACCAAAACAAACAGATGCTCCTCGAATCGCTCCCCACCCTCCCCGTCCTCGCCTCCGTCCTCGCCCACGTCCTCACCTTCTTCTTCCCCACCCTCCTCCTCGCCGAGCTCCTCGCCCTCGTCCTCGCCCACCCGCCCGACGCCGCCCGCACCACGGCCGAGTTTCTGAAATCCCCCCACGGCGTCCGCCAGGCCCTGCACCTCGCCGCCGACGAGCTGCTGTCCATCACCGCCGACCGCTGGGACGACGAGGTCTGGGGCTCTTCTTCCGCCTCCTCCTCCGCGGCGGCGGCGACAACAGGGCCGAGCCCCGCGGTCGGCGCCGTGCCGCCGCGGACGAAGCTGTTTTTCTTGTTTGGAAAGGACGACCACTGGGTCGCGGACGAGACGAGGGACGAGCTGATGAGGGAGAGGGGCCGGACGAGGGCGCAGAGGGGTGAGGCCGAGAGGTGGAGGCCCGTCATGGAGGTGGATGAGACGGGGATTCCGCATGGGTTTTGCATCGGTGAGTTTCTTCTATTTTTTTTTCTCTCTGTCTCTTCTTTCTCCTATCCGACTTTCTCGAGAAGGGCGCTGTGGAAGAATGAATGCTTTGGAGCATCTTGGAATGCCGGAACGTTTGGGCACAGGCTGACTGACTGGCGCGCGATGAATCACAGATCCAAACCACAGCATTACAGTGGCCGAGAGGGTGGCCAGATACATAGAGGAGATCGTTAGACAAGAAACAGTTTGATTTTTTTTCTTCGCGGCCCTCGTGGCCTGGGCGTGGCTTAGCTCGAGGCTAGCTCGCCATTGTTAAAGCATATATACCAGTTCTTTTCCACCAGAAGAAGTTTTTTTTAATTCAAACCACCAAACAGTCCGCATCGTGCCAACTGCCATTGAGTAAACATCCGCTGTGTCGACATCCACTGTGTCAACTTCGACCGTGCCAACTTCACCCCATGTCATCAACTTCACCCGTGCCAACTTCACCCATGTCAACTTCACCCATGTCAACTTCACCCATGCCAACTTCACCCCATGTCGACTTGCTCTGTTCTGCTGCTGTCACTGTATCAGTCAGTAAGAGATTCTGACTCAAGTCGAAAGCGAGTGAACTTACATCTACAGCTTGGTGACGGACTTGGAGACGACCTTCTGGGAGATCATCTTCCTGCCACCAACAGTCGGAGTGAAGGTCGACTCGAAGGTGATCTTGCGGTTCTCACTCTCGACCTTGTCGGCCTGAAGGTTGTTCTTGTAGCCCAAGAAGGCGTCCTGGGCCAGCATGTAGTTGCCGACTGAGAAGGATCCAAAGGGGGTGTTGATCACTGCAGATGTAGGATCAATGGGAATCGTAAAGAGGGGGGGAGGAACGCAAGAGCAAGTTACGAACCAGACCAGCCTTCGGCGCGAGTCTTGTTGAAGACGTTGAAGAACTCAGTGCGATCCATGCTCGCGTAGTCGGCCGTGTACTGGGCCGCAACGGGCGATGCCTCCTTGGGCTGCTGGTGGCGGGTAGGGTGGCCCCTGGCCTTGCGCTGGCCCTGAGTCTGTGAGGCAGGAGTGACCTTGGGGGCCGACAAGAAGAAGTCCGTGTCCGGCGTGTTGGTGAATCGGGGGGTGGGAGCATTGGCCGAGGAGGCCATGGACTGCTGGACGGCCGGCTGAGCTGCCTGAGCCTGAGGACGAGGATGACTGGGGATGGTCGGAAGGGTTGACGCAGCCTGAATGGTAGGGGTCTCGTGGTGGTGGATCGAGAAGCCGGCGTCAGCCTCACGCTGCTTGCCGAACAGCTCGCGGAGAGAGAGCTGACGGCCCATGGGAACGCTCTCAGGCTCATCGGGCTCAGAGGACGAGCCGTTGTTCATGGCCTCAAGGGTCCTGCGGCTGTTGTCAACCAGAGCAGCGCACTGCTTGATGATCTCGGCGTTGATTTCGCGAGCACGGGCCGTGGAGGAGGGGTGAGGTTCGGTGAAGATCCAGAGGCCGAAGATTTGGAGGCTTCCGTCCTCGTGCTGGCTCTGGAGGATGACATAGTCATCGGTCAGTTCGACATCGTCGGCGGACTTGAGTTCGACCGAGAACTTCTCCATGGAGCGGCGGTTGAATACGATGACAGAGCAGCGAGCAATACCATCATCCGAGGGCATGAGCTGGTTGATGAACAGGGTGCCATCAACACCGTACTTCTCCCAGGCCTGGGTCTCGGGCGAGAAAGCGTAAACAACGCAGAACGAGGCAATGGAGACGATGGAGAGCAGGTCAGGGTAGTGACGGCGGAGGACAGCCAGGTTGAGCTCCTCGTTGGTGCGGTGAGGCGGCGGCGCCAGGTTAGCGAGTGAGTTCTGGGAAGGGAAGTCGGTCTCGTAGTCGGATGCGGCTGCAGCAGCGCGCGACTTGTTCTTGGCGGGGGCCATTGTGATTGGTGAAGAGTGGAAGAGTGGAAGAACGGGGATGAGGATCGAAAGTAGTCGAGTGAGGATGGATGAGCGTTCAGTGAGCACAGCTGTGTAGCGACAAAGGGCCTTGCGATCAACGCGTGGGACGATGCTGTCAGCTGTGAAGAAAAGCCGTGTGTGTGTGGATGAAGAAGAATGGAAGAACAGCTGGTGGTGCGGCGGGCGGCGCAGAATATATGGGCGCTGGGTGTGAAAGTGACGGCGGCGGTTGCTATTGTGCCCTGCCCAGCCCCGCTGTTTTTCGTGGCCGGTGGTCCAAGCGGGCGAAACGGCTGCGTCGGGGCTCGCTGGCTGGCTGGCTGGCACACTGGCGCCCGCCGCCGCTGGCCAAGCCAAGCTGCAGCTCCGCCCGCTGCTGCGCTGTGCGTCATCCCGCCGCACAGCCACACCAGCCCGCCGCGTCCCGCCCTCGCCGCCCACAGCTCTCCGTAAATCCTGAGACCTTTGCCCCCGCCGCCGCCACGCCCCAGCGCTGCTGATGCTTGCCATGTGAGGTGCAAGATCTCCAAACCCGCCCTCTTCCCTGCGCCGTCCCCAGCAATGTCGTCCGAAGAGCCTGCCACCCCCGACCTGGACCAGCCCATGCCGGGCGCCTTTCCCTCCACCGCACCCGGCCCCTCGTCGACCCCCCAGAATCTTTGGCAAGCAATCCACGAGCGGCGTCACGAGTACGTGCGCCCCAAGGAGATCCGCATCAAGGTCGGAACATGGAACGTCGCAGCGTTCAAGGGCACCGAGAAAGACCTGGGCGGCTGGTTTGTTGGAGGAAAAGGCGTCGAGGAGGCTCTGTCAGGCCTGGGCGTCTCGGATCCAAATAACCCCCAGGCTGGCGATACCGTAGACGATGGCCTGCGCGAACGTCCCCTCGAACAAGAGGCCCGACACACAAACGAGGAATCGACGCTGCCGAAGAACGATCATGCCAGCGTACCAGCTGACGACGACATTGCTCTATACGTGTTGGGCCTGCAGGAGGTCCTCGACGTTTCCTCGCCCGCCGAAGCCTTGAGGCCCTACACCGACCCTGCGACCGCCGCCAAATTCAAGGCCGCCATGCAATATGATCTGCCTCAGGGCTACCAGCTCGTCGCCGAGCAGCAGCTCATTGGCCTGCTCCTGCTTGTCTACGCCGCACCTTCGATTGCCCCCGAGATACGCGCCGTGAGCACAACGAGCGTCGGGACCGGCCTCATGGGGTACATGGGGAACAAGGGGGCCGTTACGGCTAGAATAGTGCTGGGCGAGACAACGCGCTTGGTCTTCATCAACTCGCATTTGGCGGCTGGCGCAGACAAAACGTCATTGGAAAGGCGCAACTGGGATGCTGCCCAGGTTGTTAGCCGCACCAAATTCGACCCGATTACCGACGCTCTCGGCGTGACACAGGCCAGCGCCGAAAGCATTGGCGACGAGGACTTTGCCTTCTGGATCGGCGACCTCAATTACCGGTTGGGCGGCATGCCAGGTGAAGACGTGCGGCGAATTTTGATGCTGCATACACGAAACGAATACGACCTTTCTCAGCGGCAAGCAGAGAAGATCGAGAAGGACATTGCTTCCTCTGGCCACGTGCGTTCTGATACCGCGGTTGAAATCTCGGAGCAGTCGAGCAATGAGGACCAGCCCGAAGCAGAGCCCGAAGCAGAGCCCGAAGCAGAGCCCGAAGCAGAGCCCGAAGTGATTGTAGCAGCCAAATTTGATCCTGCCTCGCTTCAGGCAACTATCGAGTCTCTACTGCCACACGACGAGCTGCGCAAGCAGCAGCGTCTGCGGAAAGCTTTCTACGATGGATGGCGGGAAGGTGATATTGAATTCCTGCCCACCTACAAGTACGATGTGGGCACAGTGGGCATATTCGACTCAAGCGAGAAGCGGCGTTGCCCGAGCTGGTGCGACCGTATCTTGTACCGCACACGCCGCGATCGGTTGGCCTACTACGCCAAAGTCAAGGAGGAAGAGGAGGCGAAAAAGAGGGACGAGGAAATGAAGAAACAGGGTCTAGACAAGGACGCCGACAACGACGTCCTATTTGAGTATGACCCAGAGACGGATGGCGACTTTGGTTATGACGAGGCCACAGACGCCCGGGACGATCCCATTCCAGTGCTGACGAAAGATGGCTTCGAGGACGAGATCGCACTGGAGTATTACACAGCACACCAACGGGTTTTGTCATCGGACCACAAGCCTCTGGATGCTGTCTTCAGGCTCAAATACGACAGCGTCGTGCCGGAACTGAAAGCCAAGGTGCACGCCGAAGTTGCTTGGGAGCTGGATCGAGCGGAGAACGAGGGGCGACCAGGCGTCACATTGATCGTCGAGAAGGACCCAAGTAAGAATGGGACGAGGGATGATTCAAAGACAGATTTTGAGGGAGTGGATTTCGGCAACGCCAAGTATCTTAGCGTACGCCGACGGCATGTGACAGTGGCCAACACCGGCCAAGTTGCTGCAACTATCAGCTTCTTTGGGAACCCTGGAGAGGAGTGCAGCGAAGTTCAACCCCCACCGTGGCTCACGCTGCGTTTCGACCGAGAGGCGGACACACCAACGCGACCGAACACTCCTGCGTCGTATACACTGGAGCCTGGTGATGCGTGCAACATTGATATGGTTTTGAAGGTAGACAGTATGAGTCTAGTGCACGAGCTGAATGACGGGAAGGCACAACTTGAGGACATCCTCGTCTTGCGCGTCTCTGACGGCCGCGATCACTTTCTACAGGTGCGCGCCAGCTGGCTTCAAACGAGCCTCGCTCGGTCCATCGACAAGCTCATCCGCATACCCGAAGGCGGCATCAGGAAACTGCAAGGGCAGATACCTGAAGGCAATGGCAGCAGCGACAGTCCCTCCAAACAGGCAGGGGTAAAGTGGTCAGCTCCCCGGGAACTGTTCCGACTGACGGAGGTTCTAGAAGACCTGGTCGAGCGGGTGATGGCTGAGTGGGACATGACGGAGCACGAAGAAGGCACAAAGGCGCCCTGGCTGTCGCAGGCGCAGCTCAACTCGGGCGGTGGCTGGCCCTTTGCGCCGGAGACGTGGACAATACAGGACGCCGCCGAGCGTGACTCGGTCAAATGCGCCATCATTGACGCACTCGACACGGACTCGGCTTTAGAGCAAGCGTTTGAGCCAGAGACTTCCGCGGTGTTGCGGGTCGAATGCCTCGCAGAAACGATGACGCTGTACCTACGCAGCCTCGAGGACGGGGTGGTGCCGGCAGAGCTGTGGAAGAAGATAGAAACGGGCTACGACGAGCAGGTGCGGAGCAAGAAGCAGCTCAGCCGTGAGGAGGAGCGCATGTGGATCTTGGAAATCATGGCGGGCGCGCCCAACCACAACGTCTGCTTCGTGCTCCTGACGTCGATGCTTGCGCGCATCGCGGCGGAGGTGCGTTCGGCGACGAGGATGGAGCAGGCGCTCAAGGGCCCGACGAGCCCTCTCAGGCGGACTCTGACCGGAGTGGCGGGAAGGGTGAGGAGCGCGAGCGAAGCGCAGAAGATGCAGACGCTCAACGTGGAACGGGGGCTGTCCAGCACGTTTGCGGACGCGATTGTGCGGGTGCCGGAGAAGGCGAATTTGAAAGACAAAGAAAAGCAGACGAGGAGGCAGCGGATGTGCCGGGTTGTGGAGCTGTTCGTGCTGCCGGACGAGAAGGCTTGAAGCGCGCGTAGTATGATACCCAAGTCTGGCACAATACGGATAACGTGATACTAGGGCCAAGAAATGCGGATTGCTTGTGTGCTACCTTGGCTCCCCAACGACTACGTCTGTTTCTGCTTCGACTGCTTGACGCTACCACGTACGTCGGGACATGTTCTTCGACTGCGCATAACCTCTCCAGCCTGCTCACATGTGACGCGAAGCTGTGTCGGGCTTGATGATGCATGGGGAAGGTAGGTAAGTGGCAGAAATATCACGCTCTTGGCCAGATGCCGGGGGGCTGCTTATTAGGCAAGAGCCTGACGGTAGGTGACACGATGGGGGTGGGGGCAGGGGCAGCAAGTACCGGCCCGTGGCGAATCGGGCATTTTTTCTATACAACAGGCGACGGGGCCTTCTCCGGACAAGTATTGATGCTCGCTTATACGAACAGCCAGCTCTCGCCTGGCCAGCGCTCCTCACCGCTGGCACGCGTCGCGGACCGAGGACCCTGAGGATGCGTCGAGTTATCAAGGCCAAGACCTCCTTCTGTCCGACGACTGCGCCATGGACGTGGACGTGTTGGCTGGAGACGGATTTGGACCAGCGATCTTGTCCGAATCGACAGCATCCCCGGGATTAGCGCTGCGATGGAGTTCCGGCGATGCTGTTGCTGATCTTGCTCGACGGCGATCGTTACCAAGCGAAATTGCCAGCCCCAACTTCGCGCTGCTTCTTCTTTTCTCGGCACGCGGCTCCGTCGGCCGCCGCATCAGCATCGTGGACCTACTTCCGGCCCAATAATCGGTTCCTGGTCGTTCGAGCACTCCCAATCCGGCAAGCCAACATGTCTTTGCCAGCTGAATGCCATCTCCCGGCCCCTGAACTGCAGCTAGTGCGCCCGCCGCCTCGGCGGCAATGGATGCAATAGCAATCCAACACTTTCACAGCCTTGCAGCAATGGCACGCCACTGCGATAATCGAAACATTGCCGGGCGGGCGGTCCAGTAGCACGTCTTCACCAGCAATGGACGTGGCCCGTTGCCGCCCAATCACCCAGTAAAACGCGAGTTGCAGATGTCAGACAGCGGCTAGGCCCCTGTGTGGCCTCCTCTGTATTGGTGAGCCCGGCCATCAACCCTGTCAGCGGGTCGAGTCGACGCCCACCTGGTGCCTGGGGTGACATGCCCGCAAGCTGACTAGCCGTGGGGCCCCTGCTGATGCCGGCCTAATACAACGGCCCGCCGACTAACCGTCCGCCGACTAACCGTCATGGTGTGGAGACTGCCCTCTCGTCATGCACAATGGCTGGGCTGCGGTCGAGAGAAGGATGCAATGGCCGGTCCCGGACACTGGCAGCGGACCGAGTATCCCCTATTGTGAATATAACCATGCCATATGCCTACCCAGCCCACCTGCCTTCCCGCAACACCGATAAGCACCCGCACGCTCGCTTCCCCTCGTTCGCTCTCTTGCCCTCGTTTGCATCTATCCCCGAGCTATAGCTCGCCTCTGTGCCTATAACAGAGATCTGATCTGTCGTTTCCGCCTCTTCTCCTTTGCCTGTTGCGGGGGATCCGTCCGACTTAACAGGAGCCTGATCAGCGTAGCTTTGGGAGCACAAGCTATGCCTTCGTTTCGCTCCGTGGCCGCCGCGGCGCTGTTGGGCCTTGGTGCCGTCGCGAATGCTGATTCGCTGACGTGCCAGTCCCTGGCGAGCATGTCTAGCATTTCCATTGACCTGCCTCTGACTTTGGACTACACGACAGAGAACAATGAATACTGGTATGTTCTCGATTGACCGCACTCTGTTCCTTGTGGGCTGTCCAAGTGTGAGAAAGAACTTTTGACCACGCAGCGCTGATTTCATTGCTCTCCCAGGTCCACTGGCTGCGCGGCCCTCAAGCCGGCCTGCATCATCAAGCCGGCCTCGGCGGCAGAAATGTCGACCGTCATCAAGACGCTGAGCCAGAACAACGAGACGTTCGCGGTGAAGTCGGGCGGCCACAACCCCAACCAGAACTTCTCGAGCATCGACGGCGGCCCACTCATCTCGACGGCCGAGCTGAACGAGGTCACCCTGGACAGGGACGCCATGACGGTCCGCGTCGGCCCAGGAAACAGATGGGAGGACGTGCACAAGGTGCTGGATGGGACGAACACGACCATCATCGGCGGCCGCATCGGCAACGTGGGCGTGGGAGGCTACATCTTGGGCGGTGAGTTCTTCCAGCCTTCCAGTACGGACCCGATGCCCGAGTGAAGAGAACTGACCGTTGCTCCTCCTCCTCCTCCAGGCGGGCTCAGTTTCCTGACGGCCGAATACGGCTGGGCGGCCAACAACCTGGTCGAGGTCGAGCTGGTGCTGGCCAACGGCACCATCACCACCGCCTCGGCCACCAACAACGCCGACCTCTTCAAGGCGCTCAAGGGCGGCGGCGCCAACTTCGGCGTCGTCACCACCTACACGCTCAAGGCCCACCCCATCGGCGACGTCTGGGGCGGCAACCTCATCTTCACCGCGTCCGACGCCACCGACAAGGCCCTCCTCGCCGCCCTCCAGAACTTCACCCAAAACTACCCCGACGAAAAGGCCGGCATCATCCTCACGTCCGAAATCACCCTCACCAACCTCGTCCACATCTGGATCATGTTCCTCTTCTACGACGGGCCCTCGCCGCCCGCCGGCGTCTTCGACATGTTCACCGACCTCAACCCGGGCATCAACAACGCCAAGACGCGCTCCTACTACGACCTCCTCTCCTACAACAACTGGGCCGTCCTCAAGGGCTCCGCCTACACCATCGCCACCGAAACGACGCCGCTCCTCGCCCAGGACGCGTCCGACTCCGCCGTCAACACCACCCTCGCCCACCTCGAGGAGTGCTACGCCCACTGGGTCACCACCTCCAAGTCGCACGCCGCCATCCCCGGCCTCGTCGCCTCCCTCGCCTTCCAGCCCTACCCGGCCTCCTTCGCGAGCAAGGCCCGCGCCGTCGACCCCCAAGGCGACCTCATCGCCTTCGACGACGCCGCCGACCGCATCATCTTCGAGTTCGACTACTCGTACCTCCGCGGCCTGTCCGCCGTCGACGTCGCCGCCGACGAGGCCACCGTCGAGCTGTACGGCGGGATGAAGGACATCGTCGACGCGGCGGTGGCGGACGGCAGGGCGCCCGACGTGTATAGGCCGCTGTTCATGAACGACGGGTATTTCAGGCAGGACTATTGGGGGCGGTTGGACGCGGAGAGCAGGGCGTTGGCGGAGGGGGTGAGGGCGAGCGTGGATCCGACCGGGTTTTGGGCGGGGAGGAGCGCGGGCGGGTTCAGGTTGTGATGAGGTGTTTTCCTTTTTTTTTTTAAAAAAAAAAAGACTTTTTTCTTTGGCGAGTCGTGAGCGACTGAGGGGAGGGGAGGGTTGGATATGAGATGTTTAGGAGTGATGACTGGATGCTTTAGGTTCTCGGTATATACTTGTTTAATGGTACATACGTTACGCTATCGACCCTATTTGTGTGTTTGGATTGTGGATGTTGGTGGACGGCAGGGAAAAACCCTTATGAGACCCATGTTCCCCAATTCCATGGGAAGCCATTTGAACAAGAACTAAATTTTGGACCGGCCTTCATTCTCCAACAAGTAGTTAAATAGATCGCATGGAGATTTTATTTATGCTATTTGCCAGTCTTTTATAGACCTGGATGCTGATTGCTGGCTTATTTGCCTGCAATCCACGGGAAGTTTGCCTGCGTTCGGCTTGACTTTCAACACGAGTGCAGGGGCCCGTCGAAGATAGAACCACGCATGCCTGTCACGCGAAGGTAGGAAATCAATGACCGCGCGCGCGGTGCGAATGCCAGAGGACCAACCCAATTATTATACGGCACTCCCCCGGCCTCTCCCCCCATACCACCAATGCAACTATGAACGCGAGGGGAAAATATAGATAGGGAGAAAGACGAAACCTTCACCATCCTTCTACAGCTCCGTCCTCGGGCTCCGCATCCCCACCATCTCGATCCCCAGGCCCTGCAGCTCACCAGTCCTCCGGATCCCAGCTGATACGCTTCCGCCGCCGCCGCCGCCGCCACTCTTCTCCAGATCGTCAACCACGACCACCGGCGAGCCGCTCACCGTCGTGGCATCGTCGTCGTCGTCCTCGATCAGCGTCCCGACGCTGGCTTTCCGGATGGCCTTGGCGAGCGGCGTCATCGAAATGGATGTGTCGATGGTCGGCGGCGCGAGCGCAGCGGATGGGGCGGCGGTAGTGGCGGTGGCGATGCTCGGAATACGCGCGTTGCGGTTGCCGTCGCTGCTGTCCGGGTGGCGGTGATGATGGAGTGGCAGGATGGGCGCGGTGCTGCCGGACCTGGTGTTGTTCGAAGACGTGGTCGTGGTGTCGGCACCGGCGCTCGTGCGCCACAGGTCCAGGGGCGACTTGCAGAGGGACTTTGAGAGGGAGAAGAAGGATTTGCCGCCGCTCCCGGCGGTGCTGTTGCTGCGGGCGGTCGTGGTGGACGAGGTGAGGTACGTCTTGCAGCTGAAGGTGGAGCGGGCGGATGGGGAGATGGGAGTGTTTCCGCTGCTGCTGCCGCTGCTGCTGCCGCCGTTGCGGATGATGTGGAACATGCCTTGATGAGGATGGCCGTCGCTTCTCTTGAACAGTCGGGCGGGGCTCAGGTTCTTGGCCCATGAGCGATACATGTCCGAGGCGTCGGTGCCGAGGCCGAAGAAGAGAAAGAGGAGGAAGCCGCAGGCGAGGCTGACCCAGCGGTCGGGAATAGGTTCGCCGTGGGTGAGATAGGGCTGGATCGTGGCACGTTGGACGGGGTCGTGGTTGCGTGACCATGAGTATTTCAGAAATGGGTGGAGCAGGTTCAAGTATAGGATGGTGGCCTGGGCGGGGAGGATGCCGAGAAGGATCAAGGTTGAAAGAAGGAAGAGGCGCAGGAACCGTGAGCGTGTGGTGTTGTGTGAGTGGACAAGGCGCGAGAACTCGGCGCGGTAGCGATGCATACGCACGATGACGAGGACTGTGGATGGCATGTCAGTTGGCTTGTGTTTTGGCAGGAGAGTCAGCAAGTACACGCACCGGCGTAGTATCCAACGACGAAGTCAATGACTAGCGGCCAGATATAGATCAGACCAACGCCGACCAAACTGTTGTCGATGGCTGGCACACAGCCGCTAATGTCATAGATGTAGTAACGGTAGACCTTGACGATGTCGAACAGGCCAAGCTGGAGGATGGGAGGAGCCCAGCAGATGATGGCATCGATGAGATATTGGCGGATACGCTGGGCTCGACAAGGCCTCACGACTTGGTTCTTGGTGTCAAGGACTTTGGCGAGACCACGCATGATGCAAAGAAGGGCGGTGCTGATGCCGGTCCAGCCAGCTACCATGACGTAGACCTCGACGTCGCAGACACCGTATCCGGGAAACCAGTGGCGCACATCTTCATTGCCCCAGATCAGAGCGTTGATCAAGGCGAAGAAGTTGTAGGCGATGAACCAGCCGACCAGAGCAGCTGCAGCAAGGTTGTGGTTGCGCACATGCCAGATGAGAGGGGGAACGTCAAGGATGATGGCCAAACCCGCAATTGGGGGAAGGTAGATGGCGGCGGGATAGAGCGGAAACTCTTCCTCAGCCATTGTCGACGAAGAGGAAAGTGTGTCCGTTGGGAGGGGCTTCCGAGAGGGCCCGGTCGAGCTGAGATGGCCGGACAGAAATGAGAGCAACGAGTCGCAGCAGCTTCCAAAGCTCAATTTGGGAAATCCTGGGATTGACGGAGCTGGAAGCAGAGCCAACGAGACAAAGAGATTGTGTTGCAGGAAGAAGAGTTGGGCAAGCCATGGCGGGAGAAGTAAGTCTGATCAGTGTAGACATGTCTATACAGGCATTGACAGAAGGTCTCAATAAGCTCAATAAGAAGATGCGGGTGAGTTTCTGGGAAGTGATTTGCGGCGATGCAGTTTGGCTTGGCGGTCGTTATTGAGGGTGAGTCGTCGACCAGCCGTTTCCGGGGGTCAATAGCAGGAACACGGCCGTCCAGCAACACATATTTGCGGACGGGTTTCTCGACAGCAAGAGTCAGGAGACATTTCGACGCAGCTCATGGGCGATTTGGGGCGAGGGTCTCAACACGGCTGGGGCGCGGGAGAGCGATTGATGGGAGGAAGTGTACGGACTAGGACTGTTCCTTAGCTGCCGACTACCTGACCCGACGGACGCCCTTGATGCCGGATTTGCTGCGCATTCACCAAGGCGAGGCGCAATTATGGAGCTGGGGCGCGGGGAGAGCGATTGATGGGAAGAGGTGACTGTTCCTTAGCTGCCGGCTACCTGACCCGACGGACGACGCCCTTGATGCCGGATTTGCTTCGCGTTCAAATATATGGAGCTGGGGCGGGCGCGGTGGTGCTAGCTGGCGGGGCGATAGCGCAGGCGGCGACAGGGGAGGAATGGCGGGGATGCACCGGTCAGGTCTGGAATGGTGGGGGCGGGCGGTGATTGGAAGGACGAGGGCAGAGGGATGAAGGGTGTAGCGGATGTGGGGCCGGCTGTGCTGTCAGGGCGCAAATCACCAGCGCTGGCGACGCGTGACTGCCCGGGACTGCCCAGTGACTGCCCAGTGACGCGGGCCGCTTCGTCGACCAAGTCCGACCACCACCTCTGCCACAGCTGGTCTTCAGCTCCCGTCGCGCCGCACCATGCAAGACGCGCAATCCCGCCCTCGCCCACCCGCTGCCACCCACCTCGCCGCGGCCCCCGAGTCCGCCCGCACCGCGCGCAATCCCCCTCCAGCTGCTCTCGCACGCGACCGCGCCTGCGCGAAGAGAAAGAGCCATGGCCGACGACCCGCCTGAAGCCAGCTCCAGCGCCGCCGCACGCCCCTTCCCTGTGCAACCAAAGCAGCCGCCCGCCCTGCGTCACCGCCTGCCGCGCTCCCACACCACGCCCTGGGATGCCTCCGCCTCGTCGTCGTCAATTGCCCCGCCGCCGCACGTTCTGCGCCGCCGCAGCTCCATCATCTCCGACTTCTCCTCCATCCGCGACTCCACCGACAACATCCTCAATCCCGGCTCGCGCGACGCCGACAAGCTGGACCGCGCCGAGCCCACCCACTGGCACTCGCTGCCCCTGGTCTTCGCCATCCTACCTGCTGTGAGCGGCATATTCTTCCAAAATGGCAGCGCTGTCGTCACCGACATTCTGCTGCTTGGTCTGGCCTCGCTGCTGCTGAATTGGTGTGTGCGCATGCCGTGGTATGTCTCTGTCTTGCTCCGCGCTCCCTCCCATTTCTTTTTTTTTGACTGCAGACGCAGGGAATGGTATCACGCCGCCCACACCCCTGCATCATTGGTGCAAGCAGCCGGGATAGGCCTGTCTGATACCATACCAGAGGAAGACTCAGAAGACGACCAAGTCCTCGAAGACTCGCTCACCGCCGACGCAAAGACTGTCTCGGAACACAGCGACAATGCTCAACAAGACACCCCGGCCCCAGAACGCTCGCCTGAATATGTCGCCGCCGTCAGAGAGCTGCAGTTTGACCAGCTGTATGCCCTTGCCGCATGCTTCCTGGGTCCAGTCTTTGGTGCATACCTCCTCCACGCCATTCGCGCCTCGCTGTCGCGTCCATCCGAAGGTCTTGTTTCCAACTACAATCTCACTATATTCTTGCTCGCTGCCGAAGTCCGCCCCGCATCCCATCTCCTCCGCATGCTCCGTGCCAGGACAATGTATCTGCAGCGCGTCGTGCGCGAGCAAGCCGAGCCCGACTTGAAACCCGATGAATCCGTCGTTTCCGACCTAGGCAGGCGCCTCAGCGAACTCGAGTCGCACATGGCCGACGTCGCTTCCGCCAATGCCGCCATTAAACAGAAGGAAAAGTCTGCGGGGCCGACCAATTCTGCCGAAGTTGTGAATTCCGTCCGCCAAACCTTTCAGCCTCAGTTGGATGCGCTGAACCGTGCTGTGCGCCGCTACGAGAAGCGCGCCACGACTCAAACCATGACGACCGAAGCCCGTCTGCAGGACCTTGAGTCACGGCTCAAAGATGCGCTCGCATTGGCAGCTGCGGCGGCGCGAGGCGGGCAGCAGAAAAAGCCAGGTGTCGTCACCATCTTGTATGACTGGTTGCGCACTCTGCTCATGATCCCTCTGCAAGCCATGTGGACGCTCATGGTGTATCCGTTTCAAATGCTGTCAAGCATGACCATAAGCGTCAAAAAGTTTTTGTTTGGTTACACGAAAAAAGTTGATAAAAAGGGCAAAGGAAAAGCCAAAAGCGTGCCGGAAAGGGGGCATGGAAGCTTGAATGGGTATAGAGCGCAAGCGGGGCCAAGCGGGAGGAGGTGAGCAACAAGTTCCCGTGGGGACTCCTCCGAATGAACTAATGAAAATCACATTGTCATTCTGAAGTAAGGGAGGGGTTGATGCTGCAGTGAGTCGGCAAAGCTGAAGGAGCACCATGGCATCGCTACCTGTTCCATGGCGCCCTTTGAGCTCCGAGGAGATGACGGAAGGTCTGCACCATGTTGCTGCTCATTCTCCCCGCCCTTCGTCTCTATCTGCACCAAATCTCGATGTGCGAAACAGCGCATGCGCTGGCACGTCTTGAGTGGCATTATCACCAGCTAACGGAAGCATCTCCGCTCCCATCAAAACTAAACAGCTCAGCATGACGGAAGCGGCCGCCCAAGGGCCTGCGTCTTGGGCAAACCCTAAAAGATGCTTAGAATGACACTAATCCCGCAGTAGGCGTGGTTTGCGCGCAAGCGCGTCCACATTGCCGGATTTTCCCCTCCTCCGGCCAACGCTCTAGCCCCCGCACGTCGTCCGTGTGTAACAGGTGCCTGATCTGCGCAATAATGGCTGCATATCTTCGCTGGTCACTTGCGTAGTACAGGCGAGCGGGAAGGCCGGCGATGCTGCTGCTGGGGGAGTGCGGGACCGTCGTCGCTCTTGGCGCTGAGAGAGATGAGTTGGCTTTGTCTGCACCATAAAGCGCATCATTAAGGTCCGGGGTGACAGTATCGTCTTTGGGCTACGTACCTCCTGGCTTCGAATTAGGGTGGGGATTGGTTCTTTTTTCTTTCCCCTCACGTCAAAGGACACCGAGCTCTTGACGTTATCCTGCTTGTGCACTGCTTCACGGACTAGAACACACGAATACGTTCTGAGAGTGGATGCATTATTTAGCCTAATACCAGGATGTGTATAGCATCAATCTTAAGTCCTCAACCTTGTCTTATATGCCCCAGCTACGGCTAGGTGGTCCACACCTGCCTACTTTCATGACACGACCATGGAACATCGCCATGGAAGACGATCAAGCTTGGAGTGGTAGGCTTCCCAAGCAGATTCCTTTGGCCTGCCAGTGGGACGAAAAATGCGTATGCCGTGGCGTGGCAAGACAACAACGGAATCAAGCATGGACAAATGGCAATGTGTGAGCACGCGGGCGTCCAAACGATGCCTACAACGCAAAGAAGGTATGCAACCATCATCTATCACGAACGCGCTCGCTGCCAGCCACCGAGTGAAGTGCCCTTAGTCGGACGAAATTCCATTTTCTCGATTAAGTCTCAATTACCACACGCTATCGTTCAGTCATTCATCAGCCCACCCAGATGCATATCTTCGTCGTCGTCGTACTGCATGCCATGGACCCGTAGTAAAAAAAAGGTCATCTAAGGCCTCCACCACCAACCAACCATCTCACCAAAAAAAAAAAAATCAATCCACCACCTAAAGCCCCAAGTCATACATGACCATTGCCCCGGTCCTGAAATTATACACAAACGCGACCCTGCCCTCGGGCGGGCGGCCGTCGGCGTCCCACTTGCGGCGGTAGCCGTCGAGCATGGCGTGCACCTCCTGCAGGTACTGGCGCTCGGCGAGCGGCACGGCCTGGATGACGCGGCGCCACGAGTCGGGCTCGCCGAGGCGGGCCTCGCGCAGCGACTCCATGACCTCGTCTTTCGTCTCGATGGCGGCGACGGGCCCGCCGGCGTACGAGGCGAGCAGCTCGCGCGTGCGGGCCTGCGCCGCCTCGACGATGCCCCACTTGTTGCTCTTCTTGGAGCGGTGCTGCGCCATGAGCACCTGCACGTTGTTGGTGTTGGTGGATGACGAGCCGGGTCCGCTGCTGCCGGCGCCGGCGCCGCTGCCGCCGCCGCCAGAGCCGCCGGCGTTGTTGCTGGAATCGGCGGAGCCGCCGTGGGTGTAGTTGTGGCCGTCGTGGCCGACGAGGCTGGCGCCGGCGCCGAAGAGGCGGTTGGAGCCGAGGCGGGGGACGGCGGGGCGGCCTTCGCGGTGGTCGCGCTCGCGCATCTCCTGGCGGAGGTACGAGAGCAGCTCGGAGCTGCGGATGTCCGTGTCTTCCTTGCGCACGAGCGACTTGACCTTGAGGTCGGGCTTGCCGGTGCTGAGGGCGTCGGCCTTGATGATGACGATCCACGAGTGCTTGTCGTCGGCGTAGTGCGAGACGAGTTCCTCGGGCGAGCGCGCGTCGATGGAGAGCTCGGCGCTGACGTCGTGAGCCCACAGATCGCCGAGCATTTTCACGCCCGTGGAGCGGAGGGCGGCCGAGTCGAAGCACGCGATGAGGACGTCGCAGCGGCGCGGTGCCCATTGGCCGGGTCCGGACTCATTCTCGTTGGACTTCTTGAGGAAGTTGTTCTTGCCGGCTTTCTTCTGAAGACGGGCCATGGATGCTACCAGCCTGTCCCAGCCGAGATTCAGTCCCACAGCATGACAGGTACTGGATTTGACCTGCGCCTTGGAGCGATGCTCCTCGATTAGGGCATCATACCGGCCTCCAGCAGCGATGACATCGCGCCTCTTGGTGTCGTACAGGCATTGGAACATGAAGCCGCCAGTATAGAATTTTTCGTTGAACGTGCCGAGAGGATTGACCTTGATCTGGCGGCCGACGTTGAATTTCTTGAGGTAGCCCAGGACGGTGCGTAGGTGAGCGAAGATTGCATGAGTCTTATCCAAGAATTCAGTGCCTGCAAGCAGAGACTGAATTCTGCTAAAGGCTTTCTCTGGAGAGTCACTGAAATCGAACTTGGCCAAGTCGTCAAGCGAGGTAGATGACACGCCAACTGTGGGAGATCGCAGGTCGTTCCGAATCTTCTGCCAAGTCCAGTCTTGGATGTTAAGCCTGTTGAGGATTTGTTTGACGGAGCGGCGCAGCGGTGTAGCTATACGACAAGATTCCATGATCAACTCCAAAAGGTCCGCGTGGTTGATCTGGAACACGATCGGAGCAGTCGACAAAGACGGAAACTCGCTGATCACCTCATCCATGACCTTGACAACCTCTGCTTCCTTGAGGGCAAGATCGAGACTATTGTACGAGATGATATCAAAGTCGGCCTCTCCGTTGCTACGAGGCGCGCCTCCCTCGAACGCATCGCGGTAGACGTGTCCGATAGTGTATGTCTTTTCCACAGGGGGAGCTTGCCTGGCAATCGAACGGGCGTACGGTAGCGTGAGATCATAGGGTAGCTGCACAAGAGTGCCAGAGGAGTCGAAAAGCTTCACGACGTTCTGCTCCTCGTAGTGGTCTGATGTAGGGAACAGCAGCTGTCTTCTCGTCTTGACAGCGCCGTGCCTTCGGAAAATGGAGCTCAGCTTATCTTCCACTAGCTCCTGGATCACCAAAGTGCTCGCTTTCTGCTCAACTGTACCCTTCGCTGCGTTAAGATCCCAGGTGTAGTCCTTGACTTGTACCTGTTTGTTGGCTCCTTGAGCAAACAGAGCAGTCAACATCTTCTTGTAGTGTGGAGAGTTGGGATCGGATAGGCCCGCAAGAGCCAACCGGACCGTCTCATCGCCAATCTCGTGGGGAATCTTTCCTTCATGCAATAATTTGTTGCTGCTGGGTCGCTCACTCGGCCGGTGGTTGATCAATGACAGGATGATTTCACCTTGCAGGGCCTTTGCCGATGACTGGAAGCAACTGGGTAGAGCGTGGTCCTTCTGACGGAGCTTCGTGATCTCTTCGCTTCTTTCCATTGCCGTCTTCAGCGGATAGCACATCTCAAAGAAGATAACACCCAATGAAAACATGTCGACCTTGCTGTCATAGGTGCCGCTGACACCGGACTTCAGCTCTGGGGCGATGTAAAAGGTGGTGCCTACACTGTGCGTCTGGTCCCCTTGAGTACTGGCAGCCGTGCTTCCAACGCCGGTGGCCCGGTCAGCAATTTGATATTGACCTGTTGTCGCGAGGCCGAAGTCGCCAATGCGAGGGTTGTTGGCAGTATCGATGAAGATGTTGTCAGGCTTCAGGTCCCTGTGAATAACGCCATGGCTGTGGATATGAGCCAGGCCTTCAAGAATCTGGCGAAGGAGCCGCCATCCTTTGTTGGCGTCGTCGTAAAGGCCATGGCGGATCAAGTCACGCAGTGTTTGGCGTTCGCAGAACTCCATTTGGATGTAGAGAGTGGTTCGGATTCCGCGTGATTTCGAAGCTGATGTTGTTCGCTTTAGCTTGAGCGGTGACTTCATCTCGGCAGTACCGGTACCGCTTTCGCTATCGGAACCCGAGAACTCGTCTTCTGTGTCGCTCTCATCATCAGAATCATCCTCGAATTGGATGTTTACCCCGGAGCTTATGAAGTCAAGACCACCGGTATTGCTGCGTGTAAACTCGATATCAGGGCCGCTATTCGATACTGTGTCTTCTGTAGCCACAGCCGATTCCGTCTCCGTCTCCGTTTCGGTTTCTAAAGTCTGCAGTTAGCTGTCGGGATCATCAACGATCGAAGGTAATTTGGCTCGGTGCTGTGGCTTTATCATAAGTAGTACGACGTCGAAACAATGAAGAACATACCAGTGTCGAAGGCACTGCCTAATTCATTCTCCGGCCATGCCGAATAATAACGCACGACATAAGGATGGTTCATCTTGGAGAGCAGCATTACTTCTGACAGGACATCGGAAAGAGCCGAAGCGGTATTTTGCTTGATCTTCTTGATGGCGTACACACCCCCATCGAGTTTGTTGCGTGCCTTGACGACCTCCCCGTACCCTCCTCTTCCGAGGCGACCGAGCTCTGTCCATTCGCTTGCATAGCGGGAGAATGTACCGTTGTTATAGCTACCTTCATAGCTTGAAGACTCTCGATGGATGCGGCGGCCGGGTATCGGTATCGAGCTGCTGGTGGAATGCAAGCCAAGGCGTGAGGGAGGAGAAGGCAGTGAAAGCACGGGCGCGTTGGTGCGAAGGAATTCCGATGGCATGAGGTCAAAGGCTGAGGGGCGCTTCTTCGGATCTGGCCTGAAGAACTTGCGGATCATCTCCTCAAGGGGTGGTGAGACATCCTTATCGGCCATGAGCGCTTGTGGGGAGCTGTACTTCTGGGGTGCATCAAGGCCGAACAGCATTTGTAAGAAGACAATGCCCAAGTCCCAGATATCCGTCTTCCTTGAGGGTCTAGCGTTGCCTTCTTGAAGCTCGGGGGCTGTCCAATAGGCAGACCTTGCCGACTCGGCCTTCTCTGCTCCTCGAGCGGCGTCGATGGCATTATGAAGGCATTGCTGAAAGCCGCCATCTGCCAACTTTACATACAGAGGGCCACCTTCAGCAGGCTCACAAAAGAGAACATTTCCAGGATGGAGTCTCTTGTGAATCACACCACTGCGATGCAGGTAGTCGAGAGCCTGAAGGAGATCGATTGTCCAAGAGCGGACCTTGTCCGCAGGGAAAGTGTCAACTACTTGGAACAGGTCGACAAGAGACCCTCTATCGGCGAAGTCTGAAAGAATGCTGATGTTCCACTCTGCACCCTCTGGGGCTCTATCAATTTTGAATTCGAGAATGGTGATGACGTTCTCGTGCGACACCTTTCTCAGATCTTCCATGGCCTGGTCAAACTCTTCGACGAGCTTCTTGACGCGGGCGGGATGGCCCTCAGCCTTGACCTGAGCCTTCTTGAAGGCAAGTGGCATCGACTTGTGGACGAGGGCATAGACTTGGGAGACGGGGCCGCTGCGCAGCGGTCTCATTGGGCCCGTTTCGATTTCTGGGAAAATCAACATCGACGTAGCAGGTGAAATAACTCGGCGACACGTACCATATATAATGCTCGTCTCTTCGGGAGCAGCTGATAGGATCCTGATTTGCCTCTTCTGCTCTTTGCGCCTGCTTAGTTCTTGATCAACCATGTGCTGGAAGATGCGTTGCTGCTCTTCTTCTTCTTCCTCTAGTTTCTTCAGCCTCTCCTCCTCTTGCTTCTTGGCCAGCTCCTCAGCAGCGGCCTCGTGGACTTGACGCTCCTCCTCCAGGCTCGGCACGGCCTGATCTTCCTGGCGGGCGGCCACAGCGTCCTCGAGCAATTCTTGAACGGCGGTGCCGATGTCGAAGATCATGACTTCGCCGAGATGCTCGCCGGGCTTCGTCTTCACCAGGTTCTCCAGATCTTTCTGGGATTTAGTGCGCAAACCATGGGTGCTCTCGAGCTTTAGAATGGGGATGGTCTTGGGATAAGTAGCTGTGAATCGGACAGACAGGAGGGCGTTGATGTCTGAGTTACTGGAAGCCTTGAGCGATAGCTTGAAAGCGCGGTCAGTGTTCTGGCTCCAGGCTCCCTTGGTTTCGACTTCTTCAAAGTCCTCCATATAAATGGCCTTCAAGGCTTCGATCTCGTCCGCCTGGGCCTGGGCGTAATTGACGGGCGCAGCTTGCGGGCCGGGAGTTGCAGGGTCGGCGGGGTGCTGGCGCTGGCCCTTGGCTGGTGAGGGACGCGCAGCAGGGTTGCCATTTTTCTTGGTCGGAGTCTTGGGGTCGGTCACGATCTTCTTCCGCGGGGGTTTGGTCGGAGCCATGGTGGGCAGTGCGTCAGGGTTGGAAAGCTGGAAGATAGGCCTGTGGTAGCGGGGACCTAAAGAATGCAGCCGAAGCTGCAGCCCTTTACGCGGCGGAGCTCATCACGCGTGGTGAAAGTGCAGATGTTTTGGTGAGGGCGCAGGATGGTGGATGGTGGAAAGTGAAGCAGGCGCGCGCCGGGGCCGACAGCAGCTGGCCGCGCGCCGGGCTTATCGATAGCGGCGCCCAAAGGCGGTGAAGCGCGTGTGGGCCCGCGCGCTGGATCCCGGTTCGCTCGCGCTGTTTTGGCTGCGCGCGCAACCGTCAACAACCCATCCCAAAACACTCCCTCCCGCCGCCGAGATCCCCCGCATTTTCGCATCGCGCCTGCTCGACACGCGCCTTTCGTGCGCCGCCTATGCGCCCGTAGCCGCGCCTTCTGCGCCCGCTGCGCCCGCTGCGCCCGCTGCGCCCTCTGTTCCCATCTACGACCGAACGCCCGCTGCGCCTGCCTGCCTAGCAACCATGTTGTCTTGGTGGTCAGGCTCGCGCAATCCCGCCCCGAACCCACAAGGTCCGCCCGCTCTCCTGTGTCTGCACCGCATGCCATTGACGTCATGGACTTAGAAGCTGTGGACAACGCCCAGCCCGAACCTCCAGAGACGCCTGCTCCCGTCTTCGCTGCCCGCGCCATCAAGCACGCAATCTTCGGCACTCCAGCTCCACCCGACACCGTCAGACCTGCCAGAACTGAGCCCAAACCTGACCCCCCTGCCTTCTCGCGACCTCTTCCCGCCGACTTCGGCCTCAAGAATGTTGTCGATCCCGACAAACCGAGGCTACCGGGTGGCATCCTCTCGACCCCGGGCACTGTGAAAGATCGCAAGACCGTGTCATTCGGCGCTCAGGTCGTCGACAATGAAGGCAAAAAGCCCACCACGGCGACCAGAACTGGCCTCCCGAGCAACTGTCCCGGGAAATTCCCGAGTCCATTCACGCCCAAGGTTGATGGTCTTGCTGAGGAACCTGAAGAAAGATCCAGCTCGAGCTCCAAACTTACTGCAAAGCTGTACGAAGCTCGGAACCCATCCAAGCGCACCGAGCCCAGCACACAGCCGCTGGCACAGCCATCTCTGAGACCTAAGCCGCGAGCAAAGGATGACGGCGACGTCACTTTAGACGTTCTGGAGCCGCGCTCCGAATCGGGGCGATACTGGAAGGAACAGTACGAGATGTTTGCGGTTGAGAACGAGAGGGAGGCTCGAAAGATCATCAGGAAGTATCTCGCTGTCAAGGAGTACGCCAGAAAGAAAGATATCGAGGTCTTAGAGTTGACCGAAAAGCTGGACGCGGAGCGAAAGCGCCACGCACAACGCGAGAAGGATCTGGAAGCGAAAAACAAGGATTACAAGGAACGGTTGAGACAAGCCATGGCCGAGCACTTGAAGTCAACTACTGAGAATGCCACGCTGAGACAACGTTTGGCCGTTCTGGAGGGTGAAGCGGTGCCCGACTCGCCCGCTGACCAGAGTATGCCCAAGACTGAGCTGGGACTCGAATTCGATCGGGTGATGTTGGATCCCCAGGAGGCACGCCATTACACGCTTGATGCCACCCCTGTCAACGATCGGAATCGGCCGGAGAAACCAAAGGCCAAAACCGGGTCATCAACAACTGAGCAAAAGCCGCTGCCGAAGGCTACTTTGTTGCCTCCGTCGAGGGAGCCCCAAAGCCGGCTAGGAGTTTCGCCAAGGCGTCCACGCCGCTCCACAGCCGGGAACAGGACGGATATGCCTGCAACTTCTCGCGCAAATGCAAAAACCGCCAGTACATCGGCTGCCGAAGACCCCTGGATGGCAAACGGAGATACTGCTATAGAAGACAACACAAGCAGTGCTGGCAAGAGACGCGAACCCAAGGCTGCTAAATCTGCCGAACCACATGGTGCTTCTCATCCAAGGCGGGTGAAGAGTGACCGCCATCTTCAGTCTTTGGCCAATCCCTCTGTTTCAGCTCCTGAGGGACTCACACCACAAGAGATGCGCAAGAAGCAGGCCATGGACCGCATCATGCAAAAGAAGCGGGAACGCGAAATGGGTAAGGAAAACGCTGGAGTATAAGTCGCATCGTTGGGGTAATACATAACCAAGGCATACCCCACGAACATATTGTCAACGCGACCGCACCGCACATCTCAAGAACTTGGGACATGGTTATGGAGGACAACTGGGTTGGAGTATTAGGTTTGGCGTTTAGAGATACCACGGTTGGAAATGCATCGTTCCGGAATTTGGGTACACACGGACTGATTGTCCCGTTACCTACACATGTCTTCAATGTTATGCTGTCTTCATTTTACTTCAATATGACTTGCCATGCTTTCAAACCACACAGCTTGAGTTTATTAATGGTAACTTTAGGACTTCTTCGCGCAACCGTTCATTTGCTATTCCCTCAGCCATATAGCACATATGCTGAGTGCGAGATGATGCAATCCAAGCCGATTATTGTTTAGTGCAAATTCAGCAATCTCGTTCAAGCTTCGATGCGATTCGATCGCGCCGCAGACTTCCCCACTTGCCGCGTACTCTGTCGGGGATGGTGCATCGTAAAATATCGGTCAGATCCGAAGAATGGCTCTGTTACAACGCAAGCTAGCTCATCAATAAGTGCCGGAAGAGCTAGCCAGATCCTCTTGCAAGTGCCTTAGTATGGTACGCCAACATCGGTCTCGGCGGATCCGCTACGGTCATGACAACGGCCGGACTTTGACCATGCTTTTCGCTACTACTAGTCAAGAAGAGCAGTGATCCGAACCTAGACAGAGAGCCTCTAGACGCTCGGAACCGCGCTCGAATCTAGACGCGGAGTCAAGAAATGGTGGAGAGACAAGGCACTGGGTCACTCCGCAGCAGGATTTTTTGGCACTACCACGCATGGTCGCCTTTGGATGGACAGAGGTCAGCAGCATCTCTTCCTCGTAATCCAAGAGTAGGCACGACATCGGCTTTGACCATTTTCCGCAGGTGCCAAGCAGGCCCAGGTATAGCCCAAGACCCTGGGCGGGAGGGCAGAGCCGCTATTGCTACGGACCGGGGTCGTCTGGCGCAATTACATGGGCCTCCATGTGCCAGTCAGAAGAGACGGACCTTGGCGCCGTGGAAGGGAATTTGTTTTGGGTTGCATCGTTGCATCCCCGCTCGTTAGCCAATGGCGTCATCCAGAATAGGCATTGCATGATAACCCGCACCCCCGTTTATCGCGACGACGGAAGGAACCGCCTGCTGCGGGCCAAGAGAGCTCTACGAACTTGGTGTAACGCTGCTAGCCGATCGCACATTTAACCTTGGAGGCCTCTCCGCCTCTGCTCCCAACATGAGAGACCATCGCCATGCCCTGTCCTCGAGCCCGCACCTTTTGATTCCCCCTGGTTGCCTTCCCATCGCTCGGAACCCAACAACTGCTGTTGTACGAAAGCCACGTCGTGGCACAGTCTGATCGATCGACCGGAAAGTGAAAGAGCCAGTCCGGAATCCCGCATATTCCTTCCGCCATGTCGGTCCACCACGATCCAGACGATAAACACATGGCCGCACGCGTCGCTTCCCCGTCAGGAGATTCAACGGCCCTCAAGAACAGTAGCCTCGAGTATGTTGCCGAGCAGGGTGGCAATGGATCTCTTCCAACCTACCAGGAGGCGTCCGGTGCACCCGTTGAGTCCTTTTCACCGCTCGGGTACGAGGTCAAGTGGTACACCATCATATTTCTGAACATTGGCCAGATGATTGGTACTGGTGTTTTCTCGACGCGTAAGTTTTCTTTCTTTCTTCTTCTTTCTTTTTTGTTTTCTTTGGAGGGCCACGCAATGCAAGCCGGTGTTTGGAGTATTGTGCCCAACCCTGTCTTGCTGGCAGGGCTCTCCAGGGCCTAGCAAGGGCTCAACACTAGCTCAACGACTTTATTACAGGGCTCAGGCTAATTCTGACTCGCAGCTGCCTCGATTCTGAGCAGCACTGGCTCTGTCGGTCTGAGCTTGATGTATTGGTTTATTGGTTTCATCATCTCCTGCTGTGGGCTGGGTGTCTATCTCGAACTGGCCTCGTACTTCCCAGCTCGCTCCGGCGCCGAAGTCGTGTACCTCGAACAGGCCTATCCGCGACCAAAATATTTCTTCCCAGTGGCTTTCGCTGTGCAGACTGTCATTTTGTCCTTCAGTAGCAGCAACGCCATCGGTAAGTGTCCCGTCAAATCAAGAGTTGGGGAAAGAGCTGCTGACAAGGTATCAACAGTGCTTTCACAGTACATCTTCAAGATGACCGATCGTGAGGGCAGTGACTGGGAGTTGAAAGGCATTGCAGTGGCTGGCTACACCCTCGCCGTTATCCGTAAGTCTTTTTTACTTAATGAGGAAACGCATCACTGACTGCATCCGTAGTTCTCATTGCGAACAACAGGCTCGCTCTCTGGTTATCCGATATAATCGGGCTCATCAAAGTTGCGACGCTAGTGTTGTAGGTGATTCTCTGACCTTGAAGCTGTCTCTTTGCTCACCAATAAAATAGCATCAGCATTACTGGTCTCGTGTGCCTCGGCGGCCACACGTCCGTAGCTGACCCTACCATCAATTTCCACGACGCCTTCGCTGGTACCACAGGCAATGGCAACGGTCTCGCCAACGCGCTGGTGAAGATCACCTTTGCCTACTCAGGTTATCAGAATGCTTTCAATGTGATGAACGAGATCAAAAACCCGGTCAAGACAATCAAGAAGTCGGCGCCGCTCTCGCTCCTCATCGTTGCCATCTTGTACATGCTGTGCAACGTTGCGTACTTCGCCGCCGGTAAGTCCGGCCTTCTGTCCATTACCCACCTGATCCCTGATCCGCCGACAACGACTGACCATCTTCTCCACCACAAAGTGCCCAAGGAGCAGATCATGGAATCCGAGCAGGTCGCCGCCTCGCTCTTCTTCACCGCCATCTTCGGCGCCACCGCCGCCAAGGGCCTCAACATCCTCGTCGTCCTGTCCGCCTTCGGCAACCTGGTCTCGGTGCTGATCGGCCAGTCGCGCGTCATCCGCGAGGTCGGCCGCCAGGGCGTCCTCCCGTGGGCCTCCTTCTGGGCCAGCACTCGCCCGTTCGGGACGCCCATCGGCCCGTACCTGCTCAAATGGGGCATGACGATCCTCATGATCCTGGCGCCGCCCGCGGGCGACGCATTCAACTTCGGTGCGGACTTTTCCTCCCTCCCTCCCTCCCTCCCTCCCCCCACCACGCCTAGGTGGTTTCCCTTCATTCTAACACGCAGCTAATTCCAAACCAAAAAAACAGTCGTCGACCTCCAAAACTACCCCGACTCGCTCTTCCTCTTCCTCATGGCGGCCGGGCTCTACCTGATCCGGCGGCAGCGCGCGCGCCTCGGGGTCGGGCGGTCCGAGTTCCGGTGCTGGGACGCGGCCGTCGTCTTCTACCTGCTGGTCAAGGTCTTCCTGCTCGTGATGCCGTGGTACCCGCCCGAGGGCGGCGCGACGGGCGGCGACGTCAGCTTCTGGTACGCGACCTACTGCGTCGCCGGCATCGGCATCATCCTCGCCTGCGGCGTCTACTACTGGGTCTGGATCTACCTGCTGCCGCGGCTCGGCGGCTACGAGATGCGGCAGCGCGTGGTGCAGCTGCCCGACGGCGCGGTGACGCACGAGTTGGTGAGGGTGGTCAAGGGGGAGGAGCTGGCCAGGTGGGATGCGGAGCACGATGCGTTGGGGAACGTGAAGACGGCGGAGGGGGTGGTGGAGCCGGTTAAGGTTTGAGGGATTGGGAGGATGGCGGGTGGCTTTTGTTTTTTTTTTTTCTTAGCGTTGGTGCCAGGGGGGGCTGACGTGGGGTTGGTGAGTGAGTAGGGGGGGGAGTGATGGATATAGGGTAGCTGGTGCACGTGTAAATGTCATGGCTTAATCCAGTCTCAGCTCTTCACGAAGGCTCAAGGTGTACGTAAGCTTACTCGGCGCGGGAGGAGGAAGCCCGTATTATTTCGACGGTTTCAAGCCCGTTGTGTAGCGAGCGTCAAGGGAAGGATCTATTGGTTGAGTTTCATGATCGGTGATTCGAGAAACTCTATTGACTTCTGGCGGTGTACTTAAGCCTCCATGGCCATCTTCTGTGAAATTTCATCAGCAAACACTCCACTCCCATACAGACCACTCGAGCGTCACTGCAATCCTCACCAAAACCAGCGATGGGCCGCGATGCCTACGACACGACCGGCACCCCCAAGCCAACGCAGCCGACGCCGCCGCCGAAGCGCAGATGATGAAATCAAGCCGATCCGATGGCAGTCAGTCAGCGTGACTATTCCTCAGCCAGCTAGAGTTTGGTGATGTGTTGTCGTGCTAACGGTGTCCTCGCCTGGAAAAGCTGCAGGGTTGGGCGTGGAATCGTAGTGCTGTCCATGGCTGTTGTCAGTGGAAGCCACTCGGCGGAATGGGAATCCTAAATCCTTGTGATGTTCGCCTCTTAGAGTCGAAATACGATGTTTGGAGTTTTTGGGAGAGAGTGCGGTTCTGTATTGTTACATTCAAAGAGTGCGCTGAGCATGTTAGCTGTACACCTTTACGTGCTGCGCTCCCATGCTTGCTTTGTGCAGCTTCGACTTCCGTGTCCCCTCGATGATGTGTTGTATGCACCGAGCAGATCTGCACTGACAGCGCAGAAGAGACACTGCTCAAGCGCGTACGTGTAGTCTCAAAGGGCAGATACCTACACAAGACCTTTGACACATGGTGACGACGAATATCTAGATGAGCTCGCCATGCTCTAACATTATATTCGCCGCTTTGCCAGAACGATGCACAAGTCGAAATATAGACCCATGCATGGTTCTACTCAGATCACCACCACCGCGACCACAACGACATGGGCAACGCAAACTCGTCCCGGACCTTGTCCCGGCGCCCACCGCCGGGCCCCGCGCCGCAGATGAGGCCCGGAGAAGGGAGCAAGGAGGCTGCGAGGGTGCGAGCGGCGGGCTCGCCACCACCGGGTCCGGCTAGAGGAGCGGGCGGCAGCTACAAGTGCGCGTTTTGCCCCAACCCGCCGATGGAGTTTACGAACGTGTGCGCGTTGTGTTGGAGGAAGCATGTCGAGCCGAATGTGGAGGTGAGATGTCGGCGGGATAAAGATGGGGATCGGAGACGGAGGTGGAGATGGTGAAGAGGAGCTGGGGGGTTGTGGACATATTGAGCTCCTGGCGGAGACTTTCGCCCGGGGTACGTGGTGCGTATACAGTAGAATCGGACCTCTAGATGTGATTATGGTTTCGAAATTTGCTTCAAGGCTGTTCCGTGCCTTGTTCATCGGGTGTTGTTGGTGGTTTTATAGCGGGCTCTGAGATGCAGTACGTACCTAAAGCAGTAAGGTGCAAGCCCTTTCAAAACCTCGGCTTTCTCAACGGAATCTTTCCCCATCCCCATCCAAAACGACATCTGCAGGAATGGGCAAGGGGGCAATGCCGTGGTCAATGCGAGCAGGGCCTCGGCCCGGGCCGGAGAGGGGCCCAGCTGCAAGAAGTCCCGTTGCGATCGCCAGAGCAGACGCACAAAGTCGGATGCGATGCATTCATGCCGATGGATGCGGAATAGCGCGGGGACTGGGGGATGGAGCGCAGGGCCGGGCTTGGGCCAAGCGGCGGGCTGGCGAGCGGGAAGACGGCGTGACGGCCTCCAGGGCGGTGTAAGCGAGCCGGGCTCTCCATCATTTGCAACGCTTCAGCTTCCTCAACACCACCGCGTCCTCCGCCGCCGCCGGCCTTCGCGCCGCATCCTCGCCTCACCAGCATGCGCCGCAGCCACCTGCACCTCATCCGCCCCCGCCTCGCTAGCGCCGCAGGGCCCCGCAGCGGCTGACCTCGGAAGCGCTGCACCCTGTAGCCGACGGTAATGGACGCCCGGCGGCGGCGTGAAGGCTCTGCCTCCCTCGCGGCGGCCGGCGGCGGTCGCGGGGCTGGCCGGACAGCCGTGGGAGAATATGGGCGCGGTGCTGGGGCTCGCTGATCCGCCCGCGCGCGGTCTAGCCGGCTTCGGACCGCCGTTGCCGTCAGCCTTATGCGCCTCGACCTTGGCCGCCGCCTGACGATTGCGGAACGCTACTGTACCTTGCTAGGTCACGCCTGTCGGTCATCACTCAAACCCCGACTCTTCTTCGTCCCCGTTTGCGCCCTCCCTCCCACAACCCCCCTCCCGCCTCCATTTGCACCGCGACTGCCCCCCCGAGCACCCTGTCACCATGGCCGAGCGCGTGTTGATGAACGAGTACAAGGCCCTCTCCCAGGAGTCTTGGACCAACATCGAGGTGAGCCGTCCCTTATCGCTGCACCCGCCCACCGACGTTTCGAGCCCACCGCTGGAGAGCGCTCTCTCACTCCGAGCCCCTTCCTCGTCCCCGCCGCCTCGTTCGCCGCCCTTGCCATCGTGGGACCGTCACGCCGACTGACCCGCCCCTTTCACAGCTGGTCAACGAGAACATCTTCGAGTGGGATGTCGCTCTCATCGTGCTGAACCCGGACTCGATCTACTATGGCGGATACTTCAAGGCCAAGATGAACTTTCCCAAAAACTATCCCTTCAGCCCGCCAGGTGAGCACGCCCGGCCATCCTCCACCCAGCCCCGCACTCACCAGCCCAGACTTCAAGTTCATGCGCCCACTCTGGCACCCCAACGTGTATCCCGACGGCCGCCTCTGCATCTCCATTCTCCACCCACCGGGCGAGGACGAAATGTCGGGCGAGCTCGCATCCGAACGCTGGTCGCCCGCCCAGCGCGTCGAGTCGGTCCTGCTTTCCATTCTCTCTCTGCTCGATGATGGGGAGCCCTCGTCTCCCGCCAACGTCGACGCTGGTGTTATGCTACGCAAGGACCCTGCCCAGTACAAGGAGATGATCAAGAGGGATCTGGAAGTCAGCAAACAGGACATCCCGGAGGACTACGTCATGCCTACACACGAGGACGCATTCAAGTCGAAGAAGAACGACGACATCTTCATGGAGTGGGAAGACAGCGATGCCGACTCGGACTTTGGCGCCTCTGACTCTGAGGATTTCGATGCCGAAGACGACGACGACGACGACGACGAGGAATTCGACGAAGACATGGACGAGGACGACTCGGCTAGTGATGACGGCAAGAAGAAGGCCTGACGCGATGCGGGCTTTCGTTTTCCGTCGTCCGCGACATGATTTCCTTGTTCTCTTTGCATTACTGCATGATTTTCGGTTCCGCATCTCGCCACCTATGCCCCTCAGCATCTGCAGTCAGCCCCGAGGGTTTCTTCTAATTTGCAGCGAGGCGTTATGGTTCCAAGCTCGGAATATAGGCATTTGCTTGGCGTCCATCAGGCTCGCAGTAGGTCAAAATATCCTACACATTCATGTTTTTTTTTTTTTTTTTTGGTTGGGGAGGGAGGGGGAGAGATGGGGTTCTGGACTGGGTTGTTTTTCGGCACGGCAATAGAAGGGGATCATCCAAGAATCACACTACGAATTTAGAGTATTTACTCCACACCGCCCTGGAGCTGTTCCATTTAAAGTAGCTAGGTGCGACCTCACCAGCAGCTAAGTGCGATCTTGACGCACCCGCCCCTCAGCCCAATTTCCTACTGGCTAAGAATTGGCCAGCAGCTTTCTGCGAGCAAGCGCGGCCTTGCCGCTAATGCGAGGAGCCGAATTCCATATGGCAGTCGTAATGGTTAGCAAACGGTGGCGTGGGCTCCTGCTCCTAACCCTCTCAATTCAGCACCTCCTGAACGATGCACAGGGTCTGCGGAAGCGCATAGGTACCATTTCGTGGCTTCAGTAGGGCGCCACAAGCGCTAATGGGCCCAGCTCATCAATTGCGGTCGTACGCACGCGTCCTTTATGTCTTTCAATCGTTGGTGGAAATGCCAAACTCGTCTTGGATTTCTTTGATCCTCACTCCCCTGGACTCAGCTATGATGCCCATAAGTTCCTGGCCGACATCCCGCATTTCGTTATAGTCGTTCAGACGGCGAATCTGCTGCTGGATGATGGCCTTTGCAACCCGGACAGCGGCATCTTTTTCGGCATCCGTGTCGGGCGCGGAGCTGGCGGCGGAATTCGCGGCAGCTGTGCAAGACAACGGGAGCTTTTCAGCCACCGAGGGAACGGCCGCGAATTCTTTGACCACGTCGTTGCGCCGCGCGGTCAGATCGGCGAGCGTGGCCTGGAGCGCGGCCGTGCGGGCTTGCGCGTTCGGCTGGGGTGGACGGTCAGTAATAATGCGAAAACGCCGATAGGAGAACTACTCGTACCAGGCGCTTGTCCGCGTGCGGGTGCATTGGGGGCTCTGTTGCTCCTCCAGCCCCCGTCCGCTCCATGGGGTCAGCGTCGCGGTGATCACGGAGGGCATTCCTGGAAGGCGACGAGGCCATGCTGGCTCTGGGCTTTTTGTTGCGGGAAGCATCCATGCGGGCGGGTCCCGGGCGGATAGGGCAGGCGATGATGCAGCCGCGACCGGGGTGGCGCTGACTAACTGGCTCGCCTTGCGTACACGAACGCCCGCTGCGGCGAACCAGCCCCAACCCTCACTTCCGGGGTGATCTTCTCGCTCTCCGTGCCTCTCGTTGTAAACAACCCCTCCCTGCCCGAACGCTGCGCACCTCCACGCGTCACCCTGGCTCGCCTCCCGCCGCTGCAGCACCCTCTGTCGCAGACCTCCGCTGCCCAGCCTGCATCTTCTGTTTCATCCCCGTCGCAACAGCCCACCCATCATGGGGGCTACGTATAAGCAGGCGCGCGCCGTCGGCCTGGCATTGCTCTGTCTGGCTGCCACCACCGAAGCCCACGAACACCACATGGACGACATCCCTGACGGGCAGTATGCCTCGTCCGATCCCATGGTACATTCCGCCGACAAGCTGCACGATCCGGTATTGCTGGAACCGCAAACTGACGGACTTGGCAGGACGCGATTTTATGGATACATATCCTTCTTCAAACCCTCGCCTGGGGCGTGTTGTATCCAACGGGCATGGTCTTGGGCGTGCGTTTTCCACTCCTCCGCGCTCTTCCGCTTGCACCCGGCAGTCCCGCTCACGCGCCTTTCTAGATAACTCGCTCAAGATGGCATGTGCCAATCCAATCAGTCGCGACCATTATGGCCATTATCGGATACATGCTCGGGCATAAACATAAAGGCCGCCAGTTTGCTCCAGGTGTGCATGGCAGCTTCGCCCCGTGGTTGATGTGGATGGTCTTCTCGCAGGTCATCCTCGGCGTCTACCTCAGGCTTCACCTCGAAAAGGGTATCCATGGCAAGATCAGGAGATATATTGTCATCGCTCACGGCGTTGTGGGCAAGCTCCTCCCCGTCGCCGCCTGGACGCAAATGCTGTTCGGCGGCATCACTTCGCTGGGATTCTGCCGCGGCGACCACTTGGGCCAGTGCCTGGCGCATTTCATCATGGGCAGCGCATTCATTGGTTATGGAATTCTCATGACCATTTTGCTGCTGGTCGGGCAGGTGTGGTTGAAGCGCTCCGGAAGGAGCCAGGAATTCTTCGACTCCTGTATGATTGCGGCCTGGGGATGCGTCAACACTTTCACCGAACACCGCTGGGGAGGTCCCTGGGTCCACAACGACCTCCAGCACACCTCCATGGGCATCGTCTGGTGGTGCGCTGGTCTCCTTGGTATCTGGTTGAGTAGGAGTAGGGACGGCAGGCCCAAGCGGAACTTGATCCCCGGCATTGTCATTCTTCTCACTGGCTTCGCAATGTCCGCTCACCCGCAGTCGCTGCCTCTTTCCACCATGGTTCACTCCGTTTTCGGCTACACCCTCATGGCAGCCGGCCTCACCCGTATCATTGAAATCTCTTTCATCCTCAAGGACAAGAACGGTGTCTCTGACGACGGCTCTGAGAACAACAGCTGGCAGCACCTTCCTCCTTTCGTAAGTTTTGCCCTTGCATGCTCCCGCAACGCTCAAAGCTAACCTCCGCAGCTTCTTTATGCCTCCGGCTTCCTCTTCATGGGCGCAACCGAGGAGCAAATGGCCCTCCTTTCCGACGCCCACGTTACTCACGTCTCCTACGTCCTCATTCTCTATGGCGTTGCCTTCCTCCTCTACCTCTGTACGTCAACCCCTTTTCTACATTTTGATTCACGTGAAACGTCGTACTGACAGGGATCGAATCACAGTCGTCAACATGCTTCTGCACATTTACGCCACCTGGGCTTGGCCCGAACTCGCCAAGTCGGACCCCGAGAGCGGCCGCGGTCAGCTCAACGGCCACGCCCGTCGCCCGCACTCGAGATCGGATGCGCAACGGCTGCGGGATGCGGAGGAATTCGAGCTGGAGGGCTTGATCAGCGACGAGGAGGATGCGGCGAACCTGGAGGGCAGCACCGATGCGGATCCGGAGAGTCCGAGGCATAAGGAGGGGAGAGTGAGGATGTGAAGTAGTTCGTGACGGTTACGTCAAGAAGACGAGAGGAAAATTAAGTTCTGGATAAACAGTGAGGGCGAGTCGAGTCGAGTCGAGAGGGTTTCGTTTCTGCCCCCCCTAACTTTTCCGGTGCCGAGATGCTGAATCGAGGGAGGTATTCTTTGACCCTTTTTCCTTTTCCATTTTGTTTTCCCTGTCTTGTCCGCTTTTGCATTGGCGTGCAGAATTGATTACGATCGATTTCTGCTGGGCGTTGGATATCCTCCTTTTGTGGCTACCGTCTTCTTCATTTGTGCGCTTGGTTGGTTGATTGGACGAGTTGAAATTACGGCGAGTGTGAAAGTCCTTACCGATGGAGATGTGGAGACGGACCGTGGAAGGGTCCCACTACGAACGTATAGGGAAGGAGTGGAGAACACATATATATATCGCTGTTTCGAGCTCCATTTGCGTCCTTCGCCTGCATGATATCTAAGATGAATCAACACACCCTATTTACCACGGATCAATGAAACGCCACATGAGCGTATTTTGGAGGGTTTCAACACTCGTCTTGAGGGTCTCTCCTCAAGGAAGTACTCAGATACGCGACTAATGGCGTTGTGAAGAGGACGATGATGGCGAGCGGCGAGGAGAGATGATGGTGGACGTGGCCCTAGTCGAACGGATCATGGCCGAGCGGGACATGACTGAACATCGATCCACGATGCAAGAACATCATCCTGTTCGCGTAGAGGCACAGCGAGAGACACCCCCGAGCGGTTGTGCCGACGCTTAATGAATCTCCAACCTCTCAAATTCAAGCCTTGTTGAGGTTTCTGACAAGGTTGCCATCCTTGAATTGGCAGTTGGCGGGACCCTAGTCGTGCTCGTTTAGAGCGTCCGCGGTGGCCTTCGGGAGGGTGGTGTCTAGCATTGAAATTCCGACATTTCCCCTGTCTGGCTCGACCGAATCAACGAGGAGGCTAGTCTCAATGATGTTGTTTCAAGCGTAACAGCAACATTGGGAGATATGTGCCTCTCTTAAATTCTGAAAGAAAGCAAGACACGAGAGCTTGAAGGGAATGGCAAAGGTGTTTGCGATAAGGGGATGGTGATTCCATTACATTTAATCTAAGGAGTAGGGCTTTTTCGTGACTTTCGTATAATACAGAAATAGGGATGATTGCGTACCTGTGGGAGATGTCCTTCCAACGCCATGCTGTGCTGAAATCGTCACTACACAATCCAACCATAACATGCTCTCAAGACTAAAAAGGCATGCTCAAAGCTGTTCATCAACTTCTCACACCTGCAACCGTTAAATATTCCACCCCCGTAAGTATCGTGCCATATTTCCAGTTGGAGAGTGCCGGGGTCAATTCCATTTCCCATGCATTGCTCCGCTGCTCTTACTCCGCAGTGGGAGTGCCAACACCCGAAATCCCACCTGGCATTCTATTCCCCCAATCGCCTCTCGCGCTAGCTTCTCTGCTCGCAGTGTGCGAGTGTCCAGCTCTTAACCTCACGCCCTCATCCGTCAGCTCCCTGCCCTGCCGGGCGCGCTCCGCGCGCTCCGCCCTCTGCTCAGCGTCTCGGAGTTTCTGGCCCTCCACAGCCATGCGGGCTTCCAGCTCGTTCGCCGGGCCGGGGGCGAATTGCCGTTGCGGTCTCGGTCTCGCTGCCGTCGAGCTTGAAGACGCTGCTGCTGGTGCTTGTGAAGCCGAGCCGTTCGTGCGTGCGCCGCTCTTGCTGCCGCTGCCGCCATCAAGCACCGTCTCTATGCTTTCTGCCATGGCGTCGACGGCGGGCTCTTCGGCCTGCTGCTCGGAGTCCTCATCATCGGCGGCGCTGTCTTCGTCGCTGCCGCCGCGGGTGTTCTTTTTGCGCGGCCATACGCTGGGGACTACAATCTGCTGGAAACGAGGCTCTACGCAGCGTTCATCGAACCATGCGTGCAGGCGACTCTCGATGAGTTGAGCTATCTTTGGGACGTCTTGAAGGCGCGAGCGGCTGCCAAGGAGGGAGCGGACTGAGAGGTCGAGGCGGTAGTCGTCCAGGAAGGTGAAAGCGAGGGTGGTAGGGGTGTGAGTCGTATTGGGTGAATTGGGGTCTGCATTTGCCGGCTGTGCGGATGGGATGAAGGAGAGGGATAGCTATACACATGACATAATTAGCCCACTGCGACCAAACAGTCGAACAAAGAGAAACAGAAAGACTCACCGTGCCGCTGAACCGCACCACCGACACTGCCAGCGCAACCGGCATCACTGCGACTCTCGGCCTTGGCCAGTTCAGCATCACCGTCGTCTCAATGCCCAGTGTAATGACGTCGCTCAAGTCCACATCCATCCGCGCTTGCAACCGGCCCTCATGTGAACCACCGCCATCGCTCTTACTTGGACTACCCAAGCCCAATCCGCCTTCATCGACCGGAATGACCCTACAATTGCTGAATATGGGGAACTCGTCGCCGAGCTCGATCTCGGTGACGCGGATCTCACCCAGCCAATCGGGGCGCGTGGGGCCGTTCAAGATGTTTGTCAACGACGTCAGCACAGCATCGTCCTGGCGGGCGTCGGCGCGCAGCTGAGCAATGGTCTGGGCGATCAGCACGTTGAACCAGTCCAGGCTCTCGGGCTGGTGGCCCTTGACGTTGTAGTAGGTCTTGGCGAGGATGGTCGCGCTGGTGACGGGCGGCGGCCGCCGCAAGATGGTGCTGCGCTTGTGCCGGAGGAGGGTCGAGGAGGTGGGCGGCACCAGTCCCGCTGCCGTGGCCGAGAGGGTGCGCTGGTGGGCGAGGGTGCGCTCGCGTCGCTCCATCGCTCGTGTTTCATGCCGCTCGTCGGCTGGCGGCGGCTCGCCGAAGATGAAGAACTTGATGAAGCAGAAGATCAGGAGTGTCACCGAAAGCTGGCCCAGTAGGAATCCCTGCGTGAAGGAGAGGCCGGTGGTCTGCGGCGCCGGTGCCGGTGCTGGCACCGTTATGTCTGGCGGGGTTGAGGTCAGTGTTTGTGTGTGCTGTGTGCGAGGTGGGGGGAGGCTCACCCGTTGCAGCTGCCATTGTGCAAGAGGGAGCGGGAGGGGTTTTGTCTACCGCAAGAACATGGTTTTGAGTGAATTGCGAGAAGGAAATGCAGGTGTTTGGAGCGGAACGGATGGGAGACGTGCTTCCTGACTCGCGGGCCGAAGCAAATCCTCCGCAATGACGTTCACGCGTTGCAGCCATCATCTAATCTCGAGCTTCAAGCTTCCCCGGACTCATCCCGCTCGCTCTCCTCGCATCCCGATCCGCCACCCTCTCAATTCCCTCACAGAGGATCTGCTCCGCCCGACCGATGCCATGAACAACGACGCCGATAGCCCCAGCCTCTCCCCCTCGACCGCGTTGCGGCACCAACCGCGTCTGCAGCTCCCCACAACATGCGAGCCACCAACGAGCAGCAGCTGTGGCGCCGACGCCAACAACAACCCGGTCAAGCAGGCGACGTGGATCATCTTCGGCGCGACGGGCCACATGGGGCGATCGCTGACGCGGGCGGCGCTGGCGCACGGCGACCGCGTGGCCGCCGTCGGATGGACGCAGGAGAACACGGCCGAGCAGATGAAGCGGTGGGAGGCCGGCAACGGGCCCAACTGCCTCGGCCTGCTGTGCGACGTGCGCGCCCGCGAGACCGTAGCCGCCGCCGTCAGGGCCGTCACGCACCGCTGGGGCTCCTTCGGCATCGTGGCCAACTGCACTGGCTACGGCGTCATCGGGGCGTGCGAGGAGCAGGACGAGGCCGAGCTGCGCGCGCAGGTCGAGACGAACTTCTTCGGCACTGTACATATCCTCCAGCTCACGCTGCCGCTGTTTCGTGCCCAGCAGCATGGCAGATACTTGATTTTTAGCAGCACCGCTGGCGCGTTGGGCGTTCCCGGGCTGGGGCCGTATTGCGCGACGAAGTATGCCGTGGAGGGATTGATTGAAAGTATGTTGTATGAGGTGGACGCGTTTAATATCAAGGCGACGCTGGTAGAGCCAGGGCATGTGCGGTTGGATGAGCCGGACGATGGTGACGGGGAGGGCCTCAAGTTGAAGCGATATGGCCACTTCTTCGTGAAGCCGGCAAGCGAGCCGTACAATGGCCTGACTGCGCCTGCTGGACATGCGAAGCGCATGGTTCAATGGTTGAATGATCGGCAACCTACTAGTGCAGTCAAAAGTGCGGAACTGGTCTGGCAGCTGGGACATTGCTCGTATCCGCCATTGAGACTATTATTGGGCTCTTATGCGGTGGACAGCATCAGAGACCGCTTGAGAAGTGTGATTGAGGAGGTAAGTGTGAGATCCATTCACTGATGTTGCCACTGGCTAAAACAGTATAAGATCGAGGATTGGAAACACCTAAGCTTTCCACAAAACCCCGATGAAGAGCAACAGCAGCCATCACAACAGCCAGCGGGAACCCAGGACAGTGGAGAATGACGATCAAGAGATTGTCAAATCCCAAATCTTGAAAAAAAAAAAAAAGAGCCCCTGCTCTTGCGGAAGGTTCCAACTAGTGTGAATTTGGGTCTCCGAGGCGAAATAGATTGTACTGAGGCTATGTCAACGTCATGCCCTAGTATGCGGCTCGTAAAACGCCGTCGAGGATTTCATGGCAGCTGAAACGGTCACTTATTGCTTGCTCAAGTCACAGGGCTTCACGGTAAGGGATTCTACTGACAAGATTTATTATCATGGCTCAAACACGTGAACGATAATATACTTTCTGGAAGACGGATCATGGGTTCGAGTTCGAGTTCGAGTCTTCAAGCATATCTAGTCTGGCGTGTGATAAGAATGGACCTGAATGGCAATGTCCCAGGCAGTAAATACGATGCTGGTCGCTATTGCTGACTGAGTACGGGAAGATAGATGATGTTTCATAAGTCCTGCAGATCACGAATAGCATCATGTATGTGGCTGCTCTTGAATCTGTAATATTTTTCCTAAGTACCCTTTTGTTTTTGCGTCATACTGTTCGTAAGAGAGAATTGAGCATCTAAGAAATGGTCTTCTCCTTGCACTCAATGCCGTACTTCTCCTTGAGCTCCTTGATGAGCCTGCCATTCTCACATTAGCATGTCAACCGTTGATGTAGATTCTGGAAAGGACTTACGGGTCGTTGATGGCAGGGGTCATGGGAGCGAGGATACCCCTCTCGCTGATGGCGCCGTTCAGGACCTGCTTGACAGCAACAGCACAAGGAACACCGACGAGCTTAGCCATGGCGGAGTAGCCACCGGTGCCCTCAGGAGCGCCGTACTCGACGAGAGTCGAAGTGCGAACCTCCTTGGAGCCGTCGGCGTGCTCGATGCCAAACTTGTGCTGGAGCATGACCATGTCCCTCTCACCCTCCTCGTACTGCATCTTCTTCTCGAGAGTGGCGCAGAGGGTGTCGAGAGGGTTGCCGCGGGGCTCGACGGGCTCCTGGCTGAACATACCGATCCAGCGGAGGCCGTTGAGGATGCGGGTCTTGTCTTCGTTGTTGACGAAGTTGGTCTTGGAGCCGATGGCCCAGACAAGATCGGTGTCGGCGTCGGAGGAGGAGCCAAGGACGCGCTTGGTGACCTCGCGCCAGGACAGAGGAGTGCTGCCGGGCTTGAGGTAGTCGGTCTCCTCATCAGACAGGAAGCCAATGTCGACGAGAGCCTTGATGAACTCGGGGAAGCCCTGGTAGCGGAGGGTACCACGGACGATGGTATCAGCCTCGGGGATGCTGTAGCGCTCCTTGTAGGGAGTGCTGTCACGGTTGGGGTAGGCAACAAAAGCGTAGCCAGGGTAGATGTAGTAGGGCTTGGCAGTGCCCATCAGGTCCTTGGAAGCAATGTCGACGACCTTGCCGTCCTGGTAGTACTTGGCAGCGTTGCGGAGCGCAAGGAGGACACCACGAGAAGACCACGAGAACTTGTAGCCGAGCGGGTTGTCAGAGTTCTCGGGGGCGGGAAGACCACCGCAGTAGGACAGGAAGGAGGTGATCTTGCCACCAGCCTTGTGGACCTCATCGATAGTCTTGACGGCGTACAGGTGGTCAATACCAGGGTCAAGACCAATCTCGTTCATGACAGTGATGCCGGCAGCCTTGGCATCGGCGTCCAGCTCCATCATGGCAGGGGAGACGTAGCTGGTGGTGACGACATGCTTCTTCTGTATGGGTGTGAGAATTTTCTGGCTTAATCAGTTGCAGAAGCACGCGGGGACTCACGTTGCGGATGGCCGACTTGATGACAGTGGCGTGGTGGGTGTAGGGGATCAGAGAGATGGTCTGCGAGCGATTAGTCCAGGGCCAATGGTCGAGTTGGTGGGCCACATGGCTTACAAGAGCGTGCTTGCCAACCTGAGCGTCAAGAGCCTTGTCGTCTGACACATCAAGGGAGATGGCGGTGGCGTTCTTGATGCCCTCAGAGAACTTCTTGGCGTTGTCAAGAGTACGGCAGGCTAGGTAGATGGTTGGTCTCCAGTTTGGCTTCCGGGGTGGACGCTTTCACTTACCAACGGTGACCTAGGTGACGTTAGCAATTGCAGACGTGATCAGCGGGGTGGTGGACCATACACTGAAGCCGGACTCGCTCAGGATCTCGGCAGTGGGACGGGCCACTGGGCACCGAATCAGAATGAAGCCTTTGAGCAGCCATAATCATCACTCACCAAAGCCGGAGCCGAGCAGGAGGATGGCCTGGCTAGAGCCGGTAACGGGGCGGATAGCGTCCATTTTGGTGAAGGTTCAAAGTAGCGACGGTCCTGCAGACGGGGCGTGAGCGATCAATTGAGCTCGAAACCCAGTGCAATGGATCGGGGATCAGAGTACGGCGAAAATGGGTGGATTTATAGGCAGCAGGGAGCTTGGAGACCCACCTTCGATGATGTTTACTTCGAGGTGTCGTTGGGCGCGCCTGACGGTCGACTCAAAAGATTTCTATGGTGGGGTGCGGCCACCGCCTCCGTCATCGCTGCCAGACCCCTGCGTGCCTGTGCGGGGCCGCTTCCAAGCGGCTAAGTTTTCGCGCCACGACTTGGCGCCCGGTGCCTCATGCCGGCGATCGGCCTTTCTGTGCCCCCGGCCGGCGCGGCGCTAGGTAGGTAGGTGAGCGGCGCAGCTGGAGCTCTGCCGCATCCTGCCACGAAACACAAACAACGACTGCCTTCTGGAGGCTTCCACTCAGCCCGCGTCCTCGAATTTTGCGCGTGGCTCGACGTGTGCTCACTCACCTGCCTCCGCGCAACTTTAGTCTTCGCCCGCCGAACGCTGCTAACGCGCACTGCTAAACATGGATGTTGTCTGGTCTTGGCCGCCAGTGACGAGGTATGTTCGCAGCCATACATATTTTTGCGCAGACACTGATTCGATGCTGATTTGCAGAACCCTCGTCATAGGCTCCTTCATCACCTCTATTGGTGTCTACAGCGGCGTCCTTCCCGGCTACCCTCTGCTCTTCCTCCCGTATAAGGTCTTCACCGTTCCGCCGCAGATCTGGAGGCTGGTCACGGCTTTCTTCATAACTAGGCCACGGACCGGCATTATATTTGACCCATACTTCTTGTACCAGTATGGTACACAGCTGGAGGTCTCCTCGTCGCGCTTCTCTGAACCCGGCGCCTTCCTCACGTACATTGCCTTCAATGGCCTTGTGATTGCGGTAAGTCCGTTGTCCTGGATATGCGCACTCTGCCCTTCTTCGCGCTGCTTTCAACTTTATCCTCGAAATATCTGCCCGCCCAGTCTCTTTGGCTGAAGCGGTTCCTGGAATCGAGGTAGATCACCGCTGCATTTCACATGGGCCGATCATTCGCAAAATCCTTTTGGTCCATGTGTGGTGCGGCCATGGTGGGAATGTCCTGAGAAAACTGAACGGATCATTCCTTTCGTTTGGTGGTTTTGGCTCCCTACATACCTCCATATACCAACCCTACACTATTGTCGCGAAGACGGACATCTGGTTGCTGACTTTCCCTTTCAAGGCTCTGGCTGGCTGTGGGCTCGGTTCCGCCATCTTCCTCCCCGCCCTCCTCATGTCTGTCACGTACACCTACGCCCAGGACAACAGCAATAAGATGGTCACGTTCTTCATCTTCAATATTCAGGCCAAATTCTTGCCCTATCTGCTATTGGTATGGACCTTCGTTGCGGATGGGCCCCAAGAAGCCATGCTCCAGCTCACCGGCCTTCTCGCCGCCCATCTCTACGATTTTTTGACTCGTATCTGGCCGACTTTTGGTGGCGGCAGCAACCCCGTCAAGACTCCGAGATTTGTCAGGGAGTACTTCGAGGGAGGGGGTGTGCGCGCCACTCCTCAACAGCGTGGCTTTGGTACGGCCTTCGCTCCGGCGGGAGAAGCGCGCACTACTGGCTCAGCTGGCTCAGCTTGGACATCGACCCGCGGTCCGGGCCGTCGTCTCGGTGGAGAATGAAGGGCTACAAAGCTGAGCCTGATTTGTCTCGGAACCAACAATAAATCTGCTGCTGTACTTGTACTCCAGCTTCGTAATATAATTGAAGCTTTTCCACGTCCATGCCTCTTGACTGCCTGGAGAGGATATAATCTGCGTGTAGAAGTCCGCAGCGATCTTGCTTGCAGACCTGTTCAGTTCAGTCATGCTCTATGTTGGTGCCTCTTCAACAGATGTGAGTGGGCTCAATTCATTTGCAACCTGCTGTGCTACTTAAACCAGCTGGAGTCTGGGGTGCATACTCCAGAAGAGGGGCTACCGCGTGGTCCTTCTAATATGTACTGTCTACATTGTGGCACAGTCGAGCGACCTTGGCGTGGAGCAGAGACGAAGGGGGAAAAGTTCTGGCAAATACTGCAGTGGCATCTCGAGATTGGAAGTATTTAACGAGCCTACCTTCCCTTAAGTGCTCCGGGGTGAGAGCGTATGCTCATCTGAAGCGTGGGTTTGACAGTTGAGGTAGCGCGCGGCACAGCAATGCAGGGGCCCATATTCACCCACCCGGCTGGTAGCGGTTCATGTGATGCAAGATTTCAGTAGCTCAGAAACGGGCCACAAACACACGCATCGGAGGCAGAAGTGAACGATAGCAGCTGAACGCTCAAGAGCTGCCAATTAACGCAACATGGTCGTTTACAAGTGCTGGCTGGCTCAATATGGAAATTTTCTCTCTCAACCCTCGAGGACGTCTTTGCTAGCTTATTCAAGTGGAGAAAACGATGATGCATTGGCGACCGGATCCGAGGAAACGCGCAAGACGTTGCAAAGATGATTCAAAGACAAAGCCGTGGTGGACGGCGTGCAAGACACAGTAGTGCGGGCCAACCACGGCACAGTGCGCACGGGCCAGCGCAAGCCGAAGCGACAAGCGAAAAAAAGTCGAGCTTTGCGTTGCCCTCCACCTCCAGCACGCGACGACCGTCCAGCGCGAACACAGCAACGTCCAGCATTCCCCCGCGCGGAGACCTTCACAATGGCTAACCTTGTCTCTGCCAACGATGCGGACTACACCATCAAGCCGGCCGCGACCACCGCGCCCATCGACACCAGCGAGTGGCCGCTGCTGTTGAAGAACTACAGCAACATGTTGGCTCGCAGCAACCACTTTGTCCCCATTCCCTTCGGCTGTGCGCCCCACAAGCGCGATCTCAAGAGCTACATTTCCAGCGGTGTCATCAACCTCGACAAGCCCTCGAACCCCTCCTCGCACGAGGTCGTCGCCTGGGTCAAGCGCATCCTGCGCTGCGAGAAGACCGGCCACAGCGGTACTCTCGACCCCAAGGTCACCGGCTGCCTGATTGTCTGCATTGACCGCGCCACCCGTCTGGTCAAGTCGCAGCAGGGTGCCGGTAAGGAGTATGTCTGCGTCATCCGCCTCCACGACAAGATTCCCGGCGGCGAGGCCCAGTTTGCCCGCGCTCTCGAGTCCCTCACCGGTGCTCTCTTCCAGCGCCCCCCGCTCATTTCCGCCGTCAAGCGTCAGCTCCGTATCCGTACCATCCACGAGAGCAAGATCTACGAGTTCGACAACGAGCGCCACCTCGGTGTCTTCTGGGTGAGCTGCGAGGCCGGTACCTACATCCGTACGCTCTGCGTCCACTTGGGTCTGCTGCTGGGCGTTGGTGCCCACATGCAGGAGCTCAGGCGTGTCAGGTCCGGTGCCATGAGCGAGGCCGACAACATGGTCACTCTTCACGACGTTCTCGACGCCCAGTACGTGCAGGACAACAGCATGGATGAGTCGTACCTCCGCAACGTCATCTCCCCGCTGGAGTCTCTCCTCACTGGCTACAAGAGGGTTGTTGTCAAGGACAGCGCTGTCAACGCCGTCTGCTACGGTGCCAAGCTCATGGTCCCCGGTCTCCTGCGTTTCGGTAAGTTTACCTCTTGGTTTTTTGCTTTTGGCACACGGCTGACTTCAGGATAGACAAGGAGATTGAGATCCACGAGGAGGTCGTCCTTATGACCACCAAGGGTGAGGCTATCGCTCTGGGTATCGCGCTCATGTCCACCGTCGAGATGACCACCTGCGACCACGGCGTTGTTGCCAAGATCAAGCGTGTCATCATGGAGCGTGACCTCTACCCCAAGAGGTGGGGCCTGGGCCCTGTTGCCTCTGAGAAGAAGAAGCTCAAGGCCGACGGCAAGCTCGACAAGTACGGCCGCGTCAACGAGAACACGCCGGCCACCTGGAAGCAGAACTACAAGGACCTGAACCCTTCGGAGCAGGCTGTTGCCGGTTCTGAGCCCGTTGCCGAGACCACCTCGAAGGAGGATGTTCTCAGCGCCCCTCCGGTCCCGCCCGTCGCTGACAGCGAGGAGCTTCCCGATGCCCCCGCTGAGGAATCCAAGGACAAGAAGAGGAAGAGCAAGCACGAGAACGAGTCGGCCGAGGACAAGGCTGAGCGCAAGCGCAGGAAGGCGGAAAAGAAGGAGAAGAAGGAGAAGCGCAAGTCGCTCAAGTCTGCCAAGGATAGTGACAGCGATTAAGCGGGGATCAGCTGCGAGATCTGAACATTTCACGTGCATGTATGGGAATGGCATGTTCGGTTGGGTTATTAAGCTCCGGCCTTTTGGAGAGCCAGCCGACCGGCTGTGAGTATAGCATTGAGTGAGCCTGTACCATACCACTTCCGGATGGGGAGTTTGCGGATTATGATGGCGTAACACGGAATACTGGGATGGGTTTCTGATAATTGCTAAAAGCAATCAACGAAAAAAGTCTTCATTACTGATGTTTTCGATCCTAACGTCTGACTCGCAAACTGATCGATTCGCCCGCGGAAACCACAATTCAGGAAGACTCGCAAGCAGGTGCATCACAATACGCCAGTATCGATCGAAATGCGCGGCCTGCGGCGTTCTGGGCAAGCCGTCCTCGTTACGCTGTACGGCTATATTGTCGCGAGATCTGTGGAACTGCTAGGCAGTAACGGAAGTGAGCCTGCCACTTATCCTTCACGAGTGCTTCCTGAAGCACATGGTTGATGATCAGTTGCAGCCCCATTGAGACGTGGATAGCCTCCGGGGACAATGCACGACACAAATGACCGGCACTTTATACAGCTGCGTTTGACTTGATGGGCGAGAAAACTCCGTGAAGTCCGGGCGTGATCCACATTGGTCGTAGATCATGGTGTTGCGGCTCCCATGGTCGTCGGTGATGGTGGGCGCCAAGAACGGCAGAGATCGAAGCTACCAGAAGCTTCCACAATCGATAAGAGCGGGCACCAAATACGTCAGGCGGGAGCCCAAGCTCACCGGCGTGGGGAGACTGGCCTTGAGGAACCGCCCAGAAACCTGTCGCCGCACATGATACTTCCACCACCTACCAGCACTGCCACTGGCTATTAGAACAACTCCTACTTACCCACAACTACTACTCCGCGCACGACACTACCATTTTGATTCCATTCCACACACTTCCCCACACACATCATGGTCAAAGAGACCAAGCTCTACGATGCGCTGGGTACGTCCGCCCCGATCTTCCACCCCTGCTTTCGGCAGCGACACCTGGCTAACACACACCCACAGGCATCGGCTCATCCGCATCACAAGATGATATCCGCAAGGCGTACAGGAAGGGTGCCCTGAAGTGGCACCCCGACAAGAACAAGGATAACCCGCAAGCCGCCGAAAAGTTCAAAGGTAAGTGAAACCACTGCCTCATGCTCTGTCGCACCACGCGACGATGATCACTTTCGCGATGTCGACATGGCTGACTTTCATGCGGAACAGAACTCTCGCAAGCCTACGAAATCCTGTCCGACCCCGAGAAGCGCAAGATGTACGACCAGTTCGGTCTCGAATTCATACTACGCGGTGGCGCACCCCCGCCAGAAGGCGCCGAAAGCTTTGCGAGCGACGGCGGTAACCCCTTCGCCGGAGCTCAAGGCTTCCCCTTCAGTGGCATGGGCGGCGGCGGCGGCCCGGGCGGCGGTGCCAGGACGTTCCACTTCTCGACTGGTGGCGGCGGCGGCGGGGGGCCCAACGGCTTCAACTTCTCGAACCCCGAAAGCATATTTTCCGAGTTCTTCCGCAGCGGTGCCGCCGGCGGCATGGGAGGCGGCATGGGAGGCGACGACGACGACTTCGCCGGGTTCGGCGGCATGCCTGGAGGCTTCCCCGGCGCGGGCGCGAGGCCCGGGGGGAAGAGAGCGGGCAGCAGCCGCTTCCAACAGGACCCGCGCAGGGCGCAGACGCCAGAGGTCACGGTGGTGGAGAAGCCACTGCCCGTCTCGCTGGAGGAGCTGTTCAGCGGCACGACCAAGAAGATGAAGATCAAGCGCAAGACCTACGACAAAAACACCGGCAAACAGAGCACGCAAGACAGGATCCTGGAGGTGCCCATCAAGAAGGGCCTGAAGGCCGGCTCGAAGATCAAATTCTCCGATGTGGGTGATCAGGTTGAAGGAGGCACCCAGGACCTACACTTCATCGTTTCAGAGGTAGGTCATCCAGAGGTTCAGTACGAAATTGTCGGACCGCCCCTTACTAACTCAAAAGCAGAAAGAGCATCCGCTGTACAAGCGCGAAGGCGACGACCTCAAGCATATCGTCGAAATCGACCTCAAGGAGGCTCTCACCGGCTGGAGCCGAACTGTCCAGACCATCGACGGCAAAAACGTGTCCGTCCGGTCCGGGGGCCCGACGTCACCCGAATACACTGACCGCTACCCTGGCTTGGGCATGCCGAAGAGCAAGAAACCAAACGAGCGCGGCGACTTCGTGATCGGCGTCAAGATCAAGTTCCCCACCAGTCTGACGGCCGACCAGAAGACCAAGTTGAGGGATGTCCTTTGAGCATAGCAAAGAGACGATCCGGGGGGGAGTCTTGCTTGATATGTTAAAAGGGCATCATGATCTTGCCCTTGGACAGGAGCCTTCCCCTGGGATGCGTAAATTATCCCATTCATCCTCGGCATCTTTTCCTTGCCCCCTCTGAGGCAAGACCAAAAAAAAGGGCATCACAGAGGACACAGAGACGCGACACGAAGCGGGGCGTTGGAGTTCCGTGTAGCTAAATGGCATGAGCTTCCTTCTTTTTTTTTTTTTAATTACACTACCATCTTCATCCGGCCAAATGGAATGAAACTCAAACCACCAGTTGGTACTACCGCAAGGTATGGGCTGCACCGGGCATGCGAAGCTATCCATTGCTGCCGCATTGGTAGCAGGTCATCTTTTTCTTCTTCGTTGCACAGGCATAGGCTCTTATTATTGTTTTCTTTTTAGTCTTGGTTTCAGGCATTGGGTCGATGGCTGGGTGTGGGAGATGGGGGGGAGTAGGTTGTGCTTTCTGTTTGCTTTACTGCGCCGGCCTTGGGATGGAAAACGATCGATCAGAACACGTCTGGAGACGCAGTCTGGGGAAACAGTGTGCTGGATCAGGTGAGGGGGATGACACGAGAATGGCTAGAGAGGTAGGCTCGGCTTGATTTTTGAGGTGGTGGTTGTGGTGGCACTGACGATGATGATAGACTAGTGGATTTTTTATTTTCTTGGCTATGAAAGTCGCTTTGAAAGAAAAACAGTCTGTTTGTGTGCGGCGTATAACATTCGTGTGTCGTAGCTAAGCAACAGCCCTGCAGGAGCGCCTCCTCACTCTGGAGTTCCACCGGCCCTTTTCGGAAACCAAGCGTTTGCGAGCCTGGCGGCCTCTTCTTTGCTGAAGTCGTGTCTCTTGTCGGATAGGTGCTGCTGCACGTTCCATTTCCGGCAGAAACTCCTCTGGCAGAGCTGACAGATAAATCTTGGTTGCAAGCTTGTCCGGCTCGGGCAGTTTTTGGCTTCGCGCTGGTGTCTCTGTAAAGTCTGTTGGTTGACATAGGTGTGGCCGCAGCAATCAAGAGAGTGCGGCAAAGGAGTATTCGGTGCTGCAGTCTGTGTAACCTGATCTTCGCTTACTTTAGTTAGAGGAGTCGTCAGCTGCATCCCAGCAAGAATGATGGACAGGCCATTTACCAGCCGCAGTGGTAGAGGTAGGAGGCACAAAGTCAAATCTTTCCGCCAGCAGACTGTCCTTCCACTTTTCTGCATATGAGGTAGTTTGAGGGTCAGCCGCTACGGGTCGGTGGGTTGCAACGTGCTGAACACTGCCAGCTGTGTTGGCCATGGTGTCTTGGTAGATATGTATTTGTACAGTCTACCAGGCGGATAGCGGATGTGGAAAGGAAGAAGGCAATGGACAAACTACACTGTGTGCGCGCAGGTCTACTTATAAGGGACCATCCTTAGAATCTGTGGGTTTTGCAAGCTGTTGTGCCTGTGGCATATTTCGGACGGAATCGACTCTATCAGCCTGTGGGTAGCTTGAGGCGTTGAGGGAATATAACGAATTACCATCCATTTATGCATGAACTTGACAGACCAAACGAGGCTCTAAGCGGGTCGCCTACCAGTTGCCGATGGACCCGCCAGCGGGTCACCACCTAAGCGCTAAACCCGATCGGGGGGCGGGGCACGAGTCCAGTCCTACTAACGTATCCCTTCGTGTACTGCAGTTCTCATGCAATCGCTTATGTCCGCCGTGGTATTCCGGATTTGGGGTGAAATCAAGCAGAATGCTCGCTTCTCTTATAACGGAGCGTGTGACCTCGCCAATCAACTTGCGCGAATCTGCCGCGACAAACCCAAACTCCGGAGGCGGTGAGCGTGGGTACACGAAGTCATCCAATCATAAGGCTACATTGAGTCGCCTCTTGTTGACGACCGAAGAAATTCCACGAGTGCCGTCACAGAATCTCGTTGGCTAACCCATTACACCGTCAAACCCATTACACCGTCAGACACGTTAGGGATTCCGTGTGCTACTATTCGCACGCGTGCGAGACATAGGTATAATGCTTATAAACGGAAGCTTAGAAGCTCAGACCACGCTAAGTAACGGGCAGCCGCTGGCGACGCTTGGCAACAACGGCCATGGACGTATTCCCCCGGCGAAGCCGAGGTAGTGCACGACACCACTCGAGCTGCAAAGCGGAGGGCCGAAGGTCCGAAGCGGCAGCGACGTGGTGGCGTGCCTGCCGAGGCGTAGCTGGGGAATTATATTGCCCTGCCGAGGTTTGGCCGGTCACGCCCAGCTGAGCTCTCACCTGTCTTTCGCCTGGCCGATCGATCTGCTCCCAAAGACAAGGCCCCAGGTTCGCCGGGGGTCCCATTAATAGATTTCGCCTGGCCGATCTATCAACAATACATATCATAAATCTTAGCTTTCTATCTTACTTGCCGCCTTGCGCGGGACCCCCTAGCATGCCTCCTAGACGCTCAAACCGTCGCGTTTCATCGCTAGCAGGTACAAAACGACCTGTAGAAGACCCTTCAACACCTCCGGCGACGTAGGAAAGCCAGATACCGGTGCTTGTGTCCAAGGAACGCGGTCGCGGCCGTCCGCCGACTTTCTCGCAGTTCACGATCGTAGAAGACGCCACCGCCATCCAGCAATCGCAGCAGCAGCTATCGCAGTAGTAGTCTTCGTAAAAGCCGTTTCTATGCGAAACCCCCTTTAAAGCTAACCGCTAGGTGTTACTCTGGGCCTTGGGGGACAAGGGTGAGCAGGGAGTCCAGGTCATCGGGCGCGGAGGTGCAGCGTCCTGAGCTTCGCTACGCGCTATATTAGGAATGCGCACTAGGTAATTAACAGGTCAGAGCACTATCATGAATACTCCTAAGAATCACCCTCGCCACCACCACTTGCCTACTCCCACCTCCACTTCGACATCCCATTCCACCCTACGCGCCAAACCTACTTTCCCCCGCACCCCCATCCTACGCCAACCCCTCCTCCGCCAACCTCGCCCTCCCCAACTCCTCCGCCAACGCCACCGCATCGCCCACCTTCTCGGGCATGCTCAGCATCGGCGAGTGCGAGCTGTCCAGCAGCACGACGCGCATCTTCTCGCCTCCCTCGACGGCGTCCACCATCCGCTGCTGGACGTCGGCGGGGAGGATGATGTCCTGCGCCGTCTTGACGTACACGGTCGGGACGCGCTGCCAGGGGGCGCCGCGGCCGACTTCGGTGCCGATGTTGCCCGGCTGCGGGAGGAGGCCGGCGTACAGCTCGCGCTGCTCGGACTCGGGGAGGTCGTTGTAGAAGACGTGGGGGTCGGGGGGTGGGAGGAAGCCGTTCTGTGGGTGGTTGTCGTTGGTGTGAGAGAAGTTCACTTTGCGTGGGTGGTGGTGGAGGATGGGGTGTTTGTGCCAAAATTACTAAATGCAGAAGAGGGAAAGGGAAAAGATGAACAGTTGACACGTGAGATGAGGGGAAATAGGCAGAGGAACGAAAACAAATGACGCAACGTAAGAGGAAAACAAAACACACCTCATCCGCCTTCATGTTGCTCTCGCCATTGGGCGGATACATGGTCTGCGCGAAGGTCTTGCCTTCAGGTAAAATGAAGGCCGCGATGTACACGAGGCCCAGCACCCGGCCCTTTCCACCCTCGTCCTTCTTCCACGAGTAATCCGCCAGGGCGGGAGACAGGACGCCTCCGCCGTACGAGTGCGCGGCGACGATGACGTCGGTGCCGGCAGCGAGGTAGGGGTCGATGACAGATCGCAGGTGCTCCGCGTCTTTTTCCACCAGGCCGTCGGCGGCGGGCTTGCCGAGCGACGGGTTGCGAATTGCACGGGTTTTGTAGCCGCGGCGCTCGAGGTCCGGAACGAGCTTGTGATAAGTGTGCTCGGTGTGCCAGGCACCAGGGACGAGGATTACGGTGGGCTTGGACGACATTTTGATGATATGTAGCAAGGAAGGTTGCTATGTGCAGCAGGAAATGGCGAGGTGCAGGAGGAAAGAGTAAGCTTTTAAGTGAGAGGAGAGCGGAGCCGGAGGAGGGGGTTGTGGGGCGGCTTATGGATGGCTTCGTGGCAGTGTATTTCTTCCTGCCTTTTGTGTCAGTGGTTGGCGGAAATGTGGATAACTGCAGGATGACAGGTCTGACGCAGGATCTAGCGGATGGCGGAGCTTCGGCCATTTTGGGCCATGCCCGGTGTTCTCTGCAGGGAGCTAGGTATTTGGCGATGATGGCAATGAGAGTTGGTGATAACATCTAGAATGGAGGAATAAGCCTGTGCAGGGAGGTGGCCATGTCTGGTTGTATGAGGGTCGTCCAGACTTTGCGATGTTGGTCGTCTCGGTCGCCCGGCTCGGGTCTGCCGCGATCATTACTATTGCCTAATCGGACCTAGTTCGTCAGCGCTTGCTCTCACTGAGTAATTCCAACGATGAGCCATGAACTAAATTGGCCCCTACTGCTTTTTGCATAAGGATCAAGCTAGTAGTCTTGCTTTCGAGTCCATTTGCCGAAGCTCGCGGATGGCTCCGCGCGGCACAGCACTGTTGATTGCGACGACAGAACACTCGGAGACATTTGACATAGCTCATATGCATTGATATATATCGGATTTGAGCGCGGACCTCGTTCGCCTGCGGAGCCGAGCTGAGACGGATCAACCGCTTACATCAGGTGAGAGCCGTTGGGCATTGGTGCCGATATCAACAGAGCGAGAATGGCCGGAGTGGCTGTGGGTTCGAGGACGAGGTGCTCAGTCATGACTGTCTGTTGTCCATGTTCATGGGCCAGATAGGGTCATGTTTCCGCACGTCGCATTTTATTTTTGCTGGCTCTGGTTGCTCACTTTGCTTTCCGCAGCAACCCCAGGCGTGCCCAACTCCTCAAACTCCTCCTCGTACCGACGCCATACTTCGGCATCTCTGGCCAGGCGTTTCTGGGCGCGCACAAACTGCTCGTGGGATATCAAACGGCGATCGGCTTCAACAATGCTGCGGGCGAGAGACGGGGCTGTGTCAGCAAGACAAGTCACGATAGGCACCGGGGGTCTGGGATAAATGGATACCTTCCGAACGTCATGCCCGACATTTGGAGGAATCTAGGCAGCGGTTAGCCGAGACATCCGAAAGACGGCCACATCACGCACACTTTGAATTGGATTGTGAGGCCGCGGTAGATTGGACTGAAGATGTAGCCCGCTCCGCCTAGAACGGCAGAGGCGATGCCCCACTGCGGGCAGAAGATCAGCCAGTGCATGTTTGACGTGCGCGGCGTGTGGTGACACGAGAACGTCTGACTCGGATTCGATGTATGATTCAACTTCAGAAGGACAAACATGTCCGGAGCAGCGGGGAGCACGTGAGGGCGCAGGCGGATGGAGCGGCATCGGACTTACCTTGGCAGCGCCTACAGCAGCGCCTCTGGCGGCCACCCAGGCGGCGGTGTTGATCTCCTCATCCCTCTCCAGCGAGGCGTGTGTCCGCATGGCGACAGGGCGGGGGCATGGAAAGTGCGTGGGGAGGCGGGCGGTGCGACGGCAGAGAGGCGCTTTCTTGGCCGCGACGTCACGACGGCCAGAATTAAGTCGTTGCCGAGCTTGCCGATCCTGCTCGGCCTGTTCCGCCCCGGCCTGCCCACCCGCCCACCTCCAGCATCACTTCTGCCTCTCCTCCGCCTCGCCCCAGTTCTCTGATGCACGGGCTGCTTGCAGCCAGTCATCTCTCGCAGCCGGCCCTGCCTGTCTCCTCGCCGCGACATCCCAGTCCCGCCCGGAGCTGGCTGCTGCAACCGTCGCCATGCGGCACAGAACACCTGCAGCGTCGTCAAAAGGGCGACACTCGCCCCGCCAACGTCGAACGTCTGGCGAGAAAGGGCGACATGCGGCCGGTGAGCACTAATGCACGTCTTCACTCTGTGCGACCTCGAAAGCCTCGTTAAGTGGCATAGTACGCCCCAGTCGCGTCGTCCGCTTGACCAAGGAATCCATCAAGAGACCCGCCGACCACAGCCTCGGCGCCCGGCCTGCCCGAGCTCGAGCTTTTTGTGTCGTCCCGTCCGGTATCCCCCTTGTTATGGGCCCGTCGCCGCGATGCAGGTCCCGCTCTGTGCTTCAGGGATGGCCTGATGGGGGATCATGCTCCGGACCTGCATCTCCACGACCCGGGCCGCCTTGGCCGTGCGGGAAAGCACGTCTTGAGCCCCATCTCCCAGAAACCTCTTTCGTCCATCCTCCTGGCCTTCGTGGAGCTCGACCTTGCTCTCATATCCGTTCTGAACAGAGAAGAGTCTTCCATCCACAGTGTTGATGTGGCGCTACTCAGCCAGCCACATCGCTTCTCGGGCGATCATAACTGCTTGTTTGGGAATAAACTTTTGCTTAGGGCTCGTCGATCTACATGGGATCCTCGTTCGATGTCAAGCTAGTAAAGTTACGCATTCCAACATTCCTAAAGTCCCAGGTTTCCGTTCCTTTTGATACGCCAAACCCCGGTCACTCAAATAGTCCCCTGCGCCAGTTTGCTCGTTATTCCCCGCCCAGGAAATCGTTTACACCTGTTACCAACACCAAATGCCGTGTTCGCCAGCAACGCCAGTCTCCTACAACCAACCAAAAGGACCAGGCACACAAGTTGACGTCTCTCCGTACTTCAGCCCAACATGCGAGTCCCTATGAATGCTCTGGCGTAACACCAAAGAGATCCCGACTCCCACGGAGCTGGTAGCAGCAATAACCAAGAGGAAAGAACGCCGATGAGCAGGTGTCAACTCTGGTGGCTGAATTCCGGTCAGACAGCAATATATTCGAGCAAATGCGCTCAACCTTATCACCCATGCATAAAGGCAGAGGCTGCGGAAGCCAACGGGAGGTACGCGGGCACCGGGCTGGGACAAGAAATCCCGCACAATCCAAAAGCACATGATAGGCGTCCAAACCTGCGTTGGAGCCGGTAACAAACCTCACGGTCTTCGCGTAGGCTGACTTGGACGACGCTTTCTCAAGGAGCCAAGGGCCACAGCAAAGGTGATCCCTGTCTGCACCGGGAGCAGCATGGTTGTCTCTGCTGGTTACTATTCCCACCTCTCGAGACAACAGACCGGAGGAAAGAGTAGGAGCGTGAGCTGGGAAAGCTTTAACCCCCTCTCTTCCACTCAGCCTTTTGCCCGTTCAACATGCCTGACATTGGGAGGATGACTCGCTGGCGTCCTCTGTTCTCTCACGAAAAGCCCCGTCTTTTCCGGATTCAAGTCCCATCCACCTCTTACTTCTGAAAGAACGGGTGAAGGGTCTAGTTCCCTGTGCTTTTCTAGCGCCTGTGTGCCTTTTTCTTGATTCTTCCCGGTGCGTATCGCTTGGACGGTATCGATGTCGTTCTGCGCCGAGCGTCGGAACAGCGGGAGTTTCGGAAGGGGTTGCTTCAGCACGGCCTTCACGCTGTCGGAGAACATGGGTTGAAAGTTGCGTTCGAACCACTTTGATGACTCGAGAGGCGCAGAGCTTCGCTTTGGTGGTGCTGCGGTGCCATCATCATCAGGATTCGGTGGCTCGTACACCTGCTTTTCCGTCAACCAGGATGATGACGGGCGTGAGTCCACCAATGTGCTGGTCGTCGATGTTGGAGAATCGGACAGCGGTTGGTTGAACGAATCCGACTTGTGCTCACGCCAGCAGAGACAGGAGAACAAGGGGCACGGTGGCGCTTTGGGAGAGCTTGTCGAGGGGGCTGACGAGGATGTGGGGATGCGAGATTGGGAAGCAGAATAAGGCTCGTCCGCTGCAGAAGCAGCCTCATCTGGATTCCACGGGGAGTCCTCGGACTTCCGAGAGGGGGTCGTCGGTGATGAGGGCACCAACAGCCTGGAAACGAAACGGCTTGGGGTTTGCGTCGTCCGTGCGCCATTTCCGGCTGGAGTAACAGGGCGTGGGATCCTCAGCTCTGCTGATCCGCTTGGACGTGGCTTTCTCCTGACCTGCGGCTGGGGCTCCGGTGACCGACGAAGTGGTGTCTGGTCTTCTGTCACCTGTATTGAAGGAATGTCCGGGTCGGAGGATCCAGCCTGAGGCTGCGATCCAGCCTGGGCGGGCTGCTCGTCTCGAGGCGTGTAGTCGACCGGATAGTCGCCTTCGAGCTCTTGAGGCTCCATTTCCGAACGAAGCTCTACCGGCCTCTCGATGGATTCAAGCTCGGGCGGATCGGGATATTCCTTCCTAGTCCAAGTGTCATTGGACACCGAAAACGCGGACGGTCGGCGTTTCTTCCTTGCGTGGCAGAGGGTCATGGCAAACACGATTGATTTCACCTTCGCCTTCAACGTCGGCTTGGGCTTCTCGGGACCTCCAGGCTGCTTCAACTTGCTGCACTTGTGCGGCTTTGTGTAGGTGAAAGACAGTAGGGAATATTCTCGTTGTTCGTGGCATTTTGCGTCCGAGGAAGCTGTGGTTTTGGTGCGCTGAAACGACCGCCGGCTTGTCTGATTGGCGTCGGGTGAGACTCGACGAACAGAGGCCAGAAAGTTGCGACTTACCATGACACTGAAGTGGCACCCTTGCATCCCCGAACGCGAGCACGTAGTAAGGGCAGACATCCATGAGTCCGTTTCGCGCAGAATTGGCGTTCTCTGTGCGGAAGGCGCCGATTAAAGCGGTTCTAGGGACGGCAATACGAAGATACCCCTTTGAGAGGGTAAAAGACGGTGTTGGGTGCCACGACCTGGGATATACAGCACATCCCGGCAAAGACGGCATCGTAAGGCGTTGCACTGACCACGACTCGTCAGTAAACAGGGTCTTCCGCAGCGCCTCCTGACCAACGGAACCCCGCAGATCATGAATAAGGACCCGTCTTCCAATACTTTCCGGCAAGATTGTGCCCATCCTAGCTGCCCCGTGCTGCTGTAGGGCAGAGGAGGTGGTGTCTGGCCCACGCCCCGTGGGTGTCGTCAGCGATCAACGATTGCGCTCATCCTCCAAGCTCAGAGCATCTGCGGAACCGAAGGCGGCAACTCTAATTCTCCACGATGTGGACTGGACATGTGCCGGTTTTTCCATGGCATCATCGGCCCGTATACCCGAACGTGGTCGGATAGGTCGGCCACGTTGCTGCGGGCGAGGTTCCAGTGGCGGTCACGGGGCGGGGAGCAGATTTTCCTAGTATCGTAACGAGAGCGGTTTTTGCGTAAGGCTGAAACTCGAGAGTCCTGTGCGGGGACGGTGCGATTATGCGCGTGGGACGCTCTCCTGTCGCCGCTTGCGCCGAACCACCCACACAGAAGCTTTCGGTTCGCATGGAATTTCCACAGCCGTCGGTGAGTCGAAGCTCGGCTTGGATATCTTTTGATGCCATTTTTAACTGCGCTCGTACGTCCTAATTCGCCCCTTTGTTATTTTTCCCATGTTGTTGCAATAATAGAAATAGCAGCTGGAAAGTCTTGGCCGCCCTGTGCCGTCAGTCCACCGCAAGTAATTCGCGCGCAATGGGAGATCTACCTCGGGACGAAGACGGCTAGCCTCCATACCCCCCTAGGAATGCAGCATATCAGCCTGATTATGAAAAACGTCGGACTACAATCTCAATCAACTTCTCGAATTCGGATATCAGTGAGCAACGATACTTCACTACCAGGGCGATCCGTGGCCACCATTAATCAATTCCCTTCTCCCCCTTAAAAAGAAGCCCCGACCAACTCACGCACCCCCCGCTCTTCATTCCTCTATCTCTTTTCCTTCCTTCCTTCCTTCCTTCCTCCTTCCTCCAGCTCACAAACTCACACCCCTCACGACAACGCCGCCTTCGCCAAATTCTCCTCAAAGTTCCCGTCCTTGAACGGCACGTTCCCGCTCCCGAAATCCGCCTCCTGCAGCGCCCGCCTCGCCGCGTCCGGCAGGCTCTCCCACGCGACCATGGGCTGCTCGCCGCCCACCTCGCTCGTGAAGCCCGTCTGGTGGTTGACGGGGAACACGTTGTAGTACCGGATCAGCGGCCGCGTCCTAGTTCCATCCTCATCCACCGGCGCGTCCGTCCGCGTCTCGTACCCGCCGTGGCCGGAGGCGGCGACGCCGAGGAGCTGGGCGGTGGCGGGGGATGAGGGGTCGCCGCCGAGCCAGACGACGACGCCTTCCCAGTCGTGGCGGTGGCCGAGGCCGGTGGAGGGCGAGTCTTTGGGCATGTACCATGAGTACATGATGGCGTAGGAGGGGGTGGTGGAGGAGGACGAGGTGGCGTTGGCGTTGGCGGGCGTGCCGCCGCGCACGTAGATTTGACCCGGGCTGCTGTCGCAGTCGCCGGTCGAGGTGCCTGAGGGGTTGAGGCCCGCGCTGTGGGGTGGGAGGGGGAGCGGCTGTTAGTTCATGGGAATGGGCGGTGGTATGTGTGGTTGGACAGGGGGAGGAATGGAAGGCGGATTTCTTGCCATGTACTGCTAACTGCACTGATCTTGCTGTTGTTGGGGAAATCGCGACGGCAGCAAGATGATCTCAATGCGGTTTGTTTGGGACACGGGGAAACGACTCGGGTACGAAAGCGTGTGAAACGCGAGAGGAAGGGAAAGAGAGAAAGAAGAGGTTGATGACAAAACGTACTTGGTGTTGCCCTGAGCGTCGACGGCCGGGAAGGGGACGCAGCCGGACTCGACCTTCAGGAAGGGCTTGAACTTCTCGTAGAGCTCGCCGACCGCGCCGGCCGGCACCGTCTCGGGGAAGCCGACGACGGCGTCGTGGTCGATGGCGTCGCGCCGGTGGTGGATGGCCGCAGCGCCGACGCCGCTGACGCCGGCGCCGGCCGCAAGGAGGCAGACGAGGCCGTGGCGGATGGAGAGCGACATCGTGGTGGTGGTGGTGGCCGTGGTGCACTGATGACGGGTTCGTGCAAACGTATAGCGAGCGAGCGAGCGAACGAACTTAAAAAAAAGAACGGGATGTCAAAGTCGAGACGCGGGGATGCTCGGCGAGCGGAACGGGCCCTGGCGAGTTTTATATACGGACGTCCTGCAAGCGAGTGAGTGTATTGCAGAGCGAGGTCGGCTATATGGCACTGCTCGAAGCGATTTGGCGCGACCACGAGTCAGGATGGAGAGGAGAGAGAGTGTGTGTATGTGCGCTCCGCCCGGTTGATGTACCCTATCTGTTGGATTAAAAAAGGAGCTCCCCCACGTGCTGCGCGCTATGCACCCAATCCTGTTAGGGAAGGCAGCTTCAGACGTTTTGCCCATCTTAGCCTTATGCAGGTGCTTCTTGCAGCCGAGACGGCATTTTTTGACATTCGGATCGACGCTGTTTCAGGGAACGGACAAGGATATAGCTGTCGGCTCTGGCCCGAAGCCGTCGACATGCCCATTCCCCGATCGAGCTGTTAGCGGCGCAGCCAGACGCTGGGAAAGTAGATTCACACGAAGTCCGTGATCTTTGGTACTAAAAAAGTCCGAGCCTCGGCCGCATAGGTACTCGACATCAAAGCAGGACTGTAGGTTAATCAGTTGTGTACATGCTAAACGCGGTCTTGCTGGCACTTTTCCCCTCCAATGGTGGTTGCTGGTGTTTAAGCCAATAGAGGACCAGAATCGGTCTGTTTAGGCCGACCACTGCATGACATTCATGCCGCCTCGCGTCGTCCCGCATCAGCACGGATCGCCTCTCTAGAGGAGCTTTGGCATACCGCCATCTTTTCGCGGACCTCTCATCCGAAACCCCTGGTCAGTACGAGTTACGGGTGATTCAGGGATGTTTCTGTCCGAAACAAACGGGACAGACGGCTCCTCCCTAAACCACCTCGCATGGCGCATTTTTGGTATGCGTTCAGGAGTTGGGAGAGCAAGCACCGATGGGCAGCTCAAGCTCACCGCTTGCTCCGGTTTCTGCTTCAGCCTTGGTTCAAGATTGCGATGGGCGGACGGTACTTGCAAGCGAGGCGATGATGCTTAGCTATTTCCAGCACCCACGTGTCTCCCAGCTGCCCCCGGGTTCTACTAGGGGGTCCGAGGTAGGCTAGAAGTTCCGAGGTAGGCCCGGGGGCCGCCGGGTCGGGCATAAAAGAGGGCGTCCGCGCCCTCGTATGAGGCCGCAAGCAAAAGAAATTTGCACCTCCAACGGAACCGCAAAAAGACGAGTCGGGAATTGAGCCCAACGCGGGGATTGAACCCGCAACCTTGAGATTAAGAGTCTCACGCTCTACCGATTGAGCTAGCCGGGCAGCGGATGTTGAGAACTCGGATGAGTTCCTATGCTGTTGATGGAGGAGGATTGGCGGCCAACACATATGATCGTAAGAAAACGCCTTTCCTGCATGCGTAGAGGGCTCTTCATGATCGAATCTATGGTAGAAAACGTTTGGAGAGCGCCATGTTGCAAGGTCGAGAGGACGTGGAGGTCGGGCAAAATTTTATGCTCGATTTCCGGATCGGGACTAGCTTGAAGGCTGCCGCAACGGCCTGCCATAGCGGATGGCCGAAGAAGTTTCTGATACTCCACGGATGCTAGTTGCAGACCGAAAATACTCGTTCCGAGCATCCATGGCATGGGCGAATGGAGCAGCCTATGATACACCGGCTGGAGACGGGGGCAGTCTCGCCAAGATGTCGACGTTATTAACGGCCGGTGTGGTGACCTGCAACGAGAACTACTGCTGCTCTGCTGCTGTAAGTTCTAAAATATGCCCTTCCAGACCCATTTCGGAATGCCCATATGACTCCACGACCGTCATCCTTTCGAAAGGACCAGCATGAAATGCGTACGATAAGAGGAACGGAGATAATGCATTAAGTCTGGAATAATCAATAGTTCGCCTAACGTTAATCGTGCGTTACAAGCAAGGGCTGCGACTTCCGTCCAATAATCCGAGCTCGATCTCGATCCCGCACAACCCCCGCACTCAACGTTGCTTGGGTATTTATCCCCCGCCCGTCTGATAAGGTTCGGCCGTGCCCACCTCTTCCCATCCTCGAAAAAAAACTCAACGTCCATCATGCTCCCGCCTCCTCGGACAAGCACAAGGAAAAGCGACAACGAGCGGAAAGCGAACAAAAGAAAAAGGGCAGGGGGTGAGGGTATACACAACGCGAGGGTATCATCAAAAGAAACATCGCTAAAGAGAGAGAGAGAGAGAGAGAGAGAGAGAGAGTCGTAGCACGACGACGCCATGAGCTGGAGGGAAGAAAAAAAGAAAAGAAAGAGCAAGGGATGAAGAGCAGCCGTCATAACCCCACCGACGCCTCGGGATAGTCGTTCTCGGCGCCGTTCCGCTGATACCACGTGTCGACGTACTTCTTCGCATCTTTTGGCGAACACTGATGCACCTCGTGGACGTGCTGCTTCAGCGTGTTCCGCCGCCCGAACGGCCTCGTACCGCACAAGAAGCAACGGAACTCGCGGCCGCCGTCGCCATACGGACATGTCCGGCTTTCGCGTCGATGCCGGTCGAATGTGAACTTGGAGCTATACTGCGTCCCGCAGCAGACGAAGTTCCGGTCGTTGCGGGCTGGGTTTCTGGACCGTGGCATCACCGGTGCGCCTTGAGCTGACGGTGCGCCGAGAGGGCGACGGGGGATCGTGGCGCGCCGCTGCTCGGGCGAAGGAAAGCCGGCAGAAGAGGGAGGAGATGGCATGCCGTACTGCATGATTGGCTCTGGCACCCTGGGGTTGACCATCGTGGGGTCGGGGGCAGGGTAGGAACGGGAGCTGCCAACACCAGAGACCCGATCCCGATGATGGCCACCACCAGGAGACACGGCCGTGCCATTTGGGACCCAAATGGCGGCATGAGCCTCCAAAATGCTGCCGTTTACCATTGGCGGGTACTGGTTGCGGTCAGGATGGCCATGGTTGTAGCCATGGGCATTGCCGTTGTTGGCAACGAGGTCAGGGTGAAAGTGAGGGAGAGTTTGATCAGAAGGCATGGTTTCGTCAGGGATTTGTTGTAGAGTTGTCGGTTGGAGACTCAAGTATCGCGGTTCGAATGCAGTTGAATTGCGCAGCCAAAGCAGACGGTTTTATGCGGACAGTCTGGTCGGCCATGGTTGGAATACATCCTCTCGACGCCCCGCGACTGCGCGCGGAGGCGAAGCGCGCAATTTCGGGCTATGAATATACGGAAAACCAGCAGTAGGTAGTGTTGAGGGGAGGAGGAAACCAGCAGAAACCATGTTGGGCGAAGGACTCGTCGGGGCCGGTCATTGGACGGCGATGGGCAGCCTTGACGACAGCAAGAGGTGCGGAAGGGCGAGATCCAGGGTTGCAATACATGTGATGCTGGCGGCCTCGCGCGCGAGATGGTTGTTACGCAGCGGAGCAATTCCGGTGGGCGAAGGCAAGGCATACTTGCGCGTAAAGAGAGAGAGAGCAGGGCGTTGAAATGCGCCGGTGCGCGTGCGCTGGTTTTGGTGGTTGAGGCGGTGTTGTGCTGCGCTGTCGAAAACCATGGTAGGCGAGACGGCTGACAAGTCCTTCGACTCTTGCTTGGGCACAGCAGCGCTCGCTACATGCCTCGGGCAACTGTCATGTGCAGTCGGAAGCGGCTGCGCAGGCTCGAGGGCGGTTGCCCCATTCGCGCAGAAGGTCCCCGGCCATCAGGGCCGCCGACACAACAAGTCCGCGGCAAAGGTGTGGATTCCTGGCGACGGTTCGTAAACGGCATTGCGACATTGCGGCTCGAAGCGCGGCAACGACGGCGGCTATCCAGCTGATTTATATCAATTGAAACGTCAGCCCAAGGCTAGCACGCCGCGCCAGTGCTGCCTTACACAGACACTCTACAACCACAACCGGACCAGTCTACGATCTTGCGATATGCCGGTGCAGAGAAAAAATGCCGAAGACCGCATTCAGCACCATGCGAACTGCCGACGGTCGGCAAGGCCAGACAAAAGCAGACAAAAGCAGGCAAAAGCAGCATGGGGTTCCCTGACAGCCTGATGAGAGGCCGCCAAAAGCCGACCAGCGCCTCCACCCAACAGTTCGCTAGGTGGTACGTTCTGAACACTGCCGAAAGACTGCTGTGCGTGAAGCCTGACCGGTAAAGCACTGTCGCTTGCGAAAAAATAAAAAATAAAACAACATGCGGATCGGTGATGTCGTATATGCTCACCTTGCCATCTGATTGGACGGATACTGTAAACCCGCAGACGTGGGTTTTCGGCCATGTAACCCTCCGTCTGTCGCCCGCCTGGTCCAGCCTCGCCGACGGTTGCCTGCGACGAGCCCCATTGCCAAGCCAGAGGTGGTGCCCCATACGTCGGGCAACACGCTGAAGTTGAGCCTCGCATCCCAATCAGTCACAGCACACCCATGCATGCACCATCGTCCTCATCTTCACCCTTCCATTTCAATCAGTTACAGCAAACTCACTCATGCACGCACAATCATCTTCATCTTTCACCCTTCCATCATCTTTTCATTCATCTCATCTTCTTCATCATCTTCTTCTTCTCCATCGAAGATACTCTAACTACCTTCCCTGCCACTGACACTGCCTTTTATCACCCCTCACCTGGCTGTCGGCCAGCTCGGAACCAACCAACCAACCAACCCCTCCCTCTACCTAGCTAGATTGGCAGCCAGAAGAGAAGAAAGAAGTGGTGATAGCAAAAAAAACACACAAAAACTAAAAGGAGAAAGAAAACCAAAAGGGAAGCAAAAAATAAAAAAGAAGCCCCAGTCCACAAGATATGCGCCCATCAATGCATGTGTGTGTTGTGCTCAGCCGTCTGATCCTTACAAAAAGGAAGATGAAGATGAAGATGAAGAAGAAGAAGAGAAAAAAGGAAGAAGAAAGAAAAAAATTTGTCGAGAACGACAAGGAAAAAGCTAAACCAGGGGGGTGGGTTTCGTTCCGTTCCATTCCACTCCGGACACGGCGAGAAAACCCCCCTTCCTTCGTATGAAGAACAAAAAAAAAAGAAAAAGGGAAAACCACAACCACATTCTTTTTGAGAAACCCGCATTGCTCTCGCCCGAGTCGTGCGCTTGTATATCCCGCCTCGGAAGCATATGTCAGCCAGCCAGACAGCCAGTCAGCCAGCCAGCGCTGTTCCGGTCAGCAGCAGGAAAAAAAAGAAGCCGAAAATAATAAGTGGAAAGGGAAGAAGAAAGCCCGACGACATCTTCGATCCGATCACGTCCTCTCTCCCCTCCTCGACCTCTTGCTGCTGCTGCCTCCTCCAGAACCACCACCACCACCGCTGCCGCCGGTTTCCGCACCAGCACCCGCGTGCGCCCCACCACCATCCACGTCTCCACCGCCCCTATTCCTCTTCCTATCCCTCGACTCCCTCGGCTCCCTCTCCGACCCCGTACCACCACCGCCGCCGCCGCCGCCGCCGCCGCCTCGGCTCTCCCTGCTCTCCCTACCCTCACGAGGCTCGCGAAGCTCCCGCGGCTCCCTGCTCCTGCCACTGCCATCGCCCGGTCCGTTACGCATGCTGCTGCTGCCGCGTCCGCCGCCGCCGCCGCCACCCATTTCTCCGTTCGACGATGGTCCGTACGCCTGACTGCCGGGCATGCCGCCACCGACGTCGTGATGGTCGCTGCTGCCCCATCCGCCGCCGCCGCCGCCATCGCTGCCGCGCAAGCTCCTCCTGCTGTCGCGATGATGGCCGCCGCTCTCCCTCTCGTCGCCGCCGCTCCTTCCGCTGCGCCTGCTGCTGCTCTCTCGCGGAGGAGGTAGATGAGACGACGACGGCGGGGGCGGGAGCGGCGGTCCGACGTCCGCCATCGACGACGACGATGGCCCGCCGCCACGCTTGTTGGAATCTTCCGCTCCGCCGCCGCGGCGCGATGACGACTCGCGCGGGCTGGTCGACCTGTGGCGGCCGGAGCGGCGCTCGCTGCGTTCGCCGCGACGTCCGCCGCGGTGGTCGCGCTCGTCGCCCGCTGCTGCCGGAAGGACGTCTCCACCACCACCACCACCATTGCCGCCGCCGCCTCCAGGTCCTCTGGGCAAGAGGTCGGGCCGTCCGTCGCCACCGCGAGGCGGCGCGTCCAGATGATGAGACGGGATCGGCGTGCTGGGCTGGGAGGCCGCGGGCGAGTTTGTGCTGCCGGGACGTCCGCCGCCGCCGCCGCCGCCGCCGGCGCGGCCGCGGATCGACGCGCCGCGGTCCGAGGACGAGGGCCCGCCGGCGTCGTTGCGGTAACCGCCGCCGCCGGGCGAGCTGCCGCTTTGCTGGAGCATGTTGTTGATGCCGGCGAAGCGCTTGTCTTCGTGGCGGCGCTCCGAGGACGACGCCGGGCCCGTGGGGGGGTTGCGCGCGTTTGTCATGGAGAAGTCGGAACCGCTGGCCGAAGGCTGTTGTCTGTGAGATCCACGAGGGCCGGATGGGGGAGGGAATGAAGGAGGCGGGGCGGGCATGTCGCTCCGTGCGGCGGGTATCTGTCTCAGGCGATCGGGATGGATCCCCGATGTGTCAGGGCCGTCGTTCGATGGCGTTGGAGGGCCGTGGTCAAACGACTCCCAGTGCTCCCTTCTATCTCTATCAGCATTGGGTCCAAGAGGGGGACCACGTTCGCTGATAGGAGACTGAGGAACTGAGCCGGGCTGGTTTCTGCCGCGGCCGGCAGCACCTCTACCACGAGGGCCAGAGGGCGCATCTGGTGCATTGAGGCGACCGTAACTGGGGTCCGAAGAGCGCGATGGCATAAAGTCCTGATTGAGACGGCCGTGATTCGGGTCCGCCGGAGGCGGTCGCGGGGCTGAGGGTTCAAAGAGCTCCCTTCCACCACGAGGTCCCGATGGTCCAGGGTAATCACTCCTGCTTGGACGATCGCTACGCGGCCCAGTTGGCGGAATCGAGTTGGGGTCGTCTCGGCGATCACGGCTGGACGGGTATGCGGGAGGCAGGCGATCTTGGCTAGAAGGCGCACGCTCATCGCGGTAGTCGTCGCGAGGAGGGAATGCTGGCGCGCGCTCGTCCCCACGTCGAGGGGAATGAGGCCTTGACCCTCTGTCGCGACGGCTGTCCCTTTCGGAACCGAATCTCTCAGGGCGACGGGGTCCAACGTCAGCATCGATTAGAGCCGCACGATCTGGGTTCATGCCGGTGCGGTCTGCGGGTCCAGATGGTCTATCAGGAAGCGGTCCGGGGGGCCCGCGTTCCCCAAACCGGCCCGCACGCTCAGGGTGTTGGTACGGTCCTGCAGCAGGCGGGGGCATCGGTCCAGACTGCCAGTTGCGCCCCTCTCCAGACTGGCTCTGCTGATCGTATGGAGCACGGCCGCGCGGACCATCACTGGACGATTCAAAAGGCCTGCCCCGCGGAGGAGGTTCATTCCACTGCGGAGGCGCCCTCACACTTTGGCGAGCGTCTCTGGGGAGCGGCCGCCCTCGGTCATCTTCCCACGCTTCCCGGGGTCCCTGCCATTGAGGATCACGCCGATCTCGGTCCATATGAGTGGAAGCTGGGCTCCTGCTACGGGGTCGACGACCCAACGACGCATCCCTTGTTCGATCGGGGAAATCTCGAGGCATATCTCCTGGGCGCTCAAGGCGGCCGTAGTCATGATTAGGCGGACCACGTCCATCGTGTCTTGGTGGACGATCTTGTCTGTCGCCCATACGGCCCCTCGTGGGTTGCGTATCAGGTCGGTTCGGAAGGGCATGGGGCAGACGTCCGCCGGATCCAGCAGGCGGCGGTCCCCTTCCAGTATCCGGACGTGACGACGGGCCTTGGCCATGCGGAGGAACGGGAGTTGAAGGTTTGGAGTCCGTGTGAGGTCCTCTGCTCGGTTGCTGCGACGGAGTCGGTCCAGGTGTGCTGGCCTTTGACTCTGAACCCCTGTCTCTCTCTCCTCCCGCCACTGAAACCGTTGTTTGGTCGGTCCTGTCCTTCACATCGCCGATCTCACCATCTTCGGCGTCCTTATCACCCCTCATGCCGTTTGGTGCGACGCCATTGCTACCGGATCGTTAGGGAATGTCGAAATTCGAATCGGCTACAACAAGAGCGAAGAGAACTTACGATTGCTGAGTGGGCTTGAATTCCACAGCGGATGCGTTGAGCTTGACTTGACCGGGCTGTGGCGTGCTCGCACCCTCGGTAGTAGCACGACTGTTGGGTTTCTGTGGCGCGTTGGGGTCGGCCTGTCCATCATTAACCACAATGTAACGATCCAGTGACGGGTCCCAGGTTAGACCAACCAGCTTGAAAGCCTGGGGGAGCATCCACTCGCCCTCCTTTTTCTTCAGATCACCAATGAGCGATGCTGCCGCCAGCTTCAAGTCACCTCTGGGATCCTCCCTCGATAGCTTCACAATACACTCAAGCTGTTGCTTGCCCATGAAGTTGATACGAGGGAAGTTGTGAGAGATGACCTTGAGGAGGATGATGGCGTTGCGAATATGCATATACTCGCCGCCAGAAAGACACGCCTTCAGAGCATTGTTGATGCTGACATGCCACTTGTAGAGCAAGCGCCGGAAATCTTCGTAGGTGAGGAAGACCTCCGGTTGCCTATCCTCATTGAACTTACGACCGAAGCCAGGAAGATCCTTCTTCGCGCCGTAAGCCGTTCTCTCGTAGATCGCTGCGTCGGCATGCCATTTGCCAAGCTCCAAAAGAAGCAGATTCAGGAAATGGCCCAGGTTACTGACTTCTTGAGGTGTGCAGATGAAGATGAGTGCCGTTAACTGCTTCTCCCTCAGGATTCGATCGATCAAGAACATCGTGCGGAAGCCCGGTGTGCCGGCGCCGTGAAGGTATATAAGCATCCGGAAGACGTATTGCGCATCGAACTGGGAGAGGATCAGGCGCGGAAGGAAACACTCCTGGATGAGATAGTCGTGAAGGGCGGGGCTCATGGCAAGCTTGTGACCAGCGAACCAATGGGCCTTTTCTTTCTGCAGGCGAGAGCGGACCATCGAATATGTCTGCACTTGGACCTTCATCTCGGCCCTTAGGCGATCTTGCAGATCATTCAGTTCTTTCTTCTTCGCATCCCTCTTCTTGATCCCTGCAACAGACACGTCTGACCGGTCTGAAACGACCGCAGTGATCTTCTTTTGCAGAGTCTTGATCTCGTCTTCGTAGGCCTGGGTGGGGACGGACATGTCGTGGAGGGATAGTTGCCAGAATGTCGCGTAGAAAGAAAGGCTCATCTTATCCTCGAAGCCCTCCGGTAAAGCTGTCCTCAGCCTGTCCATAAGGTCCTTGATTGCAGGAGGCGAGGTCTCTTCCGGTGTTGGCTGTGCTGGCGTGGACGGTACTGGTGTCGGAGCACTGACAGTAGCTTCTTCCTTCTCTTCTGTTTCCTCTTTGACCGCAGCCTCTTCTTTGACCCCTTCGTTCTTCTCACCACTCCCCTCCTGACCATCTCCAGGAGCATCAGCCATGTCGACATCTCCGTTCGTTGCTGGTTTCTCCTCGGTCTTTGACCCCTCCTTTGCATCCTCTTTAGCCTTCTCATGTTCCTCCTTCTGCTTCTTCTCTTCTTCCGCAGCAGCCAAGTCATCCAATACCGCTTGCGAAAGGCTCCGCCTGGAAACTGCAAATGCAATACTCGCTTCGATGCCGAACTCCGACATGAGAGATACGACGTCAGGGATTGCAGCATCGAAATCTTTGACGGTGAGGTTAGACCTGAGAGCCTCAAGGTACTGGAAGAAAATCCTAGTAAGCCTATCCATATTCACTCCGACAACCTTCAAAGGCGCGTCAGCGATCAGCTCAGAATGAGGGAACAGCTGGCGCTCTTGTGCGATGGCAATGAGCAGTTGCCCTGCCAGACCTGGCTCGACCAAAGCCCTCAAAAGTCGCTTGGCAGGCCCCTTGAAGCTCGACTGGTTACGGAAATCCTGTATTTGCTCCAGGATCTGAGCTTGAAGGAGGTCGCCACCAGCCATGCCTTGCAACTGGTTGTCCGTAAATGTAGGTTCGACAGGAATCCCGGTCATTTGCGTCATGATCTGCTCCAAAACATCCAGGTCGGTGGTGTTGCCGTTCTTCAGCTGATATGTCACGTACTGGAGGATTGGCGTGGCATTCATGACGGTGTATCGTTTGAAGACGCTGCCTGCGAAGAAAGAAAGGGACTGTAACCAGCGACTGGTGAGCATACCATCGTCTTGTTGACGGGAACGGCCCTTTCCACCAAGGGAGCTCATGAGGGACCATGTCAAAACGTCATAGCCGAGGTAGGTAAAGTATCGGCCGCACTCCACAATGACTTGAACGAGGTTGTCGTAGGACTCGATCTGGTTCAGAGCGACCTTGAAGACGATACCAGGAGATGCATAAGCAACCTTTGCGAGTGCTCTTGCCATCTGCTTTGTGTTGGTCTTGCTGATACGCTTCAAGACGTCTTTCGTCTCGGCAGTCGATTGGTCGAAGGCCGACTTGATGTCAGGTAACCTCGAGGTCTGGCCAGTGTACCATTCCGCATAGATGGAGTACCGAGTTGATGTGGAGAAGAGCTTCAGCAAATCGAAGACTTCGTTAACGACGCCAGGGTTGGCTTTCGTCAAGCTAAGGGCCGGAACCAAGAGTCTCTTCGAGAGGTCGATCCAGCGGGTGAAATTCGCGTCCGAATCGTCCTTTGACAAGCTCCACTTGCCGATGCGTGCTAGCTTCGTCAGCAAGGCAGGGTCTTGGCCGATCTTGACTCCAGACAAGTTGAGGAAAGAGCTGCAGAGAAGGAAGACATCATCGACAGTCTGGCATATTGGGACGTTGTTCGACCAGTCTTCCCAGTAGAACCGGTAGTCGACAATCTGCGAGTCGTTGTGAGAACCCTGCTTCTCGACCGAAGCCCAGCGCAACGTCCTGCGAGGTGGAGGATCGGTGCTCTTCAGCTCTCCCTTCTCAGCTCCACCCTTCTCGACTTCAGCCTTCTTCACAAGTCTAACTTGGTCATGGCCTTGCATGGGCCGTAAAGCGTTATAGACCTTGTGGAGACTGTGGTGCAATATCCGATGAATGTACTCCGGCAGGTCAGGGTGCACATCCATCAACCAAGGGAACTTTCCGAGGATGTAGAGAGATTCTGGAATGGCGCCGATGCAGAGCAAACTCTTGAGCAGAGCGATCTTCTGGTCCGTGGGCTCACCCAACAGCTCCTCCTTCGTCATCTCCTCAGGCTTGTCGGATTTTGGTGTACCGGCCTTGTCCTCCGGTTTTGCGGAAGAAGCTCTGCTGTTTTCAGCTTCGCGCAGCCTCGAGGCTGCTGTGGGTGCTGGAATTGTGTCGTCGGCCAAAGCTCCTGCCATCGCAAGGGCGTTCATCTGACCACCACCAGGTTTGTTCTTCCTCTCACGCTCCTCCTTCTCCTTCATCAACTTCTCCTTTACAGCAGCCATGTCTTTGTCCGCGGGATAAAGATGGGGGTACAAGTCTCGCAGGGAGACAAAGCCGATCTTGATCAACAGGGCCGCAAGGAAGACCAAGTTCTCAGGAAATCTGTCTTCAGGGTCTCTCGCAGAGGAGGCGTAGAAACGGAGCTTGAAGCCAAGAAGTTGTGCAGCGACGCGGTTTCCGGGCGGTGGGAGGGTCTTCGTCACTGCCATCCACTCCTTGTTGAACACGGCCTCCGTCATGTCCTCAGGCTTGGACCCGTCCCTCATCCCTCTCTCCTTCTCGATCTTCTCGAGTCTCTCTGCAACGGACTCGCCAGCTTCCAGGGTCACCTCGCCCTTCGTGATACGACGTCCGCCAAGCTCGAAGAAAGCCTCCAAGCCCACTTCCCGTACTCGTTGCCAGAACTTGTTGTCTCTGACTTCGCACAGCTCTGCTATTTCCTCCACGTCCTTATCTGTGTGCTGGTATCCGGAAGCTCCAGGATGCGCCCATCTCGGTAAAGAGTCGACTCCTAGGGTCTCCCAGTCCAGGTTTTCGTACGATTTCTCCTCCGGCCACCACGAACTCGCACGCATGAACTTGACGAAGAAGCGGTAATGTCTTATCATGAGGTTCGCAAACACGTCCAGCGTTACGTCTAGGGCGCGTCCGACGTCCAGGTCAAAGGCACCAATCAGGGCCTTCACGCGTTGAAAAGCGGCGGCGGCGGCGGTCCATGTCGGTTCCTCGTTGTTGGAGGTGGTAAAGTACTCGGTCATGAGCTTGGCGTATCCTTCAGATTCCTCGCGGAGTAAGTTGTAGTTAGACTGGCGATAGAGCTGGTTCGTTGCCATGCGGGTGCCCATCCTCTCGAATGTTTTCCGGACCATGCCCAACTCTTGCAGCTGCGGTATGTCCAGCTCTTCTTTCATCTGCATGGGCGAGATGCCTGTCGCGACGAGAAGGTCCCAAAGGCCGCGGGTGACGGGGTCCATGCTGGTGGAAACCGACATGGTGTCGAGGAACATTGAAGCATTCTCTGCAACAGCGTCGCCGGCCTCCGCCAATACTTCCTTGACGACGCGTCCCGCATCGGCCGGGTCTATCCTGTCATCCAACCCCGCTCTGATGATCTCTTGAAAGATTATGCTCTGCGTCAGAACATCTCCCTTCTCTTGCGCCTCCACAGCAGCGTCCAAGACGGCCTTCCTTCCAGTCGTTCTCCACACAGCCTTCTGCTCATCCGTTATGTACTTGTACACGAACTTGATCGGCGGCTTCAGCGCGGGAGCCTTCTGCAGCAGCACGGGCTGCGGCGCCGGTGGTGCCGGAGGAGCAGGGCGCGAATGGTCCTGGGGAGTGGCAGGCCGAGCCGCCTGCGCCGACGGCGGGCGCGTCAAGGTCGGCGACGGCGGGTTGTTCTCCGGCCTGGAAAAGGAGGCCGGGCTGGCCCTCGAGACTGGAGACTGCGCGTTAGAGTCACCGCCAGTAGTAGTGGTCACCGGGCTGCCGGCTTCTCGCTCACCGCGGCCACCGCGCGCACCGCTGCTGTTGCCTCCGCTGCTGCCTCCGCGACTCTCGCGCCGTGCTCCTCCGCCCCGGCCGCCCCGGCCTCCGCCATTGCCGGCGTACTGGTTCTGCTGCGCGAGGTTGAGGTTCTGCGGCCGGTGGGGCGACGGCCGCGGTCCGGCGCCGTCGCCAACGTCCTGCGGGTTGTAGGGGCCGCGTTCGGACCGCTTGCGCTTGATGGGCGGCGGCATTGTTAGAGGTGGGTGCGGGTAGAGCTAGCCTTGCGGCGGGCTGATGGGAAAAGAGGCCGTGGTGCGCATTCAAGGTTGTGTCGGTAGGTGGGTGAGGTTTGAAAGCTCGAACAAACCGGAGCTGCGAAATGCGTCGGCTGCGGCGCAGCGCGGGCGGGCAGCGTTTGTGGACCCTCGGGCGAAGGTGAATTCCCGGTGGGGGAAAAAGGGTGCAAGGAAGAAAGAAACAAAGGGTGCGGCCGCGAGGGTCGGCGGGGGCGGGTTGTGGGCGATGTTGAAGTTGTCGCGCTGGTGAAAGCCGGCGCGACGTTTCTCGCCAAGGCCCGCGCGCCCCGACCAGGGTGCTCCCCGACTGTCGTCACCTCCACTCCGCACTCTCCACCTGCTCATGTTTGCCGGGTTGCCGCCTTCCTTCGGTCGCACTCCAATTGGCCGTGCACGAACATCCCTGGGTAATCGTATGCGAGCAGGCCTTTGCCAGACCGAGCTGCATGTATCAACGTGTCCAAGTCACGGAATGAGGAGCAGCACAGTGTTGCGGGGCAAGCTCACGCCATCAATTTTCGCCGCCACGCGCATACGTCGAATTCACGAAACATGGTCTTGCAGATTTATACGGAGCTGTAACAAGTGTGGTGAGGAGCAGAGCTCAACTCTAAGTGCTATCATATATTTCAGAAATCTCTCCAAAACTATTCAGGGCCCCAATTGAAAGGAGCGGACGGGCCCGATCGAACCAAAAGGTATCGCGTCAGCTGCTTAAGCCGCACCGGCAACCGCACTGGCTGTCTGCTTCCTCTCATGCTCGAGAACAGCCTCGAGCACGCCAGCCGCGCCCTGGCCGGCCTTCAGCTGCTCGACGACGCCATCAATGCCGAGCTGGGAATCGGTCCAGAGAGCTGCCTCGGGAACCTTATCCGCCTCACCAACGCCGATGAACCCGCCCTCGGCAGCCCACTCGCTGGTGCGCTTGATACCGAGCTGGGTCCAGACGCTGTCGATGGCCTTCACCAAGTGATCGCGGTACTCGCGCGTGTGACCAGGGGTGGGGGTAACACGCAGACGCTCCTGGCCGACGGGGACAGTCGGGTAGTTGATGGCCTGGACGTAGATGTTCCACTCATCAAGAAGCATGTCACTGGCCTTCTTGGCCACCTCGGCATTACCAACGAGAAGAGGGACGATGTGGCTGGGGTTGGGGATGACCGGAATGTCCCTCTCAGCCAGCGCGTCCTTGGTGGCACGAGTGTGCAGCTGCTGGAGGCGGCGATCACCCTGATAACTCATCTGGTACTCGATTGCAGTCTGAGCACCAGCCATGGTTGCTGGAGGAAGCGAAGTGGTGAAGATGAAGCCGGGAGCCAGGGAACGAATGGCGTCAACGAACTTGGCCGATCCCGCAATGTAGCCACCCACGCATCCGTACGCCTTGCCGAGAGTGCCGGTAATGATGTCGATACGGTCCATGACGGTGCCCTTTGGCTTACCCTGAACGTGGGCCTCGTAGTCCAGGTGCTCGGCAACACCAGCGCCGTGTGGGCCGTACATGCCGACAGCATGAACCTCGTCCAAGAAGGTGATGGCGCCATACTTCTCCGCGAGGTCGCAGATCTCCTCGATTGGTCCGACGGACCCACACATGCTGTAAACGCTCTCAAACGCGATGATCTTCGGAGTGTCCGGAGGAAGGGAAGCAAGCTTCGCCTCAAGATCGGCCATATCGTTGTGCTTAAACACCATTTTCTTCGCTCCCGAGTGACGAATACCCTGAATCATCGAGGCGTGATTCAGGCTGTCCGAGAGGATGACGCAGTCGGGAAGCTTGCTGCCGAGGGTTGCGAGAGTGGCATCGTTCGCAACATAGCAGGAAGAGAAAACCAAGGCAGCCTCCTTCGCGTGCAACTGCGCGATGGTGCCCTCCAGTTCAACGGCGTGCTTGTTGTGGCCAGAGATGTTCCTGGTGCCGCCGGCTCCGGCTCCATACTTGTCCAGCGTCTCGTGCATCCTCTTCAGGACGTGCGGATTGCGGCCCATGCCGAGGTAATCGTTCGAGCACCAGACTGTCACTTCCTCCTGTTCGGTCGCCATGTGGGCACGCGGGAAGTCCTTGGCCAGACGGTTGATGTTGTTGAAGTAGCGGTACGACTTGTCCTTGTGCTTCTTATCGAGCTCGTTCTGGTAGAAGCCCTCATAATCGAACTTGACAGGCTGCGGTGTTGGCGGCTTGCCGGAAAGGTGCTGGGCGGCGGAGCTCGCAGGGGTCTGGGTTGGGTGGGTGCCTTGCGGGAAGGGAACTACGCGCTACATGTTAAAACCTGAAGATCATTGAGCGCCGATCGCGGCTGCGGCGGCTGCGGCCGACGCAATTGAGACGTACCTCTCTCGCGGCGCACAGAAGCAACGTCAACAGCCTGGGCCTCCTTCGAGGAGGAGGTGTGCAGCCTGGCCCTGTGGCCAACCTTGGCGTGGTAGGCACGGGAGCCGCCGAAAGCGCCAGCAAGAACGGTGTTGCCGGTGCGGGCGCTCTGCACAGTGAGGGCCTTGCCCATGACGGGGCAGCGGCGAGCAATAAGCTGCAGGTTGGACATGCTTCCTCCGCCGGTCGAAGCGCTGTGAGCGGCGGTCGAGGTGGAGAGCGACCTCAGCGTAGCGGGCGAGGTCTTGTGCAAAAACGGACACATGGCCCGCGATTGGTGAAGAAGCGCCTCCATTGTGGGCAAGAGGGCAGTCGAAGTGGGGGATTCGATCCGGGTCGAGCGGGAATATGGCAGTACGGAAGCGGCGGAAGGTGGGAAAGGGGAGTTGGTGTTGGGGATTGGAACGGGAGGGCGGAGGTGAGGGAAGCGGGCGACTTTTGATTAGAGAGAGGGCCCTGATGGACGCGAGCGATGCGGAGCCGAGAGTGTCAGCAACCCGTTCTAGTGGCCGCTTATTGGCTGTGCCACCGCTACTACCAAGGGCCAGACGAGACGCCTCGGAGACAGCTCGCTGATCCTCGCCCCGCGGCACCTGCATCGCCTGAGACTTTGCGCGCTCTGGGGCCGCCATCAGCTCATCGGCCTGGCCCTAGCGGCCTGAATTTGCCTCATAGAAAACTCCCTCTCCGGGGCCGAACAGACCGGCGTATCCCGTGCGCGGCCGCTTTGTTCTGCGAAGCGAACAATAATAATAATAATACCTACTTAATGCCGAACATGCCGCCCTGACCCCTCCGATCGGAGCGCGGGGCCACTCATGCGCCACGGGCCTTATTTTTTTTTTTTTGCTCGGCCAGCCGCAGCAGCATCTGGGTCGCGCAGCCTACATAGTACGCCGGGGAAAAGCATCTCGTAGCACCCTCCGGCCCTCTGCAGACGCGGCGCGCCGCCTCGGTCTCGACCGCCACAAGAGTGCGCGGGCTGAAATCCGGGGTAAGGCGAGGCGTGGCATCTTTCGGCTACCACGGCTCCGGGCAGCCGCTTCCACGGAGTGACCCAACTAGGAACTCCAAGGCCCCGATTGCCAGATCTAGATGGGTCTTGACTCGCAGCGGTAACCATCTCCGTCCCATCCCGCAGCTGCCCAATCGCGCAGTGCGCATTACGCATTGCAAGCTGACGGCAGCCCTTGGCCTCCCCAACCAATTGTCCCCATCGCTATGCATCTTCAGCACGCTTGCGCAACGTCGCTCACTTCAGCTTTGTATGATCGCGCACAATCTGACCGGTTTGGATGGCGGCACGATGCTCCGATTGTGCACGCTGACATAGCCCCAGCCCGCCTGCTTATCTCCGATTGGCGTCTACCTTCCATGTACTTCGAGTCCCGCATCGGCACAAGCAATCGTGTCAACTAACAATATCGTGTTTATAACTAAGACTGTACCAGACTCAAGCCATGTGTGTGGGTATCTGGATCCAGAGCGCTTCCTAAAAGCAAAGCGGTCCGCCGTCTCAAGAACTCCCCAAATGGCCGCCCTTTCTACGCCTCGGGTGACGTTATAAACCATGTACATGGCCCCGACGATGTGTGTTCGCACAAAGAAAGCTACCAGAAAAGAGGAAAGACCCTACTCCAGCCATTTCTAACTCAACCGACTGCCAGAGCACCCGGAAAAATCGCTAAGGAAACTCATATGCTATATGTACCGATGACCTCAGTCATCGTCCGAAAGGTCAATGTAAAAGTCACGCCTTCTTGTGTTTGAGGGCGGCGTAGGCCGCTGGGAGCCACTTCGGCCATCCGGCAGTCTGGCGGTTGGAGTCTGAGCCCGAACCCTTCTCTGTATCTGTCTTGCGAACCTGTTCCTCGGCTGCATCTGCCGATTGCAACCTGTTAGCATTGCTGTTCGGTGGATCGCTGATGAAGGCGCTTAAGGAAATGGATCTTTGTACCTCTCTTTTCGGAGGAGAAGTCAAGGGCCTTTCGAGTTGGGACGCGGTGGAATGCTGTTTACCATCTTGATTGGATGGAGCTGTTAGTTCGTCGTGACCCGCAGCCTTTGCTCCAGTGCGTGGAGGACTCGAAAGTCGACGTAGAAACGCGTGGAGAAAGGGGCCGTCACCGGGCCTAGATGGGTTGGTGGGGTCTTCCTGGTCCTTAACTCGAGGAGCAAGCGACAGAGGCCGCATCGCGACCGGGGTAGATGGCTTCGCCCAGGGAGTGGGCGGCCCGCTGTTGTTATCCCCGGGTCTCACTGGCGGATCTTCCCCAAGTTCTGGGCTAGCCACACGCTTGTCATCTCGCAGCGGCATAGAACTCTTCGGCTGGGCTAAATTTCCTGGGACATCGTCTCTCGTCTCAGAAAGTGGTTTCGATACTTGGTTTGGGAAAAGTTCAGTTGAACCACTTAGGTTAGTCGCCGAGTCTCCTTCGGCAGGAACATCTAGCGGATTTCTCGCGGGTGGCTTTGGCGGCACTGGACGTCTCATGCTAGCGGGTGAGGGGCCCGCATTGTTGATCCCAGCATCCGAAGAGGGTAGTCCCTCTGAACGAGTGTTGTCAAACGCAGCAAAGGGCGTAGTCCAGGACCCTTGGTCACCGCCAGTCCGGGAATGTGCAGTACCCGAAGGGACGGCGCCAAACTCGATGTAAGGCCTTGGCGTTGGTTGAGACTGGAGTTGCAGGAAACTCGGTATTGGGGCTGAGCCATTCCGAGCAGCAGCCAGTGAAAAAAGAGCTCTCTGCACAGCTGAGTTGGGGTGGTTCCTACTGTCATCAATGGATGGGTTTTCTCTCAAATACTGCTCCCAAGCTTGTGGGTTCTCCTTCCGGAGTCTCTCTGCTTGTATCATCTTCTGGACCTCCTCATTCTCCTGTTCATTGAGAACAGCATCGAGATCTTCCGTCATCAACGTTTCCGTGGTGGTGATAGCACGAAGACCAGCATCTTTCCCTCCATGTTGTCCGGCGAGGATATCGTCAAGGACCTTCCCGTCCTTCCCTTGATGATCGGCAAGGTCTTCTTGCCCTACTGGTGTAGGTTCGAAGAAGTAGTCTCTTATCTTCGCAGCATGCCTCTCCGGATTCTGCTTATCGACAACTCTCGACGCAAGCTGGGTTTTGAAAAGGGCTGTGTTCCAAATCTTGGGTTCAAAAGTGCCACCGGCGAGCATGCGGTATACAAAGACCTCCTTCTTCTGACCAATCCGATATGCTCTACCTATCGCCTGCTCTTCGTGCTGGGGATTGAAGCCACAGTCCAGGATGATGACTCTGTTAGCCCCTTGTAAGTTGAAGCCTGTACCGCCGGCCTTGGTGGAGACGAGGAAAACGTCAAATTCGCCTCTATTGAAGCGTTCCATGAGGGCGGGTCGGTTGGACATCTTAGTTTTGCCGTCCAAGCGTTCGAATCTGTAGTTTCTGCTGGTCAGTGCGGTTTCCAAGTAGGTCAACGAGCTGAGTTGTTGTGAGAAAACAAGTACTCGGTCTCCAGCTGCCCTTGAAAGCCGGACAATTTGCAGCAGGATATCCATCTTGAATGAATGATGGGAGGAGTCACCGGCCTGCGCCTGATCAAATATTGACATGGCCTGCCCAATGAATGAGCTTGGGAGGGGTAGACTCTGGTCCTCTGGTGGCACATCTTGCTGTTCGTTTGCGTCACTCTCCTCAGCGACTGTACGTTGCTTGTTGTCACGTCGTGACTGTTCATCCTTCAGCTTGCCCACGAATGAAGCTGGATGACTGCACAGCGTATTGAGGAGATACATCCACTGCCACATCCTCGTTGTGGTGAACTTCTTCTTGTCATTTGTCAGAAGTTGCCGGATACAGAGCTTGTAGAGCTCTTCCTGTAGGGTGGTAAGCGGCACCGTGATGACAAATTCCACCTTCGGTCTGAGGTCGTCCTTGAGCGCCGTGATGTTTGCCCGGCTAATCTTTGGCCCGATTTCATTCTTGAGGACCCGAAGCTTCTTCAAGGCTTTGCGATGCTCGTAGGGAGTGCTATCTTTGTAAAGGCCTTCCTCAATGGGTTCCACATAGTGAGCTCTGAATTCCTTTTGGCTCCCCAGGTACCCGGGCGAAACCCAGTCGATCATGGACCAGTACTCAGTAAGGTTGTTGGCTAAAGGCGATCCGGTCAATGCTACTCTTGCTTTGGATCTGAACCTATCGACAGTCTGTCGAATAGAACTGCTGACGTTCTTCATCTTGTGGGCTTCATCAGCAACGATGATGGACGGTCCCTCGAGTAGTGCCTCGTGGAGCTCGCGCACATCTTCTTCAGACATCTTTGAAGTATGCCTTTCACTGAAGAGATTGCGAAACATCTCGTAAGAAATGACCAGAATCCCGCCGTCATAATTCCAGTCCAGAATCTTTCTTACGCGTGTATGAGCCCCGTCTTCAGCATTTATGAACCCGATACTTCCGAACTTCCTAGAGGCAGATTTTGGAATCCAGTCGTAGAGTTCATCCACCCAATTGTTCACTAGAGAAGCGGGGCAAAGGACGAGGGCTTGCATGCGACGCAATTCTGGAGGGATCTGTGCTTGTATGTGTTCATGAGGAGAAACTGCGGCTTCGGCGATCGTCACAAGGAGAGTGATCCTGCAGGGATCAGTAATGTTTCTGGTTGGAGGGGAGTCAATACACTTACACTTGCATAGTCTTGCCGAGACCCATGGTGTGGGCAAGAAGGCAGCCTTGAGCATCAGTATGTCCTGCTTCAACAAGTTCGCGCCACATAAATTTGACGCCTTCGATCTGATGGGGTTTTATCCTTGACCCGATGGATGGGTTGATGTGAATGGCCCCCTCTGTGCCAAATTCGCCTGGGTTAACAATGAGACGATCGGTCTGTGATTGGGAAGCGATGGCACGCTCTTTGAACGCTCTCTCCATCTCAACCTGAGCCTCAGCGCGTTTTTGCGCGCTTTTGCGCAGTTTGATTGCTGAAGCACTCTGTTGGACAGCATTCTTCCGCTTTTTATGAGGGGTGTTGCCTGCTTCTGGCTCGTCTTCCTCTTCTGATGTGAGTTCTGATTTCCGTTAGTTGGTTTTCACCCACAGGATCTGCCGAAACAAGGAAGACTTACTGGGCGAGACAGAATCGGAAGAAGGCAGTGGGAATCTCCTAAGAACCTTGATGACAAAGTCGAGGAAATCCGCGAGATCACGCTTGGATGTCTGCGTGTCCAATTTCGCGACGATCTTGTGAAGGACCTCGGCAATTTTGTCAGGTGGACGTGACCAGTGCTTGAAGAGTCCCTTACTCCAGCAAGCGTAGAGCCTCGCAAACTTGACGAGACCATTCCATTCTCTTTCCGTGACCCCCTGCAATACCTTGCCGCGGCAGAAACATCCCATAGCCTTCCACATTTGATCATGTAACTCTTTACGCGTCACATCCATAACGTATTGACGCATCTGCGCATAGTCTTTTCCTTCAATGCTTGTGCGAAGAATCTTTAGCACCAGCCTTTTCTTGTCGCTGCGCTCTTCCAGGGTTCCAATATCCCAGGCCGTAATTTCGGCAATGGTGGAGTTTTCCGGTCCAATCTGGCTCGTATTGATCAGTGAACCAGGCACAACTGAGGGCCTTGAGAAGGAGGGCCTTGGAACAGGCGACGAGTTGAGAGATGCAGGACTGTCCGAAAGAGCAGTCAGGTCAATGACCGAATGTGTAGATCTGGGGGCAGCTTCGGGTTCATGTATCCGCAAGCGGTTCGGCGTGGCTGGCAGTGAGTCGGCTGTTGTAGCAAGGGGGGCATCGACGAGATCGAAATCAGTGTCCTCGGCAGCTGTTGTTCCAACACTGCCATATTCATCCGAAGCATCTGCCATACTGGCTGAGTCCATTTCAAAAGACATTCCATCATCTCCTCTCAAGGCTTCAGGCTGCTGCTCATGCGAGATGCCCATGGAATCCTCATCACGCTCCACGAAATCTTCAAGGCCGTCAGAGTCCAGCTCGGACTCGCTATCCACCGAGTCACCATCCTCTTCAGAGTTGTGGCTGCGGCGATGGCTTTCGATTGGCCTCCTCTGATTTTGTCGCGGGATTGTTGTGGCACCGACCGGCTCGACCTTTAAGTCCCATATAGATATCCGCCACAACTTTTCTTCTCTCTGTGATACGCTCTCCTCCAAAGTAGCGCACTGACGAATGACTTCTTCCCTCTTATGCCACACCTCGTCCATCATTGCTTCTTTCAATTTGTCCAGGCGACGATCGATCATCCTGACTTCATCTGCTGCAGCCATACGAAGCAAACGTCTCTCACCAGGCCGCCGTGCTTTTCGCCAGGTTGTTTTTGCCGTGCGCTGGCGCAGGGGCAGCTTCTTTTGCTTCCAAATCTCGACTAGGTCGTGAATTCTCTCCTGAATAATTGTTGAGACCTCTTCCTTGCTTAGCTGCGCCTGCTTCGATTGCTGCAGTGTTCGCTCCCTTTCCTCTGCGTCCAGCTCCGCCTCATATGAGGAGTTGTACTCTTCATCATCGGATTCTCCCAAGGGCGGGAGAACCTTGTCGTCACCAAGCGCCCATTTCTCAGCCAAGCCATACCATCCACTGTTTTCCTCATTCTCGTCATCGTGGTATGGAAGGCTGCTGTCGAACATGGCGTTTCTTTGCACTCGCAATGCATCCTGCCTCGTAGCTTTGATTCCATTGTCAGTGTGCTCGAATACGGTGACGGATCGGGGTCTATTGTCAGGCACAATAGCCGATCGATATGGTTGAAGAGAAATTGAGATCTTGCCGTTGCCTTGCAAAAGCTCTCTGCGGTCAGGATTGCGAATGTAGTGAAGGTACTGGCGGTATACGTATGGTCCAAGAAAATGATGGGCTTCGCCATAGTGCTGAAAGTCCATATCGTCGTCATCTTCAAGAGTCTGGCCGAAGGAGGTATCGCCGTAGAATATTTCATCCACAGGAAGGCTTTTCTGAGTTGATCGAGAAAGACGTGGTTCGGGTTGCACGGAGTCTGGCTTTTTGGATGCAGTGGAGACCGCAGTTAAGGTAAGTTTGCGTTTCTTTCTCCCACTGGCATCTTGGATGAGGGTCTCTCCAGGGCGCTTGGCGGTCATTGTCGCTGGGTCTACGGGTCCAACAATTTGATCCACGGGTACGGTAGCTTCCCCATTCATTTCCTCTTCAGCTTCAAGTACTGTAGGCAGCACGCCCTCGTGGGTTGGGGTTGCCAAACCTGTGCGGACATGCTCAGAGGGCGGAGGCAAGCTGCCAAGCCAACCACCAACAGGGCGACCATACGTAGAAGATCCAGCCATGCTTTGCGCCATTGATTGGGGAGCTGAAAGGGCTGTTTGGGTTGCTAGGTGCTCAGCGTACTTTGGAGACTGTTCGCGGAGCTTGTCAATCGCCCAGCAAAGAGCTGAAACTCTACCGATGGTCTTGATGCCGAGTCCATCCTTTAATCTCTGCTCGGAAGTGAAATAGGTGAGAAGCGCAAAGCCATCTACCTCTTCCTCCCGTAGGTGCTTTTCGAGTGGGACTGGATCTGGCATGGGCGAATTTGGCCGCCCTTGAATCCACCAGCCTCTGGACCTGCACAGCGCATCGACGATATCTTCGACGCTCCAGTCAAGCGGGTCTGAGGCCGAGGACATTGTTGAGTAATGACCAGCGAATCAGCCTGGCCGTGGACGGGCATGTCAAGTCAGTGGCTGAATGTCGCAGTCGAAGGCGTGGAGGCGAAGTATATAGTGTGAGGGATTGAGTCAAGGTCTTGGTGAGGTGGAGCATTCAAAGGCTGCGATAGAGTGGCTGCAAGATATTCTTGCCACCCGAGCAGTCCAGGCCCGACCGGTCAGGTGGCCTTTCGCGCCTTCTGATGAAAGACTGTTGCAACGGAAATTGGTGGGGGTAGGACGCAGCTGGGTTCAATTACTGGAAGGTAGCGGGCACCTGCACCCGCGTGCAGAGCACGTGTCGTCGCGTCGTGCTGCGACTGCTGTCTGTGCCCACAGTGTCGGCCGCGTCTGGGGTTCTAGGTGGAGCTTGGCCTCGAGACCAGCGAGACAAGTGCTGTGATCTGACGGACGAAGGCGGTCGGCGAAAAGAGATGCGGCGACTCGACACGGAAGGCATCCGCGCGTGGCGCTAAAGCTGGAAAGAGATGTCAGGCTCCGGCCAGCGCTGTCGTGCTCGCTTGTCGCTCCCGATCCGGCAAAGCGCGAGGCTTCTAGCGGCGTCACGCGGCTGCTTTGTCAGAAGCCGCCGCGAATGTCATCGCTGCAACTCATTCCTATTCTTCCTCGTTTCCTCCTCGCAATCCCTTGTATTTCTCCTTCTTGCTGGGCTGTTCAAGGGGACTGCACCAAAACCAGAGAACATTGCCGCCCTCATCATGACGAAGTCAAAATACCCCGCCTACCCGCCAGATGTCACCGAAGAAGAGGCTCAATTCTTGCTGACCAATCTCAACGACTGGTCGATAGCCCACGGTCTGGCTGTGAGACCACCGCCGTCTTTCGTCTCGGCGGCGCAAGATCCCTCCGGAGTGCTTGCGTCGACTGCACCAGTGACGCTGTTTCCCAGCTTGTTCCCTCGCCAATGCTTCGACGAGGGGTTTGCCATACAGAAAGCGTACAATGAACTTTATTCGGCCATTGCAAGAGACGAGGAATGGTTGAAGTCTATCGTGGAAGAGTGAGTCCATTCATGGCCCAGCGTCCAATATTGCATCGTCGACCTGTCCGAGTCGGGTCGTGTTCATTTTCCCTCCATACGAAGTCACCCCGCCTCAGCGTATAACAAATCAATGTGCCCGCTCATCTCTCAAATTCAAGGCGTGGACACAGCTCGACTGAAGAGTGGAAGAATTCCCACCTCTTCGTCTGTTTCAAGAGTGAAACATGGGGGAAGGCTGACATGATCCTGTCGTAGGCTTGTGGAGATTGATGACTTTGTCGCCAAGCTTTGGCAGGTCCACCTTGATGTGAAGAAGGAAGGATACGTCCAGGTAAACCAAACCCCCTATGTACCTCTGGGGGTTTCTGACTCTTGTAGGATCTCACCCTCGGCCTCTTCCGCTCTGACTACATGGTCCACTTGGATCCTTCGGGCGGCAACGCAAAGCCACAGATCAAGCAGGTCGAATTCAACACCATTGCCTCCTCGTTTGGTGGCCTTTCCAGTCAAGTCTCAGCTCTGCATAGATACCTCAATTCGATTGATGCCTATCCCGCCGAGGTCGGCTCGCTCATCAAGCATGACTCCCTGCCTCAAAGTCAGTCTGTGCCGTCCTTGGCTGCAGGCCTGGCGGCAGCGCACAAGGCTTACGGAAGCTCGAAGTCACAGAACCCGCTATGCGTTCTTTTCGTGGTCCAAGATCCTGAGAGGAACGTCTTTGACCAGAGACACCTTGAGTACTCTCTTTTTGTGGAAAATGGCGTGCGGACTTTCCGTGCGCCTTTCAGCAATGTCCTCTCCTGCACTGAACTGGACTCTGCGCGTAACCTGATATACCACCCGCCCCATGCGCCGGGCAAGGCTTTCGAAGTCACCACCATTTACTACCGCACTGGCTACTCGCCAGATGATTTTCCCACGGACAAGGAATGGGCCGTACGTTTGCACCTGGAACGCAGCCGAGCCATCAAGTGTCCCAGCATTCTGCTTCAGCTCGCTGGCTGCAAGAAGGTTCAACAGGTCCTTGCCACGCCCCATTCGCCTCACCTGGCTCGGTTCTTGCCCAATGAGAGCACGGCGACACGCGTGCTGCAGACATTTGCCCCGATATATCCTATGGACAAGAGCGAAGCGGGGCAGGAGGCCCGACGACTTGCCACGGATCCGCAGACGGCTCAGCGTTACGTGTTGAAGCCCCAGCGCGAGGGTGGCGGCAACAACATCTATCGGGGCGCGATACCCCCGTTCCTGTCGAAGCTACCGGAATCGCACTGGCCTGCGTACATCCTGATGGAGATGATCGAGCCGCCAGCGCAGAGCAATGTCATCATCCGCAACGGGGAAGTGCAGAAGGGCGGGGTAATCTGTGAGCTGGGGATATATGGCGTGTGTCTGTGGAAAGATGGGGGTGGCTCTGGGTCTTCGGGCGAGATCTTGGAAAATCGGGAGGCTGGATATCTCCTCAGAACCAAAGGAGACCAGAGTGAAGAAGGCGGGGTTGCAGCGGGATTTGGGGCCGTCGACAGCTGTTGTCTGGTAGAGGTGTAATCCTGCGATCCTCCCGGCGCGTGGTCCAGCCTCACACGGTGCTGGGAACGGTGGTCGAGAGATGCGGTGAAGGCCGGGACCGGCCCTAGGGACGACGTACCGCGCGTGCATCGTACTCCCTTGCCTGAAAACATAGATACTTTGAGAGAATCCAAGGGTACTTGTGACGGTGAACCGGGCTCGAAACAGCGTTTGGGGACGGCCAATGGAGAGGCGCCGTGGACTACACAGCCCCGGACAGGGGGGGCGGCAATTGGTGGCACGCATCCGCGCTTCTCCGCTCTGCATCCAAGCCAGCTGGGCCAGCTGGGCCGGTGCGGGCGGGCAGCGATCCCGCATTGCCGTCAGCGCCCCATTTCGACCGTCGGGAGCTGGCCGAACGCGCCGCGTTTTCGTGGCCTGGTCCACGACCCGCCCGTCTTCACGGGACCCGGGCACAAGGCAATTGCTCAATGTTACCCTGCATGCACGCTCGCGATAATCAATCTGCAGCAGCGGCAAAGCGGGTGCTGGACGCAGTTCATTGTGTTTCTGGGCGCGTGCAAGACCAGCGCCGGCACGGCGGGGCCGCCGCTTTCAGGGCCCTCGCGGGCGCACAGCGCACCGGCGAGTTTTGAAGGCGGCGGTGCTCGTGCGCCTGGGATTGGCGTTTGGTGTTTGGGCCTGATGGAGTCCGGCGGGGTGCTGCTAGTAGGCCAGCTGGAACGAGGGCTGATCATGACAGCGCGCTGAAACAGGCTTCCAGCCACTGCCGGCGAGGCTCGACCGGAGACCGCGTCATCCAGCCACAGGAGAAGCAGTGAGCAGCAGGGAGCAGCAGTGAGCAGCATCAGCGGCGGCGGGAGCGCGCAGGAGAGAGGGACGACACGAGCTGCGGAGCACGTCTTGGCCGGGGGGGTCGTGCTGGGCTGGGGTGCTGGGCTGGCGTGATGGGCGGGCAGCATTGTGGCATCTGGCATCTGGCGCCGACGCCTTCCGCCTTGCAGCCCGTCGCTGGCTGCCAGAGTGGCGCAAAGGCGCAAAGCAGCGACGGCGGGCGCACGGGCGGTGACTCGCGTGTGAGACGCGCAGACAGAAGCACGAAGCACGAAGCTCTCCGCAGGCACGAGGAGGCCCACCGCGACCACCGCCCAAGCACCGCCCCGTGCGCTCGGCTGGCGTGCCCGGGACAGGCCATGACAGCACCGCGACAGACCACCAGCATGCAGCCTCAGCCGCGTCTCCGCTGGCTGCTCGCAACCACTCCCCGCCCGCGGGCCCAGCAGCGCTCGCACAACGCGCAACGCTACTGCGACGGCTCGCCCTGCCGCGCCCTCACGCCCGGCCCTCCGAACATGTGCTCCACGCCATCGACGATGCGCAGCCCGGTCCGGCGCATGCCTCTGGGGCTCTCCTGCGGACCGTTGGCTCTAGCGCCGACATCCATGGCGGCCGCCTTGTAGAGAATGCAATTTCCCTGACGCTTGGATGCGAGCGCTCTGCTTCCCCATCCAGTATCGCCATTGGCGCCGTCCACCTCATTCGGCCAGCGGACCAAGCCCATTGCTCGCGGGAGCCGCAAATCTCTCGCCATGGCGCCGCGGAGAGGGAGATCGGCCGGCTGCCCCATGCTGATTTCCCATGGAAGCTTTGATATGTGCTGGCCGTGCAATTCACCAACCCATGCTGTCTGGCATGCCCGCATTGTCATTAACCCTCGGCGCACCTGCTTCGTCCGCAGCTGTCCTTCTTTTGCTCCCCTTGCTTGCTGCTGTTCCTACACTCCTCCTCTTATCTCCTCAGCCTTAATCGCCGCCCCCCGCGCCCTCGCAACCGTCAGGCCTGCCACGCGTGAGCGTGAGATCGCGTCCCCTGGAGCCTGACAGCATCGGCAGCCCTCGATTGCGTCCCTGCAAAAAAGAATCCGCTATACCATGGGAGCGCAGAATTGTGGTTACTTCCGGCCGTGAGATTCCCATACCAACCCGGCCGCCATGCAGCTTTCTCGGACCCTCGTTGCGCTCCTGCTTGTCGTTTGCCACGTCCACCCGGCTTCTGCTGCCGCTGTCCATGCTCGCCAGGACGGAGACGGCGCCGCAACCTCGGTGCAGAGCAGCAGCATCGAGTCCACCGCAACTGCCCGGAATACCAGGGAAGGCTCGACGACGGCGACGATCGACACGGCGTCCCATGCAGCGCCCACCGCCACACAAACCAGTTCTCGGGACTCCGCAGCGCCTTCAACCACTGCAGCCGTCAGCACTACTGCCCTAACCGATGTCCCGTCTGCGGCAGCTCCCAGCGACGCGCCAGCGGCGTCCAGCACGGGTGAGTTGTCCTGCACCTCCAATTGGACGACGCCCCGGCTAATAAAAGCCCAGCCGCCGTATATTCCGGCCATGGCCTTCCACTCCCTCCCAAAGTGACCCCAGCCATTGGCATCGCCGGTGCTGTTCTTATGATCACTGGGGCCGTTTACACTTTCATCGGCATCAAGAACGTCTGGTCGGTGCCCCGCCGCCCCCCACATGACGGCCAACTGACAGCTTGCAGGATAAACATCGGAGGCTCAGTAGGATTCCTTGTCGCGCTCTCGATCACGGTACGATCTGCTGGGGTGCTCCACGCCGACGCGCGTCAGCCTGCTAACGACTCGCCAGGTCCTTATTGAATATGTCATGAACCCGCCTGTCACTGATGCAGTCCAAGGAGCTTTCTTTGTTGCTGCTTTCATTCCCGCTTTGCTGGCCGGGGGTGTTGCCTACATCTTCAAGGACCTTACCGAAGGTTCGGGGTGCATGCTTGGAGGCTTCTGCCTGTCCATGTGGTTTCTCGTCCTGAAGCCAGGCGGTCTAATTACATCCACCACTGGCAAAGCCATCTTCATCGGTGTCTTGTCTGCCGCCGGCTGGGCGTTGTCTTTCAGTCGCTACACCCGTACCTACGGCTTGATTGGCTGCACTTCCTTCGCTGGTGCAACCGTCACCGTCATTGGGATCGACTGTTTCTCACGAGCAGGTTTGAAAGAGTTTTGGCTGTATCTCTGGGGTAAGCACACCCGCGCAGCCACGACGGCGCACTGTACTGACCGCCGACCAGATTTAAACGACAACACCTTTCCGCTATTTACCGATACATATCCGCACACGCGTGGCATTCGAGTCGAGATTGCCTGCATAATCATAATCACTCTGCTTGGAATTGCTTCCCAAATGAAGCTCTGGAAGGTGGTCAAGGCACGCCGTGCGCAAAGAGACGCAGCGCGGCGGCAGAGAGAGGAGGACCAACAACGCATGGATGAAGAGACCGGCAGAAAGATTCTTGAAGAAACCGACCGAGAGAGGGTTCAGTGGGAGGCCATGTATGGCAATAAGGACTACGCCGAAAAGAATGCTGCCCGAGTGGACCATCTCGATTCCGGCGTTGGCTCTGAGCATGCCCGAAAGGCGTCCGTTAGTGTGCGAGAAGTTTCACGGGGAACCTCGGAAGAGAGCATCGAAATGTGTGAGCTTGAGGCGGCAACCAGAGAAGGGAGCCAGTCTCAGCTCGTTTCCCAGTATGCTACTCCGGCTGAAGCCGCCGACGAGATACAACATATCGACGGACAGGGACGGCCTCGTCCACCAACATCCGGCTACTTCCCCGTGGGCCATCAGAACTCAGTGATGAAGCGCCAAGACTCCATGCAAAATACCGGAATGGACCAAACAGCATACAGCGACGGCAGCGCCGTGCCTTCGCCACGACTTTCGATGCAAGCACACCCGCCGCCTCAAGCCGCCCGCTTACCTTTCGTGGTGCCTACAGGAAATGACTCTTCGACCGAGCTACTGGAGCAGGAGTCTGTCGCATCCATGCCAGAGGATCTACTGATGAGGGAAGACAGCGCGCAACGGTTGCCCGTGAAACCGACCTCCCATGCCAGGAATTCGCGTGCAACTTCGGAAGAGCAACTTATAGAAGCCGCGTCCACCGACGATGATAGGGCATCTTCAATTGCAGCTACTCTGGACGACATGAACGAAGACGTCATCTCCCTGCCCGCGCTCTCAAGAGTCGGAACGCCGTTCAGCTGGCTAGAGCCAGCCGAGGGCGGTCACAGACGAACAGGAAGCGCACCTACAGAGGAGGGTGATGGCGATGGCGAAATCCAGAACGATTCACCAGAGACTGTCGATCCGGATCTTCAAGAAGCTCAGGCGGATGGCAATCATGATGTGTCGGCGCCGAGAGCATCTCGCTCCTTGACATCGAGCACCAACCCTAAATCAGATTACAGGAAGCACGCAGCTGGCAAGGATCGCCGCAAATCTGGCGTTTCAACCGATCGCGACGAAGTGGGATCGGCAAGCGACAAACAGGCACGGTCGAAGAGATCGACCACGCAATCGGAAATTGCCCATTCCGGCGTTGGTAGCTTGAGCGACCACCTCCCCGAAAAGCTGTCAAAGGTGATGCTGACATACCGCACCAACGAATGGGCCAAGCATGTGAGCATGGCCGATCAGCCCGAGCTTGAGAGCATTCCCGAACCGTCATCGCCCGGCGTCATGGTGGATCTCGGCTTCAAGCAAGCAGCTGAAACGTCGCGGAAGCCGGTAGACTCCACCCCTCCTCAGGCTGAAGCAGAACCGGAACTCGAACCAAAGAATGAATCTCAATTCCCGGTCCAGATGAATCCATACCGGCAATCGCTGCAACGCTCGCCGTCTAGCCAGTCGAAGAACGTTCAGCCGGTCCCGCTGTCGAGGAACTCGTCAAGCGCCACCGTGCCAACGGCAAACGCGAGCAACCCCCAGGTCAACCTGCAGCGCAATTCGAGCTCGTCATCGCTGACGACGCCGTCGCGCCCTGGCTCCGCTATGGCCGGCAATGGCACGCGAGGACTGAGGATCTCATCGAGCCCAGTCAACGCGCCCATTGTTGAACAGCCATCGGAGGAGATGCAAGCCGAGAAGCGTGCTTCTTCCAGACTTGTGCAAACCCCGTTGCCGACCAACACGCTCATGGGTGAGAGAGACAGCCGAATGCGCAGCAGACCGACAAAGATGTCGTTCATCACGGCGCCTGGGCAGTCACCGGTTGCGATGCTTCAGAGCCCACAGCCCCAACGGGCCAGCAGGGCTCCAAGCATATCCAACTCAGTCCAAGGGTCGCAGACTGGGGCGGAGGAAGCTGATCCGGACAACATGCCGCTCAGTCAGCGACGGATGATGATCCAAAAGAACCGCATGTCGTCGCAGAACCGGAACTCGTCGTACCCGACGCTGTCGGCGCAGAACTTCAACTCGCACCAGCCGCAGCGGGAGCCGCCGATGCAGCAGGACAAGCGCGAGCAAATGTTTGCGTCGTGGCGCGGGTCGCTGCAGCAGGACCAGCACAGCCGGCAGCCGGCGCAGCGCGAGCTGACGGAGGGGCGGCGGTCAGAGATGATCAGCGAGCGTCGAAACAAGGAGCTGGTGCAGCAGCAGCGCGAGATCAACCGGCAAAACATCGACATGATGATCCACGAGAAGATGCGGTCGGGCCAGATGCAACAGCTGCACCGTGAGAGGCTGCGACGACTGCAGTCAGGCGCCAAGACCGAATAGGAGGCCCCCAAGATGTGGATGGGCGCAGCAAAACAATCAGCAAGGGCGTGTGACGGGGCCATGATGCCCGAGTTTCGTTCTAAAATCAGCAGCATGAGACCCGATCATCCCCTTGCACTTCCTTTTTTTTTTTTCTGGAGCATTTCTTCCGAGCACACAGACACACAGACACCCTTGTAACACGACGTCAAACGTGCATAGCCTTTTTATTCTTTTTGTATTTCCCATTGGCTTCGCCGCTGGTACGTTGACGGAATTAATGTGGCTACTACTGGGGCAGCTGCGGCTCTGCATAGGCAACGGCGGGAGGCTATAGACGTATTTTGGTTGGTTTCTACTTATGGTAATAATGGCGGTGGTGGCTTATACCCTCGGCGGATCGGATCAAGGCGAGTCTGAAAGCGGGAGGAGGTCTGACGGCACGACCAATCCTCCGGCTCGCTCGGAAGCGCGCGGGCACTGGAGGCAAGGCGGGCGTGTGTGCTTCTGGCGTGAGGGTGGGAAGACGGGCGGGTGCGCGTCGGTTTGAAGGAGACGAGACGGAGTGAATAGCACGCGGGCTAGAAAAAGAAAACATATGGAGTATATCCCAAACTTTGCGGTCAAGCTCGGCCGGGCGCGGGCTGGCCCGGTGCTCTCAGGGGGCATGGCGACGCGGGCTGGCGCGCAGCGGTGGTGGTGGTTCGGTCGAGGCTGGCGCATGGCAGCGGACGTAGACAGGCGTGGCACGGATGTGTTTGGCAATTTCCACGCATGGCAACGCCGGCCTGAAGCTGCAAAGTGCTTTGCAACGACGTCACACCGGGCTGCACAACAGACAGGGGCGGCGAGTCGTCGAATTGCGTGGGCGGCGCAGGAACAGGGCGGAAGCGCGGACGTGCGACGCTCATGGCGGCGCTGGCGTACCGGCAGCATTCGCTATGGCCGACCTTTAAACTCGCGAGCCCGGCCAGGCACGCGGCCACCGGGCTACGTACACGACTCTCCCTCCGCCAGTCCCTACGGGAGCCGCAGCATCCTGCAGCCCAGTCGCTCCTTCGCCGGCCCAAGAGCGAGAAGCTGCGCGTCCATGCCGCGCTCGTCGCCGCCGGACGCGCTGCTTCGTCGAGAAAAGCGCAGCGCTAGTTTCCGCGCCCTCGCCCTCCTTTCCCAATCTCCGCTGGCGAGCCCAGCTCCACCACTGCCAGTCCTCCACCCACCGCTCGCCCTCTCTCTCCAGCCGCGCCCAGCACCATCGCCCTCCCCGACCCGGCCTTTGCACACCACGTGCCCACCGCCGCCACAACGGCGTCCCACCCGGCCCACGCCCTTCCACACCTACCACCGCCCGCGCATACGCTGCCAGCCCGCCCGTCCCAGCCGCCGCCCAATCACGCCCGCTGGAGCCTGACCCAGCGCATCTTCAACTTTTCGCCCTTCCGCGCCCCGCAACCGCTGCCGCAGCCCTCGTCTGCCGCCCCGCTCCAAGCCGCTCGCCGCGGCGCGCCCGCCTCGCGCCTGTTGAACCCCGTCAATTCGTCGCCGCGCACCCCCGTCTCCGCGCCCTCGACCTCGCACCGCAACAACTCGCTGCCGCTGGGCCCAAACGTCCCCATCGCCGCCGACCCGCCCCCGCTGCCCACCTCCTCCGACGAAGGCCGCGACGTCTACCCGTTGCTGCCCCTGCCCGAGTCGCACCGCCACAGCAAGGCCCACAGCAGCCTCGTCGTCGAGCCAGACAGCGGCCGCGCGAGCGTCGGTCTGCCCAGCGGACGCCGCAGCCTGCTGCTCGAGAGACAGAAGCAGGACGACCCACAGCCCGCATCGCCCGTGACGAGCAAGAAGGCAGGAAAGAGCCCGGTCTTCGCCATGGAAGCCCCCACCGCCGCCAAGATTGCCGGCCTCGACCAGCCCCCGCGCGACGACAGGCCCACGAGCATCATCTTGAACCCCGACGATCCCGAGGCCGGCCACCGTCTGCACCACTCGGCCTCGCGCGCCACCATGCCGCACGAGACGTTTCGCTCGCGCCAGCCCTCGGCCGTGACCTTTCCGGAGCCGTCAGAGGCCGGCGACGAGGACGAGTACGCGTGGGGCCCGTCGCACCCGTGCTTCCCGCACCTGAACCCCCACGTCCCCATCACGTCGCCGCTGTACAGCACGACCCGCGTCATTCGGATCAAGCGAGACTGGATGATTGCCGGGGATCTGGCGCCGACGTTCGCAAACCTGTACCCGGAAGTGCTTGACCCGCTGATCACCGAGGATCAGTTCCGCGAGATCATCAAGAAGATCAACACGCAGTTGCAGATGGCCTTCGACCCGGACACGACACGGGCGTGGGTCGACGCTCTCATGGGCGCCGCGACGCTGTGGTTGTGGGAGGACCTTGGACTCACGGGTGTGAAGAAGACGTTGAAAGAATTGGAGGAGTGGATGGAGCAGTGGAACCGGACCGAGGGAGCGAAGGAGGGCGTTAAGCTTATCCCGTTGAGGAGAACGGGGTATTTGACGGTGCGTAGCGCTGACGCTTGTTTACCGTGGATGTTTTTTTTTTTTGTGGGGAAGACTTTCTTTGTTTGCTGACGATGCCACAGCTTGACATCCAAATTCCAGACCCGCACATCGGCCTCGAACAGTCCAACGCATCGATACGATCCAGGCCTGTTACTGGCGCAATGGACACGAGCGCGAGCGGTGCGCCTCAATTGCCTCAGATCGCGACATAGCGCGCTCGTCTCGCCTTCTACATAATTTTCCTTCTCCATTTTCTTTCTCACATTTGAAGCATTGCATTGGCGTTCTAAACAAGAACTGTTTGGGAATGGGGTTTCGGGGTTTTGAACACATGCCATCGCCACGGATTGCATGATCAGCAGGGCCGAAGAGGAGCTTGAAACAGCAAAGCTTCGTGAAGCGCATTTTGGTGGTGTATACGAGTGCGGGGAGTATGTTGTACTCTGCGTGCGTGAGAGCAAAGGAGTTGCCTCTTGTAAAAAGTTGCTTGTTCTTTTCTTGTCTTCTAATATGTTTTTACTTTACTCGTTTTTTAAATTTTTTTTTCTTTTCGTCGGCTGTGGCTTTCACGCTTGCTTCCTTTTTTTTTTGGAGAGGAGAGATTGAACTGGTAGTGATGATACCCTGAGGGAAATTCTCTTATCTTCCTTTTTTTTTTTTCGAACAACCTGACCGGTCTTGACCCGAGTCTCTACAAAACTCGACTTCCTTACGGTTGTGTCCATAGCCCCGCGTTTCCTGTATTACATTCGCGGTACTTATAGTGTGTAGTGGCTGTATTTGCCGAGGCACAGGGTTCTAGAATAGTAGAATGATGTGCATCTGCTGTCTGTAGTTGCTTTTCTTGCTTGCATGCACCATCTCCGGCGTCAGATCCTGCATGCGTAGCTCGCGTGCACGTATGGCATGCATGGACGCCCGCGCCCTAGCTTACCATTGACGGCCATGGAAGGCTGAGGCTGATACTCGTCGCCTCCGCCTCCTTGTCCTACACCCCCAACCCAAAAAGAAAAAAAGGAAGGAAAAAAGGATTGATTCATTTCTTAACTAACGTATGTACTGCAACATTAGTGTCTTGCTTTCATCTACAGTAATCCTGAGGCGTATTCAGCACTATCGACGGGCCTTCGACGTCCCGGTCTCGCGAAGGATGTTCCAGTGATTCGTCTTAGATACTACTACCTACTTCTTGTCAGCTCCTCGACGGCAAGCGAGCGAGGTGCTAGCGAGCTGAACTGAGACCCTGGCCGCACAATATGTCCAATGGCGCTCCATCATGACTACCTACCTACCTACGTGTCCGCCGTCGGGGCGCTTGGACTTTGTTTTTTTTTTTTGTTTTTTCAGTGTGGCGTTTTGGAAGGAGGTGTGGGGCCGTGGGAGGGTCTGTGAGGAGACGTAGGTCAATCGAGGTGCGGCTGACGACGGGTGGCCATAATATTGACAAGCGGCAAGCTGGTAATCGATCGAGCGGGCTTTGTCTTTTTTTCCTTTCTAAAGAAAAAAAAAAGAAAAGGAGGAGTTTCTTAGCAGGGAAACTCGGGTTTGGGGTCTCGCTACTGCTGCGGCGGCTGCAGCTCTTCCATAGCTAGTCATATAGCTTCGCGAAGTGGCCGGCCAGTAGCTCTAATCAAGACGTGGTTGGTCTTTATTAGGGTCCGAGTCGGTGGCGGTCAGCGTGCCACCGACGATCTGCTTAATAGAGCCGGCGTGTAGGTCGATGCATGGGCGGAAGCGCGTTATCGTTCCAGTATCTATTATGATTTATGAGGTTTTAAAGGATTAGGTGTGCGAGTTCATGAGCGACTGTGAATAGTAGTGGGGCGCGTACCAGACCAGACCCCGGCCCGCCTCGGGGGTCTCCTGCGGGCGACTTTTTTTGCCGCCGGCCACCGCCCAATGCGCGCAACTCACGGCTTAGAAAAGTTACTCACGAACACTTTGCTCCACCACTCTTCTCCGCATACACCAACACACACGGCAGACAATGGCCGTTGCTCTTGGAAAGCGAAAGCGCGCCGAGGCGAAGACGGCTGCGACGGGCAGCAGCAAGCGTCCTGCGAAACAGGAGAAGCCCGACGATTCGGATTCGGAGGACATGCGCGATGCCTTCCGCCGCGCTTTCGAAGCCAAATTCAAGCCGCTGCATGGCACGACGAAGAAGGAGAAGGCGCCGGAGCCCGAGGAGGAAGGAAGCGGTGACAGCGACGAGGACGACGACGATTGGGAAGGGATATCCGAAGACGACGAAGAGCCCGAAAACACGGTCGAAGTCGTCGAAGTCGCCGGGCCCACGCGCTCGGAGCGGTTGAGCAAAGCGGAACTGAAAGCCTTCATGGTACGGACGCGCGCCCTTGCAACCCTCTTTGCTCCCAGCACGACATTTCCTTTCCTCGTCTAACACGCCGCGCGCCACCAGTCCTCCAAGCCGCCGACCCAGCCTTCCAAAACCCCCACCACCGCCTCCTCCTCCTCCTCCTCAAAGAACAAAAAAGGCAAAGGCGGCGCCGACGACGACCCCGACGACCCCGCCGCCGACGCCATGAACCTCAAAAACGACCTCGCGCTGCAGCGCCTCCTCCAAGAATCGCACCTCCTCGACGCATCATCGTCGTCATCGCCGCTCGCCGACCCGCTCGCCGGCCCCACCGGCAAGAACCGCCACAAGGCCACCGCCCTGCGCCTCCAGGCCCTCTGCAGCGGCGGCGGCTCCAAGGCATCCTCCGTCCTCTCGCAGCAGCAGAAGATGCCCATGGCGCACCGCAAGGGCATCAAGGCCAAGGCGGCCGCCAAGGAGGCCACGCGCCGCCGCGAGGCGCGCGAGAACGGCATCGTCTTGGAGAGGGTTCGGAAGGATCCGGCGGCGGCGGCGGGTGATGCTGCTGCCGCTAAGAAGAAGAGGGAGCGCGGGGTTGGCGGGCCTGGCGTTGGGAGGTTCAGTGGGGGCACTTTGCGCTTGAGTAAGAGGGATGTTGCGAGTATCACTGGGGAGGGGAGGGGTGGGTTTGGGGGGAAGAAGGGCGGGAAGAGGAGGTAGGTAGGGAATGGTTGATATCATCATTGGTGTTGTTGTTTTTTTTTTTTTTTTTTTTTTAGGTTGCAAAAGCATGGCGTTTGGAGCATGTTGCGGACCTTCAGATGAAAGGGGTTCGATGAGACACTTGTAAAACTTCTATCTGGCTTTCCAATTTGAAGTGAATAGGCGCTTCGAGGCAGTAGTTTCTGGTCGTGAGGATGTTGTTGTTGTTGTTGTTGAACAAGTCGCGAATGCGATCAGAGCAATCTGACGTCTACGCAGTTGTCCCGCGCGCTCACAGCACTCTCCAAACGAATCACAAATTCTCCAACCGCACATGCGCTGGTAACAGCCGAGTGATTTCATAACACAGATTAACAGCATAGATTTACTTCTCTAACAGAACGATCAGGTTGCTATCTGGAGGTAGCGTGGAGGAGGTGCCATGTTCGAAGGATATCACACTCTTTCTGAACGGGCATATCTCTAAAGCAAATACCTGAATATGGATGTAAACCTGAACCGTAAATATGGACTCTGATTAACCATGCAAGTGAGCGCGCTTTCCGAATGAGATGGATTCAAGAAGATTAAGTCTTTTGGTGTCTCTAGAACAGTGGTATTTTATCTTTGATGCACGCGCCTATCCTACAAAGTTATGCATCGGACCTCAAGCCTGGTGCATTATCCCGTTCCACCCAGCTTTAGCACCGGCATCAGTAGCAGTGCTATAAAGTCTATCGTCCTTCCGCATATCGGTATGGCCTCTTTCAGTAGTGAATTGAATCGCCGCCCATTGATCCCAATTCGAACGCCATATAGTTCCCAACAGTTTCGTCTTCGTAAAGTAAAAGCAGAGGCAGAGCAGAACGGAAAGGAAAAGAAAAACACAAGGGTATTGCATCGTATCCTCACGATACGCTCGCATCATCGGATCTTACACTCTGAATAGAAAGTCCTCGCAACCGCGTCTCCCTTTCACTGCGATGTGGACTGCGCCGATTGGACAGGGTACTGTCGCGGCGGAATGGGGTGACCGTTCGTAGTAGGTGCAGCCATTGCGGATGTCATGCTTGGCACTCCCTGCCTATCATTGATCTCAGGCTGCTCGGACTTTACTGTAACGCTGGCAGGGGGTGAAGGAAGCTTTGCGATCGGCTCGGCAGTTATCATCTCACCCGAAACAGGTTTGGGTGCCAGATCGATGTTGTGTGCAGTGGGCTGCGCCTTGCTTTCCACGAACGGTGCGGATGTCTCCACAGAGGAAATGGAAGTCTGCGCAGTAGCCTGCGTGACAGCGTTGACGCCACTGTCGATTTCCATTCTGTCCTTATTCTCTTCATTCACAGCCGACGGGCTACGCGGCTGCGGAGGGGGGCTGCTCGCAGCGGCAAGGCGTTCGGTGGGGATCCGCAGTGTGACCACAAGGCTGCCTTTGGGTTTGATATAAATGTCGCCGTCTGACTCGTCATCAGCAAGGGACTCCTCGTCATCGTCGTTGAGGCCTAAGTCATCGTCCTCGTCGTCATCACCTCCGTCCCACTCGTCCACCTCTTCCTCATCGTCCATCTCATCGATGCTGTTGTAACCATCGATATGCCTGTTGCTCCGCTGAGGAACACCGTGCTTGCTACGACCGGTGCGAGTAGCGCGACCATTCACGCCTTCGGAGGCATCCGAGCGCTCGTAGTCGGCGGTCCCAGGGGAATCTAGCTCCGTGTTCTGGCCGCTAAGCAGGGTTTCGCCGTAGAGACCGCCCAAGCGAGAGCGAACCTGACGACCGCTAGAAGTGATGACGGGCCTGCTGCTGTCTACAGGCGAGCCGCGGCGTGTGGAGCGACGGGTGGAGAGCGCGTCGGAGGTCTCCTCTTCATCATCGGAGAAGGTGTACTTCATACGTTTTCCGCGAGTGCGTCCTTCGTACAGGGAGAAACCAGGCTCAGGGCGAGCGAATTGCGCCTTGCGCTGCATGCGATACTCGCGGCGCTTGCGCTTCTAAGGGGGAGTCATTAGTAAATGCCACTAGAAAGGCGTTTGGCGGTTGAGGGACGCCAAGGGCAAATCTTACATCCTCAGTAGCCTCGAAACGAGGGATGGCTGCATTGATCCGCTCGCTCAGCCGGCGCGACGCCTGGGTACTGTCCCGTGCCAACTTGGTGGCGACTTCCCGCAGCTCGTCGATAGTACCTGCGACACTCCGGAATTGGACCTTCTTGTGATAAGGATTGCTTTCGCGGTATAGGCGGAACGGAGTGTCGTCCTTGCCCTCGATGAGCCAGTAGCGACGCTTCTCGCCATCCACACCCCAGGGCTGCACAGACAACGGCTGGTTAAGGTCGTCGTCATGGCGACTCTGTTTATAGTTTTCTTTGATCACTGACTTAATGACGTCCGAGCCGTGGAGGCACCAGTGGATAATAGCCTGTAGGACAGACAGCTGCGAGAGGGTTAGCAACAGGCTCGAATCAGCAGTCCAGGGCCACTTACTCGGTCCTGGGGGCTCATATCGTTGAAGGATCTACTGCCAGACAGAGGGTTGATTCCACCCCAAGACAACGGCCACTCCGATTTGTACGTTGACATGGTTTCCTCGAGAGCGCGGCCGTAATGACCCTTCCTGCACGTGCATTAGCCCTGCTCGAGCATTCTTCAATTGTTCGAGCTTGTATTCTGCTGGACAGGAGACGCGGCAGTATGCGACAAGCCGTGGGCGGCGGAGGACGTACTCGACGGGCTTTTTGCGGTTGAGGGCGAAGCCCAGGAGGGCACACAGGAGGCTCTCGACCTGCGGAGACGGAGCGGAATCGACAATCCCCCTTTCGATATCCTGAGGACCAAGGTGAGGGCACTTGGGTGGGAAGGCCTCAGACAAGCGCGCCCGGAAGGTGACGAGGACCTATGATGTAGCACGCGCATTAGCACGGCGTGCAGGGCAATGCGACGCGTTCGTCGCGTCAAAACGTGTCATGTCGCGCAGTCAACTCACGGGTATGATGGGGTTGTCCGCCAGGACCTCCTCGTGCGGTGGAGAGGGTGAGCGCTTCCTCTTGACAGGCGGACTCGGTGGTTGCGCGGTGGTTGCGACGGTCATCTTCCTTTTAGCCAAGGACGACTTCTGCAGGAACTTGTCCATGGGCCCAATGGCCTTTGCCTCGTCGTCGCTCGCGGGCGGCGACGACAAAACCGAGGAGAGCTCGGAGTCGCTCATGTTGTGTGGCGAGCGGAGAGTGGTCGAAGTTGGATGAGGATGCGGTGGGTCGGCGGGTTGTGGATGCGAAGTGCGCGGCCGGCTGCAGCACCGCGGCGAGAAGAAGCACGGCAACGATAAGATTACATGATTGGCTTGGGCGTCTCTGGAGCCCGGTGCACGTCATGTGTCCCAGGCTTGGGCTCTATTTGGCATTTTGGCACATTTCACGCGCGCTATTGCGTCCTTGAGTACAAAGGGAGTTGCATTCATCGCCTTCACCGGCTACAAAATCGCCGCTCTTGCTCTCCTCTGCAGAACTGCCAGCACCATTGAGTCCATATGTTCTCCTCGTATGGGGACTGCCGCGCTGCACTTTCGGGTGTCAACGTCCAACCTCTAGGAGGCCGCCACAGACACGTAGATCCTGCAGGAGCATGTTGTACAACCCACGACAGTGAACAGCTCGACGTTCCATGTGGAGTGTCGATGCCGTCGTGGTTCTCGTGATGTCAGTGTCGCTCGCTTACGCGCAAGTGTGGCAGGCTCGTTTTCCGGGACGGAGATCGGAAGCGGTTACAGAAGATGCTGCCCTGATCGACTTGACTTCGAGAGTATAGGCCTTCGTTCTATAAGTGAATTAGAGCTGAGGTCCGGACGTGAGGTAAGTTTGTAAACTACATGACGACGACTGGGTGCTGACGCTCTGACAACCAGGGGTGCAATAGGAAGTGAGAGTACGCGCCTAAGGAAAAGGCGACGACTTCTGCCGGTTACTGCCGACAGCGATGGGTTCCGCACTACTGCTAAGGGTCATCATGTACATGTTGAGTGGAGTTGGCACTTTGGTGACAACAACCCTTTCGGGACAGCTTCCAAGCTGGCACAGCAAGTGAGCATTCGCGACTGCAACCTACATCGACCAAAACGCTTCCCACAATGACTCATGTAGCGTTCTCTCCCAATATGCGAGATTACACGAGCCAAACGTGAGTTCCCAAGCTCTTGTATGTGAAGGTGCATGGCAGGCGCCGCGCAAGGCGCCGGCAAAGGCCCTCGGCAAAAAGTCCTGCGACCGTGAATGGCATGCGCCCGGGGAAACCGGTTCTGCAACCTGCTCTTTCGCAACCACATCGTTTCACACCTGGAAACTGCCCGGAAACAATAGAATCTGAGCTGTAGCCGACTGTGGGCCACCTGAAGCCGACAGGTAGGATGAAGCATAGGGAAACCCGAGAGAGAGACGCTTTCTCAATGCGCTTAAGAGAAGTGATGATACGAGGAACACCAAGACGGGATGGGCTCAGATGCCGAACGCTGTGAAGGCGATAATGTCAAGTTTTTGCGATGACTTGGCGGACCGGTGACTGTCGCGCTTTTGTAGTTCTGTCATGGCATGTGCTCTTTGCCAACACCGGAAATGCGCTCGGACAGACTAGCAGCACAGCTGATACATCCAACCTCTGATGTCTCCGATCTCCTGAGCGATGCTGCGATGAAAGCCATTTCGGAGGGATGATGCCTCTGGACGCACGATCGAGGCTGTCCGACGCCTAGTGGTCACGGGAACGTGCTAGCAGAAAATTCGACGCGCATTAAGTCCATGCGATGTGCAGTCGCATGCGTTTGGACGTGCGGGGCGTTGATGCACGTTGGCTGATAAAAGCTTGGTGGTGAGGACGAGACGGTAGGTTGATGAGGTGCGGCCAGTCGCCCACTGCATTTTCATTAGCCAAGTCGGGCTAGCGCGGATTTTTTGCGGCCCGTGCGCCGCGACCTTCGCGAAACTGAGCCCACAATCGAAATCAATCTCAACTGCAGAGGACGACCGACCGGACACCACCTGCAAGACAACAACAGCAGCAACCATGGTCAGTAAATTCCGCCCGAAACACTGCAGGCACGCAGGCATTCGCCTTCTTGGAATGGAACACGCCGCGAGGACACTGCAATGGTCTTGCGCCAAACTCACAGCTGCGCGGCGTGGCCTCCAGCCAGGACCGGCGAAATTCCTCTTGCCTCACCACGAACAACAGGCGAGGGACTCGAGCTGACATTTACCAGGGTCGCGTTATCAGGAACCAGAGGAAGGGGTATGCGAAAATGCTCGAGGGCCCTTCGGAACCGATTCGCTAACTTCGCAAAAGTCGTGGTTCCATCTTCACGGCCAACACCCGTCTGAACAAGGCCCCTGCCAAGTTCAGGACCAACGACTTCGCTGAGCGCCATGGCTACGTCCGTGGTGTCGTGAAGGACATCATCCACGACGCTGGTCGTGGTGCTCCTCTCGCCAAGGTCGTCTTCCGCGACCCGTACCGCTTCAAGCTCCACACCGAGACCTTCATTGCCAACGAGGGCATGTACACCGGCCAGTTCATCTACGCCGGCAAGAACGCCAGCTTGACCATCGGCAACGTTCTTCCCCTCGGCTCCGTTCCTGAGGGTACCGTCGTCACCAACGTCGAGGAGAAGGTTGGCGACCGCGGTGCGCTCGGCAGGACCTCCGGCAACTACGTCACCGTCATTGGCCACAACCCCGATGAGGGCAAGACTCGTGTCAAGCTCCCCTCTGGCGCCAAGAAGGTCGTCTCCAGCTCCGTCCGTGGTATGGTCGGTATCGTCGCTGGTGGTGGAAGGACGGACAAGCCCCTCCTGAGTACGTGCAGAGATTGCCTTGGTTGCGAGGGAAACGGAAGCTAACATCGTCAACAGAGGCTTCTCGTGCTAAGCACAAGTTCGCCGTCAAGCGCAACTCTTGGCCCAAGACTCGTGGTGTTGCCATGAACCCCGTCGATCACGTAAGTGCTCTGGAGACGCCGGGGAGAAAGGGTGGTGCTGATGCATTTTTCTACAGCCTCACGGTGGTGGTAACCACCAGCATATCGGTAAGGCCTCGACCATCTCCCGTTACGCCGCACAGGGTCAAAAGGCCGGTCTTATCGCCGCCAGGAGAACCGGTCTGCTCCGTGGTACTCAGAAGACGAAGGACTAGATTCACGGGTGACGCATGGGTTCGGGTGTTCATTGCTGCGGGTTCGGGTTTCCTCGGGGCGAATAGTACCCTTTATGTACCGGGAAATAAAAAACATGGTGCATGCGAGCTTTCCACAGCGATGTTCGCCGCGTACGGCAGTGCCGCAGGAGGGTGCGGAGGTTGTCCGGGGGAGTGCTGTGGAGCGAAGTCACGCAGCTTCATCAAAAGCTCAAAAGGCAGATCTTCGAGTCTCATCAAAATGAATGCGTTCGATATGACGTCCAAAAATAGGAGATCGTGACCGAAGCAAGAAGGCGCGACAGTTGCCCCCCTCAGGCCCCTCCGCCCCGGCCTGTTTCAGATGTGCGATTGGCACGAAGCGCGGCGTATCATCGACACGCCGGGCGCGGAGGCCCCTTTGGCGAAATGGGCTCGAACGAGGGGCAGGCGCGAATCGCACTTCTGGGCGAGACTCAGCCACGATTTCGATGGGTCAGCTCGTGCTGGCCGCGCGGTTCCCGCGTTGAAGGCAGGCCCCTGCGTAGGATCGGCACGGCATGGAGGGTTCCTGGTGGCATCATCCAGGCCTTCGACTTCCACGTTCCTTATATGGGGACAGCTGCCCATGCCGTAGACTCCCGGTCGTGACCTTCTCGCCTATTCTCCTCCGTCGCAGCCCTTGCACACGCTCGCTACCCGCCCTTACCTTCTTTCCGCCGCCGCCTTTTCTCGAGCCGTTGCCCGCCTGAAACCTCGCATGCGATACTAGCCAGCGCCCCTCCACACACCGCGAAAGTGCCCAGGGCCCCACGATTCAGCCAGCACAGCGCCTAATTACCCGCCACTTACACGTGTGATCTTCGTCCCGCTCCTTTTCCTCAGCCCGCCCCGCGGACGCCTCTACCGACGCACTCACCACTCGAAACGCCAACATGATCGTCAACAAGAAGCTGGACCGCTTCAAGCAATGGGCGGGGGAGCGCATGGGAGGCGAAGTCCGGACCAACGCCTCCGATGACTTCAAGGCGCTCGAGCAGGAGATGACCGTCCGCTCTGACGGTATGCGCAGCCGGCATGCGACTGTTTGGATGTGGCTAATCCGCGGCTCGTAGGAATGGACAACCTGCACAGGTCTATGAGCGCCTTCGTCAAATGGCTGTCCAAGCGCAACGATGCGGGGGACAAGGAGAAGTACACCCCTGTTGGCTTCATGGGCGCTACCATGGTCAACCACGGCGAGGATTTTGATCCCGACTCGGAGTATGGCGCTTGTCTGTCGAGTACGTGCTGCCCTCACACGATCACAATCTCGATGGTGAGCTGACCGTGGTGTAGCAATGGGCCGTTCCCATGAAAGAATGGCACGCGCACAGGAGACCCTCCTCGCTGATTCCACCTCGACCTGGCTGGAGTCCCTGGAACGCAATCTTGTCCAGATGAAGGAATACAACTCGGCCCGTAAGAAGCTGGAGCAGCGTCGTCTTGCCTACGACACTGCCCTGATGAAGATGCAGAAGGCCAAAAAGGAAGACTTCCGTGTTGAGGAGGAGCTGCGCTCCCAGAAGGCCAAATACGAAGAGGCTAGTGAGGACGTCTACCGTCGCATGGAAGAGATCAAGGAAGCCGAGAGGGACAACATCGAGGATCTGACTGGATTCTTGGAGGCCGAATTGGCCTACCATGACAAGTGCAGAGAGGTTCTCATGCAGCTGAAGCGGGACTGGCCTGGCTCGTAAGTGGAATGCACCCCTGCAGAAGCCCCGTTTATCGCAGCGCCATGCCCATACCGAGAGACATGCTGACGTTGCACAGCTCAGCTGGCGCTTCTGGGAACAGCCGCCGTGGGCCCAGGTCTCGTTCCAACACGGCTCATTCTTATAACGACCGGTACCAGGAGGAAGAAGAGCCGCCCATGCCCGAACCCAAGCTTACCATTCCAAAGCTTGGCTCTCGCGGTGTCTCTCCTCGTCGCGACTATGGAGGGGACTCCCCTAAGCGCCCGTCGATCAGCCGCACTAACACCACCGGAACATTTGAGGGGCCGTCACGTCGTGCGGATGACTCCCCTGGAGGCATGCCACGACTTTCGCGTGTCCCTACAGACTCATCCACCGTCGCTGCTAGTCGTAACAACTTGAGGCCTGTGCGCAGCCGCGGTGACGACTATGACGACGATGACCGCAGCGGTGGAAGGTCTTACGGCAGAGAGAGGTCCGTCTCTCCCGCGCCTATACGATCTGCTAGCTGGACCTCGGCTGAGGCAACTTCCCCGGCGAGCGGACGGAAAGGACCGCCGCCGCCGCCGCCTTCTCGTGCGAAGAAGCCGCCGCCGCCGCCACCGCCGATGAAGAAGAGCGGCTTGAGCTCGTCCGAGATGTCTCAGTACTAAGCGTCTCTACGATTTGCCCGGGAAATGGGTGAATGGTTTGTTACTGTGAGCGAAGCGGGGTGGTCAAAGCGTGGGATTAGGAACGGACGGGATAGAGGGCACATTCTAAGGGAGCAATTTGGTTTTTTTTTTTTTTTTGGAGTCGTTGACCATACGGACGGGGCTGAGGCTGCGGGACGGCCTCGTCTTACGGAGACGAAACGGCTTCTCCGTACCCTACGCGGCTCACGGAAGGGACAGGACTTTTCCTCGCCAGTGGGTTCATGATGACAAGGGAAGCTTCCACGGACGGAAATTTCCAAGCCTAGTGGCGGCCATATGTCTCCATGAAATATAAAGAATTTTAAAAGTCCCTATTGGAGTGGAGTGATTTGCGACCTGGCCGGCTGCGAGCAGCCTTCACGATTTAGGATTGATCGACTGAAGCTACCGTGGCAGGTCGGCACGGTGACCCATGTATAATAATTCAAGCCTTCGTCTAATTAGATCTGCTGCGGCTCGACTGTTTGCATTCGTCTGTGCACATGCCTGTTCTGCTCTTAGTGGAGGAGCACATCACAAGGATGCACGAGCCGACGGCTACAGTAGATGCATTTTGACAGGCATGAAAATCTATCCAAATGCGGTTCCTATGCTCTCATCCAAGACATGGCCGTTGCCGCGCGGAAAGGCGGGGGGGAATGATTACGGCAGAAGTCTCACTTTGTATGTTTGCATCATGCTTTGACAGGTCTGACACTTGCAGCACCCTGTACCTGACCCAAGTCTAGAAGCACCATTCGAAGCTCAGGTGCAAGGGCGGCAGGACCCGCTACTTGGACTGCGGGATTGGTTGCTTCATGCGTGAGCCGCCAGGGCCAATAGATATCCCATGCGGGTCTCACTCAGAGTAATCCGTGAGTCACATGATTTATCCATCATTTTTGAGAGGATGGAGACGGTGGCCAAAAGGTGCATCGAGGCGGGGATCACAGCACGGAGTCGAGTTCTGATGTGTGCTGACGAGGACGAGCCGGAAAGTGGTTGAGTGGAGTGGTGCCTGCCCGTTGTTGGGGATCGCACGTGACGTTTTTGGGAGGCGCGCTAGCCCGGCCGGGACTTGGACTTGGCATTGCGCCCTCTCGCTGAACGGTCTGCCTCGCGCTCAACCTCTGTGAGCATCGACGGCTTGACGAGAACCCGCCCATCGCAGCACCCCCGAAGCTTTCCCCGCCCCATCACCACGACCCTCAGCGACGCGTGCCGCTTCCCCTGCACGCTCGCGCGCCGCGCCATTGCACGACCGCACCACGCTCATTTTCGCCTCCCTCCAATTTGCACACCGCGACGTGAGCGACGGCCGCCCTGTTCCCCGGCCCTCCTCCGCCGGCCGCATCGCGACGCGCATCCGCAAGGCGCATTTGCACACCGCACGAGGATGCTCTGAGGCAGCACTCAACGCCTGGTCACCTCTACCGCTCCATTCTCATCTTCGCGTCACCCTCGGCTCCGGCCTCTTTCGGTGGCGCGTCCACTGCGATCAACACACGGTGTCGGCCTTCTGAAGACACGCGATTTCCCCCACCATGGCTTCTGTACAGCCACTCAACGGCACCCCTGGCCCTGGCCAAGGTGGTATACCCTCCCTGCCCCCAGGCCTCACCAAGGAGCAGGTTCAGGCAACGTATATGGTACGCATTGTCGCTCCAGCCGGTTTTCCATCCCCATGCTGCACATGCGTGCTGACCCACCTCGCAGAAATATCAACAGATGAAGGCGCAGAACGTATCCGAATCCGACCCCGAGTTCATCAAGGCGCGTAATTTGCTTGCCGCCGTCTCGCAGCAAACGAACCTGCAGAAACAGCGCCAGCGGTACATACAGGAACAGCAGCAGAAGCAGCAGCAATTACAACAGCAGCAGCAGGCACAACAGCAGCAGCAAAATGGAACTGCCCATGCTGCTGCTACGAACGGTGCGCAAGCATCTTCGACGCCCTCTGCTAATGGTCAAGCCGCCGCTACCGCCGGGACGCCTACACTGCCTTCAAACAATGACACCAGTGCAAACACCGGCACACAACAATCCACTGGCGCTGACAAGGCTGCGACTCCGAGTGCGCACCCTGCATTCACCCAAGCGCAGGTTAATATCTTGCGGGCTCAAATCGCTGCGTTTAAGCGCATTTCCCGCAACATGACTATCACACCTGAGATGCAGCAGGCCCTTTTCCCTTCTAAGCAAGCCACCAAGTCTCCGACTCCTGCTGAGCGTGTTGCCGCTGCTGGCCAAGTGTTGGATAACGCCCAGGCTGCCGCTACTGATGCCAAAAAGGAAGAGTCAAATGCCCACAAGGGCTTCAAGACGACGACCGACCCGTACTCAATGTTCCCGAAGTCCATCACATACACCGAGCATGGCGTCCGTGAGCGCCGTTCCATCCTGCCCAGCATCATGCCCCCGGGCGTCGACGTCGACAAGGTCCGCGAGGAACGCGAAATTGTTCTGTACAATCGAATCCAGGCTAGGAAGGCGGAGCTCGAGGCGCTGCCAGCAAATGTCGGCATTTGGGATACAAGCAGATCGGATACTCCTACGGATGAGCATGCGAAGAACCTGAAGCTGAAGGCCCTGATCGAGTATAAGAAGCTGTGCCTTTTACCGAAGCAGCGTGCACTTAGGCAGGAGATTGGAAGGCAGATGATGTATGCGGATAATCTGGCCATGACAGCCAACCGGGCCATGTATCGCCGTGTGAAGAAGCAGTCTCTTCGCGAAGCTCGCATCACCGAGAAGCTCGAGAAGCAACAGCGCGATGCTCGGGAGAGCAAGGAAAAGAAGAAGCAGACCGATCAGCTCAAGGCTGTGCTCGCCCGTGGAGAGGAAATTCAGAAGGCAGCACAGAACCAGCGCCTTCGCATGCAGCGCCTTGGCCGCGCCATGATGCAGACTCACCAGAACATCGAAAAGGAGGAGCAGAAGCGCGTAGAACGCACGGCAAAACAGCGTCTCCAGGCTCTGAAGGCAAACGACGAGGAGACGTACCTGAAGCTTCTGGGTCAAGCAAAGGATACACGTATTTCCCACCTGCTCAAGCAAACCGACGGTTTCCTCAACCAGCTAGCTGCTTCTGTCAAAGCTCAACAGCGAAGCGCTACCGACAGATGGGGTGGAGAAGCCCCCGAATCCGAGTCTGAAGCAGACGAGAGTGATCTCGATGAGGATGACCCGAACAGGAAGGCGAACAAGGTCGACTACTACGAGGTTGCTCACCGTGTCAAGGAAGAGGTCTACGAACAGTCCAGCAACCTGGTTGGTGGTACGCTGAAGGAGTATCAGCTCAAGGGTTTGCAGTGGATGATTTCGCTGTACAACAACAACCTGAATGGTATTCTGGCTGACGAGATGGGTCTTGGCAAGACCATCCAGACCATCAGTCTGATCACTTATTTGATCGAGAAGAAGCAGCAGCCTGGTCCCTTTCTTGTCATTGTTCCTCTGAGTACTCTCACGAACTGGAACAACGAGTTCGAGAAGTGGGCGCCGAGTGTGCAACGCATCGTTTACAAGGGCCCTCCTCAACAGCGTAAACAGCAACAGCAGCAGATCCGCTGGGGGCAGTTCCAGGTGTTGCTTACCACTTACGAGTTCATCATCAAGGACCGCCCGATTCTCAGCAAGATCAAATGGCTGCACATGATCGTTGACGAAGGTCATCGTATGAAGAACGCGAACTCGAAGCTCAGCAGTACTATCACTCAGTACTACACCACGCGTTACCGTCTCATTCTTACCGGTACTCCCCTTCAGAACAATCTTCCTGAGCTTTGGGCGCTGCTCAACTTCGTTCTTCCCAACATTTTCAAGTCTGTCAAGTCATTCGATGAGTGGTTCAACACGCCGTTCGCGAATACTGGTGGTCAAGACAAGATGGAGCTCAGCGAAGAAGAGCAGCTGCTTGTCATTCGCCGTCTTCACAAGGTGCTTCGGCCCTTCCTCCTGCGTCGTCTCAAGAAGGACGTCGAGAAGGACCTTCCCGACAAGCAGGAGCGCGTCATTAAGTGTACCTTCTCTGCCCTCCAGGCCAAGCTGTACAAACAGCTCGTCAACCACAACAGACTCGTGGTCAGCGACGGCAAGGGCGGCAAGACCGGCATGCGTGGTCTGAGCAACATGCTCATGCAACTCCGCAAGCTGTGTAACCATCCTTTCGTTTTCGAAGAAGTTGAAGATCAAATCAACCCGGGAAGAGGCACCAACGATCTTCTCTGGCGTACCGCAGGCAAATTCGAGCTGCTCGACAGGATATTACCCAAGTTCCAAGCAACCGGTCACAGAGTCTTGATGTTCTTCCAGATGACGCAAATCATGAACATCATGGAAGATTTCCTGCGGCTGAGAGGACTCAAATACTTGCGTCTGGATGGTTCAACGAAAGCTGACGATCGTTCGGACCTCTTGAGGCTCTTCAACGCTCCCGATTCCCCGTACTTCTGCTTCTTGCTCTCCACCCGTGCTGGTGGTCTTGGACTGAACCTCCAATCTGCCGATACCGTCATCATCTACGACTCTGATTGGAATCCCCATCAGGATTTGCAGGCCCAGGATCGTGCTCATCGTATTGGTCAGAAGAACGAGGTCCGCATTCTCCGTCTCATCAGTTCCAACTCTGTTGAGGAGAAGATTCTAGAGCGGGCCAACTTCAAGCTCGACATGGACGGCAAGGTCATCCAGGCCGGTAAATTCGATAACAAGTCCACGAACGAAGAACGTGACGCCATGTTGAGGATCATGCTTGAGTCCGCCGAAGCTGCCGAAAACCTCGAGCAAGCTGAGATGGATGATGAGGATCTCAACTTGATCATGATGCGTTCCGATAACGAGCTGGTCGTCTTCCGTGAAATCGATGAGGCGCGAGCCAACGACGACCGATACGGTCCTGACCGGAAAATCCCTCGCCTGTTCTCCGAGGCGGAATTGCCGGACATTTACGTCAATGACGATACCGCTATTGTTGAAGAGGTCGAGGAAACGTACGGTCGCGGTGCTCGCGAAAGGAGATCTGTCAAGTACGACGATGGTCTCACGGAAGAGCAATGGCTCGAGGCTGTCGACAACGACGAGGATACGATCGAAGCAGCCATTGCCCGCAAGGAAGCTGCCAAACAACGGCGCGCTGGAAACAAGGACAAGCGCACTACTCGCGACTTCGAGGTTGTCGAGTCTCCACCTGTATCTCGCGAGAGCTCGGAAGAGCCGCAGCCCAAGAAGCGCGGTCGCAAACCAAAGGCCGACAAGCGGAAAGCGGACGAAGCATCTCTGGACGGCGACACGACTCCAGCTCCTCGCAAGCGTGGGCGTGGTGCCAAAACCAATGAGACACTCAGCCCAGAGGACCGACAGGCATTGCAAAAGATCCTCAACAATGTTTTCGAGACGCTCAACGATTTGGAAGAAGCCCCGGCACCTGGGGAAGACCTTGCTCCGCGCGGCATTATTGACCCGTTCATTTTACTGCCAGACCGCTACGAGTATCCAGATTACTATCAGATCATCACCAAGCCTGTTTGCATGGACCAAATCAAGAAGAAGATCAACAAAAAAGAGTACCAGCACACACGGCAGTTCAGGCAGGACATGGCGGTCTTGTGCAATAACTGCCGCACATACAACGAGGACACGAGTATCCTGTATCAAGATGCCAACCTCATCGAGGACACGTGTGTCAGCAAACTCAAGGAGGAGACGGAGGAATACCCTCAGTTTGCCGACTTCGACGACCGGGGCAACTCAAGTGTCAGGCCCTCGACAGGACCAGTTTCAAGTGCAGGCACTCCTATGGCATCCCGCTAATGCACGCCGAAGGAGTGTGGTGCTGATTGTTGGGCGTCTTTTTCACTGCAGTCTGTTTTTGATAGACAAATTTCTCTCTCCGGCATGTCTTCGTCGTCATGATAAACATCGGGGCTTTTTGGTTTGAACGAATACTACGCGGACAAACAAACGGAGTTTTACGAGAACTGGTTGTGCGGTTTCGTCTTGGGGAATGCGGGTGCTAAGGGGTTAAATCCTCACTTTCTTGGCTGAAAGCGACAAACGGAAACCCAAAAAATAAAGGAGATTGCCGCCCTTCCTGAGGATTGGCGGCCTTCCTTTTTTTCGAGCTTCAGCTTGACAGCGCATGGAAATCATCATTACGGTGGCATGGCTTGAATGGTCTCTTCTGTCCCTCTGTTTTTCCTCTCTTACTTCTCACGTGCTCAATGGAGAAAGAGTCATCATTCCTTCGTGTAACATTCGAAACCTTAATGTGATTTTCCTCTTTTAAAAACTCCTACTTCCCTTTCTGAGGGGTTGTAGGCCATGTAAGTGTGTTTAGTGAGGCGTCGAGTAATGAGAAGCTCTGCATTGGAACAAAATAAGATCGTCTGTGGTGACTCGTAGTGAAAGGTTCTGGATGGTCTGCTTAGTTAGGCTACAGGAATTCACACTTTCCGAATATGAATCTGCCCGCACAGGAAGTGTTATTTCTCTGAATCATACAACATACTCTACTAATGCTATCCTGCTTCTATGGATTGTCTGATACTCGTTCTGCTTCAACAATAGAGGAAAATTTACTCACACTTCAACGATGATTTTATATCGTCATCGCAACAAAACAACCATACATAACAAAGAAAATCTTGTATCCACCCTCGTGCATACCATTAGTGAAAATGGAAGTCTCAAGGCACTTGAGTACACTTATCGAGCTTTACATTCAAATCATGTGAAACTTCGTTCAACAATCCATGATTACAGGATATCGCCATGGCCAACGGTGTCTCTGGCCCCTACGGTAGTCGATTTCGGCCTCCCATTAAGATCTATTGCTCCGACCCACAATCCCCTTCACTCATCCTCTTCCTCCTCCATAATACCCGCTCCCAAGCTCTCCGTCCCTCATCGCCGTCCGCTCCTCACCAGAGCCCACCGCCCCGGAACCCCCTCCTCTCGCGCTTCTCCCCGCGCGCAACTCCCGCCCCTCCTCCTCCTCCTCCTCCTCCTCCTCCTCCCTCCCCCTCTCACCAGAATAACGACTGCGGCCAGCCACGGACGACGACGTCAACGATGCCGCACCACCGTGGTATCCACCACCACCGCCTTCGCCCTCCTCCTCATCGTCGTCGTCGTCGTCGTCGTCGTCGTCGTCATCGTCATCATACTCACTGCCCGATCGTCGGTCGTTCCCCGTCGTCGCCGGTGGTGGCGCAGTCGCTGCTCTGCGTCCGTCTTCGCTGATTCCATAACCGGCGACGACGAACGATGGAGGGGAAGAAGAAGATGATGAAGAAGATGAAGAAAAAGAATAAGAAGTCACGGGACGCACGGGTCCGGCGCCGTCGCCGTCGCCGTCGCCGTCGTTGTTTGCAAATGGTGCGTCCACGCCCACGCCCACGCCCACGCTCGTGCCGCTGTCGCTGCTGGCGCGAGTGCGCCGGTGCGTCGAGATGGGGGCGTGGACGCCGTTGGGGAGGTCGGTGATGTCGATTATTTCCTGGGGAGATTTTTCACATTTCTATCAGTACGGGTCTTTGAGGAAAGGGGTCTGGTGTGGAGAGGGGAGGGGCCTTAGGGGTGCTTGGTTTTTCTGGAGCCCATTGGGGAAAAAGGGCCTTTGTTGAGACATATGATTTGAGGGGGTGATGTGGGGGTCGACGTACGATTATACGTGAGATCCTTCCACCGGCGGTGATTGGTCTGGTCGCGAGGGGGTTGGCCAGCTGCGTGCTAGTTGGGCGGTGGACGTGGATGCCATTTGTCTGGGGAGGTGGCGTTGCTTCGTTTGTCGATCGCCCGGGGTAGCCTCTCATGGTAGTGAAGTGTGGCATGGTGTCCGATGGATTACATGGGCGAGGCTGTGGAGGTATTTATGTGTGATAGGTGTTTGTATTGACAGCGTGGTATAAGCCAAAAATCCAAGTAGGTGGCTAAGATGGCGGACTGTTAGATGTACAGTCACAGTACGTGACGAATTAATTTGACCTACGGCGATCCTTTGTGTGGCAGTTGAAGCAAATGTGCCAACGTAGATGTAGGTTTAGTTTTAAACGATCTTTCTTCATCAGTAGCTGGAGCAGATATCTGGATGTAGATGCGAGTATCAAAACAATACAGATGTATCCAAATAGGATTCCGCGGCCCATGTAGGTGGGCCGATTGCTGTCACCCACTGTGCAGTGGCGGTGGCCAAAAAAATAAATCAAAAGGGCATGGGAGTCACGAAATGTTGGGCAACTGCATGTGCGAGACGATTTGAGAGACAAGTATTTCTACTTCAACCCTGATCCAGCTCCGTGGTGTGTGGAACATGCCAGAAATTACCAGAACCTAACGCCGGAGACCTGTAGCGAACGCCGTTGCAAATGCTATGTTCATCGATGGGGTATCGTTTGCCGCAATCCTTGCTCAAAACACTACCGCTTTCCGCTCTTCTTTCCGGCGGCTTTCCCTTTGCGCAAGTTGTCGAATTTGATGGTGGAGGTGGCTTTGCCGCGCCTCTTCTTCTGAATGCGGCCGGTTTTCTTCTTCAGACTCGACATGGAAGGTTTCGCGCCGTCAACTTCCATAGCTGCGCAAATCAAATGCGTTAGCCGCGATGTTCAAGGCTGTCAAAAGTGCAAACCCAGATCGCCTTCCGCGGAGAAGCCCGCGATATCGCCCGACAGCCCGAGGAAATGGTAAAATGCCTCTTCCTCGGCAATGTGCTGCTTGGTGGGTTTTGTGCTGGCTAGGAGCGAGGGCGGAATGGGCCAAGTGAAGCACTTTGACGAACCTTCTGCCTGGTCGGCCGGAGCCTTCCCTTGCGCGGCGCTGTGCTCAGGCTCTGTGGGAGTGTCAGCGGCAACCAGCGCGAGATGGCGCGGGGCCGGGGCGCGCTCACCATCCTTCTCGATGTCCATCTCGTTCTTCGGGGGTGCGGGCTGCTGAGCGAGCTCGAGCAGCTTCTGCGACAGGCGTTCGGTGCGCGCGGTCTCGACGGGGCCGAAGACCTTGGCCTTGAGAGCGCGGTTGTTCGTCTTGCGAGCGCTGGAGCGAGCACCCTTTGCCATGGTGGATAACGTGTGTCGTGCGAGAGCGGGAGGGTGGGCGAGGTGGATGTGTCGTGAAGATGGGGGAGAGTAGAGAGCTGAGTCTGCGCTGGGAATTTTTGGTGGCGGCAGGCGGAGCAGTTCCGGCAGGCAGCCAGGGCGGTGAGGGCGGCGCGGCCAGATTTTACATCAGGCTTGGCGCCCTGGGCTTGCGGTGCCCGCGCTGGCCTCCGATCCGCCGGCAGCACGCCCCCGAGCGGCAGGGCACGATGCGCGCTGGATGGCGTGGATGCGGCGGGCGCAGGGCGCAATAGACGGAGACCAATGCTTAGAATTCTGCTGCCGCGCTGTGACGGCGCGAAACGCGTGCCGGGGCAGGCGCCAGGGCGGCTGGAGTGAAGCAGTGACCGAACGGGCAACTACGACGTCTGCCCTTCAACACCAGCTCGCGCCCCAGCATGTCCCGACCTCCCCTCTTCCTCCCGCGCCCGCGCAACTCCAGACCCCGCGCCCGTGCCGTCTCCGCACCACGCCCGTGCCTCGCAGCATAGCCTCCACCTGTACATCGCCTTCTCGCTTCCCCTCCGCCCTCGTACCTTGCCCGCGCTGCGCCGCGCCGCCATGGCCTCTGGACAGTCGCTCCAGCAGCAAGCCAACTCCCTCCACTCGCGCCTCAAGAGCCTGATAAACAATGACTTGAAGGAAATATGCAGGTCAGAAGAACTGCCCGTGTCCGGCGTCAAGTCAGTGCTGCAGCAGCGCATCATCCAATGTGAGACCAACCTCCACCACTGCCGAGCCTGGCACATGCGAATCGCGCTGATCCGTCCGTCTACACCCAGACTTGAGTCACCTCGCCCACCGCGGTGACGAGAACGCGGTCGCCCGCATTCGCTATCGCATCCTCAACCACGGCGCGACACCCCCCGCCACGCCTCATCCACCCCAGCTGCCCGACTACCCCGACTCCGTCTCGCCCATCAACCCGGCCACCATGCAGAACCCTTATCGTTCGGTATCCGCCGTGAATCTTCCGTCGCGTCCGCGCTATCAGCGTACGTATACCTGCCCAATTCGGCCGTCGAGGATACTGAGGCAAGACACAGCCCGCTTCTCGTTTAAGCAGAGCCCGTTCTACGATGTGGAGGAGGCTTTGGCTCCGACAGTCGAGCTCCAAGGTGAGGTCGCATGCTCGAACCCACCACTCGACGCCCTCTGATACTAATCTAGGGGCTGAAGTCTTGCCCAACAACCGGACTAGCACGACCATCTCGGTTCAGCTACCGGCGGACATTTGTGATAGGTTCAAGTCAAGCACTTCGACGCGCGCCATGCTGTTCTCAGCCGCCGATCCGGTCCTCGCCCACTACGCCGCTGCCGACATAGCTTTCCCACACCAACTGGAGGTGAAGATCAATGGGGATGAGGTCAGGTCAAACTTTAAGGGCCTTAAGAACAAGCCTGGCTCCACTCGGCCTGCAGATATTACGGAATTCCTACGCAAGATCCCGGGCTACAATAACAACATCCAGATCACCTACGCATTGACGCAGAAGGCAAGTAAGGAAAGGGTAAATCTATCTCAGGCACGAAGCATGCCATAAAGACAGGCTTTTCCCTTACTCCTCTTCCTTTGATGCTGTGTCCTTATTGACCGCATACAGAAGTTTCACATGGTCGTGTATCTGGCTCGGAAGCATTCGGTTTCGGAGCTCGCAGGCCGCATCAACCGAATCTTTACCAAGGATAAAGTCATGGACGAAAGTATGTTTCACCTCCAGTTTCAAGGCTAGCTAACCCTGACATGGGTGCAGTGCGGGCACGAGCTCAAGACCCGGACATTGTAATCGAGTCTCAGATCGTCTCACTCAGAGATCCCGTTGCCGGCATTCGCATTGCCATGCCGTGTCGCTCCACTGTCTGTTCACACAATGAATGCTTCGACGCTATGTCGTTCCTTCAGTTGCAGGAACAAGCGCCCACGTGGATTTGTCCAATCTGCAGTAAAACCGTCAGCTACGAGGCGCTCGCTGTGGATAGGTAATTGATTCCGTCTATTGCAAGATGAGAGCGCCGCTGATCAGCTACTAGATACATGCAAGATATCCTCGCTAAGACGACGTCGTCAACTGATCAAGCCAGGATCTATCCGGACGGCACCTGGTCCCCAGGCACGGCGGATAAGATGAAGAACCAACATACGACACCGAGCAGTGAAGCAAGCGGAGTCAGAGGCCCGCCAGATGACAGCGACGATGACCTTGTGGAGATCTCAGCCCCGCCTATCATGAAGAAGGAGGAGTCTACGACACCGTTGCACAGTGTCAACACACCGCCAGTCTCGTCTCGTGAGCCTTCAACGACTTCGGCTGTCCCGGGCAGTAACCGTGGGAAGCGCAAGCAAGAGGTCATTGACTTGACGCTGAGCGATGATGACGAACCACCTCGTCCGGCCAAGAGAACGAACAGCGCCTACAGTACGCCCAATAGTCTTCCAGACCGTTTCCGTCAGCCTTCCATGGCGCATAATGCGTACCCTTCCCACCCGCCGGCCCCGGTGACCCCTTCACATTACCATCATGATCAGAGTGCTAATCGTCCACCGAGTTCGCTAGGCCCTCCAATGGCTTCTAGGCCTAGGCATTCGGTGAACGGAAACTACAACACCCCACAGACCCACAATTACTACGATGATCAACAATGGTACAACTCGAGCCGTACCCGTTGATCGACGCCCGTCTCAACATGCGCTCGCCACCATAGCAGGGGGGTTTGAGTGTCGGGTGCGGCTCATTGCCTTAGGCTTCTTTCAAGGCGCTCAGCTTTGGTCATGCCGAATTATGGCAGTACGAGCTCGAGCGTAACCCTTTCAGATGGCAATGGAAGGGTCATATTGCTGCTTATGTATCTTCTTGCTTCCTCATCTCGTTCCGCTTCCTGAGAGCACAGCACAGCGTGGTGTTTTTTTTTTTTTTTTTTAGGATTTGATACCTCCTGGGAGAGAGCTTTCCGCCCTTTTCTCCACACAGGGGCGGGGAGCAAAAAGGGTCGGGCTTCATTAGGGAAATTTGGGTTTTTAATGGTATCACGAGAACTGGAAGTGTTTTGTCCCCCTTTTTTCTTTCTCGATCAATTCCATTTCGAGCCGCTGGAAGGAGAAGCTGCGGCGAGAGACAGCATGTGTGTGTTTGTGTGTATGTGGAGTTTTCTTTGATGGCTACTGCCGCCTCAGTCTATCCCAAGGAAAGATGTGTACTGGCGATGGGGGGGGGAACATGATTCGAGCCAAGCGTACGACTGAAATCCAACGCACGCAGACAGACAGAGACAGACAGACCTGGAGCCCTTTGATTTTTTTATTTCTTCTTCTTATTCCATATTGCAAAAGCGTAGATGAGAGAAAAAGCCAAAAGGTGTGTGCGGAATCTCTCTACAGTTTGATGGCTGGCGATTTTTACTTTCTGAGCTGGAATTTTTCGGCATAGACTTTACATTCCCGTTGCGTTGTGAGGGGGAGATCTATTGATTGATGCGATTGGCGGATGCACAGCGCGAACAGCAACGTATCTGTTGCGCGGCCCCGACGGCTTCTATCTTCTTAGGAGCGTGTCGGAGGGGACTGGGTGGGACTGGGTGGGACAAGGGCAATCACAGGAGGCACCGTGTTGTTGTTTGTTTGTTTGTTTGTTTGTTTTGTTTTGGGTTAGCTCTTTCAGTTTTCACGTCACACGAAAACGGAGCGCCTAGTCACGGAACGATTCCCAAGGTAGAGTGGTAGTAGTAGTGTCAAACGATTGTCTTTTCTTTCCATGCATTAATCGCCGGGGTATTAAAGGGGGGATTATCGGTTATAAATATATACATTGGTGGAAATAAGGTTGTGAAGGGGGTGGCGGCATGAATCAGAAGCGAACCAAAGTCGAGCTTATTGTGGTGAGATGGTGTGTGGGGGAGACTTTGAACCGCCACTTCCTTTCTTCATCGACTACCATACCACATCTCTCAAACAAATGATAGACGGGGAGGGGTTGTTGATCAAAAGGGTTTTTGTTTTGTTTTTCCTTTCAGTGTTGGGCAATCGTGTTGATTGCGACAATTAGCAGTGAAATGGGGGGAGCACAAGACTATACTCTCTGCCCCATCACTGGCCTTTTCCTTTTTGGTGCTCTTTCCCGTTCCCTGGTGGTTTCTCCAAACCATAACTGAAGCCGCTCCATCCTTGGAGCCGGCTTCGCAAATGATGCCATGCATCAGTCGTTGCATGCATCTTATTCTCCAATCACCGACCAAGTCAATGGCGGTGAAAAGAAATCAGAAACGCTGAGGACTATGGGAGGGATCCACATCGAGAGTAATATGGATCCTCCGTGAGCCACGTCCGCCAGGCAGACAACCTAGCGGAAAAGCTCTCAAAAATGCTTTCTCTTTTCTTCGCCCGCGCGTCGATAGCGACTCAAAATCCAAATGTCCCAAAGTGTCGTAAGTCGTCAACCCCCATCGAAAATGTCGTAAAGAATTATAAGGTAGTATTTGTCGATTCGGAATCTGGGGCGGTGACGCGTGGCAAAAAGGAAGGGAAAGCGTGTTGGCCCGGCTCCGAAGTCGGGTGGCCGCACTGACAGTGCGCTCGCGAGGCGCCGTTTCGAGCCGGGATGCAGTGGAGCCGCTTACTGCTGCTTCTTGGACGTGGCGGGATCCGGGTCGTATGTGCGATCGTCCTCGCCCTCGACTTCCTTGACAATGGCCTCCATCTCCTTGCTTTGCTTCTCCCACTCGGACTGTGCCATCTTGAGTTCTTTGCGGAATAGCTCGTCGTTGGGCTTGCGGTACGATCCACCGAGACGGTCCCAAAGGGTGGTGTACTGGCCGTAGTTGTAGTTGAAGTACAGGCTGCAGACATTTGGTTAGGAACAGCAATTGTTTGAGAGGGCGGGGCGAGCTTACTGGTGCATCGTGTGGCAAGCGGCACCGTTGATGACGGGGCTCTCGGCGATGTATTCGCCGTCGTGAATCATGACGGTCCAGATGTTCACGAAGGCGAAAAGCGCGACATAGGCGAACTTCTGCAGCGGGAAGATGAAGGGGAAGACGTGGTAGGGCAGAGACTGGGCGAAGCCATCAAGCGGGTGGAAAGCATGGCTAGCGAACGGGGAGGGCATGATCCACTTGTGATGCGGCTTGTGGAGGTACTTGTATACCTTGGGGTGGTGAAGCCAGCGGTGGATCCAGTAGATGCAGAAGTCGGTGAAGATGATGAAGAAGGGGAACTGGATCATGTCGTACCACATGCCGGGGCCGGTCTGAGTAGCGTCGTACATCTTGCTGAAGCCACGGACTTCGAGGACGAAGAAAGGAGTGGTGAAGATGCTCATGATGGGCATGGAGCGCATCGTCTGGGCGATCTCGAGCGAGATCTGGTTCTTGAGGTATTTCGGGTGGGCGAAGGTGGCCTTGTCGAAGACGAAGACGTAGGAGAAGGTTGCGCACAGGAAGTAGACGACGAGGCCGAAGATCCTGCATCCAGTCTGTTAGCCCAGAGTTCAGCGCATGCAATTGGGGCGCGGCGCGTACCAGGTGATGAGGAACAGCGACAGCGCCTGGCGGTACAGGTTGTCGCGGGCCCAGCAGCTCATCCACGCGTAGTCGGAGGGCGGAAACGAGAGGTACTGGCTCGCGGGCTCGAATTGCCACGCATTGGCGGGCGAGGGCATCTCTGGGATGGCGGCGTACGAGGCATTGGCGACGGCGGCGGGCTTGCCCAGGCTCGCGGCGGGCGAGGGCAGGGCGAAGGCGTAGATGTAGTCGAAGAGGTAGGTGTCGAAGGCTTCGAGCACGACGTCCATGGCTCAGAGCAGGGGCGGCCTCGCGCCGGGGTGTCAGGCTTCTGGCGGAGAGGCGGGTGGTGGTGGTTGGGCCTCGCAATGGCGCACAGCGAAGTGAAAGGGGCTTAGAGCGCGGAGCTGGTCGCGGGTTCCTTTTGAGCCAGGCGTCGGGCGGCGCAATCAGATAAGGTCGGGCGGCGCAGAGGGATCGCGGGCAGGAGGCGGTGTTTTGTAGGTGGAGAAGCGAGACCGGAAGGCTCGGCGGTGGAGATGAGGCAGCGTGGGCAGGCGGAATTAAACAAGACTCCATCTGAACAGTGAGGCCGTTTTTCGAGCGCTTTTCGACCTGCGGCGGCGCAAGACCCTGGCGCGCGGCCGGCCGTGATTGGTTCAGGCACGAAAAGGCCACTCGGGCTACGCTCATCCGAGGCTAGCGCCGCCCGGTAGGCGCACGGCAGCAATCTTTCCGTGGGCGATCGGATGGGCTGACTTGGGGCTGACTTGGGGACCACCGCCCACGCATGGCCAGTTTCGCGCGAGACAACCGCATGATTCCTGAAAGCTACAAAGGCGCCGGCGCCCTGCGTCGCCGTGGCCGCGAGTCGCCGCGAGTCGCCGCACGTCGCCGCCCGCCCGTCGCGGGGCTCCAGACGGCGCTGCCACCTGCGGCCGCGCCTGCCCACTCGCGCCGGCGCAGGTGCGCAGTGCGCAGGTGCCTGCCCGGCTGCCCGGCTGCCCACGTCCAAATAAGCTGCGGCGGCCTGAGCTGCCGTGCTGGCTCCACGTGACGTAACACCTCGCGGCGTGGCGGCGAAGTCGGAGAGCAACGAAGCAGTGATGAGCTGTCGCCGGCGTGGCAAGCCGTGGCAAGCCCTCTCCGCCGCCCGGCCAAGAGCTGCCCCTTTCCGGCCCTGCGACAACGGCGCCCGCCCGCGAGTGGTGGCATGGAGCTCCCCATCTGATTTGATCAAGGCTCGCCCGGCGCTCGGCGCCGCCAGGGAGATGACGGCGCGACTGCCAGATCGAGATAAGATAAGGGGCGAGCGAGCCCGGCTGCCTGTTCCTGGAGCGCCCGCTGGAGCAAGTGGGCTGCTCGTCACTCTCGTCACTCTCGTCACTGTCGGTACCTGCCACCTGCCACTTGCCACTTGCCAAAAAACACGCCGTCCGCACTCCGCTCTCTTCTTTCGCGCGCGCCTCACCAGCACCAACCCAGTGCCACCCGACAGTGCGCTCGGCAGGCGTCAGTTCGGTATATCGGCGATCGGGCTCGGCCTCTCCTCTCCCCCGGGCCAGCAGCTCTCCGCCCTCCGCCCTCCCTCCCACTCGCACAGCTCCCGCCCCCATGCCTCCTCGCTCGGCTGCAGCGCCTCCGTCATGCCGCCACCTTTGTGCCACGCACTCGTCGGCCATCCTTCCGCCACCGCGGGCAGCAGGACTGCAAAGACGAGCCAACTCCCATGTTCCGCCGCCGCGATCGTCAAGGCCACGAGCTGCCGGTCGACGTTGACAGGGCGTGCAGCGAGGCTTGGTGGCTTGCCCGCGACAGCATCGGCCCTCGCTCCCACCACCGCGCTATCTTCTTCAACAGCCGGCCGACCTGCCCTCGTGAGCACGCACGTTTCCTGCCGTGCCACTAATTACCTTCGCGATGAATCTCCCGCCGGACCTGTCGCCCATGCGCCGTATGCCGTTAGCCAGCGTGCTAGGGCCGTCAAGTCACCATCTGCCCTGTCGCGTAACTCGTTGACGAGATTGCGCCTCGTTATTGGCGGCAGTCGAAGCAAGCAGCGCCGGATGGAGCTTTGGTCTAGGAACCAATGTGCGACAGAAGCGCTGACTCAAGCGCCGGCGTCTCGTGGTGTCTGGCCGCCTGCTTTTGACCCCCAACGCTGCGCTCCGGAAAGAGCTGGTGCACGCGGTGCACGCGGTGCACGCGGATGAAGAACTCACCGCTTGGCGGCACGCACGGCCCCCATTGGCCCGCCGCCTGCGCAATGCGACAGGGAAGCCAAAGCATCACGATCTGCCCAGAAAACCTAATCTGCAGTTCCGGAGCTGAGGTTCCGCATGACACGGCCAGCGCATACGAATCGCTCCGCCCGGCCGCTGTCGTCGGTCTGCGGCAGCCGTCAGTCTCGCGCCGGCGAGTCGCACTGGGCGCACTACTGGGCGCTGCCGCCGAGCGAGGGCGTCAACGGGAAATCCGACAGAGCGGGCGTCGGAAAGAGCTAGTCGACTCGGCTGTGTGACGCTATGCAGCGAGCAAGGCAGGACGACGACCCACTGCCGGCCAGAACACCCGCGACTGTCAGCAGCATGCCCTGCCCGCTTTTAGTGATGCTGCCGGCGCTGGAGGAAAAGCCTGTGGTAGCACCTGCACAGCCTGTGGGGGGGGCGTGCGGCCAGGTCCCGTTCACCCGTCTACGCCCGGAATTGGCTGGCCGTCTATCCTCAAACCTGGCTGCTGGGTCTCTGGCGCTCCGAGCGGGGTGCGTGGTAAGCGTGTTGTGCTACCCTGCCCATTTGCTGCCGTGCGATACGAAACCGACATCTGCACCGCTTTGCTGGGTCGACGTCGACGCCCTGGAGACCGGTCGTCGTCTTGCGCGTGCTTGCGCGTGCAGCGCTGCCGTGCCGCGAAGCCTTTCGGTGACATGCAGCATCGTCGGCGCGCACAGCAGCCCGCACATCAACCGCACTGCATGCTGTTCTGGTGGCCTGACGGCCCTGTTTGCTGCAGCCTGCAGCCCATCATGTCCTTTCCAGGCATCCGGATGTTTCAGACTGGGTCGAGCTTTGCAGGCGAGGACGTATCCTGCAGACCAAGAGGACCGCCCCGCCCTTTAGGCCAGCAGACAACAAAAACCGGGATCGTGGCATTTTCGAAAAGTGGGTACGGGCATCGCTGCCTCGGGACCTTCAGTGCCAGGCAGGGACCAGGCACTCAGTCGTCAAGCAGGCAGATCCTAGGTACGCGACCAGCCGACAACGCACGCGTATCGCGCCTCCTTCTCGCCACATTTCCACAGAGCACGTTTGGCCTCTTTCAGCCCCGCGCCAATGTTGGAATCGAACCACTTCGTCGGGAGTGAGGCGTAGACGGCGTTTATGCCGCATGGATCCAGGGCAGCGTCGTTGCCACTACCGCCAGCCAGCATACTTCGGAGACGGCCTCTTGGTCTCCGAAGCTCGAGCTGTGCCAACAACCTTGGCATTCAGGGAGAGACTGCTGGGCCAGGACACCATGAGACCGCCAAGCCGGCCATTGTCCTCGGCTCTGCATGGGCGTTTTCTGCCGATTTCCGTTGAATTGAAGCTGGCCGCTTACTTGCGTGTCGCATATAATGTAGAATGTACGGCTCTTGAAAGCGGTCATCATAGCGTAAGTGCGTGCACCGTTTATAGACGTGCTGACCGCTATTCAAGCCTGAGCTGACAGACATCGGGCTTCCGAGATTTGAGCGTTGACCGCTGGCTGCCCAAGTATTACCCCAGAATATGGGGCGAGCGCAAGCAGATCCATGCATACGTAGCTCTGTGCAATGCCTGTACCACGGTTAAAGCAACGAAGAGCATGGTATTGCTTGCTTGCAATTGCCATTGATCTGTAGCTCGCCGCAACGATTCCACCACCGTGCTCCAGCAGGATCTCGGAACTAATTGCGTTGAGTAACCGTGAGACCTGGGAGCTTGACCATAGCTCAGAAGGGCAGGGATCCTGGAGCTCTCTCGGACGACCCCGCTGCTGAGGCAGTCTGTTCGCCCCACCGTCTACTTCCTGCAAGGGGGGCTATCGTGTGGAAGGCCTCAGTGACATGAACATCCGTCGGACGAGCGTACACACGACCGAAGGAGAGCGCATCATCTGACAGCGGCGAACAGCACCCGGTTACGTAGTTCGGGTCGCTCGAGGGAGAGACGTGCGGGACGGGGCGCTCACACCAGATTGAAACCCGCCCAATTAGTCCTCCCTTTCCAGTCCTTCCTCGCGGCCCTCTCCCACGTGCGTGCAGAACCTGAGTACGTGGGCATGAGCGTGGGCGTCGACGTTTGTCTCTCCCTCACCCCCCACCTCGTACAGTGTCCTCGTGGCGATGTCCGCATGGCAGCGCCTCTCATCCGAGAGAGCCCTACCCTCCCACCCCCCCCTTCTCGAGACATGTGCGTTGGCTTATACCGGGGAGGGGGAAGGGAGAAGCCGAGCAGTGCTACAGAACTGGTTTGGCGGGACCGAGTTCCGCCTCATCGTCATGTGTTTGGCTCGGCCATCGGATCAGCTCCCTCCCTCGCCTTCTTTCAATTTCTCCGCTCTGCTCAGCCTCGCAAGGCATGTGGCCGGGTTTACATCCCCTTGTCCGCTTTTTGAGGACACGTTGCTTGTGAAGAACTTTGGTTGTGCGGCACGGCACATCGTAACTGAGGCTAGGAAAACAAAACTTGTGGACGGCCGTTGTTCTACCTTGTCTTTTGTTCTTTGCTAACCCGTTGTTCTGGAGAGTTTAGTCAGGGCGATTGGTTGTTCTCACTTTACCTGGCTACACACGACGAGGCAGGTACTTCTGGGATCTATGGACGACAACATAAGCTGTAGATTCCGTGAGCCCACTCTGATTCCCGGTTGACCGCTGACAATTTGCATGTAACGCCAAGTGAACCTAGAATCAGGGACGTGGGCTACGCAATCTCCTGGCTGCGTGTTGGCCAAGCAAAGCAAGAGCATTCGGCGTTGATCCCCGGGAAAGACTTGAGCCTGAGAGGCGACACGACGCGTAATGAGGTTTCACGAGCAAGGCTTCGAGACTTCGAAGCTGCTCTCACCCGGCCCCCTCAGGAGCTCCCGAGACGTTGCTTTGCTCTTTGTTCTATATCGGAAGCCTCTGTTTTGGAGACCCATGTGAGTTTACTCGCAAATTTAGCCTGATCAGGAAGTGATATGGATGTCTCGGGGTCCATATTGCTTAGATGAAGCAAGACTCTTTGCTTTGATGCTTCAGGTATGTCTTTATGAGTCACGGGGGAGGTGAATTACCGCAAAGCCGATTGGAGGGTTTCAAGAATGAGATTGTGTGATAGGAGCATAGGCCTGGCAAGTCAGCCTTGCCTACCAGGGGTTTCGGGTTCTTTCTTGGAAAGGCGAAGAACGCAGAGCCCCACCCGTCCCCCCTGCCGACCAATTAACATCAACGAGAATTATTCCTTCACTTCCTCTTCCTTCCGAACTAAGCAAACAGCTACTGCAGTGACTTGGCGCGAGTCGTCACAGCACGGATTCCAATACCTACATCTCCACTTTTTTTTTTCCGCGGCGCTACCGCCGGGGGATGTCTGCTAGTCTGTTTCTGTTACCTATGCATTTTGTTTAGGCGACATTCCTTGCCTAAATCGTAGGGAAGCAAGTAGGGGCGCTACGGTTCGCCTCCAAAACGGCTTTCAAATTTGCACATCCGGAGGCTACACTCCGAGGGGGCTGAGGAGGTTTTTCTTTTTTTTTTGGCAAACCACGCTCAAGGCGGAAGGAATCATCTTGAAAATGACTCTCGACGATCAACTACTCGGAGAGGCATGTGGTGGCAAAACCGGCGACTCTTTCTCTCTGTGAAACGGCGAGGCGGGGGTGATGAGGCGGAGGTGCAGCAAGGCAGCAGAGGGAAGCACCAGGCGATACGAAGCTCGTAGGCCTGTCAACTGCATTGACGATGTGGTCGTGGCGAGGAAAGCAAAGCAGAGAACACAGTCAATGCTGGAGCTTCCGGTAGATCAGGGGGAGGCAAGACACAGCGACATTCACCATTGAGCAGGAGATGGGCCAAAAAACTATCCCTTGATCGATATAAATTTGTCTTGGTAAGATGGCTGATAGTTGTCGTCTGGGACGACGACATGCTTTGACGCCGATGCCATACGGAGCTAATAGTGCTGGCTGGTGAGCGTGAGCTCGTTTTGTGATCTAAAGCCACTGTTGCAGACACAAAAAGAGCGAACAACCGACGTTAAAGGGAACATGAAAGAGAGATGGACAGAGGAGACCACTAGCTAAAACTAGATTTCGACAAATTTTTTTCGTCTCTCGGCCTAGTGTAGGAGTGGTGGTCCTGCTTAGCGGAAGCGACGCTGGACGTGATACATGAGTTGTGGGACGCGTAGGAGAGGGCTGAAAGCGTCTTCGGGTTTGGGTCGATGACCCGAGATCTGGAGGGGCTAATGGTATTGTAGTTTTGCGGGCAAGAGGACTTGTAGGACCAAGTATGATGAAGCATAGGGGGGTATCCGCGTTCGAGCAACGAACCGTAAAAAGAAACATGAGGCTGACAAAAGAAAAAAGAAAAATCAGAAGGCCAACGTGGTCGTAGGGAATAATCATACAGTGTGGTGCTGTCCGAAAGGACATGGAGATGGTAAGGAAAAGCCGAAAGCAGACGAGCGGGGTAATTGAACCCTAGATTCAGAACTCGCTAATGCCAACTTGGTAGTAAAACAGCCGGCCACCGTAGTCAACGCCCGCGTAACAACCGAAAGGAGAAATACATGACGTATCGAAATGAAAATGGAGCAATATGAACATCGTAAGACAACACCGCCATACAAGCCCTGTCCGGAAGAACCCGGACATTCAGACTACTGCAAGCTTCAGTAGGTCACCATGTGACATGCTCGAGATGCTTCTGACTCCTGTGCATCCTCCTGTATATATGCGCGTGTTGAAGCCATTCCTTCAGACGTGTACGATTCGTGTGAGAGCAGAAGACCATTTTCGATTCGCCATGCTCGTTCAAAAGTGCGGCCGTGAGGATCGCTGCGATGCGGAACGCGGCCGTCTAATACATCAAGTTTCCGTAGCCATGAGGCGCCTGCTGATGATGATGGTGGTGGTGTTGTTGGTGTTGGTGTTGGTGGTGTTGTTGTTGTTGCTGCTGCTGCTGCTGCTGCTGCTGCTGTTGTTGTGGTTGCTGCTGCTGCTGTTGTTGTTGCTGCTGCTGTTGTTGTTGCTGCTGCTGCTGTTGCTGCTGTTGCAAGTACTGACCAGGCGGTGGCAGCTGCACATGCTGTTGAGAGATCTGCGCGTGCTGCTGATGGTGGGGCGGGGGCGGGGGCAGACCGTAGCTTGTTGCGGGTGCTGCTGCGGTACCGTAGCCGGAGTAGGGGCTGTGCTGCTGGTGGAGCTGCTGACCATGCATCTCCGAGTCCACGCTGCTCAGCGATGGACTGCGGCTGCTGACGCTGTGGCTGTAGCGCGCCGATCCAGGCAAGATGCTTGCACCTGTGCTAGCGCTGGTGTAAGAGCGCCCACTGGCCGTCGAGACTGTGCTGTACGGGCTCGTCATCCCGACGGCTGCACTGCTAGCGCCATACGGTCCAATTGGGGCCGTGCTGCTTACGGGCGTGGACAAGGCAGACTGTGGTGCTGTCGAAGCGACCGGTGTTGTCGACGAGGAAGACGACAAACTGCCAGTTGGGGATGCGGCACCGTTGCCAGAGGATGCGGAAGGAATGGTAGAGATGCGGCGGTCCTTGCCCCGGCCCTTGATTCCCTTGTTCGAGTTCTTGTACAGGGAAGCGAAATACTCGAACAGCTCCTTGTCGTGAGGAGGCACAGTGTCGGTATCGCGGATTTGTGCAAACTTGTTTGTCAAGTAGCGAAGTACTGGTGCGTGGAACTTGTTTTGGTGCGACTGGTTCTCTGCATCAGCATCTGTAGAGCTCGGGTCCGCTGTCCGGCTTACCTTGAGGTTTCCAAGCTGCGTGAACTGCTTGCCACAGCCGTCAAGCTTGCAGGTGAAGGGCTTCACATGCTGGTGGACGATCTTGTGAGCCCGCACGTTGCCGCGCTGGGCGAAAGTCTTGCCGCAGATGTCACAATTGTATGGCCTCTCGCCGGTGTGGCGACGCTCGTGAGTCTGTTCCCCGTCAGCGCCTGCCCAGTCGGCTGGCTGCCGGAATAGAGCGTACCTTGAGGTTCCCAAGCTGGGAGAACCTTTGTCCGCATGACGGCTCCTTGCAAACCTGCACCCGCGGGTCAGTCCTGGCTGGATTCGAGTCTTGGGAGCGCAGGGAGCCTACAAAAGGTTTGATGCCGGTGTGCGCTCGCCTGTGGATGTCGAGGTGGGTCTTTTGGTAGAAGCTCTTGTTGCAGCCGGGCATGTCACACTCATATCTCTTCTTGCCTTTCTCGCCAACTTTCTTCTGAGGCTTCTTCGGGAAGGGATCAGCTTGGAAACAGCCTCTGCTTACGCATGTCTCAACTCACCTCTTGGGGCGCGGGGCGGTGCTGCGGGTGCGGCTGCTGCTGCTGCTGTTGCTGCTGCTGCTGCTGCTGCTGCTGCTGCTGCTGCTCCTCGGGCGTCTTCTGCTTGGCCTGGATGGCTCTCATAAGGGTGTCGACGTCTGTGTTGAAATTGATGCCGGCGCTGCCGTTGTCCGACTCGCCGGAGCTGACCATCTGGTAGTCTTCCCTGCCCAGGCTCAGCTCGCCCATCTGCTGGTAGGGCTCGACGGGCGAGCCCATCTCGGGCTTCACGGGGTGGCCTCTGCTGTCGAGTTGATAGCTGCTCTGGGGCAGGCCGGAGGGGTAGGACGAATGGGGGAGGTAGGAGGAGGACGACTGGTGGGTCTGCTGGTAGTTGACGCCGAAGCCCTGGTTGAAGGCGAAGGGCGATGTCGAGTCCAGCGGCTCGTAGGCAAAAGAGGTCGAGTAGGAGGGCATGGAAGTCTGGGGGCCGCAGGTCTGGAAGAAGGGTAGCTGCTGGTCGATCTGGGAGGTGGTGTAGGCCTGCGACGAGGGCATGTTGTTGTTGACCATGGGAGAGGTTTGGAGGCGGGACTGGCTGTCGTAGGAGGCAGACATGGCGGGGACGCTCATGCCGGCCATGTGCCGTTGCCATGAACCGCTGTGCTGGGGAGCCATCACGGCTGTCATTCTGGAGGAGTGCGACTCGGGGGAGACAAGATGATACCAGAGGCGCTTGGGCAGGCAATGCTGTGCGACTGTTGGATGGTTGAAACAAGGAAGAGGGAGAAGAGGCGGGTATAGGCGAGTACAAGTAGGCGCTGGTTGGACAGGCAGGCGGAGCGGTGCTACTGGACGGGCTCTGGTGGAGGGCGGATGGTCATCTGGCGAGGTGGCGGCACAACCTTAATCGAACACTGGAACCCGGCGGAGCGGTTGCAGCGTGAAGGACGGTTTATACACGGCGGCGGCTGGAGATTGAGCAAGGATGGACGAGATGACGATGCGGTGGTGGGCCCGGGAGGGAGCCCGGCGACGGGGGGTGCTTTGTGATCGAGACCCGGCGAGTGATGGAGGAAGATGGGAGTTCGATTGCAAGGCGCGCCCGGCAGCTAGGCCGCCGCGCTGGGAGCCCCCGGCGCTCACCATGGGACCATGGGCATGCGCGGACGGGCATGGCAGCGGCGCATGGGGGGGGGGCAGCCGGGGAGGGCGAGGCGGGAGCCAGCGCCGGCCGCCGTCGCTGCGGGCCGGGCGTCGTGGGCGGGCGTCGTGGGCGGGCGCTCCTGGGGCTTGCGAGGCTTGCTTATTGCAGGCGAGGGCATGGGCGCGGTCTCAGGCCGGGAGAGCGCGCGGCGGTGGAGGGTCGTGCATGGGGTGGGGGGTCGAGAGCTAGCGCAGCCTCGCAGCCTCGCCGGCCAAGCAGCGCCCACTGCCCGCCTTCCGCCGCCGGCGTGTCGCTCCGGCTGCGCTCTGCGCTCTGCTCGCGGGCCCGGAGATGGGCTGCCCGCGCTGCCCGCGCGGGCTGCCCACTGTCACGGCGGGCGAGGCGATTGATAACGCCGCCCCGGCGGCCTGGGACGCGCTGGAGATCTTGCGAGGCGCCTGCGATGCGACCCGGCCGCCAGAACACCCCCGGCCACGCATCGCCACGCCCTGTCGTGTGCGACGCGCCTGTTAAATTTGGATCGCGCGGCACCCGCGACCGCAGCAGCGCAGACGAGCACCCGTGCGGGAGGGAGCAACCGCAACCTTAGCCCAGAGGCCTCGACCCGCGCCCGCGGGCCACCCGCCGGGCTGGGAGGAGTGTAGGCAGAAGAAGGACAAGCATTGCTTCTCGCCGCCTCCAGCCACGCGCTGCCAGACGCGCGCCGCCGGCCGCCAGACACGGCCAGCACGGCCAGCGCGGGGAGCACGGCGAGCACGGCGAGCACGCTCAGCTCGCGATCGCGGGCAGGGATGCCGCAGGGGGGTGCGCGCGCGGGACAGGGCCCTGGTGCTGGCATGCTGGATGCTGGCGTGCTGGCGTGCTGGGAGCCCAGCAGCTGGCAGCGCGCGCGCGACGTCAACCGCCCGGCAGCGAGTGCGACGGCTGCGCGCCCGCTCCCCGGCCGCACCGCGCTCCACGCACCACGCCGTCAGCACCGTATCTCATCAGAGCAGGATCAGAGCAGCCCGCGCGCGCGAAGGCCGCTTCTGACCAGCCGCACTGGCGGGTCGCACGCCTATCCACGCCTAGCAGCGCAGCCACTGTCCGCGCCGCCGTCGCCGCTCCCACGCGCCGTCCCGACACGCCGGCGCGCCGCCTGATTCGCGCGCGCGCCGCAAGCCCCCCAAGCCATGGCCCGCCATGGCCCGCCACCACATGGATCATCCCAGCAACCAGGCCGACTGTTGCGGCAGCGCTCAGCGCGCGCCCAGCATGGGAATGGCGAGTCAACGTCGACCCGCCCGCTCGGGTCCGCAGCGCACGATCGGTGCAGCCGCGCCACCGGCCGACGCACAATGCAGCACGCCCGGCAGCACGCCCGCTCCTTCAGGCAATGCAAACCGCCAGCACCCGCCCCATCTCCGTGCTGCTGCTGCTGCGCCAGGGGCCGCTCGAATCCGATCTCACCAGACCTCGGGCTCCCGCCATCCCGGCGCGCCCTCCACCACCAACCGCCCCAGCGCCCTCCAGCGCCCTCCATCAGCCTCCACAAGCCTCCACGCGCCGCCGCTGACCGCCGGCCAAGCCAACGCCAGACCTGCGCCCGCTGAAACCGCGCGCTGGGGCCCGCCGCTGTCTTGGCCAAGCCGCGCTGCACGCTGCGAGTGTTCCCAACGCCTCGCGCGCGCACACACACACACATACACACACACAGACGCTGCGTCCGTCTCCGTCGTCCTTCGCCTCAGAGCCCACCCACCCACTCGTCTTGCGCAATCTGGGGTAGATGCGCGGTTTCAGATGGTTGCCAGATTCAGCCGGGGCCTCGAGTTTGGCTCCGGTCTCGCAGGCTCGCCAAACGCGAGGCGACTGCGTGCCGCTTCCCCGAGCAACGGCTATCCAGAAGATCACCGCCTTACGATCCGTCCACCCTGGGCGGCCGCAGTCAATCTCATCACCATCAACAATCTCTTTGACGATCTGCCACACGTCTTCGGCGGACCTGCAGTAGCCTCGGGCGCGTGAGAGCACCCGACCTGCCGATATACCGGGGCCCTGGTCGAGCAGGACCCTCGGTGGCGGGTGAGGCTCTGGGAAAATGACAGAATCGATGCCGCCTGAAATGGCGCATGCCCGAGTTGGCGACGATTCTGCGCCTGCAATCCTTTGGAAACGGTGGCGTCCTATCCCTCAGGCGACGTCCTCTGCCGACAGCATCCTTGATCCTGAAAGGTTTCACCACCACCCTCCTTCAGCTGCGCCTGATTCGTTCTGCTGCCTCACCGCCGACAGCCTGCTTGCTTGCTTGCTGCAGCATGCATTTCTCCAGGACTCGGGCGGCCGTGGGCGCAGGTGTTCGCAGACCCAGGCCGGGCCCTCCATGACCTTGCCGACCTCAGGGCATCGGACGGGGCAGGTCGGCGGCGCGCCTGTGCGCAGTTTCGATATTATTGTCAACACCTCGAAGCGGACACGTGAGATGAAATGCGGGCTCAGTCGTGCATGTTTCTCATCCTGCCAGCGCGCTTAGCGCACAGATGCGTCGCCGCCGCCGCTCGAAATAGGACGGCGGGCTGGGATATGGACAGAAGCCCGAACAGCAGCAATATGCCACGCACCCCAGACGGCAATGGCTGTCGGGCAGCAAAAGGCGGGAGAACGAGCTGTCGTCGAAGGCGAAGTTGCGGCCTGACTCGCCAATTTGCATGCGCAGGGCTCCGTCTGCGCGCTGCGCAACATACGAGCGCCATGGCACTCCAGGTCGTGGACCCGAAGGGGTGGATGCTCTCAGCTCGAGAAAGCCCGGCGATCTCAGCGGTCCAGAAGCGCCGCGGTTGCTGTGCGGCCCCACCTCCAGCCTCAATCTCGAGTCGCCATGGGAAAATCCAAATACAAGGCCGGATTGGCCCTTTGGCCCCCAAGATCGAGTCGTAGGGACGCGTGGGTGGAACTCCTTTCCCAGAGCGCAGCGAGGCTGCAGGCATGGTAAGATTTTGCATCCACGTGCCACTGCCGAATGCAGCGGGGGCGCCAGGGCCTGCGTCCCTTCAGGGGCATGTCGGTCGTCCTGGGGCCTGGGGCCTGGGGCCTGGGGCCTGGGGCCTGGGGCCTGGGGCCTGGCTGGAGGGAATGCAGCCCAAGAACGGGGCGGCTCGGGGTGGTGGAGGCCACGGAGAGGTCGCCGCAGCAGGCGTGGAGGGGGGGGCCAGGGCGCAGAGGGCAGTGGTTGTCTGCACGCCGTCGGGCAGGATGTCGACGGACGAGGTGGGTGCGGTTTGCTGCTGCCACGGACGTGCAAACAGCAGCGCGGGCTAGGCTGCCCTCCTCCCGCTGCCGCCGCGCTATCCACCCGCCGCTAAACTGCGAGCGGCTGAGCGGCTAGCAGCGGTCGCACGCCAGCCTGGCCGCGCAGCGTTTCCAAACGTGCCAGTTCCAGCGACGGCGGCCGTTGGAGCGTCGACGCTGCATCATCCACGGGCGCCGCCCGCAGTTCCCGCTGCGCGATGATGGATGGCCGATGTGACCGATCACCGCCAGCGCGAGCGCTCGCCAATCGCAGCGCATCGCAGCGCATCGCCGTGCCTCTGCTCTACCCAGATCCCGAAATCGCGGGCCTGTCGAATCGGAATCTTTACTCTCCTGGTGCCCCGCATTGGGGAGTTGTGGGCTCCGGCGTCCCACCATCAGCGCAACCCAATATTTTGCTGCAAACACCGGCTGACTGCCGCATGGACACGCGCCCCGAACTCGACCCCGTCCCCGGCACCCACCGTCATGTCGCCGCCGGCACCCTTGTTATGGCGGAGGTCGGTGTGCCTGGCGAGCAGCCCGACGCGCGCTCCTCAATGGATGCCTTGCGATTCCTGCGTCCCGGCTGCTGGTGACGGTGATGGCTGCGCGCCGCCGCCCGGCTGCCCCTCGCCGTGCCTCGCCGCGCCTCGCCGTGCCCCTCTCTCTCTCCCCAGCCTCGACGCGACGCCCGCCATTGTTCGCCACGACCGATCTCTGACTGCTTCAGGGACCGACCGACCCGCGCTGCCGGCGCTCATCCATTTCATCTCACCGGAGCTCAGCTTCCACCCTCCACCCGCTCGCATCACCCGCACGCCCTGTCGCATGGCACTCGCTTGGTGCAATAATGGCCGCTCTGGGCTGATTGCCACCCGCGGAATCCTCAGCCTCGGTGCGCGTAGCTAAGCGTCCGGCCCTTAACTCCATCCTGCCGACCTCGTTCATGCGCGTGCGAAACATGGGCGAACGTGCTTCTCGCGACTGCTCCTGGCCCTGCGAGATGACGGCAATGTCCAAGCAACCACTCAGATCTAAAAGGCGAGGCAAGTGCCGTGCACCGTTCAGCCGATCTTTCGCACGAGGCACCGCCCGGCCGCGGCGGGCCCACCCTGCGCACCTTTGCCTCTTCTACTACGTCTACGCCGCACCCAGCCTGTCACTTGCACCTCCACGCGCACCGCCCGCACCGCACCGCCTTCGGCGCCGCAAGAGCTGAGCGCAGCAGCCAGCGTCCAATGAGACCGCCCAGGCCCCGAACTGACGTAGGTAGCCCATATTCCGGCCAGCTCTCCCGGCCGCGCCGCCGCAGTCAGCGCCCTAGCATGATCCTGCCGCCGCTCCACTCGGAGGACCCGACCAGTCAGCTCAACGGAATCGCCCTCTGCAGCGGCCCGTGGGAAGAATCGACACGTCTAGCCCGGATGCGGTCAAGCTCCCGTCGGCACGACGCTTCCGCAGCAAGGGGGCCTACGGCTTGGGGTGACAAGGACCAGGTCGACGCACCTGCAGGTGCGAGTTCTGGCAGATAGGCGGGCTGCATGAGGATGTGTAAGCGGGGACAACTATAGTAACCCGGCCAATGGCACGCACCAACGCCTGCACAATTGGTTGCTCGAGAAAGTTTCCGTCGACTTCTGTTTGTCTCAGTCTGCCAGTCGGCGCGATTAACGGTTCTGCGTGAGATGCAGGTCAGGTGCGCGGTACGTACACGGCCGCACGCCTGCACCCTGTTTACAAGCTCAACGCGGCATCACTACTAGCTCTCTGCTGCTGAATCTTTCGTGCCGGACATACCGTCGTTTGCAGCAGCCGCGCGACCGCCGTGTCGTTGGCAAACGAAGCAGTGGAGCCCCAGGCACATACCACCGGGAAACACCGCCGCGCCGCCGCACCGCCCGGTTTGTGCCTTATACAGACACACACTGTACGAGCGGCTCCGCAGAGGTGCATCAGACAATTTCCAGATGGCAACGGCCAACGACGCCCGTAACTGCCGGCTGGGCTGGGACGGCGGCATTGCCCCTTGTATGCCATGTCCATTCCCCCTTCTCTTGGTGCTTTGGCCAGACGGCGTCCGCAAGAAGTCGCGATCTCCATCATGTTCCGTTTTTGTCTCAGCCCGGCTTGCGTGCCGGGGGGGGGGGGGGGGGTTTGCCCATCCCCACACGAACACGGCACACAGACAATAGAGTCCTTGCTTCGTCTTCCCCACTAACTGCTGGCGCACGTCCCCCCGTCGCCATGTTGCCGCGGCTCTTACTTGAAGAGTCCGATTGAGTAGCATTCCACGAAATTGGAGAGGTCGATCAGCCCGTGCTGAGACACTCGTGCTCACTCTGCCCGGCAGGCAAGCAGCCGGACGGTTGCTATGTGCTCTGCGGCGGAGATAGCGCCTTCCTTGGTATCCATAGCCAGCAACTGCCCACCGGGGCAAATGGTCGTGTCGAGCTTAACGGGTTTGTGTTAGAGTGCCCGGCGGCCATGTATCCGTGCAGGATCTGCAGAGTTGCTGGTGGCCGTCGGCTGCGGCAGCATCCGTGCTGGCTGGTCGTCGGCACATGTCGAAGTGGGGGAGGACGCAGAAGATGCAGGCAGAGGTGAGGCAGAGGTGAGGCGATGCGATGCGAGGTGCGATGCGAGAGGGCAGCCGCCAACGGACGCATCTGGGACTCGTGTTTCGGGTTTTCTTCGAGCAACAATGCCAGATGCGGTCCCCTTCAGGCGCGGCACTCAATCTGCGACGGCTTCGCGCGCAGCCCTGCGGTGTGCGACGTTGGACACAGATGCCCCATGCGCGCGCGAATCTGGAGCTTCGGGATCGGGGGAGGGCGGCGCTCCCAGTCAAACCTTAGGCACGGCGCGTGGCTCCGACGAGTGCCCGCCGCCCGCCGTCCCGGCAGCCCGGCACCGACTCGAAGCGCAAACGCACAGCCATCTCTGATCTCGGGCTTTCTCTCGCTGCCCTCCAGCGCTGGCCCGGATGCACATCCGCAGGGTCCCCTTTTCTGTCGTCCACGCTGCCCCAAAAACGTCAACCAACAGGAAGCACTGTCCCTCTGTTCGCTTTCCACCACTCGCTGGCCAGCCAACCCGTGCACCACCGCTCCCCCGGGCCAGGCCGAAACCGCCAACAACAACTGACGAGATCCGCCCATCATCTCCAACCACCGCAGCCCCTCTTCGGACTTTCCGGATCCCAGCCGCCCCTTGGACACAACGGCGCACACGCATGGAAATCGACATCGAACATTCGATTCCTGCATACCAAGTGGCACCAGAGAAAAGAACGCGCCTGACGTGAAAACGCCCCGGTGTTGGATGCTAGCCAACCACCTCTGCCGCGGTCCATATGCAGGGCGACGCAAGACGTCTTTGCTTGCTCCATATCCCCTCTCACTCCACATAGCCCGACAGTTCCAACGCTGCTATCCAAGCGCCGCCGTCCAAGCGCTGCCGTAAATAGTCAATGCCTGCCAGCCCGCCAGGAATACCGTTGCGCGGACCCGTCACCTTGCCCTTTACCCCTACCCGGCCCCGCCTCCGAATAGATCTAGATCACTGACAACCCAGGGCCAAGTCTGTAACGTGGTTCCAGCAACGGCAAAACAAGGAAAAAGCAAAAACGGAACCTGCACCGCCATCGTCATCCAACAGTCACCATCGAGCTGCCCTTTTCTCACCTTCAAGCAGGGTCTCTCTCTCTTTTCAGGCGCCCGTGCTACCAAGACTCCAATCACCACCTACATATCCCCCCTCACGCCATCACTTCTTCCAACCCACCGGGCGGGGGAGCAGCAGCCATCTGAGACGCACTAGGTACATGCACAGATATGTATGTACTGCACGCACGCGCGCGCGCGCACGCGTCCGATGCCCGCTTTCCTATGTACGTAGACGGACCCCACGGCGCACCCACCCACCCACGCACTCATCCACCCACCCACCACACCTACTTTGAACCGTGCAGTATCGAACCGCCGGCGTGCCCATCAAACCATCATCCATCACAAGATCAAAGAAGAAAGCAAAAAATCTTGGCCTCGTTTCTCTCGTTGTCCTGCCCTTCGTGCCCCCCGCCGCCACCACCACCCTACCTTGTCTACCCAGAGTGATGCCCTCCCCCCTCCACTCGAGCCACTCAACTATTTCCTTTCTCTCCAATGCACAGATCATCCAATCATGGCGGCCCAACCTTTCTTTGAACGAACGACACGAATTGAAAAAAAGGAAAGGAAAATGAAAACTGGGAATGAAGGCATTGACAACGGCTTCACGCATTCTTGGCTCCTCATTATTGCCTCGTCCATCAACCCGCCACGGAGAAGGAGACTAGGTGTCATGAGCAACATCCATTCTCCTCCCCCCTCGTTGATAGATAGATCTGAGATCCACGTTTCGATCGTTTGGTGTGCAAACTCGTCCCCTCATCAAATCAGGCACAACAACAACAACACTCGAGAGATGAAATCAAAACAATACAAAACAAAACAAAAGCAGATAGTGAATGCCTCGATTGAAAGCCCAGAAAGAACCCGAGAGACGTGATCAATACGCGATGTTGTTTCGCCTCCCTCCCCCCTCAAATCCAACGTCATAGATGGATGATGATATGCTGGCCCAGACCATGTCCATCAAGATGCCCGGTCCAAACGATGGCCCCCCTGTGATGACCCACCGCCCCCACAACATCGTGTTCTCTCTCTCTCTCTCTCTCTTTTCGCCCTACGTACCACTCCTTCCCCCCCCCGTCTCTGCCCTACCAAAATATGTAAGCGCCGCCCCCACATCCAGCCTCATCCACCCAATTTTTCTCCACCCACCACCCACCCATTCTCCACTCGGGCAGCAGCATTCAGACAGCCTACCTGCCTTGCCTCACCTTGCCTCACCTTTGTCTTGCCTTGCCTTGCCTCACCTTGCCTTGCTTCGCCCTGCTTGCTTCGCCTTGACTGGTGTACTACAACGTACGGAGTTCCACGCGCGTGGGCGTGGAGAGAGAGAGTGCGTGTGTGGTGCACATGCCGTTAAACGGGACTGCCAGGTACGCCGTCCTGCTGCGCAACACATGCACACACAGACACACAGCCATACGGATCACAACAGTCTCTCTGTATCACGTCGGACGCAGGGCAAAAAAAAATAAAAAAACCAAAAAGCCGGGTCCATGATACTGGTTCGGCGCCCCGACAGGAGACATCGCGTGAGAGAAGCGGTGCGCGTGTGTACTGTCTCATCCAAAACGTGAGCACGACGCAGAAAAAGCTGTCATCAGACGAGGCCAAAGGAAGAAGCAGTAGAGAACGAACAAAGACTGCCAATGGAAATGATGGGCCCAGAAAATTAAACATAAATGAAAATCCATGTACGGTGAAGGAAAGAATCATCATCATCATCGCCCCCTCCCAAGTCCCCAGCCGAGGGAACCTACCTCTTTTCGCACCATACCCCCCCGACCACTCGGGGAGTATTGAACTTGGCGGCGAGAACCTACAATCTGGTGTGTCCCGTTGCCCTCCACACGCGGTCCTACACCGTGAAACCTGGCGTTGCAAATAAAATTCCAAAGAAGATCATCCCGAGTCACGGGGGAGCTGGCCTGATCAAGACATCGTCACCTCATCTCACAGGCGGGCAACAGGATCCCTTCTGGATTATCGTGTCTGCGTCGTTCCCCTCGGGCCTCTTGTCGACACATTCGAGCATTTCTCGCTGGGAGTAGCGTCCTTCGAGGTAAGAGATCTGAAGGGTCAGTGCTCATCTGCATAAACCAGGGATCGGCACGTCGGCGCACCGCATTCCCATTGGTTGCCCGCCAGCGCCTCCCCCCCCCGTACCCTACCTTACCTGAACAGCTCGCAATTCCCCTCTTTTCAATAACAAACAACCGCGGCAAGCTGTGGCAAAGCATCAGCGTCCCGCGGTCTGTTTGCTCTCGTATCTCAGGGATTGTTGACGCGTTGAGCAGCTTGTAAATGTGAGGCGAGAGGCGGAGCCGAAGGCGACGAACGAAAAGAGACGGCGCTGGCTCCGTCTTACAATTGCGGTAACCAACCTTGCGAATATCATGTCGATCACTCTTCAGCTCTTGTTAGAGATCTTGATCCTGTGAGAATGACGCCGCCCGGAGTTCCCGAAGGATGGATGGCGGCGCACATGGCTGAAGAGCTCACGCTCATAGACTTTCACCATCGCCCCTTAGCCATTTGCCACCCTGGCCCGATGGAATCGAGAACGTCTTCGTGGGCCATAATTAGTGCGTCTAGATGCACCCGACGCGCCGTTTCGCCGTCTCTTCCTCTCCTGAGGAAGGACTGAGAAATTGAGTTTGGACGGGCAATCAGGGGCACGCACGAAAACCTTGCATCGCAGCTGCAAGCACCAGACTGCTCGGGGCGAAAGCTTGTCAAAAATCGTGCACTAGCAGCTTCAGTAAGCGCAGCGCTTGCGGTAGGCTCGAAATTGCAGCTTTTTTGCAGCTTTCGCGTTGCAGGTCATCAATATCCCGCTTCCGCGAGCCATTCATGGTCAAACGCGGCCCATGCTTCTCCCTTCCGTCGGGGAGCATCTTGCAGCCTTGGTGTAGTCAAGGCCGCGAATCTGCTTACGCTGCGCCTCCACTGCCACCAGCTCCCGCTCCGCTGCGGCTCGCTCCCCGTCGCAAGGGGGAGATGGGCGCGCGCCGTCAAAGCGTGAATGATGGCGGCACAGGAAGACAATAAGCCAGGGGTAGGCAAAGTGTCGTCACGGTCTTGTCGTCGGCGACGGCCGCTCTCCGCCAGCCGCGCAAACCTCTCGATTGGGTCCCCTGCATAGAAGCTAATCGAAGACGTCAAAAGATGTAGGGTTCAGCCTCGTCCCGACAAGCCGCGCCGGCGCGTGCGAGCTCGATTCGAGGGACTGGTCTTCGGCCCGGCAGATTGGCTCAACGAATGGGAAGACGTGGCGCGAAAGAAGAACCAAAATTACTTTGCTCCAGATGGGTTGATCGCTTCGTCTCGCTTGCCGTGGGATTGCTGCAGCTAACGTATGCGAGATCGATGTTAGGGTGAAATATGCAGGTAGGAACACTTTCTGCGGTTGGTGCAGGGGTTCGCGTGAATGTGAAGGGTGGTGGATGAAATGGGACGCGTGCCCGAGTGCGTGCGCTGCGCGCGTGCGTCACGGCGTATGCCATTGCGAGGGCCGGCGGCGGGCATGGGCGACGGGGCACCTGTCTCGCTCGGATGGGTTGGCCTTGAGCATCGTATCGTCTGCCCCGCTGCGGTGAGTCGCGTGGTGGGTGGAGTCGGAATGAATAAGAACGAGCCGGGGGCTGTCCGTAGCGGGCGATGAAGACGAGGGGATGGGGCAACGGACGGGGGATTTGAATGGTGATTGGCGTGGGGCTGGAAGGGAAAGGTGCCGGATTGAGCGGCGGATGCCTTGTGCGACGGCGGGTTGGCTAGGCGCAAGACCGAGATCCGATGGCGGTAGCCGTGTCGGTACGGATGTGCAGGAGGTGGTTGAAGTCGATGCGCCGATCCGGGTGGACGGTCGGGGCGAGAGCAGGCGGCAGGCGGGTCTGAGAGGCGAGAAGGGCGCTGCAGGGGCATTGGGTGTGGCGCGTCCCCGGGCGTTTGGGAATGCGATGGAAGAGTGGACCAAAACAGCGGGCATGCGATGCGATGGCCAAGGGTGGTGCTTGGCAGGCCGAAGGGTGTGGCCATCGCCAAGCGGGCGCGCTCAGGACTCGTGAGATGAGGGAGCCGGTGCGGTGGAACAGGAGGGCGGAATCCGAAAAGAGGGTTGAGGCGTCGGGAAGGCGGGCGGGTGGAAGTCGGAAGCGTGAGCAGACGGCGGGGGTCGCGGGCAGGGCTGGCCACTCACGGGGGCGATATAGGCCGGGATGCGGCTAGATCTGGCCACTCGGAGTGTTTGCTAGGGTGAAGCGAGCGAAGTTGAAACCGGCCGGGGAGCATCATGGGCGTGGTTGAAGGAAGCGACGGGCACAGGCGGCGCGGGCAGCAAAGGGCCGGGGCGCGGAAGATGCCAGCTGGAGAGGTCAGCAACGACAGAGGGCGATGACGACGGCGGCCGGGGATGCTGACGCTGCAGGCGAGCAGATCTGGCCGCGGGATGAGACAGGTCCCTTTGTGGTGAATCACCACCAGGTGGCGGAGGCTGCGGGCGGGCGTGCAAGCGGAAGGCGTCGAGGGCGACGGCGACGGCCCACGATACGAGCTGGGCTGGCGGCGGCGGCGGCCACCGATGATGCGCTGCGAGATGGGTGTAACGGGCGATGGAGCAGGGAGCAGGGAGCAGGGAGCAGGGAGCAGGGCGTGGAGGGGTGGATGGAGTTGAGAAAGAAAAGAAAACGCGAGAGACGAAGGCGTGCCTGCCTGGCGCGTCTCTTGTTCGCGCCTGCTCTTGCTGGCTAGCCCGCCCACGCCCGGCAGCTGCTCTCCCCAGCTCTCCCCAGCCGCAACCCTCAACCTCTGCCAGCACTACGGACCACTCGCGCCGCCCGTCCACAACCTCCGTGCCTCCCAAGTCCCCACGCATGCGGCATGTTTTGCGAGCGCTGCGCACAGCCGTCGGCTCTGTGATCGTCCGGACGAAAGCCCAGCCTCTCAGCCGCTCCTCCGCCTCACTCCGCCAGTAACCCACATATGCGGGCCTGCCAAATGAGCTGCCCCCGGCTTGCCGAACCCATTCTTCATCCCCCGACTCGCTTTGCGAACTGTGTGAGCCCGCCGCCCACCTGGTCAGCGGAAGACTTGCCATGCCGAGTCGCAAGGCCCAGAAGTCTCCTGACGCCGGCCTTGGCTCCGGCCATGCCTCCGGCCATGCGCTCCATATCCAGCCGTCGACTGCTGGCAGATCACAGCCTTACGATCTCTGGATGTAGATCCCGCACTTCCCCCCCCCGACTGCCAAACACCGCACTTTCTTTGCATGTTGGCCGCCGGACCTCGCTCCCGAGAAACCATCCACCTACGCCGGCTTTACTCGCGTCGCGCTTGCCGTGCTCGAAAGCCGTTCGTTGCCCGGACGAGCGGCCCGGTGCTCTGGGGCATAGTAATTGTCACAGCAGGGATCTTATTCAAGCAACCGAACATCGACTCGCTGAGTCCCGGGCCCGTCGGTCTAGACTCGGCGCATAGTAGGCCTTGCTGACGTAGATTTTTTTTTTGTATGAGCAATCGTGAGAACGGTCTGGCCTTCCCCAGCAAGTGCGGAGCCGCTGCTGTCTCAGTTACTATGACACTTGTAGAAAATTCCAGGGTCCGCACATCCATCTCGCACTGCCCGTCGGTGCGGAAGCCCGTGTCCGGCAGCATCCCCTTGTACCCGTACACCTCTGCTCGCGAGACATGAGATAGGTAGCATGGTGAAATCTCAGCGCGTGCTGACCAATGTGCCGGCATTTGTACTTCTCTCGCCCGGCCGAATCGTACGTTTTTCGGCGACAGTACCTACTTGCCGCTTGAAGAAATTTTGCAGATGCGGTGCACTGGTCACCAACGTCCGGAACTGCTTCCAAGACCGGGGTTGTCCAGATTTCGTTGCATATGAATCCCGAGGCTATGTGACGAAGCCGCAAGCAGGGGAAGGGATTAGTCTTCCGTCAGCTGTGAGCTTGCTGGTGGTGTTTTCGGGGACCTTCAGTGCTGCAACCAAGAGCCTCAACAGTTGGAAGAGATGGCTTATCTGTCGTATGGGAGACCACGTAGTGTTGTTGCGTTGCGCCATAGGCTGTGTTTTGCTACAGTTTCGCTTGAGATGTGAATTCAAAGTGTCTATTTGGCTTACACTGTTCCCCATGTCTCGTATGGATTACTCACACCCGGTTCAACCATGCATGCAGAATCACTATTTACCGAATGGCATATTGTTTCATGAAAGAGTATGCGCTATCACAAGTCTTTGTATCCAGGTCTTTGCTCTCGTTGGTAGAGGTGTTGGTGATGACATCGTACTCCATATCTTTTCCGGGTTGCGCTTAATAACTCAGACTTAACCCATCACTTTCGTTTGTTAACAGCAATACCCATCTGACGGGTCTGCTGGGCCCAAAATCCACCAAAGTATGTACAGAAGAAAAGCCCTTCAAGCAATATTCTCGCAGTCTGATTATCTCACATTACTCAGATAACTACGGTCAACCTTATTCAGCCCCACAGAAGAACGCTGCAGAACTTAGGACACAAGGTACCGCGCCAATATCAACACGGTTATCTCATTTACGGTCACATGCTGGCTTATTGCGCACAACCTCCCCATGCCATACGCATACAGGAAAGTTTTACCGCAGCAGGTCTACAGGCACGTGGATATCAGCAAGCAGACATGCCCAGTCAAACAGCACATGCACACAGCACACGCACACAATATGCGTAATCAGACCCGCGAGCCTGGCAATGTTTGCTCACACTCCCAGCTGACTCCACTAATGCCCCTCACAATCAAACCCCACTTGGAAAACACAGCCGCAGACAGCCCATATAAGCTCCGCCCTTTGCGCCCATCATACCACCACCACCCATCAACACATTCAACACATTCAACAATTCCAACATCTGAACTCACACAACACATCAAAATGAGCAACAACAACAACGGCAAGACCGGCTCCGGCCAATCCTCAATGACCAAAAGCGATGCCTCTCGCGTCCAGTCTACCCAGGCTACTGGAGGCGGCAACATGTCCTCCACGGGTTTCGCGGCCAGGGCTCAGGCTGCCGGTGACAAGAACGCGAACGCTGCTCAGGGAGGTGTCCAGACCGGTGGTATGGGAAATGCGGGCAAGTGATTGGGGAAGGGCGCCTGTCTAGAAGGCTCCAGGCATGAAGGATGTCTGTGAGGGGTTGGTGGCGGAGGGTTGGGGTCGACGAGTGTTTGGGTCGTAGCTAAGCTTTACGTACACCCAAACAGTGGATGGAGTGGTCAGCTTGGATGCAGATTTCATGTGCAGTGAGGACAAGGCTAGTGAGATATGCTGACTGTGCGGGTGCTGGCAAACAGTGGCAATTGTCACAAAGCGCAAGCACATTCTATGTGATACTCCGAACTACAATTTAATTGAAGTGCTTCGTGTTCGGAAAACCAACCTAGTACTTGTCAAAAATTTAACAACGCCCTGTCTTCCGAGCATCGGGATTTGCCTTGAATTGATTTTGTTGATAGAGGCTGTAAGCTCATCTCACTCCTGCCTGCTCCATAAGAGGCACTTCTCGACAAAGCCCCCACTGTGTAAAATGAGCCATTTCTGTAGTGACTATTGCCTTTGTGGGCATAAAGCGGATGGAGGGAACTAAGGGGAGTGTGGAAAAGTGATTTTCTCCTTCAGTTCCTTCGAGAGACGTCAACTAAAACCATCTATCGGCTTTGTAGTACATATTGTTGGAACTCAACAATGATGAAGTCGACGAACGCGTTAAGGAAGAAGCAGCTAACAAATAAATTGTCCTTGAAGCAGGAGAGAAGTCCTCCAATTGCCTGCCAGTTTTTTCAATTGCGGCGGAACTTTCCAAATCAAGCACCACTACAAGGTCTACGTTTGGGGAATGTTCAGCCCAAGCACACGAACATGGGGTGAGCGAGAATATGGGTAGACTGGTGCATCTGATTGTTGCTACACTTCACTTTGGCGTTAAGATGGGGGAATGCAAAAAAGTCGGTTGGGTCCGGGCCGAACCAGGGGTTCCTTGTCTCGCTTGTGAAGGGCAAAAAGGTTGCTGCACTCAGAGCGCAGCAAAAATGTCCCTACGCAGAATCGAACTGCGGACCTTCGGATCGCCTCTTCTGAGAAGAAGTCACATCTGATGATATGAGACCGACGTCATAACCGACTAGACCACAGAGACTGGATGAAGACCTGAGATCTTCTCTGAATTGGATGCCCGAGACACCCTAGTCGTGCCAAAGAGGGCGGTTTTTGACGTATATATACTCAAACAAAAGCAGGTCGCACCATCTCCGCGGAAGTGTGCAAACTTATTGACTAGCTCCTCTCTCCAGTAGCACTGTCGGCAAGCGCAGCGATGATTGGACGAGCTGTGCTCCCTTATCTCGTCTCTTCCCTGCACTAGCGGTGGAGCCTCATCGCCCCCAGACTGCGCAGACGTCTATCGCAAAGTCAACACCATGGCCCTATACAGCTCGGGTGTTGAGGGGGAGGCTGAGCCTCAACCCACGGCCAAAGTTCCCCGCAATTTCAGGTCCACCAGCTGCGCGGAGAAAGCACACAAAGCGGGTGAGAACGGGTCTCTCGATCATGATTTTCTTACGTTATGGAAAAGCAGCAAGCTCCAGGAAGAAAAGTCACGTTGGCAACACTGCGTCGACGCCATTTGCCAATCCAGCCTCGGCGCAGCGTCTCCTCGCGTCTCCCACGAAACTTCGGCGGAGCGGGAAAGACGTCGGGAATCCATTGAGCCGCTCTTGCACTTCTGCTGCGACGGACATGTCTCGAGCCTTGCCCGGTTCTCGTCTTGTCAAACGCCCGCCGCGGGACCTCCTTTTCACTCCAATTCCCTCTCCTTGCAGCAGACGGCAAGATGAAGCTCCCAGCCGCCAAAGACGTGCACTTCGACATTGACCAGTACCTCAACCGCTTCGTGCCCCACAACCGCATCCACCGGCTGCCGAAACCCCTCTCGCGCTTCCTGGGATATCGAGCGGAGCCCGCACCGCCAATCGGCAACATCCTCCAAGCAGCATGGGCTCTCATCGGCGCCTTCTGCGGCCTCACCGTCGTGACGGCCGTCTACAAGTTCGCTCCCGGCATAGCAAAACACAACCCCCCCGTCATAATCGCCAGTCTGGTACGCCCGCCCACCCCCCTGCACCACATCCGCTCGATCCCCCCCACCACCACCACCACCATCCAACCAAACACTCCCACCAACCACTCCCCCACCCCAATCCAGGGCGCCGCCGCAATCCTCGACTACAACGTCATCGCCACCCCCTTCGCCCAACCGCGCAACGCCCTCCTCGGCAACACCCTCTCCGCCCTCACCGGCGTCTGCATCACCAAGCTCCTCATGCTACTCACCGACGACGGCCCATCGCCATCCTCCTCCCCCTCCCCGTCCTTCACCGCCCACCGCTGGCTCGCCGGCCCGCTCAGCTGCGCGTGCGCGTCGGCACTCATGGCCGTGACCGGCACCATCTACCCCCCCGGCGGCGCCACCGCGCTGCTCGCCGCGACGGACCCGGCCGTCGCCGCGTTGGGCTGGCTGTACGTCCCGCTGGTGCTGCTGGGCTCGGCGCTGATGCTGGCGGTGGCGCTGGTGGTGAATAACGTGCAGCGGCAGTATCCGGTGTATTGGTGGACGGCGGGGAGTGTGGGGCGGGAGGAGGCGAAGGAGAAGAAGAAGAAGAAGAAGGCGGCGCGCAAGGCGGCGCGCGGTGTGGTGGAGAGCGGGTCGAGGCGGGGGGATGAGGGGAAGGGCGTGCGGGGGGAGATTGCCGTGGGTGATGAGGAGGAAGAGGGGGAGGTGGAGGATGTGGAGGAGGAGGAGGTGCGGGATGGGGGGTTGGAGCGCAGGATCGTCATCACAGCGGATCGCGTCTTCGTTCCGGAGGGCTTCGACTTCGGCGGCGTGGATGCGCAACTTGTCGAATCATTGCAGACGAGGCTACGACGCGACGGTGGAGATGCTTCTTCTTCTTCTTCTTCTTCTTCTTCTTTTCCCTAGGCACAGCCGGCCGCCGCCGCCGGAGTCCGAGGCTGGCTCGAGTGGCACGGATCTGTCGAGCGGTAGGGAGATGCTGCCGTCACTACTCAAGTCAAAGAAGTCACATGAAGAGTGGTAGAGAAGGGAGAGAGGAAACGTGTTTGCCGTACGGCTTTGTGAAACAATCGGCGATTTCGCCGCAACAGATGCAAGCCATGTGTCAAGATCAGTCAGGGTCAAGCCGAGGACAAGTTTGACCTTTTCCATCGCGGGCTGATATTTCGGACTTCTTTTACCCGATTCCCCTCACTTGTTGTCACACAAAAAAAGCCTTCGCTTATGCTTTAGACCATTCCGTGCCCTCTTCAGAAGCCTAGGGCTTAGACAAGGGGTTGGTTGGCTGGCTACTGCATCAAGGCGTATGCACGTCGCTTGAGTGATGCGTGATGATTGCTTATTCAGAAAAGGCTGCAAGGCTAGACCCACCAGCAGTGGCACATTTATGTATGAAAGCGGCACGACCCCCCATGGCCTCCTTGATTCTCCGCACCAAGCTTATGGTTCGAAAATTTCCGTCGTCACATCAACCCGCGCGATGAACATGGGCTTTGTGTAGCCGCAAAGTCTCTCTCATCAATACACTTCCCCGTCAGACGGCATCAGAATGCTTTCATCAGCAGCTGATGCATCGCCTGAGACAGGATCATCGTCGCAGGGGCCACAGAATACCCGGAATCTTGAGAAATACTCGGACTGGTTTCAGGCTGCCCCACCTGCAGCGGATAGAACCAACTTCGACAGATCGCCAAATGATCCGCTTCGACCTCAACAAAAGAAATCCTGGAGCTTGTGCTGCCCTGAGCAGGCAGATCAGGCAGAGTTCCCTCGCGTTAGCTCATGCGCCTCCTTCGGCGACAATGGCACCACCGCCAGCGTGAACGCATACGGCAATCTCATCCAGTTGACGCGGTACCTGGCGGCTGGACGTTCCGGCTTCTTCGCGGTCAATTCCAAGCGCACGCCTGAGCCTTACATCGTCCCTTGGCGCATTAAGTACCTTCTCGACGACTTGAATCACGCCGAAAGTGGTATTGGACTCCGCCTGTGCAGCAAGCCTGAAGTTCCTACGCCAAAGTTGGACTTTGTGTTCGATCGCTGGCCTCGATTCACCACAAAGATGTCGGGGCTAAAGATTGAGTGCCAGTACGCGGTCAAAGACGGCACGATCATTCAGCACTACAGCATCGAGCGGGAAGAGACGAGTAGCTCACATTCCCTTCCTCACATGGTTATCGATGTGGCAAATCTGTCCATCATAGACTGTGAGGGGAAGGCTTTCTTCAACCAGTACAACAGTCGGTTTGATTCGTACCATATGGTTGAAGGTCTCGACAGTCTTGGGTTTATTGTCGCGCACGAATTCCCGCCAGGTTACCACGAAAGTGTTCAATGTACCAATGTACACAACGCAAGCCGGAGGCCAAGCATTTCCGAGGAGGAAGTCGTTGATGTTGTCCAGAACGGTGAAAATGGTACACCAAGCGCCGATCCAGATCATCCTGGCCGATCAGAAGCTGGGAGTAATGATGGACGGAGCATGCATGGCCAATCGGCGAAGGGAGATGGCGAGACGGGGCACGATAATCAAAAGGCATCAGATCAAGCAAAAGCCAGGAAGCCATCGGCTGTCGGGGTGATTATGTCACTTTTCATCAACGATCAAGCTGTATCGACTCGTCAATACTTCCCCAAACCAGCAGGGAGCGGGAGTAAAATTGACCTCGAAAGTCTCCTCAGCGCCACGAACACGGTCCGAATCACAATGGCGTATAGGCTACAGTTGTTGTCCAGTAGTGCAAACCATTGGGAGTCATCCGTCATTACTGCTTCGCAAGCAAGCATTGCTGATGCAATGACGGCGAGTTACGTGCCGGAACTGAAACTTTCATCTTCTCCCAAGCTCGATTTTGTGCTCCGGCGCAACCTGCAGCATATCCTTGCAGTCTGCTCAATTGAGACATCAGACCATCCAATCTGGGGCTCTCAGGGCAGAGAAACCCCATCAAGGAAAGTGGATTCGGAAAAAGAGGAGGGGAAAGCTATCGCCTTGACGTGTGGAGACTTGTCAGGCCACCACATTGTCACATCAGCAAGCTTGTGGGTGAAATAGCTGCCCATGACCTGGTATTCTTTTGCTGATTTATTTTTAGCTTTGCCTTCCGGTTTCTATTGGCAATGTTTACTCACTTAAAGGGCATAGCTGGATCAGGTCTGTTGCGCGAGTGCATATTTGAAGTCTGTAAAGGTCACCTGATATGGACATTCACCAAGGCTTTGCCGAAGACTTTGGTCATGGACGAAACGTGGTCGGGTTGTGCTGAGCACAAGGACACCTGGTCTCCTGTATCAGATGAAAATGAAATCAAAGGATTCCAGTCTGAGTATTGGATATCTGGAGATGCCATTGGCTTCTCTGAGCATTCGCGGAATGCTCCCTCAACATCCCTTACCAACACCCCTTTTCAGTTTATCAAAGCTGGTGAATTTCACAGAACTTTCGACAAATACAAGGAGGGCTTCGACTCGGCAGAGATCTCACGGAGGCATGTCAGTGGCCTGATTACCACGTGGGTCTTTATCCTGTACCAGATGGACCGACGAGGAAATTACACCTTCTCGAGACCAACAGAAGATGGTATCGGTCGCTATCGTTTGGATGACCACATTTGGATCTGGACTGCAGCAAAAAGCATCGAAGATCTTGGTTTGGCCAAGAAGTTGAAACCTCTCATGTTTCGCGGACAGAAAGAGATAGTTTTGAGGTCATTCACGCCTGGAGAACTACAGGTCAACATACTTCGGAGATTTACAACGGAAAACATCGTCCTACAAAAGTCAATGCTGGCAACGACACGGTCAGCCCAAGAGACACGTTTTCTATTCCATTCACGCGACACGTCTTTGTTCTACGCCATGGAAGAAGGCTTCTTTGATGCCGGTTCTCGATCCCCATTGTGGGAGAGTACTATGGACTTTCAAAAGCAGCACACTTACAACAACATGGGGAAGTGGGACAATCCTCTTCGATATGCGCTGGCTCTAATCATGGCAGCAAAGGGCAAGCAGCTAAAAATGGAGCCTAAGCAACACTGGGAGTCTTTCAATGAGGCAGCAGACATCCTGTACAGGAGCTGTCTTCCTACCGGCGTCTTTGCTGGCGAGCTCGACGGCACAACGAAAAAGCCTAGGGTCCTCTCGAATCGAAGGCATCACAACTTCTACTGGCACGTAGGGTTCGAGATCCCTCTCATATTCTGGGAATACGCCAGAGCATTCCCGATGGACCCACCCCCACCACAGAAGGACCAGGAGAGATTGGACAAGGCCCACGATGCCGGCCACAACTCCACAGAATCCACGGCAATACCTATTTCCAACAATGAGAAGGTTGCTACTGGCTTCCAAACCTCAAGTCAAGGATTATTTTCCGGTCCTGACATGCCTTTCGGTAGATCCAAAGATCTGCAGCTTTCAAGCAACTCTTTGAAAAAGATGAAAGCGATTCCTATGAGGTATACGATCAATCAAGGCAGTGATCTTGAGCTGGTGGACGAATGGTTGTACAAATACCCCGACTTCCTCGACTTCCATCCCAGCATCAGACTGGAAGACGAACAGTACGCCGAGAATGTCAGGGAGTCGTTGGATGAAAACTCCGTACTGGGAAAACTGCTCGAGAGTAAAGACAACGGCGATGGCCTGCAGTGTGTGCTTAGAGAAGAAGATTTTGACGAGAAAGCTGCAATCTTGGATGTCCGGCGGACTGCTCACACGAGGAGGGGCATCTCTAAGCATGATTGGGAGGATAGACTCCCGTTATGCAGCAACTACTTTCTTAAATTCTTTCTGAACCAGTACCGCACTGCAGAGGATGCTAAAAAGCGACTGGTATGGATGCCACGCGGAGATAGGTGTACGGCACTGTTATCCTACCTAGCCACGTGCGGGTCGCAAAGAGAATCCATATCGGAGTTCTTCAACCGGCACGCCAGCTGGCAAAAGTACTTTCATGACGACACAGCAGCTGCGAAAAACTTCTGGGAGACCGAGTTCCATCTGTCTTTTTACCAGCTCGTGGAGCGTAACACGACTG